TTGGCCCGACTTCAATTGTGGCAACCATCATGCCTTCAGGCTTAGTCGGCTGCCCTGTAAAACTTGTCATTTCGAATTCCACAGGAGACAGATCATGAATTCCTTTCCCTAGCTTCTTGAGAGTCTTCAATGGCATAACATTAAAAACTGCTCCATTATCCACAAAAACCTTTGTGATTGGTTTCCCGCAAATGTGAGCATTAACATATAAAGGTTTCAAATGGGAGATCGCCCCCTCTGGAATAGGAGGAAACACAATCGAAGGTGCCTCCGGCTGAGGCTCGGAATCTGAAGTCTTTGCCCACTCTGTTTCCTCTAATTCATCACCTACCAAACATGCCCATAAAGGTTCGTCCATAGTATCATCTACCAGACTCGCCCACATCGGTTCATCTTTCATCTGATTAATCTCTGTCATTCGACAAGGGATTCGTGGCCCCAGACGAGATTTAACAGATCTCGAATTTTCCTCTGTAGTTACAACTTCTTCCTTTGTCTGATTCCGAGACTGAACCGTCAAAGATTCTATACGGAATTCTTCAAGAGATGGATTGATGTTGATCCGTTCACAATGTTGGCATCTAAAACCTCTAATTATTTCATCTGCCATTCCTTTACCTTTCCCCTGTCCCGACGAACTTCCTTTGGTATAGTCGGAAGCACCTAATCGGTCGTTCGGTTGCTTTCCTGAACAGACCCGACTGGACCGACTTTTTGGAGATTGAATGGCTGCTCCCTGCTCGTTGGTCGTTTGTTCTGTAAAGACTATAATGGACTGATCTCCTGCCAAGTGGTCGGCTGTTTTTTGTTCGTCGGTTAGTTGTTTTGCTGAAGGAACTCGTTTCCCATACTTTGCGGCATACCTGCGTTTGGCATTGCGAATCTGTGTACGATTCATACCTGGGAAACGAGGATCTATATCAACTGGTAAAGGCTTTTTATTTCGAGCCCAATTGTTCCCGACTGAACCTGTTTTTCTGGTCGGGTGGTCACGCACTAAAACCCTTTCTTTCACCTCCACATTAAAAGAACCGTCTGGTCGGTCCCATTTTTCAGCGACTGGCCTTTCAACAACTTTGAGTTGTTCTTCCGGTCGGCTGCTGTTTGGCTGATTTCCTTTCTTTGTTCCGGGGCTTGCCTGAGTTCGTTCCCCTGTTCGTCCACTATTGGCCGAACTGTTCCCTGTTTCCGAACTTGGTTGGATGTCAACCATTGCCGTTGTTACTTTCGGAAACGGTTGCTGGTCTACACCTAGAGTGATGTATTTGAGCCGCCCTGTCCTGATGGCCTTTTGAATTTCCTTCCTGAAATGAGTACACTGACTTGTATTATGTGTGAAAGAATTATGCCACTTGCAGTATGGTCTCCCTTTGATTTCTTCTTTAGTGGCCAGTCTTTGCCCCTTTGGAATACGGATCTGCCCATCAGTCAGTAGGATATCAAAGATTTCATCAGCTTTCGAACTATCAAACGTCGGTTGCTCCTTTCCTTCAGATCCTGGTACTGGCTTCAATTTGGGGCATACATAAGGTTTCCCAGAAAGGATTTCGGCTGCCATCTCTTCTGACTGATTAAAATCAAAGTCACATGTTTCTGTTCCCATACTCGCCATATGTTGGCCTCTATTACGCCTGTTATATTGATCTTCCTCTCTGAACAAAGACTCTAAACGTCCTGCCTTGGATGCAAGACTTGCCAAATCCTCAACATCCAGGGCAGTGAGTGCCTTTCTTAAGCGAGTATGCATATTCCGGACCACTAAATTGGTCATCTCTTTCTCATTGATTACCGTAGGACATCGTCCCTTCATCAATCGCACCCTTTCTATAAACTGTGAAGCAGATTCTTCTGGATACTGTCTCAATTCTAGTAAATCAGTTAAAGAAACAGTTGGTAAAGGATTGAAGAATCTGGCATGAAATGCCATCTCCAGTCCTTCCCACGTCTGAATTTGTCCAGGAGGTAAACTTGCGAACCACGAAAACGCTGTTCTAGTAAGAGATAGACCAAACAGTTGCAACTTATAAAAAGGGTTATTACCAACTTCTCCCAATTGTGCTGTGAACCGACCAACATGTTCTATGGTGGAAGATCCGTCCTCCCCTGAGAATGCATGAAAATCGGGTGGTCGATAATTCCTTGGGAGGGGGTGTTCATTAATGATCCTTTCTGGGAAAGGTCTCTGATATGCAGGCGGTTAGCCATCTGAGGAGTTAATCCATACTGATCTCTTAATATATGTGCAATCTCATCAGGATCTACATGAAAGCGTTGATGATCAGGAACATGGAACGGATCCTGCACAGGAATATGAATAGGATCATGTATATATCCTTCAGGCCTGTCCTCCCTTGTATTGTTCGGCTGCGGATTGGTAACCCTTGGTCCCAGTGGAACAGTGTTGGGAAAAGTCAGAGGAGATTTTCCCCTATCCATTCGGTTGGGATTTGTGGCACTTGGGAATGTACTATCCACGAATGATGGCCCTGCGAAATTTGCCTGTGGTCTGGATGGTGATACTCCTGGTGGAGTTTGAGTGGGTTGAAGACTAACCCTTGACAGTGCTTGATCTATCATGTTCTGCATCAGACTCTGTTGCTCACGCAACATGTTCGTTTGTTGCTCACGCAACATATTCTGCATAACCAAAGTGTGCTGGTTGTTCATTTGTTGAACATAAGACCACCAATCAGTTGGTGGTTGTGGGATTTCCCCGGCATTTGGCACAATCGGTGGTAGAACGGATTCTCCCACCGGTGCCGAAGATGATTGAGGTTGTGAACCTGCCATATGGACCCTTCCGATGATACGGCCGGATCTAAGACGTATGAAATTATCGCCGGAATTGGAATGAGCAATTTTGTCTTGCTCCCACTGTGGTCGCCAATTTGTTGATGTAATTTTTCAACAAATTTAAAGTAAAATTCAAAGATATAGAAAATATCCTTAAACTTGATTAATTAGTGCCTGAGATTAGGAATCTCTAAACACTGTATGGTACAGAAAATAAACTGGAAAATAAAAGACTGAAATTTAAAGTGGTGATCCCCAAATTTGACTTTGCTTTGTTGAAGTTGATTGAAGATACCTTGCCAAATGATGATCCAAATCCTTAAATATTCTCTGAGAAACTGTACTGAAAACCGTCGCCCGAACGGTTACAACGTCTCCTTCCCAACCGTCTTCCAATCCTTCTCCTGCTGACACGTGTCCTCAGCAGACCAAAATTATCCCTATATTCCACTCTTTGAGCTGACCACAGACCTTCCGCCCTTTTGACCCGACTGCCAATCCTCCCGACTTGCAAACCATCTGACTTATTTGGATTAGCTACAAACATCCCGACTAATAAACCATCCGACTTATTGGCCCTGCCGCAGAGTCCCGACCTGAGAACTTCCCGTCCTGAGGGCCTCCCGACTTGCGGACTTCCCGTCCTGATGAACTCCCGTCTTGAGGGCCTCCCGACCTGCAGTCTTCCGTCCTGAGGACCTCCCGTCTTGAGGACCTCCCGACCTGAAGACCTTCCGACCTGAAATCTTTCCGTCCTGATGACTTTCCGTCTTGAGGGCCTCCCGACCTGAAGACCTTCCGTCCTGAGGTCTTTCCGTCTTGAGGACCTACCGACCTGAAGTCCTTCCGTCCTGATGACTTTCCGTCTTGAGGACCTCCTGACCTGAAGACCTTCCGACCTGAGGTCTTTCCGTCTTATATTTTCCTTAGAAATAAACCTATTTTCCTTGATTTCCTCACGGTGTCCTTCAACCAGTTCAATCAACTCTATTGCCAGGCCCATTCTTCTTTTTACCTTGGGCTTTTAACCTAATTCTAAATTTCGTACGTAACAATTTTGAATTATTTTAAATATTAAACTTGATGATTTTTTTTTTAAAATAACTGTAAAAAATATTTTATTGAATTATAAATATATATTAAACATTTTTAAAAAATAAACATAGACACTAAACAAGACTGAAATTTGGTTAAAATTGATTTGAATTTTCAATTGAGCTAATATTGATTAGTCATTAGTCTAGTTTTACAATTTAGGACGTGTTTGTTTAGGGGTTTGAATTTTGAATTTAGATTTGAATAATAAAAATTTTGAATTTGAACAGTTGTATAAATAGGAGTTGATGTGATATTTTGAATATAAAATTAGTATAATATAAAAAATGAAAAATAAGTGTTTGATTTTATATTTTAGAAAAAAAAATAAAATGAATAGTGTATGAGGGGAGAATCTCCAAACAAATACACCCTTAAGACAAAAAAGTAAATGATTTTTTTGAAGAAATAAAGGTGTTTATTTTGTGAAATAATTTAAATATATTATATATTTTTTTTATATAAAATATATAAAATTACATATATAATATAAGAATAATGAACATGTATTATATATTAATTAATTAAAATGTTATGTTTACGCCAACGGTCATATTTTTAAGTATTTACAAAATTAATTATGCATTTAAACATTCTGTTAGACTAATAATTACTTATTCATTTTTGTGAAGTGTAAATGATGTTGGTATTTATATATGTTGTAAATTGATGAAAGGTAATATACTCCTTCCGTCATCTAACTAAAACTAAATATCCATTTATTTTTTTGTATTAATCTTTGGATATTAATTATTATATTAAAATTTATTATAAATAAAAAAATTGCAAAAATATTTTTATTAGTGTCTTATAATAATAATATAATGACATTTGCATAAAATATTATACAAATATAAAAATATTTTTTACGTTAACTACAATGAAGCAAAAAGTAAATGAACATATTGCTAACGGGAGTTTATTTTTTTCATGTAAAAATTATGTTTATTTTATTATTATAGTTTGTCTGCTAAAAGATGTATTAAAATAGCAAATGCGACTGGTGGATTACAATATTTATTTTATACAATGTATTGTCGATTTTATATATTTTATTTCCGTTCTTGATTAGTTATTATATTATATTTTTATTATGTTCTCGATTAGGAATATAAAAAATTTAAATATCTGATCATTTATTAAAAAAAAATAAAAATGAAAACTCCATATCTCCTAAACCGCCTCCACCACACTGCGGTTACAGGCGGCACTCTCGACCGGCGCCGCCATAGATTTTCGCATCTCCGTCGTCCACACAAAGTCGAGATTGTACAGCACCGACACCAGAGTCACGGCGGATAGGAAAACCACCACCGGACCGAATATCCAGAGCAGCAGCGGCACGGCCGTGTAGAAGAGGCGATTCCCGACCGTGTTGAGCGCGAAGCCTTTCTCGAGCAATTCGGCGACATAATCGACGGTAACAATGCCGCCGGAGCTTTCCGGCGGGCAATTGACGAGGAAATTGACCTGATTGATGAATCGGATGGAGAGAGAGTAGCAGAGGAAGGCGGCGAGGAAGAAGGCGAGGAGAGTGACGTATTTGAGCGCCGTCATGAACTCGCCGTGAGCTCCGTAGACGGCGTCGTTGAGAGGCTTTTTGACGCTGTAGGTGCTGCTGATGACGGCGGCGAGGGCGGAGCTGAGGAGGATGGAGGTCGTCGCCATTAGCGTGCACCCCATTATCGTGTTCCTCAAGGTCTGTACGGCCAACACGTTTTTCTTATCGTTCTCCTGCAATTATTTAATTTTTTTTATTAAAATGTTCTCATTCAATAAAAAAATAAATTCTAACACATATTTGAATTAATATTAAAAAAAAATAATATATACACGTTATAATATATAATTGAGAGTATGTTTAAAAATTTAACTAGTAATTAATTATCATGAAGAGAGAACGAAGGGTGTGTTTGTTTTGTGTTTTTGATATTTTTTTTTTTATGTGAGTTTTGTAGATCAATCTAGATAATATAAAAGTAAAAAATACTCTGCAATATATTAATTTTTTTTAGAAAATATGTTAGAATTGTTGAAAGAACAAAGCAAAAATGTAATAAAATTGGTGAAAATTGCAATAAATATATATTTAATTGAAGATACTAATTAAATGTTGAAAATATTATTTTGGTGGTAATTTTAATGTACAACTAAAAAAATAAAAATAAATTTGACATAAGAAGGAAGTAGCAATTTTATATTTAAAATATTATATCAATTAATATTTATATTTTATATCAAATTAAATAATTATTTCAATTCAAAATTTTAAATTCAAATATAAAACCAAAACTCTATGACTAAATATATTATTTATTTGGTTATGGTTTAAAATTGATTTGAATTTTGATTTAATATTTTATAACAAAAATTAATAATTTTTTTATAAAAACTATAGGAGTTTGAATAATACTCCCTCGTTTCACGTACAGTGTCTGCTATTAAAAGGGGTGTAATTAGTAGATAATTAAGAATATATTAGTAAAAATAATTATCCTATAATATAAATAATTATAAATTAAGATTAAAATAACTATTTAGTTTAATTAAAATTAAAAAAAATAAATTAAAAATTTTAAAATGAGATTAAAGTGTATAATCATTTTCCAAAAAAAGAAAGTGACATTTTATGTGAGACGGATATAAACGGCAATATGGACATGGTACATGGGACGGAGAGAGTAATATTGGTAGTTGATATACAAACAAACACACCCTAAGACCTCCAAAACATTTATCTAAAAATCAAGCCTTGAAGCTGAATATTACAGTGTAACATTTTGTGAGGAGAAAATTATCGCTAATGTGATTTATTATTATTATTTTTTTAAAAAAAAATTGTATTATTAAGAATTTTAAAAATATTTGTATATATATATATCTATAATACAACGTCTAAGCGTAATTAATTAGTTCAATTAATGCATTTTCAGTTATAGCGTATATAAAAGTCGTGTGTCTCAGCTCCATTTATGGTAAAAAACGTGCACGAATGAAATTACGCTTTTAGCCTTCGTTGAAAAACAAAGGATAATTTCTTCATAATTTCAGTATAATAAAAACTTACTTATAAAAAAATATACATTGCTATTTTTTATTAATTTTTACATGTCTTTTAAAAAATTAATATATTTATATACACTTATTATTTTTATAATATTTAAAAATTTCTTTATACCTCATATAAAAAGTATCCCTTTAAATTATTTCACAAAACAAATAAGAAATCAAAATTTTTTGCCCATAAATAAATTGACTATAATTATAAAAGGCTTCAAGAATAATCTAAAATATAGACCCAAACATTTATTTTCAAAAATACTGAACTATATGGAAATTTAATTGACTAATGCTATGTTGTTTTAGAATTTTGTTTTAGTTTTTTTATCCTAATTATATATAAAATTATAGTATTTTTTTCTCAATAAAATATTATATCAATATTACTACTAAAAAAAAAATAAAAAATCGAACTTCAAATAAATGCAGCTAATTTAGCAATTTTAGGTTTGTTCTCTTATGTCTTAACTATTTTAAATTTAAAATATTATTTGCATTTCTTAATAAAAAATATATCCATTTCATTTCAAAATACTTAAATAAAAATAATAATTCTTTTACTCAAAATGCTTTCATAAATTTTTCAAAATATTTTTATAATTTATAATTAATTAACAATAAAAATTTAACTAATCTTAAAAAACTAAAAGAACAGAGTCACCATTTAGCATGTAATAATAATAATAATAATAATAATAATAATAATAATAATAATAATAATAGAATGGAGGACCTTGATCATGGCAGAGACCCAAAATCGACGGCCACGAGAGTTGGTTCCGATGATGGTAGAGAAGGGGTGCGTACGGACCATATGCCATAAGTATAAATGGTAAGCCAAACACGCCGCTAATCCCAGAGGCACTAATATCACGTCCAGATAGCATTTTCTCCATTCCATCTTCTGCTTCTACTCTTCAATCCCATGCATATATATAAGGCCCTGTTTGGCTGCAATGTATATATATATATATATATATATAACATGCCCGACAAAATTTATTTTGGTTAAAAAATACTAGCTACTAATTGATAACTAGGTGGCCTCCACTACACTTAAATTAATATATATATATTATATACGAAATGTCTTGCTCATTAATTATTTGTAAGTTATTATTTGCCAATTTTGTCTTTGCTTCTCTTTCTATGTACTAATTTCTAATTTTGTGTCATTTTTAAAAATGTCTGACCTCCAAATATATAAATATTAATGTATATATATATATTACTAAAAATATAATTAATAACTAATTAAAAATATATTAATAAAAATAATTACAGTACTATGTAAATAATTTTAGATTGAGATTTAAGATAAATAATTAATATAATTAAAATCTAAAAATTATAAATTAGAAAATAAAAAATAAGATTAAAATGTATATTTTTTTTATATATAAAAAAAATAACATAAAATATGAAACGAAAAAAATCAAAACAGTAACATAATATGTGGGGCGGAAAAAGTATATTGAGGGTGACCGTTAGGATCAACACTCTAACCGCAAGCGATAACAGAATACTGTTTTACATAAAAATATGTATTTCAAAACTCTTCATATATGTCATGAATTATTATTTTATCTTTTAAATAAAATCTGTATAAAAATAATTTTATATTTAATAGCAACTTCTAGTACCAGAATATTATCATGTGTATTAACGTGATACGGCCAAAAATTGATTATCCATGTGGCAGTTTTTAGTATTGAATATTTAATTTACATCAATTTGATATTTAATATATATATATATATATATATTTACTACTAATAAATATACAAAATTAAATCTACTTAATTTTTCAACAATTTCATATTAAGCTAAATTAGAACAATTTCGATACAAAATTTTAGTTGAACGACCAAAATAATAAGAACTATCATAATATGAGGCTAAAAAAATATTTATTTGGACTTGAATAACTAATAATATATATATTTTTAATTTAAGTAATGTTGAATTTTTTTTTGTCTTTTAATAATCCATCCAAAACAATATTATTATTATTATTATTATTATTATTATTATTATTATTGTTGTTGTTGTTGTTAATGTGTTGGTCATAATTAGTGCGTCCTTGATTTAATTAATTAATTAACTAATTAATTAATATACTACAAATTAAATTAGTGATATTCTGAGTGGAGATAGGCGCATGCATGCATGCATGCATTGCATGTCTGTAAAGTGGTAATAAATAATAATTATATGGTAAATATGCACCACTTTCTTTTCTTTTCTTTTTTTTTTTTAAAAAAATTATTATTATATTTTAATAATATGTTATAAAGTTGTTTCACACTTAACTACTAGTTGACATAAGCAATACTACATAAATATATAATTTAACTAACAACAGTATATTAGTTTTATATTATGATAGTTAATAAATATTATAAAATAGTACACGAATAATAACTTAGTAAAACTTTTATTGTTATGTAATTATATTATACTACTTAGTAAGAATCTTTTATATAATTATTCATCATATTGTATAACTACCGTTAATAAATATAAATATATAGTACTTTTGATTTTCTATAAAAATATATTATTATTATTATTATTATTTTTAAATATTGTTTCATTAAAATTCAAATAAAACTATTCAAAAATTCAAATTAAAACCAAAGGAACTTAATACTCTCAAGTAACAATATATATAACTATTTTGACAAAAGAATATATCTTCTACATAAAATTAGTACATTTTTCTAAATAAAACGACATCTCAAAATTAATAGCTAGATAAAATATATCAAAATTATTTTGGAAATTGGAGGAGGTAGCAAAATTAATTAATATGGATATAAATGGATTTATGGCCCTACTTAAATTTAATTTATTCATTGAAGCAAACCATTTTATTTAATTACGTTAAGAAATTGATTTAGGTATATAACCTAATTTGAACCTCTAACATGCTTAGGGTTTCCACCAAACCAATATAGGAAATAAGTGTATTATATTATACTTTCTCCGTCCGGCTTTAAGGAGCTCATTTATCTTTTCATTGTACTTAATATTAAAAATATCTTTATATTTGTATAACTTTTCGCACAAATGTTATTGTAATAATATTATAAGACACTAATAGAAGTATTTTTGTCTTGATTTGTACTATGTTTTCATATAATAATTAATATTCAAGTATCAATGTGCAAAAAGTAAACGAGACCTTAGAACTTGACAAAAGGTATTATTATATTTTTTAGAACGGTGATCTAATATACTCCTTGATTATGAGTAAATATGATTAAATTAGAATAATTAACACCTAAAATACAATAAAATAATTATAATTTTTTTTTCTTTAAAGAATTACGACAAATTTGTAACAATTCAACTAAATTAATAACCAAAGTGATCATATTTGATGGGGAAAAAACAATAGTAGTAATATTAAATAAATCAAACCTAAGTGATCATATTTGATGCCCAATTATAATTCAAGCTACCTCAGAAAAATATGTATCCACCCACTAATCAAATATTGTGAATTTTCATGACCAACAAAATAAATTTATAATAATTCATTTGCAGGGTGGACAAATTTATTTTATTTTATTAGTAATAGTGGAATTAATTTTAAACTTGGGTGGAAATCCACCTGCTCTTTCGGTCTTCCATAATTAAAAATGTATTACTTTTGCACCGTCTCAGTGCACTGCATATTACATAGTCTAAGCTCTGATATCATATCGGATGTAGAATGATCGTCTCACCTAAAAGTTCAAATTGTTAAATAGACGTAATTATTAATTATTTATCCATAGACGAGAGTCCTCAATAATATTCATATCTTTTATACATATTCTGAAATGGCTGAGTACTAATCGATATTCACCCCATTATGTAAAAATGTGTTTATTATTCTGGCAAAGATATGATATTAACTATCAGTTTTTTAGATATTCAAAACTCTAAATTTATAACAAATAATCTGGTTTTTTATTCGGGTGTGTTTTGTTTTCTAACTTATTTTTAAATGTATTTTTAAAAAATATATAAATAATAGGTATTCTTAAATAATATTTTGAAAAAGAAAAATATTTTCAATATAAAAAAGTAATTTTACAATAAATTATATAGTAACATATATGTATATACATACATATATTGACATAACATGCATTAGTTATTTTATAAATAGAAAAATTAATTGAACCTAAAATGGTGACATGAGCTTAAAACGAAGAAGGAAAGAAAGTGGAGTATGCCGAATGCGGTATTTACCTAATTTGTAGTGCAGCTTTAGAACAACAAATTATGTATTATTTGATTACAACAACATAATATAATATAAATACAATACATTTGATTAATGCATTAGATACAATATTTTATAACACTTGTAATTATGAACAAATAACACATGTCTAATAATAACTTGTGATATTTGATTAATGCATTAGATACAATATTTTATAAAATAAATATTTAATAAACATTTTTTAAAAATTCATAAAACTTGTATAATAAAAATTTAAAAATCAAACTTAAAAATAACACAGCCTGGAATAAGACCTCTCTCTCTCTCTCTCTCTTTCGTTTTTTTTTTTTTTTTTGTTTTGAGATATCTCAAATTTCAAAACAACTGAGTTAATATCATTGAGAAAAACACAACGTGCTTAAAAAACAAGAAGCACTAAATGAATATAGCGAAATAAACTAAAATCTATAGTATGTAATTTTTGGAGTTTTAACCTTATTTTTTAATAGTTTCATCCAACAATTTTTTGGTTGATGATGCGGTAATTTACAAAAAAAAAAAAAAAAATTATTATATTTTTTTTCGTCCGTCAAAATTATGTCGATATGATTGTGCACGAAAAATAAAAATATTAATATTTTAATGTTTAACTAACGTTAAGTAAAAAATAAAGTAAAGTATTATATAAAATGTATTAAAAATTTGATAAAAAAATATAATATAAATAGAAAAAATAGTGTCAAATTAATTACTATTTGTTAAAATAAAAATAGTAAAACAACTATTGGTGGATACAATTATTTAGAATTGCGCATAAATTTAGCCGACGGCAAAAATAAATAGTTATTTAATTTTGGACCGAGTGCTAGGGTTTGACCTACATAAAAAACTTTTATACATGTTCAATTCATATGTTATTTAGCAGCCTCAAACGTAAATCATTTTAATCGAATTGATCACTAATTTTTGTGTTCTTATATATATATATATATATTTTTTGAATTTCTACAACAATATATATTCCATTTTTAATCATATTAATAATTTAACACATAATATTACTTTTGATATTATTAATACACAAAAAGCAACTTAAATTAAAACTCTAAAACATACACGCCCAAATTTAAAAAGCTTATTATAAAGGTTGGTAACCCCTAACGATTTAAATATTATGAGATCTTGTGAATAAATTCTACACATAAATATAAGCTTATTTATAACTATTACTTTGTACTTATTTTAATAAAATAATATTTATTAAATATATCATATTTTATTTAATTAAAAAAGTCCACCGACGGGAAAAGCACACATATTTCTAAACTTGTTTGTTTAAAATTTGAATTATTATTATTATTATTATTACTTGTTCTTGTAATAAAATATAGTTTTGATATTTATTCGTTTGAATATATTTATTATTTTTTAATTAAAAATATTTAAGATACTGTAATTTTCTTTTACTTATATTTAATTTTTCTTTTTTGATAAATATAATCAATAAAATTATTTTTAAAAAAACAAAGCATACTACTTAAAAAATTATATTAAAATAAACATAATAGACATATTAAATTAAAAGTAAGTATAATATTATAAATAAAAAATATATACAGATAGCACAAATAAGGCACGATCACATTTTCCTTTGTTTATTTCAACCAACTAATAATTCCTTCAATAGGTGGTTGGATGGGTGGGCGTAATGATAGGATTCAATTTCGATATTACTAAAACACTCTCAAAAATTTCCTTAGACTTCAATAAGAATTACAACTTCCATTTTTTTTTTTTTTTTTTTTTTTTTTTTTCTTATGAGATCTCAATAAGAATTGAATTATAAAGAATATTTTAAATTTTGGACATAACATAGGAAGGCAATATATTTATGAACAAAAAAAAAAAAGCTTTTATTTTGAAATATGCTAAATATATACTTTTTCTATCCCAAATCAAATTGATCATTTGGAATTTTTGTAGTAGATTAATAAACAATAGTATTTTATTAGTTAGTGGAAGTGCGACAGATATTTTGATATTTTTTCTCTTTGACTTTATGAAAAAAAAAAAATAATAATTGTATCTTTGTAATTTAAGTAAATATTAATAATAAGTTGGTATTAGTATATGCTTATTATTATTTTTTTCAAATACAAAATAGATACTTTTGAGAAAAAAAAATAATGAAAATAATATTTTGAATTGAGACTCAGAAAATATGCAGTAAAATAATATCATAATTCAAAATTTATTCTAAACTAAGTTAAATCTCAAATCTTCTTCTAATAAATAAAAGTAAAATAATATCATAATTCAAAATTTATTCTAAACTAAGTTAAATCTCAAATCTTCTTCTAATAAATAAAAGTTGAGTAATTTCTTCCGGACGTCCTTATTAATACATGATAATTAATGAATATACGAAAAATATCTATATATATTGTTGATAAATACGTATTAAATATAATACGAAAATAATTTCAAATTTAATTTCCCGCCCTTTTCAAAGCGCCTTCGATACCGAGAAGCCTTCTTCGGTCATCGTCACCGAAGAATACGCGTCGCCGTCGCTCATATACGACGAGTAATCGCCGTCGCTCTCCCGTTCCTTCAACTCCTCGATCCGTTCGACGGCCTCTCGCAAATCGCACCTCCGATCGACGTTCCACTCGCAACAGCACATCCCGATTTTCAGCAATTGCAACATTTGCCCCTCGAAATGGCGCGGAATGTTCATGTCCTTATCGAACACCTCGCCCGTCCACTCCTCTCTCACAACGGATTTGACCCACGTGTCCAAATCGGAGCTCGGCCCCCGACCTTTCTTGAGATAGTTCGCCGGAAAACGTCCCGTGAGTAGCTCGAGGATTAGGATCCCGAGGCTCCACACGTCCGTTTTTCTCGTCAATCGAGTGGCTTGTGTCGACTCGGGGGATTTGTAGGCCGCCATGTATTGGTGTGCGTGATCTTTGTTGATCACGGGCACTAACGCGTAGTCGGCTAAAATGGGCTCGTAGTTAGCGTCCAGTAAAACATTCGATGACTTAAGATGGCCGTGTGGCAGAGTGAGCGTCGGGAGTTCTTTGTATAGATAGGCTAATCCTCTCGCGACGCCTTTGATGATCTTTAGCCGCATTGGCCAGTCGAGCACCGGTTGGTTCGGGCTTTTTTTGCCTGTTCAAAAGATTTATTCAAAAGATTACTTTAGATTTTCAGAAGATAAGACAAAACTGTTTGTAATGTCTACGTGGTTTAAAAATTATGAGAAACAATGAAGTCTAATGTAAATTTTAAATTATGAGAAAAAAGTAGTGCATAACTTTCAAACAACCGGTGGATTCTAAAAAATTTTAAATTTTCATAAATACTCTCAATATTGTATAATCGAGAGTATTGAGTATCAATATAATGAAGATGAACTGACATTAGGTTCGAACCAGAGGTACGTCTACTCAAGGCTCAATACAAATAGAAGACTCATTATATATTTATGTTATATATATAATATTTGTACATAGAATTTATTTGTTTGGCAGATTTTTTAGGATTTTCACTATTCACTAAAATTTTTATCTCTAAAAATATCAAATCAAATATTTAGTTTTTATTTTTTATATTATACTAAAAATTAATTTTATATTTAAAATATAACATTAACATTTATTTATATCGCATTATTCAAAAAATTTACTATTTAAATCACAATTCAAAATCTAAACCCTCAAACAAACACAAATATATAAAAAAATATTACGCGACGGCTCAACGGCGTGGGTATAGATATGTGATTATGAGGTCGTGAATTTAAACTCCTGATATTTGAAAAAATTGTTTCATTTAATTATTTATATTTTTTTATAAGTAAAAAAAAATATATATTATCATTTATAACTATTATTATCATTTATAACTATTTAGAGGCCTCTTATTTTTGTTTGGTTTAGCCATTCGAAATTCAGGACCGACCCTACGACCTTACGAAGATCAACGTGGTTGAAAAAACATACCGTGTAAATGACTCGCCAAGCTCCCATTCCCGACGAAATCGGTGATGAGAAGCTTCTCTTCCCTGCGATAATAAAACGCGACAAGCGGCAACAAATTCCGGTGGGATAGCCGCCCGAGCCGCCTCATGTGCTCGTAAAACTCCCCTTTCCTGACGCTACTCATATGTTTGAACCTCTTGACAACATACTCTTGTCCGCTAAAAAGCGCGGCCTTATAAGACGACCCGAAGCTCCCACTCCCAAGGACCTCAGCCGAGGCCCTTAGTAGCTCCTCCAAGTCGAACCGTTCCCGATCGTTCCTCACAAAATGTAGCTTGCCGTGTTCCATTTTTTTGTTCGCTCCCGCCGCCGCCTTCTCGTCAACTTCGAAGCTATCGATTGATTTTTCGTACTTTAGAGGTTTCGAATGCCTACGGCGAACGAGGAGGATGAGTATTACGAAGAACGCCAATGCAATCCCTAGCGTCGCGGCAACGATGAACGCCGTTTTGTGTCGCGACCGGGATTCTTTGCACGGAGATAACGGCTTCCCGCACAAGTTTCCGTTTCCTAACCAAAATTTCGACAGTAATATATGAGACTACTGTTTACATATACACTCCCATTGAAAGGTTGTCATTTTTTATTTTTGTCCGTCCCAAAATAAAGTTATCATATTTTAATTTAGTAATTGTATTACATGCCTAACTAATAAATAGTCTTTCAAAACGGATGGAGTAGTAATTTTTTTAAAAAAAATATCATATTAAATACTTAAATTAAAAGTTTTGAATTTAAATTAAAATGGCCATAAAAATGGTTATATTTTTTTATGAATTTGATTTGCGATTCTCAAAAAATAATAATAATAAATATTTTATATTTTATATAAAAATTAAAAGAAAAAAAAAACTTTAAATGCTCGTTATAAAAGATTTAAAAAAAAAAACTTAAAATATTTATTACAAAAAGTTAAATATGAAATTATTTTATATTTTCGATATAATTTTTCATACCACGTAGCACATATGTCAAAGAATCATTTCATTTGAAAAAACGTTTAGGGGTGAACCAAGCGATTATGTTTATCACAAGTAATTAATTTGACAAATTATAATATAAATCAATTAATTACATAGAACTATTTTATTGCAAATAACTATACGATAGTATAATGATTTAATATCTATGAATATTTTATTTAAACTTATACAGCACGAAAATAAAATTAAAATAGTGGAAAAATCCATGTCTTGAGTCATGATGTTGTTATAAACGTGCATGCAAGTAACGAGCAATTAAGATTTAATTGTTTGTGGATTAAATAATAAATGAATATTTTTCAAGTAGCTTTACAACCTACCAATTTCTAAAGAATCAATAATGTATTTTATCATGTGTTAAATGTAAATGGACAATAATTGATATATCTTAATTTTTACATGTGATACTCCCTCGTCCCGACTCTAAGAGTATATTTACTTTTTGTGTCATTATATTTAATATTAATAATATTCTTATATTTGTATAAATTTTTGCAAAAATATCACTATAATAGTATTATATTTCTATGATTTGTACTATATTTTTATATAATAATTAATATTAAAAAATCAACACGCAAAAAATAAATGAGACGAAGATAGTAGTTAGATATAATATCTTGGATAAAAAAAAAACATTTATCAGTGAAAAAATAAAACAAGTAGTATATGTTTTCTTCTAATTCAATCTTTTTAATCAGAATTTTAATATATTATTTCATAGAAATAATTATATATTTTTATTAAAATTTATACTATCTAATACTTAAAAAAAAAAAAAAAAAAGGATAGTAAACATACCTAAAAACGACGTCGTATTAACATCCGCAAGAGTAGACGGTATGGCGCCCTCGAGCTTATTATTCGAAAAATTAACGGTCAAATCCGACTGCCAAAAGTCTGGTATCCTACCGGAAAATCGATTATCTTGAAGCTGCAGCTCCACGAGTCTCGGCAAGCCGAGCAACGACAACGGAATCCTGCCGGAAAACTTATTCGCCGCCAAAACGACTTTCCTCATCCCCTTCATCCCGTCGAACCCATTTTCCGGGATTTCTCCGTCGAAGCTATTATTGGCCAAGAAAAGGCTCCGGAGCTTCGCGAGCTTGTTTAGGCCGCCGGGGAACGTCCCGGTGAAGTTATTGTTCATCACACTAAGGCTGAGGATCGGCACGTCGGCGATCGCGCCGAGGTCGAGGGTCCCGCCGAGGCCTAAATTTTCAAGGCGGAGGCCGACAAACGAGTCGTTGGCGCACAAGCAGCCAGTCCATTTGGGAGTGTTCCACGAGCAGAGACGGTCGACGGGAAGTCGCCAATCGTCGAGCGCCGAAGCATTGAGTAGCGAAGATTTGAATTTGATTAGCGACGCGGCGTAGTCGGCGTCGGGTGCGGCGGCAGAGAGCGGAGATAGGAGGAGGAAGAGGAGAAAGACGGGAGACATCGTCGATCGATAATCGATCGAAAAAATTAATTTTTAATATAATAGAAATTGATAATTGGGGGATAGGAAGAATGTGGGTTATGGGAGGATTTGGAAAATCGTGGGATTCACAAATGGAGGGTGAATAATATTGTAGAGGCCGGCAATGGTGTCCATTGATTGAACTTTGTATCTTTGTAAATGGAGATTTTGTATGTATATATATATATAATGAATGTATGTACGTGTATGTGTGTGTATAGCTGTCGTTTGTGAGATAATGTCGTTGTTTCCAAATGGTAAGGATTCAATGATTTGATGTAATAAATATATTTTTCCCTTTCTAAACTAGTCTTTGGCGATGCTCCCTATACATTATTATTATTATTATTATTATTATATTGTTTGTTTAGTTTATTTACAAATAAAAAATGTCACTATTTTTTTTTTAATAGTACTACACATATTCATGCAGCTGACCTGAAGCGTCGGGATTTGAACCCATTACTTTATGGTCACAAGTCCAACTCCTATATTCCTTACTGACCATATCTTGACAACACATAATATAACTCTATATAACATAGTATATTATTTATTTTAACACAATAAATATAATACAATACAAATATAAAATAAATTGATTCTATACAACATAGCTATATAAAAACATACTTGGTCTGATTTTCATATGTGCTGATGGAATGAACTCAATACCCTAATTGACTGCCCAATATTATACCATAAATAATACCTTATCATTTATTTTAACTTCCCATTAATAAAGGTGTTAATACCTACTTGATTTAACATATATGAATTCTTGCATTGAAAATTTTGAAATAATTATGAAAAAATCATATGCACGTATAAGATATAATTATCCAAAGCTACATGAAATTTAAGCCTCACTGCATGTATATATCCATCTATCACTTTAATATATAATTTCTACTTTCATAATAATAATAATAATAATTCACTTGTGTGTTTGTTTGGAAGCTTGAATTTTGAATTGAGATCTGAATAGTAAACCATTTGAATTAGAATAATTATACGATGTGATATAAATAAATATTGATGTGATGTTTTGAATGTAAAATTAATTTTTAGTAATAATATAAAAAAAAATACACTACAAAAAAATAATATATTTGTAACGGAATTCCGTCCCTAATGTTCATCCCTAACATAATTCCATTCCTAATTCCATCTCTAATGTCATTAGTAACGAAAAAAATAGATTTAAAGACAAAAAAGTATTGTTACAAAAATGATTTTTTGTTGTAGTAATAGGTGTTTGATTTTAATATTTTTTGGGGAAAATTTTTTATGTGAATAGTGAATTTACCGCAAAATCCTTCAAACAAACATATTAATATATTAAAAAAATTCCTTCCAAAAACTCAAATAAAAATCTTTTTTTTTTTTTTTTTTTAACACTACAAAATAATTTTATATTAAAAATATTACATTAATAAATATTTATATCACAATAAATAATTACTTTAATTCAAAAACTTAACCCAAAACCCAGATACACTTAAATTAATAGATAATCATAAAATTTTCAGTAAACTTACAATAAAAGTTTGATAGATTTATACTTAAAATTCAAATACCAGACATACATAGATACACACATCTAATAATGATTAGTGAAAGTGGACGCATAGTTGGATCAAATAGGAACATATAATACTCCTTCCGCCCCGAATATTTTGTCCATATAGACACGAAAATTTAAGAGAGGTATAGTTTATAAATAATTAAAAATGTATTGTGAAAATAATTATCGTATAATAAAAATAATTATAAATTAAAATTAAAATAATTTATTAGTACAATTAAAATTAAAAAAAATTAAAGTGTATAATTATTTTAAAAAAAAACTGATAAAATAAATGAGACGGAAATGAAAATGTGGACATGAGGAGTGTAACAGAGGAAGTAATAATTATTGTAATAGATTATCTTTATATATTTATTTTGTTTAAAATACCCTATATATCGATATAATATATAATTATTAAATTAACTATTAACGAATATTAAAATAATTTTTTAAAATAAATATTAATAAAACAAGTTACCACTCTAAATCTAGTAAGGATTATATTCATTGTTTTAACTAATATTATTACATCAAAATTTTAAATTTATAAAATAATATAATTAGGTAACAACATCTAAAAGTAAAAGAAAGGCATTGAGAAATTAGTGCATAAGGCATCAAACTCCATCACTAAAAATACCTCTCAACCTATGATTCCTCTCTTCCCTTCATTTCTAAACAGATTATAATAATTATCAGTAATATTATTATCATTATAATAATAAAATATTATATTATTATTATAATTTATAATTTCTTTTCCTCCCTACAACCTCCATTCTTCTTCTTCCTCCTCTTCTTCTTGTTCCTCTCATGAAGGTAAGTTCAAACTCCCATTTCCCATCTTCTATTACAAAACTTATTATCATATCATTTTTTTTCCATTGATTTTCTGTTTGTCACAGCTAAGTAGTCCTTTAAAATGAAATCTTGTTAAGTCCATCCAATGTTTTCTTTTCCCTATTTCAGATTCATTCAGAAAGACAAAATCCAATCTAGAAACTTAGCCTAAGCATGCATACAAACTATCGAAGAACACGAAATACGGCTCGCTCTGGTTAAACTTAATTTACGAACTATTTTTTTCTACGACGAATGCAGGTAAATAATCATTAAATGACAACAAGAAGAAGAGACATTTTACCGGGGAAGGAGAAGAGGGCAACACCTTGTCCTTCTCCGACATCCACCAAAACGTCGCCCTCTACCACCCAAATCAATCCTTCGAAGATCCAGCCACCCACCACCATTGATGCATCTAAGCGTCTCGTCAAGAAACCATCTTCCATTAACACCCCTGCACTTAACAGAACAAAACCACCTCTCGAAAGGAAGACAAATCCATCAGTAATACCATCTTTAACACAAAAAACTGCATATGGATCGACTAATCCACCGCCCCTTCGCCCTTCTTCATCGTCAGGGAAGACGACTGCTTCCCAGAAACCTGTTCAAGACAAGGAGAAGAATGTAAGAACATTACCAGGTAAGGATGCCGGGAAGTACCACTCTATGATGCATTCTAGGCCAGTTGGCGGTGTAAAGAAGGCTTCGACTGATATTAAAAAGCTCGGGAGTCAAAATGCTGTTTCTGCTATGAATGTTAAGAAACAAGGGAGTCAAAACACTACTTCAGCGGTAAGGGGACGAGTCAGTAGCATTGGTTCTGTTCCTATTCCTAAGAAGGTCGAATTTAAAAATGTTACCAAAGTGAAAAACGACGATCCAGAAATGTTCCTTACTGACATGGACGATCTGACTGAAGAATACCTACAAAGCTTCGATGAAAATGGCACTGAGGATTTGTTAGCAATAACAGGGGTTGATGATAAGGACATCGAGATCGTGATTGCTGATTCTTCTACAGGTTCACAACAGCAAGATGACCTGATTGGTATCGAAACGAAAGTGGAAGAATACAAACCATTTATTGAAGAAGATAAGAACGAGCAACACGAAGTAGAAGAGCACACAGTGGATAAAGTAGGCGACAGTAATTCTGCTGAAAGTATTGATTGCAATAAGGAAGGGGCAAAAGATGAAGTGGTGGAAGAAGGAGGTACCGGATTGAATAATTCAGAAACAGTGGCTAGCGATAGGGAAGCTCAAGAGTTTCAGGAAACAGACAGGGAAGAAGCCGTCGAGGAAAAGGAGAAAGAACCAGACAATGTAGCTCCTATACAAATAACTGTTGAGGAGAACAAGAAAGAACCCGAAAATGTGCCACCAAAGCCAGAAATAACTGTCGAGGAGCACAAGAAAGAACCAGAAAATGTGCCACCAAAGCCAGAAATAGCTGAGGAAAAGAATCAAGAATCAGAAAATGAATGTACACAACAAGAAATAATCAAGGAAGAAAAGCAAGAAACAGAAAATGTACCAGAAAAACAAGAAACAGTTGCTGAAAGTAAGCCGGAATCAGAAAATGCACCCCTGAAGCAAGTGACTGAGGAGAAGAAACAAGAAACAGAAAATGCTGCTCCTAGGCTACAAGGGAAGAAAGGCAGTTCTCAGGTATCTAATGATGTGATTGAGGAGACGGCTATCAAGCTACGGGAGCAGAGAAAAAACAAGGTGCAGGCACTTGCTCGGGCTTTTGAAACTGTCATAGCTTTGCAGGAAAAATAAGCAATAATGACTCATGCTAAATTTTTGGAATGGAAAGGCAAACTTCTAATACTTATTTAATAAGATCTTTCAGGAAAAAGTGGGTAGATTGACACCAGTTCATTTCTTGTTTGTAGTCTGTAATTTTAAAGTAATCCGTATATGCTTTTGTTTTTTATACATAGTCTTCTACTAATTTCTATGTGAGTGGGTAGTTTAAAGTATATCATGTCATGAAAATCAAACAATTTACATGCTAAAAATATCTATTTTCGACTATACTTGTATAACAAGCTATAATCTACTTATCGACATAGTTCCAAAAAAATAGGCAGTTATAATTATGTGAATAAAGAATCGGGAAGTCATATATAATAAGCATAGCAAACTTAAGAATCGGGTTAGGAAGGTAATATTTTCTATGCTATAACTATAAATTAATTATCTCATTTAGATAAAGGACAAATCCCATAGCAATCCAAGAAACTAATGCAAATGTGCGATAGAAGAAAGAATATTTCAATGAGGGGCCAGAAAAAGAATATGGCGAGCTAAAGATGATAGCAGAATTCACCTCTAAAATATTTGAAATCTTTTTTGACTGCTGAAATTGCTCAAGCGTTGTCTCGTGAATTTCTGGTAAGCTTACACAGCTGTTGATGTGTAAAAACTCCCAATGCTCTCAAACTTGAGGTAGGAGATATCCCATGAAAGTCACGGTATTTGACAACCACTACCATCTTGTATCTCTTCTCTAACATAAGATCAATAACGTAACCGACTGATGTTGAACTTGTAACACAAGGAGGGGGGCTTCTCATGAGGGATGAAACTGGGGCATCCAGCTGCGAGAAAAGCCATTCTTACAAACAGAAGAAGGATACCAAGACAAAGAGAACAGAAGATAGTAATTAATAAAAGATAAAATTACAAGACATCCTTTCCCTAACAATCCAAAATATGTAGAGAATAAAACCAAACAAAAGCAATTACTTTTCCCATAACCATCAATATAAAAAGTCTTAATATATAGCATTTCTCATTGCAGCAGTCCTGGAGAAGTATATATGCTTGAAGAAAATAGTGATTGAGAAACTAATAATAAATATTTTTGCTCTATATAGCCTAAAATATATTATAATCTTGAATAGCAATATTTTTTCCTGAGTGCAATCAATAATTATTAAGGATAACTTATGCAGTGAAAAATATTACCCTATCACAGTCTTCACGGTGCAGGATCCCCACACAACCCCCCCACTCATCTATGACTGGCACAACAGGATCCTTAAAGAAACGCATCACCACTTGCTTCAATTGTGATGTAGCTTGAAGTGGTGAAGCTTCACTAAACGGAATCATGATGTGTTCAATTGCAACTCCAAGTGATACCTGATCCAGGTTTGGATTGTTAAATTCCACTGATTTTAGCTATATTGGCGACATCATAGTACACTGACTAAAGATCAAACTACAAGAAATCTGACCTCAGGAAGTACACGAGGGCTCAGTATCGAAGTGTTTAAACCCATCAATGCCTCGAGGCGTAAAGCAACCTGCAGAGTGATGCCTTCAATTATGTAGATGAAGTGTGGTAATTTCGAGCATAGGCCTTTTCAAGTAGGTTACATCAGCTCAATGGACCAAGATAATTAAAAATATATATTTTAGCACACCATTTGCTTTTAAGGATAATGCTTCATTGAAAGACCATTATCCAAAGTGTTTTCGCAAACAAGTAGAATTTACATCTCTCAAATACAGAAGAATATGAACAGTAGCATACCATGCCACTTCGACTGCCCCATGGTATGGTCCTCCATTTGCGCACAATCTTCTTAAATTTTTGTACAGCCAAGTCAAACTGCGAAAAATCCAGGCCTAAGTGAGCTAATGCTGGAAGAAGAATGACCTATAAGTGTTAATACAACTATAAGTCAACCCTTGTAGTTCAAGTGGTTTTGTAAACTTCTATTTTGTATTTCTGACAAATGCTTTTTAGAGCATACACTTTTCTTTTCTTTTCTTAATATAAAGCATTACAAAAACAAAATTGAAACTATATAGTGTGGAAGGCCTCTTGTCTAGTCAAGGAATTGTTAACAGTTCAAAATGAAATTTTAAAAGAGCAGAGGTACCAACCAAGGCATATGCCGTATAACTTTGAAAAATTTAATTAACTTACACGGCCTTGATTTAAAGCTGCCTCCACTAAAAGATGATCAGATTCCACTTGCATTGCCAAGGTAATTGTTCCACACGAGTCAAACCACATGCGTTTTTGAAGTCTTCCAACCATGCTGGAATCTCCTCTAGCAGAAAATGCACGCATCATTGACAGAAAGAGGTGAGGCTTTGGCCTCACTGCCGGGTTGATTTCAGCTTGTTTCAATATCTCCCCAAAAATACAAAGTGCTCCTGAAAATAATTCCCAATTGCAAATGAAAAGTTTAACAAATCTATCTCATACAATAAACAAGCTAACCTCTATATGACCACAAAATACAGACTCAGATCTCATAGAAAGGTCCAAGGATTATATTATCGTATAGCTTTGACAAGGTTTAGATTCCTAGACGTGCAAAAGTCGAGTTCGTGAACGAGTTTACTTAGTTAAAAGCCCTGAATTGCTACAACAAAGGTCACAAGATTTCCAACAAATACAAGTCAACATTTAAGTAGAGTTCATGGATAACATATACAGAAAAAGATATCAACAATTTTTTAATTGAATGTTCAAGGAGCAAAAAGATTTTTATTTGTGTCCTTCTATTCTGAAAACTGTTATGTGACCATCTACTGACTACAATTGTCAGAATTTCTATCAAGATAAAGCATACCTTTGGTTGAGCCACAGTTAAGAAGAGCATCAATAATGACACCATATGCAACACGATCTATACGCAATTTCTTGCATGATTTCATTTCTATCCAGATCTTTTCCAGAGAATCAATATCTTTGGCATGCCCAAAACCCTACAAAGATATCATGTTACAATGCTGTTATAAGAGGGTAAAAAGTAAAAGGTGCAAATTTCAACTGCAATAGTAAGAGCCACTAGGCCTAGAGGAAGCTAAAGTTTTTGATATTTAGAATGAGAAGCACACATAAAATAAAACTACTACGGAAAAAGTACAATAAGCTTTCAGTTATAACACATTTTCCAAACAGGAAGCAGTGTATTGCCCAAAGGAATGGCTCGTAGGAAGTTATAAACACCACTTTTCTGTTGTATTGATGATGTATGCAAAAACTTCATCCCACAAGTAACAAAAAGAGGTACAGCAGGTCGTATGATTACAACATGATAACTGCATGGTTATAACAGCACATAGGACCGACCTGAAGTAATGTAGTGTAGGTAACAAGGTCAGGGGAAACATCACTGACATTGTTCTGTGCTTTATCCTGCAATAAACATGGCAGTTATTCAAGAAACAGATAACTCCCTTCTATGCAATACCACTCATTCATGAGGCTCTAAACTAGCCTTTGAGACACGTGCATGAGACCTTCATTTGCTCAAGTAATAGCATCGCTGCTCCTAAGTTTTCTTGCTTGATACATGCGAAAATTAGAGTATTGTAGCTGGCTCTATCAGGGTTAAGTCCAAATCTCAATATTTCATCATGTACTGCTAAAGCTGCTTGAGGATAACCAGCAGTTATATATCCCTGAAAGAGGAGAAGACATGTAAATCGATGCCATTTTACAACCCCAAGCAAATGAAGAAACCATAAAGAGGGGATGTGTCAAATTCAGAAAATTGCCTTCATCAACAAATTGAATATCCAAATTGATGGACTTCCCCCTTCTTGAAACGCATAACCATATCTTGCAAGAAGTCCATTAGCACGCCGGAGATCCCCTGCACTAGATCGTCACATTCTGAGAGGCAATGTCAGCAAAGACTTTTGAAATTAAAACATGATATAGAAGAGAATCCTGGAGGGACATATGAAGAAACTAGAAACAATATTATCTATGGAAGTGAGGTACATGGAAAATCTCCTTCAAATCAACAATAACAAAAGGGCACAAAGAATAGCAGATGCAGTCATTAGAAAGAAATAAATTGCTACTTTGAGTAGAAAAACTGACCTGATTCAATCAAAGCATTCAAGAGTCCGCAAATAAGTGCAGCAGACAACTTTGGACTGCCCACAGCAGTACCTTGTTCCACAGACTCCAGAACCTGAAATGCTTCATCAATTCTCCGAGCATTGCCCAAACCCTTTAAGGAAACAAAAGTAGCCATTTGTAATGAAAAAGATGTATTTTAATGTAAATCATTGGAAAAATAAAAAAATATTAAACTGTGAAACAGATGTCTAAAAAAATCCTTCCTAATACAGCTTCAGAACATGTCTAATTGCTGAAACGCGCATCACTTCCTTAGACCACTAACACTACTGGTATGCATTCTTACTGGAAATTAGTACCTTCAAAAGTGTGCCATAGGTAACACCATCAACCCCACAGCCCTCAGGCTTTGACATTTCATCAAACACTCTAAGAGCTGATTCAATGTCATTGCAATGAACACAAGCCTGCAGAACAGCATTCATCACAAATATGTTTGGTTTCCCAAGCTGCTGCTTTGCAATCTCTATTTCCTCAAATATCTGAAAAGAAAAGGAAGTAAACAAACACAGCTCATGTTGTGAGATGTAAATAAGCTCAACATTCAGTTTTGTATTATAAAAGCGTAGTTCTAAACTACACACCATCGACATTAAAATAATTAGTTTCTGTCTGGAAAGAGTGATTTCCAGATTGGAAGATTCTCAAAACCTGTTCCGGAAAATTTGAACTAAGAGCTCCACTAAACATGACAACTACAAATCACAATGAAGATGACTAACTCCTCACACTTTAATGCAATAATCAGCTCTCTTGAAACATAATTATTCTACATATCAATCAATCAAGAGTTCAGCACTACTTATGGCGAGGTACAATGGCAAATCTTGTTAATAAAATACAAAATATATTCACTATCAGCTGTCAATGGACCACAGTGTTTTGCCGGACTAAAGTGTGAGATGGAGATGGCTAAGTGCCGGAAGTTGTGAACTACCACTAAAATTTCTGAATGTTTGCTGAATCCATGGCCAACAAAACATAAATGGCAGCAAAAACCCATAACCAAGTATTCCAAAAGATTGTCTTGCAAACATAAATACTCCATCCGTGAAATATAACAACCATGAAATTGATTTGAAGCACCACACTCAACATTTTTCCTTGTATTTAAGCCATTTTCAAATACTATACAGCGAAATGGTGAATGATGCTAGTGAAAAGATTACAAAGTGAAAGTTTGATTAGATATTCAAACATTGATTCTTCACATTGATTCTTTCGAATTTAGGGAACTTCATGCAGCCTGTCAAATTAAGTTTTGTAATGATTCTAAAACTGCACAAGTAGAAAGCATTGTAGGTTCAAGATGGCACCAATCATTCTAAAATAATAATAATAATAATAATAATAATAATAATATATTTAAAAAAAAAAAAAAAAAGAAAATCCGACCGACCTGAGCAAGCTGTCGCCGGCGCGTGAGCTGGACGACGCGGGAGGTAAGTGACTTCAAATTGAGCGATTCCGAGGACGGGGAGCTTGGCCGCTGCCGCTGACACAATTTGGTCGAATAACGTTTACACAAACGTCTCTGAGGAGTTGTGGTGCCGAAGACAACGGTCTCAACCGACGCCGACGCCGACGAAAACAGAACAGCCGGTGCTGCTCCATGAATCAGAAGCATCTTCGCGAATCACGAATCTTGATTTCACGAAGCGGCCATAGCTTGTGCAGGCAGCAGCAAAGCAGAGAGTCACCGCAGTGCGAAGGAAGTGAATCAAGAAGTTATGGTGGGGGGAAGATAGTGAAGTAATGAGCGAAGATAACGTAGGGCTGGGAACGTGCAGGTCACGTGACATCCGGGAATTAGACTCCAGGGATCTCCCAAGAATCAAATCCTTAAATCAAAACCTAAACAGATTATTCTTCCTCTCCGCTCAGCAATCATTCATTTCTTCAACACATGATTTCTTGCAATGTGCAGCAATTCAATTTCATGTCCACATCAACAAGCAAAAGGATATATACTTCTTTCTTGAAATAATATCCTTAAATTTCTTCTAAACAGAGCCTTGATTCTTGAATTTTGTAGTTCATATACACATTTATATGTATCTATATATATATATATATAAAGCGAGAGGGTCCTTCATCCAATTACACCCTTAATCAAGAAAGATATTCTCATTTAGCTTGATAATGTAGGAGGCCACATCAACAAGCAAAAGGGTATTTCTTTCTTCAAATAAAGGTCCATCTTTAGATTCTTTAATTCACAGTGCATATACATATTCATATGTTTGTGTATATTTATATATATATAGAGAGAGAGAGAGGGAGAGGGAGAGGGTCCTTCATCCAACACCCTTTATCCAGAAAGATTGTCTTTTTGGAAGAATTAATCAATAATTGGGTTTGTTCATTTCTTGAATTTAATCTCTTTTTTTTGTCATTTGGGATTGATTATTGGAATGATATTTCTCATATGAAAGTATTATTACTATGATGATGTAATTTTAGGGAAAATATGGCCCCAAGATTGCTTCATGGAACCATTCATGCAACCATATATGAGGCTGAGAGATTACAAGGTGGATCCTTTCTTGACTTATTTGGCATGGTACATAGAATTAATATATTATTTATTTATTTATTATTATTATTATTAAAAAATAATATAATTATATATACTTATAGAACATCATATCAATATAAAGTTATTTTTATTTTTACATTATTTTTTTATAAATAAAAAATTATATCGATAATAAAAAATAATAATATTTGATGTGATCTTTTCGTAAAAAAAGAAAAGCAACAAACCAAGAAGAACAAAGACATTCTTCTCCCAACTCAAGAGGGCAATCTTATGTCGTCCCGATGTCGTCGGGTCGAAAATCTATGCGACGATCGACTTGGAACGAGCAAGAGTCGGGAGAACCCGAATCCTCGAAAACGAGCCGTCAAACCCGCGATGGTACGAGGAATTCCACATTTATTGTGCCCATGTCGTCTCCAACATAATCTTCACCGTCAAAGACGACAACACGATCGGAGCAACCTTGATCGGGCGAGCTAGGCTACCCGTCGAGGAGGTCCTTCGTGGAAGTCCCGTTGATCGGTGGCTCGACATCCTCGACGAGGACATGAACCCGATCCACGGAGGATCGAAGATCCACGTAAAAGTTCAGTACTTTCATGTCTCCCAAAATAGCAATTGGTCGAAAGGAATCAGGTCATCGACCTTCGGAGGTGTCCCGTACACGTTCTTTCGACAGAGACCCGGCTGCCGGGTGTCGCTCTACCCGGACGCGCACGTCCCCGACGACAGCATCACACGGTTTTTGAGCTCCCAGGTTATGACAGTATTTAATTTGATATTCGATTTGTTTCGAATTTTAAAATATTATTCGTATTCCGTTGGAAATAATTTCCTTACAAAATATTGTCTTTTATAAAGTAATATAAATCATTCAAATTATAAAATTTTGAGTAATTAAACAAAATTTTTTGATTCTGACGATAGCATCAGACAATTTTTGAACTCTTAGGTTAGAACTGTATTTGATTCGATATTTTTTTAATTTTAAAATATTATTCGTATTTCATTCGAAATGATTTTTAAACAAAATATTATTTTTTATAAAGTAATATAATATATTCGAATTATTAAAATTTGAATAATCAAATAATTTTATAAGGGATACTTTTCGCCGCAAAGATGCTGGGAAGACCTGTTCGACGCTATCAGCAACGCCAAACATTTGATATACATCGCGGGGTGGTCTGTTTACACGCAAATCACGCTTGTCCGAGATCCGACCAGGTATGTGCTTTTTATCTTTTTTTAAAAAAAAAAATACATTCTTCGTCCCAAAAATAAAGTATAGTCTTATTAGGTTGGATACATAATTTAAAAAATATTAATATTATATTGATGGTAGGTAAAAAGTATGAATAGTTGATTTTTTTGAATTAGTGTAAAAAATGGTAATAATAATAAAAAAAATATGAATAATTTTATGATGATAGAATTATTTATAAAAATTAGACTATTATTTTTTTAGAACTGATAAAAATGATAAATAAAATTATTATATTAAAACGGTGTGAGAGTATTATATACAATTTTTTCTCAATAAATTAATAATAATGCTACAAATTTTACTCTGGTAGAGTGAAACAATCTTAATGATATATTTTAAAAAAAAAAAACCAGTTTAGTTAACCGACTTCAATGAAGTATGCCTCTAGTATACCGACCAATCACATTTGGTCATATATATATATATATATATATATATTTAAAACAAAAATTTTAATAAAATAAAAAAATTATATATATATATATATATGGCCGAAGGAGTGATATGTACATAAGAGTAATCATTGAGGTAGGATAACCGATCCGTTTTAATACTATATTACATCGCTTTAAAGATTTATATATTTTTTGTTTATTAATATTTGAATATTAATTATTATATAAAATTGTAGTATAAGTTAAGGAAAATGGCAAAAATCTTTGTGTTTTAAAATACTATTATAATAACATTCATATAAAAAATTATACAAATATAAATATATTTTTAATGTTAAGTATAATGATAAAAAATAAATGAGACCCTAACAAAAAAAAAAAAAAAAAAAAATTATTTTTTTCTAAAAAAGAAAAGAAAAAAGTACCATTTGTTGATTTCTCTAAAGTTCATTATTTATCAATATTTTAAAAATATAACAATAGAAGAGTATAATTACCCAACAACAAACAAACAAATATATTTTCTTATATATATAAATAGTTTATTTTATTTTAAAAATTTCAAAAATTAATCGTCTCTTCTATTGAATTCTGGTTCTGCCATTGCAACCAGGCCTAAGCCAGGCGGAGATACAACGCTCGGAGAGCTTCTGAAGAAGAAAGCCGACGAGGGTGTCAATGTGCTGATGCTCGTGTGGGACGACCGGACATCCGTCGTGGAGCTTAAAAAGGACGGCCTAATGGCGACCCACGACCAAGAAACGAAGGCGTATTTTTCAAACACGAATGTACGTTGCGTCTTGTGCCCGCGTAACCCTGACGGCGGCTCGAGCATTTTCCAGGGGGTCCAAGTGTCGGCGATGTTCACACATCATCAGAAAACGGTGGTCGTCGACGGCGAAATCCCCGGACATCGGAACAGGGGGGTCGTAAGCTTTCTCGGCGGGATTGATCTTTGCGACGGAAGATACGACACGAGGCAGCATTCGCTTTTCGGGACTTTGAACACGGTTCATCGTGACGACTTCCATCAGCCAAACTTTCCAGGTAGGGGTGGCAATTTCGAGCCGGCTTGATGTTTTTCGGGCTGGCCCATCTTATTCTCAACCAGTGCGGGTAGGCCTAGCCCGTTTCATGGGCCCGGTCGGCTCAATTTTGAATTATTTTTTTTTATAATTTTTTCGTTTATCAAATTTACTTTCACTTTTATTTTTAATTCGTCTGCAAAGTCATCTATTCAATACTTATTTACAATAAATGCCGCTGCACGGCATTTATTACAATTTTTTTTTTCATTTATTTAATATCTAACTAAATTTCTAACTAAAAATATTTTAAACTATCTTAAACATAATTATAAACATTATTTTTACTAATAATTAAGAATTTAGATATTAAATATATAATTCATTTTTTTTATTATTATATATTTATAATATATTTTAAAAAATATTTAAATTTAATTTATTTGATAAATAGCGTCACGTTGGCCTAGTCCGAAAAAAAATTTGAGCCTAATTTTGTACGTAGTGTTTAGGTCGGATTTCCGAATCATATTTATTTTTTTCGGCTATATTTCCAGGGGCTTCGATCAAGAAAGGCGGGCCGAGGGAGCCGTGGCATGATATCCATTGTCGCCTCGAAGGGCCAGTGGCGTGGGATGTCCTGTACAATTTCGAACAAAGATGGAAAAAACAGGTCGGGAATCAGTACTTGTATTCACTCGATGAGCTTGATAGGTAAGAATGAGCAAAATATTTGAAATTCGAATGTCTGATTTGGACCAATCTGTTTCGAATTTTCGAAGTAGTTCAAATTGATATAATAAAAAGTCGAACAAATCTAAATCCTAAATATAATTTATATATTAATATATTTTATTATATATAATAAATATTTTAATAAAAATATAAAACTCATAATTATAAATTAATATATTTATTATTTTGTATTTCGTAAATGTTAATAAAAAGAAACAAAATTTTAAATATATTATGTAGTTTTCGAGTTTTAGATAGTTGTTTGGTTCGTATTTACTTCCTACTTACAGTGTCTATATTGCTTTTTTTTTTTTTTTTCCAATCTGTCTTACATCTCATGTCACTTTTTTTAAAAAAAATAAAAAATAAAAAAAATACACATTTTAATCTTATTTTAAAATTTTTAATTTATAATTTTTTTAAAATTTTAATTGAATTAATTTTCACTACTATATTCTTAATTATTTATTAATTATACTTATCAAGTTATCCTAAATTCTCCTGTCTGTCTATGATAATCCGGACACAGTAGTAGGTGGGACGGATGGAGTAGTTTTTTTTTTAAAAAAAAAAATTCTAATTTTTGAATTGATTCGGATTTTAAAAAAAAAAAAAAAAATCCGAATACTCACCCCCGACAGGTTCCTCCTTCGCCCGACCGAAGTCACCACGCCGGCCGATCCGGAGGCGTGGAATGTCCAAATCTTCCGGTCGATCGATGGCGGGGCAGCTTCCGGCTTCCCGGAAAAGCCAGAGGAAGCAGCCGAGTTCGGCCTAATCAGCGGGAAGGACAACGTGATAGATCGAAGCATTCAGGATGCGTACATCCACGCCATTCGTCGAGCCAAAAACTTCATATACATCGAGAACCAATACTTCCTCGGAAGCTCATTCGACTGGCGAAAAAAAAGAGACGACGTTAAAATAGAGGAAATCAATGCATTGCATTTGATACCTAAAGAACTTTCTCTAAAGATCGTGAGCAAAATTCAAGCCGGCGAGAGATTTACCGTATACGTCGTGATCCCGATGTGGCCCGAGGGCATCCCGGAGAGTGGGTCGGTTCAGGCGATCCTCGACTGGCAAAGGAGGACGATGGAAATGATGTATTCTGATATTTGTGGCGCGTTGAGAGCGAACGGGATGGCGAATACGGATCCAAGAGAGTATTTAACTTTTTTTTGTTTAGGTAATCGGGAAATGAAGGTGGTTGGAGAGTACACGCCGTTGGAGAAGCCGGAGCCGGATTCGGATTATAGCCGAGCTCAGCAATCCCGGCGGTTTATGATATACGTACATTCGAAGATGATGATAGGTATGTATGTGTTTGATTCGAAATTTTGATGTTCGTACGAGGAATTTTATGGTTTCGATTTGAATATAGATATTCGATTTGATTAGAAAATGAATCAAATGATTTTGTTTGATTCAAAATTTTGATATTCGTATTCGAAATTTTATAATTTGAACGTGAATATATATATATTCGATTTGACTCGAAAATGAATTAAATAATTTAATTTGTTTGATTCGAAATCTTGATATTCGTATTCAAAATTTTATGATTCGAATTTGAATATAGATATTAGATTTGATTCGAAAATGATATCAAATAATTTTGTTCGATTCAAATTTTTTATATTCGAATTCGAAATTTTATGATTCGAATTTGAATATAGATATTCGATTCGAAAGTGAGTTAAATGATTTTGTTCGATTCGAAAATTTGATATTCACATTCAAAATTTTATGATTCGAAATTGAATATATATTTTTGGTTTGATTCGAAAACCGATCAAATACAATTTTAATATTTGATTTGATATTCGTTAAATATTTGATTCATTAATAAAGAAATTTACATATAATAAAAGTACACTTTCCATCAGCTCATCAGCTCATTTTCTTTTCTTTTTTTTTTTTCGTTAAACTTATACAAAATTTATTTATAGTAAATAATTTTATTATTCTTCTTTATGAAAACAAAAAAATCTTGAAAATTTCACAAAAGAACGCAACTAAAGTTCGATTCCTTGTCTCTTCAAACTACAGTGGATGACGAATACATAATCGTTGGATCGGCCAACATAAACCAGAGATCGATGGACGGGGGGCGCGACAGCGAGATAGCAATGGGGGGTTTCCAGCCGGGGCACCTCGATAGGGAAGGGGAAGAGCCTGCCAGGGGACAAATATTTGGCCTAAGAATGTCGTTGTGGTGCGAGCATTTATTGCGCGAGGAAGAAACGTTTCTTTGGCCGGGGAGCCTCGAATGTGTCAAAACTATCAATAAACTTGCCGAAGAAAATTGGATGATGTATTGTAGTGAGAAATTTGATCAAGATCTCCTTCTGGGGCACCTCTTGAGGTATCCAATCGAGATCTCCGGCAACGGGGAGATCGGTGCCATTCCGGGATTTGAATTCTTCCCCGACACTAAGGCTCGAGTTCTTGGCACCAAATCGGAGTATCTTCCTCCTATCCTCACAACTTGAGGGGAAGAAGTAATTCGATATATATATATATATGTATGTATGTATGCATGCACAGATAATATTCCAATTAATTGTGATCATTAGACCATCCGTTACAGTTAGTGTGTTTGTTGCATTACCTTTTTAATCTCTTCTTTACTTCATATTCATATCAAAATTCAAATTACTTCTTTTAACATCCGTTAAAGCATTGTCACTTTTATTTATTACCTTTACATTTTTTTATAAAATTTATCATAATTATTTATTTTTATATATTTTTATTATCTCATAATATATAATAGTATTTATTATGTAATATTATATTTTATTTTTAAAATAGTAATTTATATAAACTATAATAATATTATATACATTTTTATATTATAAAATATTAATATTATTCGAATTTATAAAATTAGTTGTATTTAAAAATTTGAATAATTGAAATAAACTCGAATTAATATATTGTCGGAATAATTTTTTGTTTTCGATAGTTTTGTTAAAGAACTAGTTGAAAATAGATTGAATATAAAAATTTTAAAAAAAAAAATAAATGTTAAAATTAGATATATAAAAAAATTATTGAAAAATACGTAGGTGACTAGTGATCTTTTGAAATAAATTTGAATTTGTATTTGTATAAATAAACTATTGATAAATTTAAAATTTAAAATTTAAGTTATAATTAATTAAACAAATATTTTTGTTATTATTTTTATAGAGGTAATGAGTTATTGATAAATGTAATTAATGTGTATTAATTTATTTCCCACACATACACACACTCAAGCACTTTCCGGGGATCGAACCCTTAACCCCAAACATGACAATGTATCAACGGAGGACTCAACTGTTGTCGAAGAAACAATTTGAATTTACTAAAAAAGATCAAAGACGATTAGCCAAAATTGTCTGGTTGGAGTCCGAAGCAATGTTCAACTGAGTCAGAAATGAAATTTGCTTACAAATATTTTGAAGAACCCAATATATTATAATTATTAATATAAATTTTAAAATATAATAAGATAAATATATTCGATTCAATTAATCGAAAATAATATTAAAAATTTAAATTGAATTGAATTGAACAAACATCATACACTCTGTTGGTTATGTAAAATTATATAGATTCGATTAAACATAAAAATTTAAAAATAATAATATTTTAATATTAGTAGTTAAAAAAATAAAACGAGAGCATTATATAAAATTTATTACAAAATTAATAAATAAAAAAATAGCTTAGTATATAAAAAAAATAATGACAAATTTATTATTATTTTTTAAAATAAAAATAATGAAATTATAGGCTAATAAATTATTTAACAGTAAAAGCCTAGCGGTGGCCAAAAGCTCTACTCTCTTGATCTCATTATGTGTCCACTTTTTCTATTTGTTCTCATCATTCCATTTAACTGTTCATTATTTTTATTTTTATCTGCCTCATATAATTTGTCATATTTTAAAATTCAAATTTATTTTAAAAGATTACTAGTCAAATAATTTAATTACATTTTAAAATTAATAATTTATATTTTTTTATTTCAATTAAATTGTCTAATTATTTTAATTTTAATTTATAATTATTTTGATTAAATTATAATTATTTTTACTAGAAAAATTTAAATGACAAAGGGAATACTAATAATATAATTTTAATGGACGAATAAATATATAGTATCGGTATTCATATATAGTATCTGTGTTCAAATTGAATTTTTTTGATTATAAAGAAATTTCATTACATTCAATTCGCCATGTTTGATTTGAATTTTTGGCCGCACATAACTACCCCATCGTTCAACATGAGAGTAAAAATCACATTTAAAGAATATATATATATATATATTTAAGTATATTCCATTGGTTCGGATTGTACCTAGAGCTGTTAAATGAAACGAGTCATTCATGAACTTGGCTCGATTAAAGCTCGTTCGCGTTAACGAGCCGAACCGAACAAAATAAACAGACTCGTTTAGTTAACGAACAAACCCAAGTTTTTATTCGCGAACGTTCGTTTAAATAATATGTTTATTATAAATATTATATATACATATAAAATTATAATTTATAAATAAATAAAATATTAATTTAAAATATATAAATAAAATAATTTTAAATTTTTTTATAATTTATATATAAATTTTAAAAATAAGACAAACGAGTTTGAACGAACTCGAACGAGTTTAATCGAGTCTAAACGAGCCGAATACGAACACGAACTCAAACAACAAAAATTCTTAACGAACCGAGTTGGAACACTATAAACGAGCTCGAAAGCTTAACGAACGAATACGAATCTTGTTCGCTCACACTTAAAATTTGACTCGGCTCGAATCCTTGGCAACTAATGTTACCGTTGAGTCCCAAATCCTGAGGGTATTATTGTAATTTCGATTTGGTGTCCCTTTAAAGCCTCGGGATTTTGTATTCGCTGGACTGCTGTAGGCGGTTGCTTCGAGAGAATCTAGACTTTCCGGAACTTCAGTTTTTAGTGTTCAGGTTCGCTTCCTCGATTGCTTGTTTCGTAATAAAGATCATATATCGGTTCTCTATTCGATGATAATTTCTTTGTTAATTGTTCGCAATTATCTTTTGTCCGATCGTTTTTTCGATTTTTTTGTTTTTTATTTTGCCATGAAATTTGATCTTGTGTTTTGCTGTGTTGTATGGTGATTTCGAATTTATGTATGCTATGTTCATCCGTGGTTCCTGGAATTTTGATACCTTCATTTTTAATTTCCTTGTTTACTGGAATTATTTTATATGAATTGTCCTTGATGGGTGGTGTTTTCTCGTCTCCAGGCTTTTGGTTCGAAGAAATTTGATTCAAGATGCCCTTGATATACGTTGGGAATTTGGACGAGCAGGTATCTAAAGTCCATCTCTATGATGAGTTTCTCGTATTTGGAAAAATCAGGAGGTAAAAGTTCTACAATAAATTTATTTTGACAAAATTCAATATAGTGCAGTTCGGATCTAATCGGTTTTGTAACATGGTTTCAGTTCCAAGAAATATATACTTAATGCTTCATTTGTCGTTTACAGTTTTTGTTATCACGTTTTTGTGCAATGATAAATGTTAATATTTATACGGGCTTATGGGTCAACTTTGATGAAGCATGTGTCTTACTAAGACTGTCTTGCTTTTCTGTTCCTACGTTATTACCTGTATGTTTATATTATTATATTCCTTGGAATTTTAGTATTGGTATTGTTGGGTTAAACTTTTAGTGTTGCATCAGTGAATGGAACTTTGTGATCACAATTCAAGTTAAATTTTTGTTCCAAGACTCCCTACATTATCTTGAATTAATGTATTGGATGGATGGGCTAATCGAACATTTTGTGCAGTGTGTGGATTGCCAAACGACCTCATGGTTATGCTTTCATTGATTTTGAAGACCCAAGAGATGCTAAAGATGCCGTAGAAGGATTTGGTGGTAGGCTTTTTGTTAGTATATGCTTTGATATAATCAGTGCAAATTATAGACACAACTCAAGGCGTATATCATTGCATATTAGCTTGGTTTTTCTTGATGTCTTCTTGAATTTTAATTAGCTAAAATGTATGTTATCATTCTCATAAACACCATCTGTACTGTGATTATTGTTTTTGGCATTTCATTATATCTGCGTTACTGTGGAAAAGGAAAAAATGGATGGAGAGTTGAGCGAGCTCTTCACAATCATGGTGGTGATCGTGGGAGGTCTGGTCGATGTTATGAATGTGGTGAGCCTGGTCATTGTGCTCGTGAATGCAACTATAGAGACGGTCATAGGAGACGTAGGAGTCCCACCCCCCATAGGCACCGACGTAGGAGTAGGAGTCGCACTCGCACTCCCCCTAGGTACCAGCGTAGGAGTAGGAGTCGCACTCGCACTCCCCCTAGGCACCGGCGTAGGAGTAGGAGTCGCACTCGCACTCCCCCTAGGCACCGGCGTAGGAGTAGGAGTCGCACTCGCACTCCCCCTAGGCACCGGCGTAGGAGTAGGAGTCGCACTCGCACTCCCCCTAGGTACCGGCGTAGGAGTAGGAGTCGCACTCGCACTCCCCCTAGGTACCGGCGTAGGAGTAGGAGTCGCACCCCCTGTAGGCACCGACGTCGTAGTCGTACCCCCCCTAGGCACCGACGGCGCCGAAGTCATGGTCGAAGGTAATTCTGAAAAAGGCTTACCACTTACTTGATCTACATTATAAATTCCATCTTAGGAAGGGGAGAAAACTGATAAGCTGAGTATGCACTAATACCTTTATTAAGCCTCAACTTATCACCATGATTTTTTACACTTGTTACAAACATTGATAAGAGGGCACTTCTTCCATTAATGACATATAAAATAGGAAATAATTTATATTATTCCTAATTCGTAACAAACTTCCTATGGATGTTGATGTTCTGACAGGAGTTCCAGTTCTCGGAGTTACAGTTCTCGGAGCTACAGTTCTCGGAGTTCCAGTTCTCGGAGCTCCAGTTCTCGGAGTTCCAGTTCTCGGAGCTCCAGTTCTCGGAGCTACAGCAGGTCACCACCACATCGTCGATGAGATGAGGTGCCATATGCAAATGGGTAATGTTCTATCTCTTTCTATTTAAATTTTTTCATGGTTGCTCAATTCTCTTAGGATTTGTTTGACAATTATTTTTTTACTTACATGATTCATAATATATATAATATATATATTCTATCATTTCATAAAAAGTCTAACATTCAACAATAATATTATTTTTTATATTACCGACACAATTCTATGTACTTGAGATGAAGAAAATACCTCAAACCAAAATACTAAACAAACAAACCCTTAGTAAATTGATGGTTAAATCTTATTTTTTTAATATTTGTTTCAAGTTTTATGTATTTAAGATTGACTGTCTGTTTAATTCTGCAATCATAATTTGCATAGCCATCTTAAAATTACTCAATTTAGTTGGTTATAACATGGGTGGACAGGCTTTGTTTTTGTGCAATCTGTGTAGATAGTTGTGTAGGTTACTTGGACCTAAGCAATATGCATCTCATTATTGAAACATGTTATTATGCTTAAGTCTCTGCTAGAAATTGGGATGTTGCGGGGTGAGCAGCGGTGTTCTACAGTATGCGCGCCTGTCATAGAACAAAATTTTTAAATTTCATCTGTTGAAAAGTTTGATTGCTATAATTATAGTTTGCTGCTCTATTGACTATGTATTTTTTTTTTTTTTTCGTTCTTTCATTTTTATCTGCTATTAGGAATGGGATTAGAGAAAGTGATAGGAACAGGAGCTGAGCTTGGATCGGCTATTAATACTTTTATGACTACGTAACTGAGGTGACACTTCAGCCTCCGCTGCTTCATATGTTTGAGTGCCGTTACGGCTGGTAAGTTTGTCACTTTTTTTCTTACTTACGAATTATTGTGGTCTACTACTATACATACAGATCTGATATCCAAAAGTCTTTATTATCCACTTGAAAACTACGAAAATTTTCTAAAAGATGTTTTATGATTTTCTTTTTGTGTTAAAGTGTCTCCCTGGCACTACTTCATTGGTTTGTGCTTCTGCGCTCGTGGTTTCGACCTGCAATGACCTATTGTGGATCCTAGCTGGCTTCTTTACATTGAATGTCTTTGGCTATGAATGACCGGCTTCCACGCTGCTTGCAGGTACATGATCCATTACATTGCATGATTGTTATAACATAATCTTGTACTTCTATTACCCTGAGGTTTATTTTGTTCCCAAATTGCTGCATGCCTGTCTAGAGTGAGAGTTAAAAATGGAACAAAATAGCCGGTTTTGAAAGTTAAGCTTCCTCATTTCGAAAATTCATTCATTTAAAGTGATTTTACGGAGGTTTCTCATTTAGTTGAATCCGCTTCTATTAAAGAATCATAGAAAAAAAGAAATTATTTTTTATTTTCGAACTTTTCTTCCTATTTCATACAATGCATCTGAAAGATCCATGGTCTATTTTCCTTTTCTCGCCATTGCCAAGTCTGATGAGAAAATATTATCTTCTACGTGCCTTCCTGCTACATTGTTACCATAAATCATAATGTTCCCTATCTTATTCACTTGTATATGATTACCTCATCTTCACACATGTTTCTATGTTTGTATTTTTCACCTTTTTGCATGGTCGAAGCCCCTCTATGGACAACACTATGATGAAGGTTAGAAATCTTTCTGGATGTAACAAAATATATGAAAATTACATTTAGTTTTGAATTGTAAACATTATACTATGATAAATCAAATACATAGCCCGCTTCGGCCGGGGGTTTACCCAGTGCGCACTTTCGGGTAGTGGCTGCGGGTTCCCACTTCATCCAAAAAAAAAATATATATATATATATAGCCAGCTTCTTGTATTTGAGATGTATATCATTTGCTCTTGATTGCAACTATGTTAAGTTTTGCCGAGTTTTGCTAGTTTATCGTACGCGTATCTGAATTGTGCAACATATCTTCATTGCTAAATGTTGAGTTGATCCACGGCTAGCTATATTGTTTTGGAAGCATATGTTCGGATAGTTCAGGTCGAGTACCCAAAAGTTTATATAATAATTAGGTCATAGGATTTGTTGCTATTGATATAGGCTTCCTAAAGTGCGCACAGCTCCAATAGTTCGAACCTTATACATGAAAAGTTCGGTTTGAGTTTGGGAGTTTAAATTTTTTATTAAAATAATATTTGGTGTGACATTTTTGTAAGAAAAAAAATATTTTTTTCATAAAATTAAAATACTAAAAGTCAGTATAAAAATTGAAAAATGAAGAAACTCAGACTTCTATTTAGTTATGCTTTGGAATAATATTGTGGTAAAAGTGCTAAATATGATCTAAATTGGTGTTTTGAATAAAAGATACACTTTCGATGTAATATTATATACATATATATATATATGATGTGATAATTTTAAAATTGTATCTATAATAACAAGTTGGTTAATAATTTTTAAACACATACTACTAACTTAATGTATAATATTTATAAAAAAAAATATTACTCTTTGTCCCATCTAATTTATCTACTTTAGTTGACAAGTAATTTCAAGTATCATGTAATTAATAAATAATTAAAAAATATACTAGTAAAAATAATTATAAATTAATATTAAGATACCTAAATAATTTAATTAAAATGAAATTAGTATATAAATTATAAATTTTAAAATATGATTAAAATGTATAATTATATTTAAAGAATAAGTAACAAATTATGTAGAACAATTGACAACAGACAAATTATAGTGCGTAGTAGCAGTTTTCAATGGCTCTGCTTAAAAAATATAAAATTTTATTTTTTACATAAAATTAAGCTTTGCTAAATAAAAATTTAGAGTGTGTGTTTTTTTTTTAATATAAAATTTGAATTTGAATTTTATATTAAAATAATATATAATATGATATTTTATAAAAATCCAAATAGTAAAATTAAAGGCTCTCAAACTAAAGAAACACATCTTCGAGTTTAAATCAAGTATTTGAAAAATATTTTAGAAGAGAGAATAGTTTGATACTAGCTTTAAAAATATGTTTCTTTTTGTAAAAAATCAGATTAAATAATATATATAGAAATAAATATTCTGTACCGTTGAGTCGCTCCAAAAATCAAAACGGCGAGTCACAAATCCTGAGGGTATTATCGTCATTGCGATTTGGTGTTCCTTTAAAGCTTCCAGATTTTTTATTCGCAAGACTGTTGTAGGCGGTTGCTTCGAGAGCATCTAGTAGCTTTTCCGGAACTTCAGTTTAGGATTCAGGTTCGCTTCCTCGATTCCTTGTTTCGTTATTGAGATCAGATGCTGTAGTATACGATGCTAATTTTTTTTGTTAATTGTTCGACTTCGCAATTATCTTTTGTCCGATCGTTTTCTCGATTTCTTTTAGTTTTTGCCGTGAAATTTGATCTAGTGTTTTACTGTGTTGTATGTTCATCCGTTGTTCCTGGAATTTCGATATCTTTCATTTTCAATTTCCTTGTGTACTAGAATTATTATATATGAAGTGTCCATGATGGGTGGTGTTTTCTCGTCTTCAGGCTTTTGGTTGGAAGAAATTTGATTCAAGATGTCCAAGATATACATTGGGAATTTGGACCCGCAGGTAACTGAACGCGATCTCGAGGATGAGTTTAGCGTGTTTGGAGTAATCAGGAGGTAAAAGTTCTACAATAAATTTATTTTGACAAGATTCAATATAGTGCATTTCGGATCTAATCGGTTTTGTAACATGGTTTCTGTTCCAAGAAACATGTACTTAATGCTTAATTTGTCGTTTACAGTTTTTGTTATCATGGTTTTGTGCGATGATATGCGGGCTTATTTTTATCTTATTTTCTGTTCCTATCTTTATAGCCTGTTTATTTATTATGTTCTTGGAATTTTAGTATTGGTATTGTGGATTAAACTTTGTGATCACAATTCAATTAAAATTTTTGTTTCGAGACTCCCTACATTATCCTGAATTAATGTACTGGATGGGCTAATGGAACATTTTCTGCAGTGTGGGTTTTCAGACACACTACTCGTTATGATTTCATTGATTTTGAAGACCGAAGAGATGCTGAAGATGCCATTAAACAATTTGATGGTAGGCTTTTTGATATTACATGCTTTGATATAATCGGTGCAAATTACTCACAGCGTATCTCATTGCTTATTAGCTTGGTTTTTTCTTGATGTCTTCTTGAATTTTAATTACCTAAATGTATGTTATCATTCTCATAAACACCATCTGTGATGTAATTATTGTTTTTTGGACTTTATTTATATATCTGCCTTACTGTGGAAAAGGAAAAAATGGATGGAAAGTTGAGCCATCTCATACGAATCGTGTTCGTGACCTTAAATGTTTTGAATGTGGTGAGCCTGGTCATTTTGCTCGTAACTGCAAAATTAAAGGTGGTTTTGAGAGACAGAGGACCCCCCCTAGGTACCGACGGAGCCCAAGTTATGGTCGAAGGTAATTCTGAAAAGGCTTACATTTACTTAATCTGCTTTATAAATTCAATCTTAGGGAAAGGGGAGAAAACTGATAAGCTGAGTATATACTAATATTTATATTAATCCTAATTCATAACAAAATTCCCTATGGGTGTTGATGTTCTGACAAGAGTTACAGTCCTCGTGGCTCTTCCCCTCGAACCCGCAGTTTGTCTCCCAGAGGTCGGAGCTACAGAAGGTCACCATCATATCGTTGATGAGATGAGGTGCCATATGCAACTGGGTAATTGTCTACATCTATGCATTTTTAGTTAAAAGTTTTCCTGATTACTTGTTCTGTTGATGAGATGAGATGCCATATGCAAATGGGTGATGTTCTATCCATTTCTTGTGTAATTTTTTCCTGGTTACTCAGTTCTCTCGGTGAACTGATTGATAAATCTTCAATATTTTAATATTTATTTCCAAGTTTGGTGTATTTAAGATTGAATGTCTGCTTAATTCAACAATCATAATTTGCATAGCCATCTTAAATTTATTCAATTTAGTTGGTTTAACTTGGATGGACAGGCTTTGTTTTTGGGCATCCCATTATTGAAACATGTTATTATGCGTAAGTGTGTGCTAGAAATCGGGATGCTCCGGGGTGAGCAGTGGTGTTCTACAGTATGCACTTTTGTCATAGAACAAAATACTTACATTCATCTGTTGAAAAGTTTGTTTGCTATAATTATGGTTTGCTGCTCTATTGACTTTGTATTTTTTATTTTTTGTTCTTTCATTTGCATCTGCTATCAGGAATGGGATTAGAGAAAATGATATGAACAGGAACTGAGCTTGGATCGGCTATTAGTAATTCTAGTACATCATAAAACCTTTAGTGTGTTCACGACTATGTAAGTGAGGTGACGCTTCAGCCTCCACTGTTGCATATGTTTGAGTGCCGTTATTGCTAGTAAGTTTGTCACTTTTTCTTATGCATACAGATCTGATATCCTTAAATCTTTATTATCCACTTGAAAACTACGAAAATTTCTAAAAGATTTTTTATGGTTTTCTTTTTTGTGTTGAAGTGTCTGCCTGGCACTGCTTTATTGGTTTCGTGCTTCTGCACTCGTGGTTTTGACCTATCGTGGATCCTAGCTGGCTTCTCTGCTAGAAGCTTCTTTACATTGAATGTCTTTAGCTATGAATGACCGGCTTCCACGCTGCTTGCAGGTACATGATCCATTACATGACTGTTATAACATAATCTTGCCCTTCCATTACACTGAGGATTATTTTGTTCCCATATTGCTGCATGCCTGTCTAGAGTGAGAGTTCGAAATGGAACTAAATAGCCGGTTTTGAAAGCTAAGTTTCCTCATTTCGAAAATTCTTTCGTTTAAAGTGGTTGTCACCGTTTAGTTGAATCCACTTCTATTAAAGAATCATATAAATAACATAAAAAACTTTGAACTTTCTTTTCCGATTTCATACAATGCATGTGAAAGTTCCACGGCCGATTTTCCTTTTCTTGCCATGGCCAAATCCAATGAGCAAAGATTATCTTCTACGTGCTTTAATTCCTGCTACATTGTTACTATAATGTTACCTATAACTTATTTGCTTGTGTATGATTACCTCATCTTCACACATGTCTCTATTTTTGTATTTTTCACCTTTTTGCATGTTCGAAATTCCTCTATGGACAACTTTGATGAAGGCTACAATTCTTTTTTGGATGTGACAAAATATATTCCATCTAGTTTTGAATTGTAAACATATAATTTGATAAATCAAATACATGTTTGGGATGGTTTATCATTTGCTCTTGATTGTAGCAATATTAAGTTTTTGCAAGGTTTGCTAGTATATCGAACATGTATATGAATTGTGCAACATTTTTTCATTACTAAATGCTGATCCATAGTTAGCTATATTATTTTGGAAGCATATGTTTTGATATATATGCTTCCTAAAGTTTGCATATGGGCGAATAGTTCAGGGTTCGAATAATTCATGTCGAGTACCCAAAAGATTCGGTAACAGTTAGGTCATAGGACTTGTTGCTACTAATATAGGCTTCCTAAAGTGCACCTTGTTTCGGTTGTTAGAATTGAATTTTAATTTGAATCTTTATTAAAATAATATTTGATGTGATATTTTGTAGAAAAAGAAAAAAAAAATCTTTTTGAAAGTCTCTATTTAATTATATTTTGGAATTATATGGTGGTAAAGGTGCAAAATATTATCTAAATTGATATTTTGAATAAAAAATATACTTTTCATGCAATACTTTTAATGAAATATATATTTTGTGTGATAATTTTTAAAAATATAATTATAATGAAAAGTTGGTTAATAATCTTTAGTGTTAGTTTGTCCATACTTAGCCTTTGATCCCATATGTGTTTTTAGGGTATGTTCTTACACATTTCTTTCAAAAATATACTTTTTAAAAAATAATTAATATATTATATATATTTATTATTTTTATATTATTTATACAATTTTATATACCTCACATAAAAATATATATATATATTTCTTCAAATATTTCCCTAGACAAACACATTACTTCTTTTGGGATTATAATTTTTAATTACTTTCAATAAGATATTTAAGCTGACATATTTTATAGTATAGGATATATATTAATTTTGGATTTAAGGATAATGTTGGATTTTAATATATTTGATAGTATAGAATTATATGAATTTGTATATTATTTTCATATTTAAAGAATAGTTTTGATAAAAAAAAAATAATAATAAAATAAAGGTATATCTATAGTTTTTGAAATATTATATTTAAATTGTTATTTATTATTAATAATTAAAACCAAATTGTCAAAGAAATATAGTTCCTATGGAATTGAATTCATCTCAACTTATGAAAAGAGGCTTCATAGAAATTAAATAAATTAAATTCAATCAACTTTCTTGAGCAATTTGTTTCGCAACTTTTGAGAAGCCCTTTTGCTATGTCTGTATCATTTTCTTGTATATTTAATTCGGATTGCAATGTGACTAATGTAGAAATTAAGGATAAGAAAAATATCTACAAGATCTTAAATATAATTGGAATTATTTTTCTAATGCTTCTAAATTAATAGCAGTGACTTCAAGTCAAAAGAGCCCAAAACTAAAGAAAAGCTGTCAGCTACAAATATAAACACATACTACTAATTTAATGTATAATATTCATAAAAAAAAATAATACTATTACTTATTTGTTGTAAAGTGGTTACGTGTCGTTTTCAATGGTTCTTGCTTAAAATGTATGGTTATATATTTTTATTTTTTTTATATATAAAATTAAGCTTCGTTTACATAAAAATTTAGGTTAGGTTTTTTTTTTTTAATAAAATTTTAAATTGAGTATATGAAAAATATTTTAGAAGATAAAATAGTTTGATACAAGCTTTAAATTTTTCGGAGAAAAACAGGATGTGTTTGATTTTATTTAAAATCAAATTTACTATAATTTTTAATAGAAATTATAAATTATTATTTAAATCAAAATTAATATATTTTTTAATTATTAAAAATAAAAATAAAAATTACAAAGTGAACTATTTCACCGCCAATAATAATAATAATTATTATTATTATTGGTTGTTCTTGTTGTTATTTTATTTTTTTATGTATATACGATGAAAATAAATTAGTCACACATCATCAAGAAAACAACAGTTAAATTCGTGTATGGAATATATTTAGAATATTCATTCAAAAAAGTTATGATCCCCACCTTTATTATTTATTTCTTAATATGACCAATATATAAAACTAATAAATCACACCCATCTTTAGAGAATATATTCCACTATTGAAGTTTAGTATTTATTTGTTTCTATAAATTTGAACTTAAAAAAATATATTTAATTAGATTTCTATATTAAAAGAATGGGGTTTTGTTTTTTTCCAAAAATTTTTTAACACATTTTTCTAAAAAAATAAAATAATATACCACACATATTCATTATTTATATATTATCTATGCAATTCTCTATATCTAATATTAAAATAATTTTTTTCAAATCAAAACATAAAACAATTACACCCGGAATAATTTCAACCAAGTCTTTATTTATTTGTTTTGTTTTTTCAAAATTTTATTTTATATTTTCATAAAAATATATAGTATTGGGACAAAAATCTAACATTTAATATAAAATATTATTTTTCAAACAATATTTTCTATATCTCCTATAAAAGCAAAATCAAATCAACTCATTTTAAACAAACAAATTTGTTATTTTTTTAAAAAAAGAAAAAGCTTGTTAGAAACAACAAGTATTAAAAAATAATAATACTAATAATATCTACCAAAATTTTTGAGAAAAAAATAAATAAATAAAATCATACTACTTGCAATTTGAAATGATTATGATACTAATTGCAATAATGAGAATAAAATAATAAGTAAATTACTTAAAATGGTGCTCACGTCGTCGGCGTACTTCCGGCAGAAGGGAATCACTGATTATTCCTCAGAAGCTCCGGGGAGTCGAGCACCAGATTGATAAAAGCCATGCGAACCCACCATTAATGGCGGAGATCCATCTGGCGCAGAGCTTCTAGAACCTCCGGAGACTCCCCTCCCCCACTCATTCAATATTTTAATTAATTACAGCTATGCCTTTTCGGTGATCCATTCATGAAAAAGTCACACAAAAACATCAGTCTCCACCACTTTCATTCGTCGCAGAGCTGTTTCTCGTTGATCGACTCGACTGTCTCCCCTCACAACTCTGCTCTTTGACGCATTCCTGAATGCGACGGCTGATTAGTATTTTTTTAATTGTTTTCAATATCCGGAAGGTATTGATTGGTGAATTGGCGTGAATTGTGAAATGGTTTATGCGAAGAGCCGGCCGAACTGATTCGAACTCGAATTGATGAATGTTGATGGAGAAGAAGTTCGTCGCCGTCGATTTCAAGGAGAAGCAAGTGAGGTAGGGTTTCGCGGTCAAATTGTTGCTGGTTTTTTTTTTTTTTTTTTTTCAAATTTTGTGGTTGATTGGTTGAAATTGTTATGGCGTTTTTAGGTTTCACAAGGAGGAGAAACGAAACATCGAAGCGTTTTTGGAGAAGACGGAGGTTGAGGAGCTACCTGTGTTCAAAATCTCGAGTTCCTTCTGGAGATCCGGCAGCGATAAGCTTCGTAAGTTTGTTGTGTTTGATTTAGATTCGATTTTCTATTGTTCAGATTAATTCTTTATTATTTCGTTGTATTATTTAGGTATTGATTTTATTATGAATAATACTCATGAAATTTCTATATAAAACGTAATATTGTATGCGACTTTGAAATGTGTTCGGAGGTCTCTAGATTTAGGATACCCGCGGTTGCTCTGTTGGTCAAATTTTCTTTTCAGTCTCAATAAAGTATATGTTCGGCCTTTGATAGATTTTATTTGGAGCCATTGTTTCGGAATTTTGTTTGTGATTCTAACTCCGTTATGATAATCTATTTTTTACTTTAATTTCTTTGTGAGTGAGTCCGTTTCCGACATTCCATTGTGAGCTTGTTTTGTTTTCGACTCTAACTATGTTACGAATGAATTTGTTTTCGGCTTTAATTCTATTCTGAGCGAGTTCTAATTTCAATTTTAATTTCATTACGAGCGAATCTCATTTTCAACACTATACTTATTACTGTGTCCCATTTCCGACACTTATTCAATTGAGGGTGTGATCTGTAGTCGGACGATCTTGGCTATGTCATCTTTGATTTATTTTATTTTATTTTATTTTTTTGCTAATTCAACACCATTTGACTCTGAAGAAGAATATTGATCTTAGTTTATAGTTTATATTAAATTTTGATTATCTAAATTAAATTGTTATTATTAGCTATATTCATAATATTAGATTGTTATTATTTAAGCTATCTTTTGCACTTATTTATAGCTCCTTAATTTTATTATTAAGAATATGCATCTCAGAAATTTCTCCAAAATGCAATAGGAGGGAGGTCTCGCGTGTTCCCGGAAGAAGGCGTCGAGCCGAAGAAGAAGACAGTGCTCGATCCAGGAAGCGGAGCGGTGTTGAGATGGAACAGAGTGTTCCTATTTTCATGCTTGCTAGCACTTTTTGTGGATCCTCTGTTCTTCTACATGCCTTCGGTGACGAATCAGAGCAATTCGTCGTCGTCGTGTATGAGGGTGGATTCGAATATAGCGATTGTGATCACGTGCTTCAGGTCGATTGCAGATGTGTTCTATATGCTGCATGTGTTTGTGAAGTTCAGAACTGCTTATGTGTCTCCTAGTTCGAGAGTGTTCGGCAAAGGCGAGCTTGTTATGGATTTGAATTTGATTGCCAGGAGGTATTTGAAGACGGATTTCTTCATCGATTTCATTGCAGCTCTGCCTCTTCCTCAGGTATGATTCTTCTGTTTTCCTTTATGTTTTGCCTGTGGTTTTGGTTGATTGATTGTTTTTGAAATCTGTTTGGTGTTCAGATCTTCTAGCTATAAAAATTACTCTGATTGAGATTTTTGTTCAGGGTGTGTTTCGATAGGAAAAAAAAAAATTGAATCAAAATAATTATATTACATGATGTATAAATTGGATTCCAATAAAACATAGCTAATGTTTGGTAGATTAAAGTTCCTCTTGTCTTAGCTCAAGTTCGAGCTAGGAGGTATACATTCAGCCCCTCGAAAATTTGGACTGTCGTACAGTTTATTAGGCCGATTTTGATCTACATTTTTATATATGTAATTTTTATATGATAGTACCTGGCTTGGCTGTCACATCAATCGAACTGGATAATCGAATCTTTAGGTTCTTGTGTATGTTTTTTAATCGTCCTTGATTTCCTAATTTTCCGCAACATCCCCTATTTATGTATTTTTCTTTTAGAGAAGTACATCCAGCATTGGGAAATTTTAATTTCTTGTCTATAAATTGGATCAGTGTTAACTACTACTTATTATATATGTTGATTGCAGATTGTTATATGGTGCATATTACCAGCAATTAGGAGCACACACTCTGATCACACCAACAATGCCTTAGTACTCATTGTCCTCCTACAATATGTCCCCAGATTATATCTTATTTTCCCCTTAAGTTCCCAAATTATCAAAGCCAACGGCGTCGTCACAAAGACCGCCTGGGCCGGCGCCGCCTACAATCTGCTGCTCTACATGTTGGCGAGCCATGTAAGTCGAGGCATGAATTTGTTAGAATTTTAGGGGTCAAACTTTGTTTTAAGTTGGTTAGTCTGCTTGTTCGATTGTTTGTTCGAGAATATGAACATAATTGGACTGTTTTTTGCTGTTTTGTAGGTGTTAGGCGCGTCGTGGTACTTACTTTCGATTGAGAGGCACGCGACATGTCTGAAATCAGCTTGCAACGATGAATCCAAGATGTTGAACTGCTCCCTCGAGTTTTTGGACTGTCGAACTTTGGGAGATAGCGGGAGAGTGAAATGGTTGAACGTCACGAATGTTTTCGCTAATTGCAATCCGGATAACACGACATATTTTGATCATGGGATATTTGGAAATGCTGTTGCCAAGAACGTCGTATCCTCGTCTTTCATGGAGAAGTACTTCTACTGTCTCTGGTGGGGTTTGCAAAACTTAAGGTATGTCGTGGTGCTCCATATTGAACGTTGTGCGTGTTTCTTTTGAGTAGTTCGATTTTTTGAAAAGAAATATATATATATATATATTTTATTCTCGTAAAATATCACATTAAATATTACTTAAATCAAAAGTTCAAACCTCCAAACTTAATCCAAACTGAAAAGAAACAATGTGCTAGTTAGGGAGCTAATTAACACATACAAAGTAGACAGACATTACATAGCTTTTGTTAACTGAAGGTATATGTTGTCAATTCACACTTTATAGTTGTGTTGTTTTTATATATTTTATGTGTTTAGTTCAATTATAGTATTTGTTTCATGGATTTGTATTATATTACCATTTATACTCCATGTGCTGTCGGTTATATTTCATTTTCTATCAGTACCTACTGATTAATCTTCTCCTAGCACATCAACTGCCTCCTAGATGAAAATAAGTCGTTCGATTCACCGATTTTAGCACAAGAAGCTTACGTCGTTGTGTATCTTTTTATACTACAGTTCTTACGGTCAATCGTTGGAGACGAGCACTTTTATTGGCGAAACTATGTTCGCTATACTCATCGCTATATTGGGGCTCGTTCTCTTTGCTCATTTGATCGGCAATATGCAGGTATGTTTACGAATCCTTAAAATCTCACGGGAATGTGCTGTAATATTTTTGAAGAAAGCGCCTTAGCGCATTCTAATCGATCATTTTCTTCACCGGCTAATTGTTTTTTTATTGATGCAGACATACTTGCAATCCATAACCGTTAGGCTGGAGGAATGGCGAGTTAAGCGGCGAGACACTGAAGAGTGGATGAAGCATCGGCAGCTCCCGGAAGGGCTACGACAGCGTGTGAGACGGTTCGTGCAGTACAAGTGGCTAACCACGAGAGGAGTCAATGAAGAATCCATCCTCCAGGCACTGCCTAAAGATCTCCGCCGCGACATTCAGCGCCACCTATGCCTCGACCTCGTCCGTCGGGTAAGAATTCTCTCTGTCTGTTGTTTTAGTTCTTCAATATAATATTTTATACCACATATTTATACCTTTTATGAAAGTTTTAATATAATATTTTATCATATTGATGTTGTACTGAAAATTTAATATACCCAAAAATAGGTATCTGCATATACCATACCCTATTGATAATTCGGTATGTTAAATTGGTTGTACGGTATCAAAATATTATTTTATATTAAAATACTAAAATTAAAAGTAGTTTATAATTTTGAAAAAAAAAATACTCCATGAAACATTTTTTAATATCTCTTGTGTATTTTTTTTATTATAATACTCCCTCCAGGGTTACGTGATCCTTTTGTTATAAATACTGTATTTTAGATACTATATTTCAATAATATATATAATATTATTTTATAAATAATAAAATTTTATATAATACAAATAAATAAATAATAACTATTTATCTATAAATAATTTTATAAAAAATAAAAAATTAAAGAGAAATAAAAATATTTATATTAGGAAGAAATAAAAATAAAAAAATTTTGAATAGATTCTAATTGCTTAGAAATTTAATTTAATTGATTTATATTTGTTAATAATATTTAAAATTAAAAAAATTATTTAAAAAAATTATTCAGCTGACAAAAAAATAAAAGGGAAAATCATTTGTTGGTGAGACGGAGGAGTATTATGTTTTCGAAAAAGTTTGCCAAACAGCAAAAATGTTTCTAAGTTGTCCTAAAATTTTCAGGTGCCATTCTTCTCCCAAATGGACGACCAACTCCTGGACGCCATATGCGAGCGCCTCGTATCCTCCTTAAGCACTTACGGCACGTACATCGTCCGCGAGGGCGATCCCGTTAACGAGATGCTCTTCATAATCCGGGGCACCCTCGAGAGCTCGACGACAAACGGCGGTCGAACCGGCTTCTTCAACTCCACCACTCTCCGCCCCGGCGACTTCTGTGGCGAAGAGCTCCTCGCATGGGCTTTGCTCCCCAAGTCCACCCTAAACTTGCCGTCTTCCACCCGCACCGTCAAAGCCCTCAGCGAAGTCGAAGCCTTCGCGCTCCGGGCCGAGGACCTCAAATTCGTCGCCAACCAATTTCGACGACTCCACAGCAAGAAGCTACAGCACACGTTCCGGTATTACTCCCATCACTGGCGGACTTGGGCCGTGTGTTTCATTCAAGCCGCGTGGCGACGACACAAGAAACGAATGATGGCGCAGAGTCTCAGCATGCGAGAGTCGTTTTTGTTGTCCCAATTACAGGACGATGAAAATGCGCGGGAAACGGGCGATGTTGCCGATGACGGAGAATTCGAGAATTCGTCGAAACATTTGGGAGTTACGCTATTGGCCTCAAGATTTGCAGCTAATACTAGAAGGGGTGCTCAGAAGATTAAGGATGTTGATCTGCCTAAGCTGCAGAAACCCGAGGAGCCGGATTTCTCGGCTGACCCCGACGACGACTAGGCGCGTTTCGGGGGGGTGTTCGACAGACCAGTTAGTCATTTAATCTAATCTATTGTGAAATATTCGTTGCGCGAAAGCATGCGGTGACTATTTTTATATGTTAGAGTGGCGGAAATTTTGTACAGGAAATCAATGGAGGGGTCGGGATTCGACCTTTTCCATACACCTTTCATGTTCGACGCTTTAAAAAAGCTCGATTCAGTTCAAACTTTTCTTGTGCATAGGTAACACATGTTTCATTCGAATGCATAGGAACTTTGTTAAATATATAACCTGTCTTCATGCTTATCTGCTTATGTATACAACCGACATAAAATATTAATCAACACATAGATCGTACGACTGATACTCATTGATTTCAGCACATGAGATATATTCATAAAGCTCGAATCTACGCTTTAGATCGAGTTTCTAACATAGGAAAGATATATATATATATATATATATGCAGTCAAGGTGTTTCATTTTTGGTTCTTGAAGTCATAAGAAGGTACAAAAATGTACATAGGATACAAAAACACGAGCTTTTGATAGTTAAAAGGTCGGGTCTACTTTGGCAATCAAATTCGCAATCGGGAATTTTCTATGCAAGAAATGGATGCTCTAGTTCTTGAAAAGATGTCGCCTTAATGTATAATCTTTTGATCGAATTACGGGATAAGGAAATAAAGTTTACCGGCAATTTAGTTGGCGTTGAGGGCCTCAAGTTGCCGTTTCAGATCTTCGAGGTCATCAATGGTGGTCGTCGGTGTTGTTTTGTTTGAAACAGGCTGTGTATCGAATTCATCTGCACTCGGGAGCTCGTGAACAAGGCCTTCCGGCAGAGCACCTGTGAAGTAACATTGGAGCTCTAAATTGAAGATCGAATTTCAATTGAAAAAAGAGACACGGGATAGGAAGATTATAACAACCTGAAGTGGTGCTCGAGCCTCCTGGTACATCGATATCATCGACAACACTGAACCACAAGAAATGTGAGAAACCAACTACTCGGCGCAAGAAGAATTTATATTTACAATTGCTCAAAATGATCACCTTATATTCCATTCGTTGTCTTCGTGGAGGCATTCGAGTTCGGGTGGTTTTTGCGCTTCCGTATTGGCTTTAGCAGCAGCGTCCCTCGCTGGCTTTGCAAGATTGTATTCTTTCTGCTCGACAAAAATATATATATAGATTTATATATATATTTGTAATAAAAACTTTCGAAGGAAAAGACTGCACGAGGCTTTGGTTTTTACCTGTCTCTCCAAACAAGCGGCATTCGAACATTGAGGATTCGGTTTCATTGCCATTGTTGGAAAGAAATCGTTGAGGGAATTGTAACCCTAAGTTCAAGAAAAATAGTATAATCACGATCAAGACCATCGAGCAAATGTGTGCGCGCACACAGGCATATGAGATATATATATATATATACCAAATAGGGCGTAACATTTCCGAACTTCAGCAAATATTTCAATGCATTTTGAACAAGAAGCCCAGCAACAACTCCCTTCAAGTCAAATTAGGCAAGCATAAATAACAAAAAATTCGAGAGGCTAAAATAAGGCTGAGGTAGATAATGCCTACCATTGTAGTCGGCAAAGATGCTGCACACACCCCTTCACGCTTTAGTGTACGTTCATCAATTCCTGATGCTACAACCTAAGAATACCGCGATAAACAAATACTAAAGACCGAAACGAATCTGGGGTGCAAAAATTTTTTTATGTAGTGAAACTTCAAACAATGTATAGTGATCAATGTGGTTGTTCGATTAAGTATTAGTACTGGTAAATCAGAAGACTAATATATTGAGGCGAATACATCCATTTTTTAGAGGAAATAAGCTTTAAAGTGGACGTACCAAGGGTGGCGCACATGCAAAGCAAGCAGTTTCACCGGGGACCAACAACTGTATATGGCCAGAAACAGCATTCTCGGATACACCTGTGCAAAAGCATCTCACATTATTTTCTTGCATAGCAATAATGCACGATCACTTTCATCCAATCGAACGTAAATCATAGACCGTGTGTGTTTAATGCTTTAAAGATTAGGAATATACAAAAATTATGAAACGAATGTATTTGATTCGACTGTTTGTGTATCTCTTTATATGCATAATATCATAGTATGAAAATTGCGAAATTTCGTAACGGAAGCAGTATCATTACCAGACTCCATCCAGGTTTGGTTTAACTCATTGCAAGCCTGCAAACAACACCACGTGCGAATTAGATAACGGCCTAAATTAAAGCTTTCTTATCTGCTTCTAGAACACTAAACGATAAAGGTATCAATCAAAACAAGTAGCCAAATGTATGCTGTGATAATAGCTTCTTTTTTTTTTTTTTGACCTGATTTACCACCATCCTTGCTTCATAATTGTCCACACAGCTCAAAACAAGATCAATTCCAATGCCCTCTTTATCCGGACGAAACGATTTGTTTTTTAGACTAGACACGAACGTCTCGAAGCCTTGTACTGTTGTGATGTTCAGTGTATAACTCTGATCACACAAAGAAATTTATTAGCATTACATACACCACAGAAAGCTACCACATATAATTTATAACGCTATCGCAGGTAGAGTTATTTCTATACGTTACCTCTAGCACAACATCCGGATTTATGTCGGACAAAGTTTGGACAGCAGCATCAGTCTTAGTCATGCCGGCCTTGAAATGGACAAAAAAACAAATGTATTATGCAATAATTATAGCAAGTAGAATGACTTAAACGAGAGTCTAAATACATTGCACCGATAAAATTGAACCAAAAAAATGGAGAAAGTAATTTAAGTACAAGAATTTCTCCTTCCACAGACCACTATTCTTTATTTCTACGCCTTTATCTAGAAGGATAAATGCAATTAACTACAAAAATATCAAGACAACTATTTTCAACTTTTGGATCAAAAGTATCAATATTTCACTTCCATAACAAAATACGTTGATGGGTCGACTTAAAAATAGATAATATACAATTAGTGCACCTGCTCTGGACGGAAAAAAAGCCTATTCATGTTAGCTAACTCCACTTTATCATAGTCATACAACAAAAGGCGGCCAATTCCACACCTTGTTAGCATCTCAGCTGCCACGCTCCCTACACCACCTATACCCTGCACAGAAAAGATAATATATGAGGCTAATGTAGAAAGAGCAATATCATTAACATGTCTTGCACAAAGATCTGATGGATCCATAAATCAAATATCAACTTGGAAGTTAGAATACAGTGAACCATGGACAACAACAATAGAAATTTCCATATAGAAGACAGATCAGATCTCCAAGGAACCTACGGTTATGTCGATCAATATGAGTAAATGTCAAAGTATCTTACTCAAACCATTTTCTGCCGTTCACAAAATGCACATTGCACAACAATGCTGGAAATATATGAACCTAAATAACAAATCTAGCCACATAGGAGACAGATCAGATCTCCAAGGAAGCTACGTGGACTAAATAGAAATTTTATGTAGATCAATACAAGTAAATGTCAAATTATCTTATTCAAGCCATTTTCTGCCGTTGACAAAAATGAGCATTGCATAGAGATTGTAATCAGCCACTAATTTTACTAGAAATGAAACTTCTTCAGAGAGAAGTTACACACTTACAACAATGGCAACCGAAAACTCCCGGATTTTTTCGTAGTTGTTCACTATACCCATCCTTTGAAGCGCCATAAGCCTACTGTAAGGGTTGCTATCAACAACCTCAGTGCTCATATTCTGCATTGCAATATTTTCAATGTCAAATTGCTTCGATTCAAAAAATTACACCAGATAATTAGCTAAAATAATAACCTTAATCTTGGATCGATGCAAGCTGCTAGACTTTTCCATTGTTGAAAGATTCTCAGCACGCGATTGAATCTGCAAAGACAATAGGCAGGCAAGCACCATTAAAAATACTTGTATAAAACAACATAGATTCCCAATCATCATAACCATGTGCTTCAATGACAGCAAATTGATAGAACCGAACTGCATGCGGAAGAACATGTCCAGATTCGAAGCAAAAATCCTAACGACAGCTAACCTACATTCACTCGGTAAGAGAGCTACGTAAATTAAATGAATCTGTTTGTGAACTCTATCTACGAAACTTTGCTAGGTAGTTTAGCAAAAATAGGAGCACCAAACCAGAAATGATAAACAGTGCAAGATCAAAGGCAAAACCTAACATACTCAGATCAACTGGATCAAAACTGCACAGAATTATTGACAGTAAACGAACTATCAAAATTTACCTTGTCAATTGAAGCTTGATGAGACGGATCGGATAAAGAATCCTTCAGACTACGAAGATCATTCAGCAAAGATTTCAATTCCGCCTCCATCCTTTCCTGGACAAAAATACGCGCTTCAGATGAATTCAACCTTTATCAATCTCGAATCAACAGAGAATTTCGCTTTCCCTAGCGTCGAAATGAGGGAATCCTCGCCGGATTGGGATCGGAAAATTTTAATTTAGGGTTTTAAGGTTTCCCCTCATTTGGAATTGGAAATGGGTTTTTTCTCAGACCGGTGTTGAACGATAATGAACCGGAAACGGTCCATTGCGTAGATATGGCCAATCAGAAGGCTCCACGTCTGCAATACTACTGAAGTGTAGGGCCGGAAGGTAATAAATGTAATAAAAAGGTATTATCATAATTCAATTAAGCAAATTCGGTATTGTTGTCTATTTATTGCAGGATAAGGATTTTTAAAAATTTTGTAAAAGAGTAAAAATTTTATATTTGATATATTTTGTTAAAAAAAAAAAAAGATTTTATGTGATTTCTTAAAATTTATAGTGTATATATATAGTATCAAAAATGTATGTTTTAATCTATATGAATGAGGTTGCTTGTGGTTTTTATTAGAAATATTATACAAAAATATATATAATATAATATAATATATATTTTTGTTATTTATTTAAAAAATAATTACACCACTCACAGTAACAAGAGGATTGTGTCCGTTTTTATCAATTTCATATATGATTTTTCAATAAAAATATAGTAATTATTTTTATAAAATATTATATAAAATTATTTTTATACAAATTTACAAATGGAAATAATTTTTACTATAACAGCCCAAACAAACCAATAATTAAAAGTAGATACTAAAGTTATAATTAAAATTACTTTTAGAGGTGCTTTTATACAGCATAATGGAATAATTGAATAAAGAATGAAAATTAAATATATATATTCCCTCTGTCCCGATATAAGATTGTTGTTTATTTTTTGCACGTAAATTTTTTAATATTAGTATTATAATAGGTTGTAGTGAAAAAGACGAAAATACCCATATTAGTATGATGTAATATAAAAGTAATGACATTTTTGTACTATAGTGTAAGTTAGAAGAGTATTTATTATATTAAATGAGTAGTAAAATTACTAAATTAGTAAATGATAACCTTGTTTTGGGACGGACAAAATTAAAAAATTGCAATCTTTCAATGGGACGGAGGGAATATATATATTTTTATAAATATCATATTAAAATTAAGTTTTTATTAAAAAAAATAAGTATAATCTTTATAAGTGTACAATTAAAAAATATATATATAATTCTTTTCCAATAGAGTATATTGAGTTGGGATTAGATATCAAATATGAATTTAATGTTACCGAATTGGGTAATAATTTTTTATTTTTTTATGATTATCTTCATATAATGCAGTTAGATAATGTTAAATTAAATTTGACATCCAATAACACATTATTCTATGTTCAATATTTTGACACTTATAAGTGGCAATGCCACTAAACATATTTGTTTATATCCTTTCAAGAAAATATTAGATACCAATGTTCTCACTTACCAATTTAATATATTTTTTTTGTTATTAAATTATCTAAAAATATATCACCACATCATCAATATGTCACACCACTGAAATAAAATGATTAAATAATTGCCCATTTGTATTAATTAGTTATGCTCAAAACACAAGGCATCATTATGTCATATAACAAGTTTTTTTTTTTTTTTTTTTTAAAAAAAAAAACATTTCTATTATAATTTTATTGCGTAATAATATTATTATAATTATTTTATATAATACTCCCTCCGTCCCACGTACCATGTCAGCAACGCTGTTTCTGTCCGTCCCACATTCCATGTCAGCAACGCTATTTCTGTCGGTCCCACGTTCCATGTTACTTTCTTTTTTTGAAAAATTATTACACACTTTAATCTCATTTTAAACTTTTTAATTTTTTTTTAAATTTTAATTAAACTAATTAGTTATCTTAATCTTAATTTATAATTATTTATATTAAAAGATAATTATTTCACTAATATATTCTTAATTATCTACTAATTACACATCTAAAATACTGTATCTACAGTGTAGGACAGACACGATATATGGAACGGAAAGAATAATAAATAAAGTATTGGTTAGTCGTTAAACTTTTTATTGTGTTTAATATATTAAATAAAGACTATAAAATTTGAATATAAAAAATTAACAAAGTAAATTTTAATTTAAATTACAAAAATAAAACTAATTATTAACTTTACATAAAAAAATATATATATATACAATTGAAACTATCAAGATAAAATTAAAATATTATAAATCAAATAGTGGGAAATGCCCTTTTTGTCCAATATAAATAAAATAATGAGTAACCATTTATTAAAGGGAGAATTGGTACAACAATGAACTTTGCAAGATTCCTAATTGTTAATTATGCATTGTTTATTGGGTTATATCTATTGTTGTTTTTATTATCTCTAAATTAATTCTTTGATGTTGTGTTTCACTTTTGGGGTTATTCATCATATGCCTTTACATTTGCGATTAATCGTTTTTCATACTAATTAAATTCTAAAATAAAATTTATAAATTTGATATATAATGTTATATTTTCCCATGTTCACAATTATAAGTATTTTTTTTTTTTTCAAAAATTTTGTTTGTCAAATAGACTTGTTTAATCATTTGAACACTATTTCTTCTTATTCATTATTTATTATTTATAATTGTTTTTATATATTATATATTAAATAAATTATAATTCAATATAAAATATTATTTTTTATTTTACTGATATATTTCTTTGTACCTAAAAAAATATATATATTAAATTAAATATACAAAACAAACACACCATAAGTTCATATCTCTACTCCAACAATCATATGATCATTTTTATTTTTTTATTTTATTTTTCAAAAAAAAACAATTCAATATATATTTTAATTACAAGATGTTGCAAAAATACAACAAAATATATATATATACATAAACAGTTGATATATTTCAAATTTTAATGATAAATTTTATTATAATAATAATGATGATGATGACACGACAGACATCCATCTCTTTAGCTCTTCAAAAATAATGCAAGATTAACTAAAAAAGAATAATTACGTTTTATCAAATACATATATACCAATTATTGAATTCCTTAATTAAAATGTAACAATTATTTCAACACTATCCTTGCTGGCCTATTATATATATAGGAATAATAGTAATTTTTATATCGTGCATGGAAGAATGTTAGTTGAAAAGTTTATGCTTTTATATTCATGAATATATATATATATGTATAATATTAATAATTTTCAAAATATCTATATATGAATATACTTAAAATTGGATTTTATCTTATAAGAGCTTGGACGTAATATTTTATTAGATAAAAGAATATATTTTTTTTTATAAAAATTACAATTAATATTATATTTCATAATAGGAATGAAATAAAATATTCTGTCCATCCAACTTATTGAAAGATGACATAATTCTCCATAAATATTATTTTGAAAAAATAAAATATATACATTTTAACGCAATATCCATAATATATGTACTCTATTCACAAAAAAATAAAACGTCAAGTATTCAATAATTTCTTTTTTAATATTACCGATATGATTTTTCATACTTAATGTAAAAAATACATTTATAAAAGAATACAAAATGAGATGAACTGAGCCTACGTATAAGAGCAATTGTTTTTTAATGTGGTTGGATAAAATCGTAGTAATAATTAACAAAAGAACTATTTTATTATTATATAATTAATTATTGATTATGTAATATAATTAAACAACTAATTACCCATCAGCAATCCACCACCCTACATTATTGTCAGTAGAACTTTTCTTGCAAAATATATAATTGTTATCTTTTATAATATTTATTTAAATAAAGTTATTATTTTCATATATGCTGAGAAACATTACTATATGTACATATATGAATGGAATCCAAACCTTAAAATAATTTCACGTAGAAGTGACAACATTACATTTGCAGAAATAATTTGATTCCACAAATTAAGAAATGTATAATTAAAAATAAAATAAAATATCACATTTAGGCAGCCAAACATATGCCAGAATCAAAATTCAATAATCCACGTAAATATTAAAATTATTAAATTAGTAAATAAATATTTGGCTATAATAAAAGATTCATTCATATTAAAATCCTGCTGTTGCCAGTTCAGAATTTGGCTTTTCAGCCACAATTGTATTTAACCTAATTATTATTATTATTATTATTATTATTGAGTCATTTTTACTAAAAAGCAAAAACAAATAATACCCAAGAAGATCAGTCCATCGGAATGAATATTATAATTATTAAAAGCACAATCCTAACTTTAAAATTACTATTCAATAAGTAAATGATCTCATGCAAAATGAAATAATAATAATAATAATAAGAATAATAATAATAATAATAATAATAATAATAATAATAATAATGACAGTTTGGATAGCACGTACTCTCAATTATTACATGTTTTAAAATAGATTTTTTTTTATCCCCCCAAAAAAAAAAAAAAAAGAATTAATACGTTAACTAAAAATTAACATTAAATTTGCATAATACAATAATGAATTTGAAATGCATTTAAAATATTTGTATAAAAATTTGTGCATGGGTCGATTCTTTTGAGCAAAGTCGATAATTTGAAAAGAACAACAGCAAAAATTAATAAAAAATGTATTTCTATTAATAGATTTGTTCGGTTTACATATTATGGGGTTCTTTTCTTTATAACATAAGCTGTTTTATTATTATTATTATTATTATTATTATTGTTATTATTATTATTATTGTTGTTGATGTTGTTGTTGTTTAATCTATATAAAATTAATAAAAAGATAATATATTATTTAGTTTTCTAAAATAATACTCCATCCGTGATATATATATGATTTCTTTTTGTTAGAGACAGTTATTTTGATAGTGATATTTTAAATATTTTTAATAGTATATTTCAATAAAATATATATAATATAAATATTATATTCTAAAAAATAAAATTTTATATAATACAAATAAATAAAAATATATATTTATTATTTATATTTAAGTTAAAATTAATTTTATAAAAAAATAAAAAAAATTAAATATAAATAAAAATATTCATTTATTAAAAAAGATAAAATAAATAAATAAATTGGTCGTACTAAAAAATTAGTAATTTAATTAAATTAATTTATAATCAAATAAAAAAATCAAACTCAAACATAGATCAAACAAATCTTATGATTGTATTCATTTTGTGTTTATGAATTAAAAGAACTTTCCTGTCAGTTATAAAAATTGTAAAAGTTATTCACTATGTTGGTCATTTGAGATTTTATAATATATTAAAAAATAATATTATTTTATTGAATAGTAAAAGTGTGCAAAAAAATTTGATATTTTTAACATTATACTTTATATATAAAATAATTGTAAATATAATGCTATATTTGTAACTTAATTACGATGTATAAAGAGTAAAATATGAATATTACAAAAAATTAACTCCAAGTTCCACGTTAGAAGACTAGAAGAAGAACTACATTTACAAGTTTCACAAAAACTCAGTAGTATGATATATTTTTAAAAAAATCTAAACAAATCTATGAGGAATCATTTGAGTTGGTGAAGTCCTAAATTAAAGCGAGAGTAATAGACAATAAAAAATAAAAATAAAATCTAACATTCTAATTATATCAAATTTATATTTTTTCTTTATCGCAAAATATCATATTAGATAATGATTTTTTATTATCCATAAATTTTCCAAAATCCCAAATCTGTCAAAAGTTTGTATATACGCAGCGTTAGATTTTTTCTGATAATTTATTGTCATCGACTACAACTACTTTTCATCGACTTACCAAAACGACAAAATTGCTCCTAACACCCTCAATTAATAGATATCAACATCTAAACCACCCCCCTCTCTCTCTATATATAACTGCATTGCCTTCGTTTTCTTTCATCAAAGCTTCTGTAATCTCTTCTGAACCGCCACCGGAGCACCTCATATTGACGCCATCGCCGCCGCTTCCATTCCTCAAGTGAATCACCGATCGATTTTAATTTTCAATTCAACCGACAGCGCCAGAGTCGAATCAAAATGAGACCGATTCGCTTCTCGTTTCACTCACGAGCAGTATCCAAAGTTGCGGGGATTCAATTCGTCTACGCCGCGCCGCCGCCGCCGGGAATGGAACACTCTCCGTGGCGCTCGCCGGTTCCGTACCTATTCGGAGGCCTCGCGGCGATGCTAGGGCTAATAGCCTTCGCGCTCCTCCTCCTCGGCTGCGCTTACTGGAAGCTCTTCGGCGGCGAGGAGATAGACGCTGCGCGCGACGGCGCCGTCGAGGAGAAGAGTGAGAACAGCTCCGATGCGAAGGAATCCTCTTCTTTCGAGGATAAGTTTCTGGTAATTATGGCTGGGGATGTTAGACCTACTTTTTTAGCTATTCCTGCTTCGCCAAACAGAGCTTCTGTATGCGAAAATTCAATTCAAGCTACCAGTAGAGAGCAGGAAAATCCGATTCCGAAAAATCAAAACGAGATTCAACAACAAGCAATAACAATCCACGAGAGCGGCGAATCATCTCAGGAAAATTGAAAACCTATGATTCCGGTCAGATCACTCTGCTCGATTTTGTGAAACTTGTGATTTATACAATATGAGTTATTTTTGTTTCAAAAAAATGCTCCTCCTGCTTAATCTGCATTGATATTCGGTTGAATCATTATCATAATTAGATCGTGGAGTATAGTATAAGTTAATTTTTTCAAACAAATTTCTCGTGCTGTTCCTGCTTAATTTGCATTCTTCGGTTGATTCATTATTGTAATTAGTTCCCGGAGTATAGTAACATAGCAAAATTTTATAATGAATATGCATGCGTCTTGTACTTCTGGCCGGAGTTGGTTCGTGCTTACCCCCGGGGGGTGGGGTAGGGTATAGGGTAGGGTAGGGGGTGGAGTGCGTAGGACCTACCCACCCACAGGAAGGAAAGCATGCATAGTTTCTCAAGTTTTTTGTTGTAAAATTCACTTTTGAGCTGGAAATATGATAAATTCATGCTTTGGTTGTGTGCCTTTTTGGGTTCATTAATCAAAGGTCTAATTAAATCAATAATTGTATTCTCTCAACAAGTCCGGTGGCGCAATAACTTCAAAATTAAACCTCTAGTTATTTAACCAAATTAATTCCCATTTAGTGGATATTGTTATTGCCTGCTTTAGCAGATATGATCATTGATTGTGTATAAACGGATAAAAAAACATATGGCATTCCGTACGGTGACTTTTGTATTTGTTTCCTTCTTTGAATTTAAAATTTCTTTAATTGAAAATTGAATTTTGTATGTGACATGCAGTGTTCTCTTAATATTATTTTTCAATTGTAATTTTTTAAAAATACTAATAATAAATACAAAACCAAAAATTCAAATTATTTCGGTGTAAAAAGTCAAAAAGTCATTATAAAAGTCAAAATATCAAATATTCAGTTAAAATCAATCTATTCACTCAGCATTTTTTCAATAAAAAAATAGAAATATATACACACATTAATATAATATATATTAATCACTTAATAAAAGTCAAACATAACACAAAGGAACATATGAATATGTTTTATATGTACTATTTCTAAATATAAATGTAGTAATGTCAGTTAAATTATACATTATATATTTATAGTAATTTTTTTTTTACTCAAAGTTAAATATTTATAGTTATTTTAATAAATAATAATCAAATTGTCACTATTTTTAAAAATTTTCTTTTACTAATTATTCTATTTCTTTTATTAATTTTTTAATAAAATTTTCATAATACTTTTACTTTATCTTTTATTTATTTTACTTTTTTATTACAAATGTTATATATTTTTTACTCTTCCTGTCCAACTAAACAAGTATAAACATAGCAGACCAGAAAAATAAGTTTTTATTCGAATCCATACATGAAAACAATGATACAATAATAATCATTCAAACATTAATATACAATGTAACTTTACAATATTTGATTTATTTGTTTTATATTTTAAATACAAATCAAAGTTATTGATAAAAATATATTATTGTTCTTCCAAAAATAACTTATCAAAATACATTTCAAATAAAATGTAATTTAAATCTAAGCCAAATAAACAATTCAGCTCTTATGATGACCGGCATGATATATTTGTATCTATATATAAAGCACCATAGTAATAAAATTATAATAGGACAACACATTTTTAAATATTGAAGTAAAATAAAATCTTCTTTTTGTTTGGATTAGATATTAAATTAATAAAGCTAAATCCGTAATGAACCATTATACCATGTCTAAAAAAATATTCTCAATATATTTTATTTCCAAAAAAAAAAAAGAAAAATTGATTCCACATCAAATTATATTACATTTAATTTACATATACTATAATATTCCAATATAAATTTTGAATTGAGATTCTCAAAAAACAATAATAAAGAATCAATATTTTGTTTAAAAAAAAGTCAAAGTTAAAAAAAAAACTTCAAATTTTCATTTTAAAAAGTCAAATATTTTCGACGTTGAAGATATAAGAGATTTGAACTTATGATTTAATCATTAGGAGTTTATGGTAATCCCACACCACCACGAGGTCATTTCTTAAGGGACCAATTTTTTTTTTTTTTTATCGGAAGTGGACCAAAATTTTTAAATATATATGGAATGGTTATAATGCCGGCTTGTCCCGACCAAATAGCAGATTGACAACAATTAAATCATTAGACTATATTTTTATTTTTGACATAAATTCTTTTCAATATATTTATAAAAATTATTTTTTAAACTTATATTTAATTTTAAAATTGAGCCGGACCCAATATTGATGGAACCAGGCACAACTCGATTTATACTCATGTTGGATCAGGCATAGCGCAATTATTTTCAAACTTGTTTTTTAAGTTCAAACACAACTTTTTTGTGCCGTACGATCCAATTTATTCGAGTCAAGGCAAGTCCGATCCAATTTTATATCGGGCCTAGGAATCCAGGCCCGGGTCAAAGCCGCGGCTGGGCTAGTTAATTTTAATTTTAATTTTTTAATTCATTATTTAAAAAAATCTAATACGATCTATTATTATTTACATCATTTTTATATTTTAAATATAAAATATTCAATTAAATTATTATACAAAATACATACACTCTAAAAATGATAAAATTATCTATATAAAATATTTATATTGAATTTTAAATATATGTTTTCAACATTTTAACTGGTAAAAATATAAATAATGACGTAAAAGTGGAATTGAAGACCAGTAAAGGCTTTAGCCTAGCAGTGTTCTTCGTTTTCCAATACAGTCGACTTTGAATCTTCTCTTTCAATTCCTCTCTCTCCTCACTCTCACTCTGCGCGCCTCTGCGGGGGAAGGAGCGCTTCCAGTCGCCAAGAAATTTCTGTAAATTGACTCTGCCGACCCACCGTCGAAGTGAGTTTCTATTCAAGTATCCTCTTACGCCTGATTTTTGTGATTTTCTTTGAAGGTTTGCGACTGTTTGTGGTTTTAATTCGTGGTTTCGTCTTCGTTGTGACACATGCATTTTGGTTTTTTGTGAGGTTTTTGAGGAAGGAAGTTTGATTTAGGGTTTTGCTCAGTAGGTTGGAAGTAAAAAAAAGGGGGGAAACGTTTTGACCTAAAAGAAGCTCGGTAATATGGGTTTGTGTGGTTTACAAAAATGACATTTATTATAAATTTTGTATGATTTAGGGTTTTAATGGCATATTTAAGAGAAAGGGTGATGAATTGTAAAACATGCGTTTTAGGAGGAAGTTTTACCCCTTTCTCTGCATTTCTTGCTCAGCGGTGCAGAGGCTGAGCTCTATGAGCATTTGTGTGTGCGATTTGGGAAATGCAGTGTGGGTTTCTTTTTGGGGTTTTCGATGTTGTTTTGTGTACTGCTGAATTTACATGAAAAGGACTTCGAATTTCATACTTGTTTTGCAGCCAATTTCATGTTTATTATGAGTGGAAAGAGTTTGGAAGTGATTCCCTGTGGTTTGGTGTTCTAGATTGTTTTGTGTATCAAAATTTTGAGGTGAAAATAATGCTTGATTTGAAGTTTTTTCGAAGGAAAAATGAATATTATCATAGATTAAATAGTGTGAAAATTTTAACAAAAGCATAAGTTAACACAGCCATTATTTCTCTCCATGTCCATCCATGGTGGAAAATAGTAATGATCGGATGATGTGAAGTGATTGTGTTTTTTGAAAAACAAAGATTGGAGTAGTTTGTGAGTTGCCGCGACATCAGTGAAGTATTTTTATTTATTTATTTGTTAAATTATTTGTGCAGATGGGGGCAAAGGATTTTCTGGGAGGAGCTGGACCTAGTAGCCTAAAAGGAAAGGCTTATAATGGCTCGGCCAAGATGGATATCGATGATGATGAGGAGGAGGAGGATATTGATGATATGGAGGTTGAGTCATCTGGTTCGGATGATGAGCCTCATAATTCTTTGCAAGGATTGAATGAGGGTTCTGTGAAAGAATTCTGTAAAAAGGCCACAAGAGCATTTTTCGATGAGTATGGTTTGATTAGCCACCAGATCAATTCGTACAATGATTTTGTTAGACATGGCATTCAGAAGGTGTTTGATTCGTTTGGGGAGATCCTTGTTGAGCCCGGATATGATCCATCAAAAAAGAATGGTGATTGGAGGCGTGGTTCAATCAAGTTTGGGAAGGTCACTCTCGAAAAACCCAGATTCTGGCCTGGTGAAAAATTCCAGTCGGTTGATGGTGCTAGGGTTGATTTGGAGTTGTATCCTCGACACGCTCGTCTTCAGAACATGACGTATTCCTGCCGGATCAAAGTCATGGTACATGTTGAGGTTGTAAAAGATTCTAAACCCTTCTGCCTCCATAGCCATTTACACAGTGATTTTAATTTTATATTTTTTGTTCTTTTGCGTACTATCCATTTGCAGTTCGAGTGTTGGAGCCATTATATCCTGTGATGCATCGTTTACAGTTAGATACTAATTTTGGGGCAAAAATTTTGCTGACTACTTCTAGAATTGTTGCAATGTGTGTATTCTTGTCTTTTCAAAAAGTTCTAAATAGCCATAGCATTGGCCCAGTTCCCTTTTTTATTTTTATAAAAAGTATTTCTCAATCATTTGAATTGTATTTTCAGATCTATGAGGAAAGCTTCGGCCGAAGTGATAAGTTCCAAACTGGTACGGAAACAGGGGTTGCAAAGACAGAAGTGACGAGTTTTGATAAAGAGCTTATGTTCGGTAGACTTCCAATCATGGTGAACTCAGACTTGTGCTGGATGAATACATCTGAAAAAAGGGATTGTGAATTCGACCAAGGAGGATATTTTGTAATCAAAGGCACTGAGAAGGTACGGTTAAGTAATAATGTCTTTATGTATGGATAATTGGAATCAACCATTTTTTCGTTATCCCTCTTATAAATTTATTCGTCAATATTGTGTTACCTCAAGACATGAATTTTCTGCAATTTTTGCTACAGACTTTCATTGCACAAGAGCAGATATGCCTTAAAAGGCTTTGGGTGTCCAAAGAACCTACTTGGACTATAGCATATCGACCGGTTTTTAAAAGAAGAAGAGTTTACGTGAAGTTAGTTCCAAGAATGGAGCCGATCATAGGCGGGGAGATGATCCTTACAGTTTACTTTTCTGTTTGTGAAGTTCCAATGTGGCTTCTATTCTTTGCTTTGGGGGTTCAAAACGACAAGGAGGTTCTGAAACTTATCGATCTTGACGTTGAGGAAGATTCCGTCATCGCAAATATACTTCTTGGAACAATTTATGATGCCGACAAAAAGCATGTTGGTTTCCGGAAGGATGGGAATGCGCAAAAATTCATCAGGGAACACATGATGAAATCTAAGTTTCCCCCGGCAGAATCGGTGGATGAATGCATAAGGAACTACCTCTTTCCTAACCTTAAAACCCCTAGGCAGAAGGCGTGTTTTCTTGCGTATATGGTTAAGTGTCTCCTTGAGGCTTACAGAGGACGCCGTAAACCCGATAACAGAGACGATCTTAGGAATAAGAGGTTGGAGTTGGCCGGGGAGTTACTTGAGAGAGAATTGAAAGTTCATATCAAACACGCCGAGAGGCGCTTGGTTAGATCTTTACAAAGGGATCTCGACAAGGAGCGCGATGTTAATGCCGACAATTTCGATCAGTACCTTGATGCATCGATTGTTACTAATGGTCTTTGCAGAGCCTTTTCCACCGGGGCGTGGTCACATCCTTACAAGAGAATGGAGAGAGTTTCGGGCGTTGTGGCTACTGTTCGTCGAACGAATCCATTACAGGCGACAGCTGATATGAGGAAGACTCGCCAGCAAGTTTCTTACACCGGAAGAGTTGGCGATGCAAGATACCCGTAAGTTGTTTGATGTCGTGTTAATTTGGTTTCAGTTCTTACAGTGAACACCTGATGGTTTTTGATGTTGTTATTGCAGACATCCGTCTCATTGGGGTAAGATTTGCTACATCTCTACTCCCGACGGCGAAAATTGTGGACTGGTTAAAAATCTTGCGAGTACGGCGCTCATCAGTACAAATATTCTGGAACAAAAGTCGATTATTAGGACGCTTCACAAGTGTGGAATGGAAAAGTTGGATGAGACTTCTTCCAATGTTGATGGAAAACAGAAAATTTTTCTCGACGGGGATTGGGTCGGCGTCTGCAAAGATTCTTCGTCCTTTGTCTCTAAGCTGAGAAGCAAACGCCGTAGATCGGTTCTTCCTCATCAGGTAAGCTATGCAAAATTTCATTTAACTTTCTCTGTTACCGCAATGGGTGGCTCCAAACCTTTATATGTCGACGATTTTCCGATCACATAATGTTGGAAGTTCGATTTTCTTGTATTTTCTGTAGTGTATTGGTTTATATGTATATGTATATGTATAATGTTTTGCAGGTAGAAGTTAAAAGGGACGCGACCAATGGAGAAGTGCGGATATTTGCCGATGCTGGAAGAATCCTCCGTCCTCTTTTAGTCGTAAAGAACTTGAAGAAAATACGTGACTTGAAAGGGGGATTTTCATTCGGGACACTTCTACAAACTGGAATAGTCGAGCTTGTAGGAGCCGAGGAAGAAGAAGATAATCAGACGGCGTGGGAAATAAGATACCTTTTCCGGTCAGAGCTGGAGAACCTTTTCTCAGCCGTGAAGTACACACACTGCGAGATCGACAGTTCGTTCTTGTTGGGGTTGAGCTGTGGCATTATCCCGTTCGCAAATCACGATCACGCGAGGAGAGTTCTGTACCAATCTGAGAAGCATTCGCAGCAAGCTATTGGGTACTCGACGACGAACCCGACGATCCGGGTCGACACGAATTCGCACCAGATGTATTACCCCCAGCGGCCGCTTTTCCGGAGTTTTCTTGCGGACAACCTCGGAAGTTCGAGGTACAACCTCCACAAGGGGATGGTGCCGCATCCCGAGTACTTCAACGGGCAGTGTGCGATCGTTGCCGTCAATGTCCATCTCGGGTACAACCAGGAGGATTCGTTGGTGATGAACCGTTCGTCTTTGGAACGCGGGATGTTCCGAACCGAGCACGTGAGGAGCTACAAATCGGAAGTCGAGAATTCGGAGGCTGCGCCGGGGAAGAAGGTGAAGGACGACGAGTTAATCAACTTCGGGAAGATACCGAGCAAGATTGGACGCGTCGATAGTCTCGACGAAGACGGGCTTCCGTACGTCGGTGCGAATCTGCAAACCGGAGACATTGTCATCGGGAAACACGCAGCGTCGGGCGTCGATCATAGCATTAAGCTAAAGCACACGGAAAAGGGTATGGTTCAGAAGGTCGTCCTTTCAGCCAACGACGAAGGAAAGAACTATGCAGTCGTATCACTTCGACAGGTCGTTTCTTAGGGTAATATTATAATTTTATCGACTCACGTCTCCTTTTTTGTAATAATGTTTGATCTACGGCTTTTCAGGTGCGGTCCCCGTGCCTCGGCGACAAGTTTTCGAGCATGCACGGGCAGAAGGGTGTCCTCGGATTTCTCGAGTGTCAAGAAAACTTCCCTTTCACACAACAAGGTATTGTTCCCGACATTGTAATAAACCCGCATGCATTTCCTTCTCGACAAACGCCAGGTCAGCTCTTGGAGGCTGCTCTCGGGAAAGGGATCGCACTCGGAGGTCATCTGAAACAGGCGACCCCGTTTTCTACACCGTCGGTTGAAGACATAACAAGCCAACTTCACAGGTATCTATCATTTTACTTATGCATTTTCGCTTGGTCACAGAGATTATCATATAATGATATTATTAAGGCGTTCACTCCGCGTTTCTGGATGAATTTTGATGTTTTTATGTGATATTAAGAATTATGTCAAAAATATAAAATATGCTCCATCCGTCATCCCATTTGACCCGGCCTTATTTTCCTTAAAAAATAGGTCAAAATAGAAATAGTTTCTTTTTAGGGTAAATAACAAGTAGAAACAGTGGTGTTTTTTTACGAGAATAAATTTGAAAAAAAAAAAAAAAAATAAGAATAAATTGTGATGATAAGAGTATTATTTGAAGTTGAATATTTTGACTTTTTTTAATGAATATTTTGAATTTTTTTTTTACTTTTTGACTTTTATAAAAATGTTTTGTATTGTTTATTACTACCTCCGTCCGGCTCTAACGGTCTCATTTATTTTTTGGGTGTTTTTAAATATTAATTATTATATTTAAAAAAGTACAAATTAAGAAAAAATTGCAAAAATCCATTAGTGTGTTATAATACTAATAGAAGAAAATTTGTAAAAAAAAATTATATAAATACGTGACTGTCAGGCATATTATTTTTGGGGAATTGCAATTGAAAAATATTATTGGGTGAACAAAGCCTTTGTTATTATTTGTTAGAGTAGAAATAATAAAATTACGAGTAGATAAAATTGTTCTTCGATCGTTAAGTCTCGTGATCTTGTGCATTTCTGTCAGGCTCGGGTTTTCCCGTTGGGGGCACGAGAGGGTGTTCGACGGGCGAACCGGCGAAATGGTACGGTCCCTAATCTTTATGGGGCCGACGTTCTACCAGCGGCTGACCCACATGGCTGAGGACAAGGTGAAGTTCCGGAACACGGGGCCGGTCCACCCTCTGACCCGGCAGCCGGTGGCTGACCGGAAACGGTTCGGCGGGATCAAGTTTGGGGAGATGGAGAGGGATTGTCTTATCGCGCACGGCGCGGCGGCGAATCTGCATGAGCGGCTGTTCACGCTGAGCGACTCGTCGCAGATGCACATATGCCGGAAGTGTAAGAACATGGCAAATGTGATACAGCGGCCGGTGTTTGGGGGGCGGAAGATACGGGGGCCGTATTGCCGGGTGTGCGAGTCCGTGGAGGACGTCGTGAGGGTGAATGTGCCGTACGGAGCTAAGCTGCTGTGCCAGGAGCTCTTCAGCATGGGGATCTCCCTCAAGTTTGACACCAAGCTCTGCTGAGCCGAGCCGAGCCGGGGGATCTCGACTGGTTTGGCTTTCTTTGATGTTCTTGTTTATGTTCATTCGACGACAGCTCTGTTGTTTAGCTGAAATCTTAAATCTTCATGTTGAACTGAAGAAAGGGTGTGTGTGTTTGGAGACTTTGTTGGGTGGGTTCTTTACTCTTTTGATATCACATCCTTGGAAAAATGATGAAAGAGGGTAGTTTTTTATTTTATTATTATTTTATATTTATATATATATATTATATATGTTGATGTTGTTTGCAGGGTTCGATTAGAGGTGGCAAATTAGGCTGATTTTTTATGTTGGCCCGGTCCGGCCCGACAATAGTTGGCCAGACATGCACGATCGAAACTAGGCTGTTTGGCCCATTTTGATTTCTCTCAGATTTGATTCAAGGATTTGATGGAATTAAATCCTATGAAATTTATGTTTGGTTAAAAAAAAAAGGTAGAATTTAAAATGATGAGATTTGAAAAAAATGGTTTACAAATAAGGGATTTTTTTTGTAATAGGGATACGTCTGTTACTTTTAAATCTCATTCTTGAAATTTTAATTTTTACATTTATATCTTCTTATAAAACAAATAATAGTATTATATTTATATAAAAAATTAAATAATTTTAATATTAATTATTATTTGAATTATATATTTAATTAAATTTATATTATTTTTAATTATACAATATTTTTTAAATAAATTAATAAATTCATTGTTTAAATTATTATTTATTATAAATTTTATTTGAATTATAAAATTATAGGGACGACCATAAGTCGGGTTCAGACGGACTGATATTCATCCCAAATATATATTGTTAAATCCGATATTCAAATTGGATCCGATTATACTAGATCCGACCGAGACTATACCCAGTAATACTCGATGGATCCGAAAAATCCATTTTTTTTACAATTCTTAAATTTTAATTTAAAATTATACATATACCGGATCCAATGTATATTAAAATTTATGTATTTAATTAGAAAAATATTATAATAAAAAAATGAATATGTTAAACTCAAAAAATATTTTTAATATAATTATATTATTCAAAATTATTTTTTGATATGTCTGGCTGATATATTATTATTATATTACCCTGATCATGATCCGGATCCAGGTCTAATACTCAAATAATTGGACTCAACTTCAAATAAATAGGTCGGGCTCGGTTGGGTCTCGAGTTTACGAGAATCTATTGTCATCCTATAATATTATTGATATCTTTTCAATTTATATTAATAATGAATTAGAGGTTTAATTTGTCAAAATAAATAAAATTCATAAGAGGACAATTATGTCATTTAGAATATAAAAAATCAAAACCCACGAAATATAAATCCCATCACATTTTACCAACCACACATAATATGAGATTTCAAATCCTAAATATAATAAATCCCATCACATATAAATCCTACTGTGAAATCTCAATCCCACCAAAAAAATCCATGAACCAAACAGCCCTTAGTTTTGTTTTTTTTCTTTTATATATATTTAAAGTAATCTAATACTCCCTCCTCCCATAAATATTGTCTTAATTGGGTTGGACACGAAATTTAAGGAATATTAATATTATATTGGCAGTGAGTAAAAGTATGGATAAAATTTTTTTTTTGCCCTTGCGAGTGTATTAGTGTAAAAAGTAATGGCAATTGTGTAATAAAAATGAAAAAGTATGGGTAGTTTTACGGTGATATAGTTATTTATGAAAATAAGACTATTGTTTTGAGACGGACAAAAATGGTAAATAAGACAATTGTATTAGGACGGAGGGAGTAAAATTTATATGTTAAACAATGAGAATTGAACCTATAACTATTGTATTGACATTAATATAAATTTATTTGTTAATATATTTACAAAATTATTTTTTAAATTATATTTTATGTTTATAAGCCGACTTTGATGGGCCCGAATACGGTCCGATTATACTCGTGTTGGGTGAAGTATGATCCAAAATACTTTGGGCCTGTTTTTTAGGTCAAGTACAGTTTTTCGCGTTGGGTCAAGTATGATCGGAAATACTTTAGGCCTGTTTTTTAGGTCAAATACAGTTTTTCATGCTGAGTTTAAGTCGAATTTTCAGCTTGTGATTATTTTTGCTAGCCCTAAGTTCGATTTTGATGGACTCGGGAGGTGTTTGTAGCCCATTTTTAAGAAAGAGACCCACAATAAAAGCGATCGAATTTGATGGATTTAGAAGACCCCAAGAAGTGTATGAAAATCCAATTTGATCAAGCAGGGAAGTTAGATGGCTGTAAATCTCTTGATGGAAAAATTCTAGATGGATGATTCATAAGTACTAGTATACAAGTACAGACATAGATATGTAAGTGATCATTTTTGTGATGTTTTCCATTTTTGGTTTATTAAACTCTCAAAGAAAATGTATATGTTTTTTTTTTTTTTTTTCAAACATTTTTTTTTTTTTGGTCATGTTCCAAATTTCCGGATGAAGGCTAAAGGCCAAAAAAGTAGCCATCAGTAATTACAAAATTACAATATTTATTTTGAAATTATATATATATATATATATATATATAAAGTATTTTATAAAACGAACACATGTGCAACAAGATCAAACAATGGTTGAAAAATCAAAACAATAGGCCCACCACTAAGGTAAGGCCTTATCTTAAAACTATTCCATTATTCAAAAAGCCCAAATTCCAAAAATATCCTTCTACAATATACTATATGTATATTATTTAATTACAAAAAATAACAATATAATATAAATATAATTGAACTAAATTCTAAAAATAATACTTTCTCGTTCAAGTAACAAGTATACATTTATTTTTGACTCATAGTTTAAGAAATAATAGTATTTCAATTATAGTGGACATGTAAAAGTAGTGTAATGACATTTTTGTTTTTTTTTTATAAAAAAAATAATGTAATGTAAAATTTTATTCGTAGAAAAAATTGAGTATTTAATTAAATAGTTACTTAGTAATTTAATGTGCAAAATAAAAATATGTATACAAGGAGGGAGGGAGTACAAAGTTATTCTGGAATAATACTTGTTTTTTCTAGATTTTGTGCCTATCTTCCTTCAATATCTATCTACATTTTAATATTTTAATTAAAATAATTATTTTACCAAAAAATTGAATATATTCATTTTAAAGAAATAAATTAAGAAATTGAATAATCAAAATAAAATTGAAAAATTGTAGATTTGTATTAATTCAGTATTTATATTATTTTTTAACATAATTGACACAATAATTTAACAATTTACATTATAAAAAATTTGAATAATAAAATAGAGTAAATCTTACAATTTTTATTAATGTTGTATTGAAATCCTATAAAATATCATACTAGCATATTTATTTTATAGTATAATATATATATTGATATTATAAGACATTCCTTTTGTCCTAATATATTTTAAATTTGAGATGGTTCAAAATATTCGTATTGTTTTCTTCATGTATACCTATTTTTTCTTCTGTTTTTATCCTTATGAATATAATTTTATAAATTTATTTTAAATGAAAATTAAAATAAATCAATTAAAAAACTACCAAAATTATATCCTATAAAAAGCCCTAGCTAAACTAATAAGACTAGTGATTTTAATAGATTTGAAAGAGTTTATTATACTTATAAAATATTTCCAAAGTAAATGATAGTTATTATTATGATTTAAAACCTCATATTTGTTACTATTCAAGTGCATTTTAAATAAAATTTTGGATAAATTTTCAAATGTGCATTAATAAACTCAACTTAATATTTTAGAAATTCTGTCGATAATATTAAATATAATTTTTTTATAAGAAATAAAAATTTGCATGGATAACAACGGAATAAATTGATGTTAATTTAAAACAAAAAATAAAAACCATTGTCATAAAATTTTTGGCTTAAAAACTTTAGAAGAAATTATTTGACTACTCTCAAATTTCTACATGCAAATAATTAAGGCAATTTTATTTGGCTAAGATTGCACCACGTGTCCCTCTTTCATTGGGTCTTCCATAGATCTCTCGCACCCACTGGCCTCTATATTCTCACTCTACATTTCTTCTCCCAACGCTCTCTCTCTCTCAATCTCACTCATCACTCTCAGCTCAATCAATACTCACCGAAATCTGAATCTAATACGAAAACTGATCGGAATCCATGGCCGGCGGAGAGCCCTGGAGCTTTACGGCGAGGCCGTGCGACTCCTGCAAGGCGGCGCGGGCCGCCGCCTACTGCCGCGCCGACAACGCCTTCCTCTGCGCGTCGTGTGACGCGCGCGTGCACGCAGCCAATAAAGTCGCGTCGCGCCACGCGCGCGTGGTGGTCTGCGAGGTCTGCGAACACGCGCCGGCCGCCGTGACCTGCAAGGCCGACGCCGCCGCCCTCTGCCACGCCTGCGACCGCGACATCCACTCCGCCAATCCTCTCGCCCGCCGCCACGAGCGCCTCCCCGTCGTCCCCTTCTACGACGCCTCCGCCGCCGCCGCCGCGAAACCCTCCCGATCTGGCGAGTTCTCCGAGGAGGAGGCCGAGGCCGCCTCCTGGCTCCTCCCGGATCCGAACGCCAAACCAGATACGGATCCCGGGTCGCCCGAGTGCAAGTCCGCTGAGTATTTGTTCACCAATATGGATCCTTATCTGGATTCGGATCTAATGCCCGGGGCGCAGAAGCAGAGCCAAGGCGAAGTTAAGCAGTATTCTGCAGACGGCGTCGTACCCGTTCAGCACGATGGAGGATACGGGTCGGGTCAGTACCCGGGTCCAGTGGTTGACGGGTACCCGACTTACGATATGGATTATCCGGGATCCAAGCCTTTCATGTACAACTTCACATCACAGTCCATTAGCCAAAGTGTATGTTGTTCTTGATCCCTTTCGTTTATTTATTTATTTGGAAATTAAATTCGTTAAAATTAATATATATTTAATTTGGAATATTCTTGATCGATAAAAAGTCAAATTTAGTTTACTTAATTATTTCGTTATTTGTATGTATCACGGTGTTAGGTAAGAGTTTAATTTTGATTCATCAAACTCATTAATCTTTCTATGAACATAAAAAAAAAGAAGCAATTTTGTATTTATTTTTATTATTCATTGATGAATCTTTAAAATTTTCATGCTTTGACTTCATACAAGTTTTCGAAGTTTTGGAATGAGTTAAGGTTACTCTATTAAGAAAAAACAAAAAAAAACTATTCAATTTATTCCCCATCAAATTATCATTTTCATCAATTTCGTTTCTCATTTTGGAAGTATCAATTTAATTTTTCAGTAAAGATAATCCATATAATAATATCTAAATACCTTAAATTTTCATTTTAACTACAAATTATCATTATAAACATAATTATTTTATATATAAAATCAAGCAATAAAAATATAAATTTTTCTTCCATATTTTTATAATAAGATATTTGAATTCAGACAAAAGAAAATAAAAATAATTTCTTTTTTTTACAAAAAAAATAATATATATATATATATAAATAGAGCTATTAAACACATGTTTTAACAAAGAAAATATATATTTCAGTTTCATTTTATATCTTAAATATGTTTAGTATAAAAATTTTAAAAAATGAGCATGTAAATAAATCTTCAATAACCCTATATTTTGGAAGCTGTATTCAATTGTGTTTTCGAGGATTATTTTAGAATGATTTTTATTAAAAATTTCTCAAATAAGAAATAAGTGTTAAGAAGTGATATTTTTTCGACTTTTAAAAGAAATTATGGATCTGAGTATATCAAATGAATTTTTACGACTAATTTTATAGGTATCTTCTTCGGAAGTCGGCGTCGTCCCCGACCACAATGCGATGGGCGACGTATCGAAGACCGAAGCGATCATCCCGTCCCCGCTATCGGGGGTCGATCGAGAAGCCCGGGTTTTGAGATACCGAGAAAAGAGAAAGAATAGAAGGTTCGAGAAGACCATAAGGTATGCCTCGAGAAAGGCATACGCGGAAACGAGGCCGAGGATCAAAGGGAGATTCGCAAAGCGATCGGAGCTCCAAGGGGATTCGTTTCTTACAAGCGATGTGTCGTACGGTGTTGTCCCGACTTTTTAGTCGAGGGTTGTCTCGTCGATGTGCATTGTGATTGTTGTATATATAATGGCAGTGTGTTTTTGATCGATGCGACTGAGTTTTGAACATCGATTTTGTAGCAATGTTGTCTTTTTTATGTATAATGTTAAGAAGTTTTTGGGTCATCTTTTTTTGGAGATTTTCTTTTTTTTTTTTTTCAATTTTTTTATATATTATACGGCGGCGTTTACGAAATAATTAGTATCTTGTAATATATGAAATATAAATCCATAGTACATGAAACAAAGTGGACAATAGTATACTTTGTGAAATGTATGTATTAACAAAATGTGATATTCACACAATATATAACATGATTGATATACTAAGGGTGTGTTTGTCTGGGGGATTGGATTTCCAATCACTATTCATCCTATTTTTTTTTTCTTAAAAAACATCAAATCAAACACTTATTTTTTATTTTTTATATTATACTTAAAAATCAATTTTACATTCAAAATATCACATCAACATTTATTTACATCACATCATACAACTATTCAAATTCAAAATTTTTTTTACTATCAAATCCCAACTCAAAATCCAAACCCCCAAACAAACACACGTGTATACTTCCTCCGTCTTTTAACAAATTATTTATTTTTTGTATTTCGGTCCGTTTCATAATAAAATATTTATTTATTTTTAGTTATTGTGCTATCTATTTAACATTACAAATACTCTTACAATTTACAATATATTACACAAATATCCTTATATTTATATAACTTTATTTAGTCTTTTTATCTTTATTTTTACTACACTCCAATATAATACTAATATTTCTAAAATTTCGTATAAAAAACAAACGGACAGATAAATACGAGACATACGGAAATAAATATATATATTATGTATTAATTAGAGTTAATTAGCACTTTAATATAAGTATCATAACTATTCTCATGCATTAATCATATTTCTTTTGATAAAACTATTTTTTTAATTTAAATAAAAAAAAAAGAATTATTTATTTTATACAATTTTTAATAAAAATATCATATTTAAATAAAAACTATAGTAAATTCTAAAACTTCTAAAAGGACATAGCTTTTGGACTTTCACAAAAAGTATGTGAATTATTGTTCGATAGGGATAATTATTTTTCATTGTAAATGATGAAATTGGACCACGATATATTCGATAAGGTGAGATCTCAAAATAACACAATGACATGAAGTCTGAAAGGGTGAGGAATTTTGATTACGTAAATATAAATGGGTATGATTGTTGGCAACATAAATAGACTATTGAAATTGAAACATAATACTGTATAAGTAATTTTGACTAATTGTATCTATTTTGATTGAATTTAAAATTTTTATTTAAATATTATTTAATATAAATTTTTTGAGATCGTGAATATTAAAGAAAAGAAACACATCTTTAGAGTTTCTTTAATACACATATTTCAATTCTTTACAAATGATATTTTTATTACACAAATATTACATCAAAATTAATAAGCTTTTTTAAAAATGTAAATCCTCCAAAACCAATTAACCATTTTATTTCTATATTATTTAATATTTATCTATTTCGTGGTTTGTTCATTTTTTGGCAAACTCAATATGACAAATTTTCCTTCAAAAACACCTTATTCAATATTTATATTTAACAATTAATTCATTTTAAATTTGTATTTGATTTGTACTTTAGTTTTAAATTTTAATTCAAAAAATACTTAAAATATAACATTTCTTTTAGATAAAACAATATATTTAAAGATAATCATGAAAATGATATAATAAAAAAATGAAAAAAAAAAACAAATTTCAAAATAGTTAGAGATAAAACTATTATTATACAAACCAAATAAAATAAACCCTTAGCAAAAATAAAATAAAATAATAATAAAAAAGAAACATAATAGTGTACTCCCTCCTTCGTGCAAATCTGTGCTAATTTGATCGGGCATAAATTTTAATAAAAGTGAGTAATAATTGTTAATTTTTCATTTTATAGTAAAAACAGTACTAAAATAAAATGATTTTTTACTTAAAAAAAAAATTCAAATATTTTTTGATGACCATCCAAAAAGAAAAGTGAACATAGATGAAAATTTAATTAGGAAGTGGCACGTGTCGGATAGGGTGGGGTCCAGAGTGTATCAAAATCTGGAATATGACTGGGTGGCGGGATTTCGCGTTATCTCTTCAGCCACATGTTATGCGTTCCCATTACTACTGCGACCACTGGAGTTTTTTTAATTTACTTACATCCTATTCCTAACTCATAAATCCATTTATTAAATTAAAAATATTATTTTAAGTTATCTGATTGTGATAGTGACATCTAACTCTTATAGCCATGTGATTTTTGTACACTACTATTTTCAGAAACATGACGTCTAATTTTTTTTTTATTTTATTATATATCCATATCTCAATTCGTTTTAATAACAAGGTATTTGCTCACTTCATCTAATATTTTTAATTAATTATTATTTGATGTATAATATAAAAAATTAATGTACAGAATATAAAATATATTATTTTAATTTCAATATTTTGATGTTTTGACTTTTTAAGACGAATGCTTTATTTTAATTTTTTTGATTCTTTTAGCTTTTATAAAAAATATTTTATATTATTTAGTATTTTGAATCGTACTTGAAAAATAATATTGATTTAACAAAACTTTAATTTTTTTAAAAGTTTCTAAGTATTTAATTATTTATTTATAGTTTAATAAAATAAAATATTATACTTCCTCCGTCCTATTGAAAGATTAACATTTTTTATTTTCGTCCGTCCTAAAACAAGATTATCATTTCCTAATTTAATAATTGTACTACTTACCTAACACAATAAATACCCTTTCAATTACCATTTCCTAATTTAATAATTGTACTACTTACCTAACACAATAAATACCCTTTCAACTTACAATATATTACACAAATGTCATTAATTTTATATTACACCATACTAATAGGGGTATTTTTGTCTTTTTATTACAATCCAATATAATACTAATATTAAAAAATTTACATGCAAAAAGCAAACGTCACCCTTCCAACGGGACCGATGAGGTATTAAAGTATTATCTAAATAGAATTTTAATATAATAAAAATTTTAAATCAAAACTAAACAAATCAAATTTAGAGTGAATTGGGAATGTAATTTGATATAATTTATTTAATTGATATTCATTTATAATTTAATATAGTATATAATTTAAAAAACTAAAATATATTCAATATATGCACAATTAATATAAATTAATTTTATTAAAAAAATTACTAAATATAAAAAAATTTATTTATTCAAAAAATAAAATAAGATATAAATAAATTCCAACTAATAAAATAGTTGGGAAAAAAAAAAAGAGAGAATAGTGCACTATAAAATGAAAAATGATCTAAATACTCCCTTAATTTTCCTCTTTTTCCTCTTCTTTAAAATTTATAAATCAAATCATATTCAGTGTATTCATACTTACTATTATTTGTTCAAATTTAAAAAATTCTCTTTTCCTAATGACCATTGAGCATGTATTTATTTGTATTGAATATCCAAGTCTATTTTATGTCAATTCTAGTAGTAGTAACAAAACAATGTAAGGCAGGCAAAAAACCTAGTAATAGTAATAAGCGAGACACTACAAATTTGAGGAGGGATCATCCTTAGTTACCTTATGAGATATCTTTGATATCCAAATCCACAGCGTCGACGGCACTTTATTGCGAGAGTGTGCCAACAGTGCTGACACTGTGTCGCAGGCAAACCTCTGGAACTCCGGCTCGGCTGCCAGCCGTAGAGCCATAGCTGTCCATACGCCGGGAGCTAAAACCACCGCCTTTCTAAAAGATTTGAGACCATTCACCACTCTCAACAGCATCGCCTCGTCCTGTAAAATAAAACACATCCGTGACGGCCGGGGCAAGGGAGTGGCGATATATACATATGTACATTAGAGTCGATGGAATTGTTGGCAGGAATCGAAAGGAAGAAATACATTGCACCACTCACATATAGGAAATACTGCCAAACTTACAATTTGCTTATAACCGTATGTATATATATATAGCAACTATTTTTTCTATCTATTTAAATATATTACTCATACTTCAAAACATATAGTAACGATTTTGTTAACTGTCAGAACATCACATTAAAATAATATTTAAATTCAAATTCAAATTTAATGCACAATTTCAAATCAATTTCAAAACACAACCAAACAAACAATGATTTTTTGCAACCAACCTATATTGGACATTAGAATCGCTTCCATCATTTCTTACTATGAAGCAACAATCTAATAAGTCATCGATTGTTTTGACCAGAGGGTTAGCGGTTATAACTCCTTAAATATTACAATGTTTTTGCAGGCTTTACTAGTTCCTACTACCGTGGGATGATATACTGGCAGATGATAATAATCCCAATATATAAACAATGAATCTCTATGACCTCATTGGAACTTCCCAGTTCTTATCGGCATAATAACAAAAATCATCAACCTAACTCAAATTCAACTTATAAAAATTTTAAAAGTAACTAGGAGGAGAATGATTTAAAATTTTAAAAATTGCAACCAAATAGCGAGAGAATTACTAGTCATGAAACTGCATCTCAATGTAGTCCGTATCTTGTTTAAATATTTCATAATAAGACTAACCTCAGATTGCTGCTTTCCTGCTTTTAAATTTTCTTCGGCAAAGCAGGAAATAACTTCGTGGTCAAGAAAAGTATCAGCTGCCGCAATTATGTCTCTGATAAGAAAAACGCGAACCCTGGAACCTTTCTTAGACAATATAAATTTGAAAAGATCCTCTGTAGCTGCAGCAACAGAATTCATGTTGAATGACCTCCATCCCAAAGGATCTGAAGTTCTTTCAGGTTTAGAAGAAGCCCCATCGGCTTCAGAACCTTGATGTGATATTGCAGCAACCTGAAATCGTCAAAAGGAACGAATGGAAGTCAGGACAGCCAAAATCTCACTCAATATAAGCTAAATAAATACGTTTATTAGCAAAAGATTTCACTATCAGAGTTTCCATTAAATAAATACATTTGCATCAAAGTAAACGTATTTGAAAGAGCGGGAAGGTGACAAAAGAGTGGATGACACAACCCACCAGTTTCTCTAACCGATTCCATCTGATAGAGCCGTCATTCCGTATAAGAAGTTGTCCCAAAATCTTCCTCATATCGGGACTTGCGTCCGACAATAGCCTACCAATGACAAATGGATATGCACTCTCAACAACTTTGAAATCAGGATCTAAAACTTTTGCAGTTCCTTCAAGTGATCCTAAGGCTCTGACCACCAGCGCATAATCCGGAGGAAGAGAGAAATTGAACTCGTACATGACATCATACAGCTGATTCATTATACTCTGAATTCAAAGGAAGATAATTATCACAAAATTCAGCAACAAACTTCAACAAATATCAGACAATACATATGCTAAATACTCCCTCTGTCCACTAAAAATAGCACATTTGGGTCCATCACGGAGTTTAAGAAAAATAAATATTTTTATTGAGAAAGTGATAAATAGTTGGGGCATTTTTGAAAATTTAGTTAGAAATGAAAGTAAATGAAGAGAGAGGAGATAATAAAGTTAGTGGTATTTGTTGTAAATAAATGTTGAATGAAAGATAATAATTAAATGTTGATTTATTGAATTTGCCAAAATTAGTAATGTGATAAATTTAACGGACGGATTAAAAAGGAAAGTGATAATAAATTTAGCGGACGGAGGGAGTAATTTTCAAGAAAGTTCAACAAACAAAGCACTAGCTCGTTCATCACATTATTAACAGTCTAAAAAAATGTGCTTCATAAAATATAGAACCTGGAAATCTTGGGACTGTCTTGTCCCATCACCAAATGATGACTGCAAAGCGTTTGATACGGAATGGATGTCAACCCCCTCAGGTAGAAACCCCAGAGATAGGAAATCATTAGCCAACCCGAACGAGTCGCGATTAACAAAGTGCACTAACTGACAAACAGCAATCCAAAAAATCAGTTCCAGAGAACTTCTCAGTCCAAAATGCACAGGAAAAAATGGTTGAATAGTACCCACCACTCTTATCAGTCCCACGCGATAATGGCGAGGAATATCACCCATCATCCCAAAATCAAAATAAGCAAGGGAGCCACTCTTATCAACAACCAGATTTCCAGGATGGGGGTCAGCATGGAAAAATCCCACCTCTAGTAATTGCCTCAAAGAACAGTAAACACCCTAAAGATTTTGATAAATAATATTACTATATTAATAAATAATAAAAGGTAATCCAACAATAACTACATGTCAAAGCATGATAATCGCAAACCACGCAAATACAAGACAAGTTATCTCCAAAAGTAAAACACACCATAGTTTGTTTGGGGGATTGGATTGGATTTACACTATTCATCCAATTTTTTTCCCCCAAAAACATCAAATCAAACACCTATTTTTCATTTTTTATATTATACTAAAAATCAATTTTACATTCAAAACATCACATCAACACTTATTTATATCACATCATACAACTACTCAAATTCAAATCCCAACTCAAAATCCAAACCCCAACTCAAAATCCAAACCCCCAAACAAACACACCCCTAAAGAATTTGGTCTGAAGAGGTCAGATCAATCAGACAACTGCCTCTCCAAATTACCTCATCAATTAGTAGCTTGCGATCTAAATTGGCCTCTTCTAAACGCCTTTCATCCGTGAGCTTAATTCCATCAATCCATTCCATTGTGAGAACAGTTTCGCGTGTTAGATTCCAGTAAATTTTGGGAACTTTGACGCCACTGGGATGGGCAGCATCGGTATCTTCAAGGTTTGCTTTTCCATCACATGACATCCAACGGCCACATTTTAGTAAAATATTACACATACTAACACCATACAAACAAAATAATAGAACTAAAATTAAGATACTAAAAAGAAAAAAACAGATGGTCAAATGTTTTATCCAGCCGATTTCGCCTCCAAGGAGGAAATACCCAAATCACAAGAAAGAACATATGATTTGAAATATTGCACAAATGGGAATACAGTAACAATTCATTAGAAACTGAGAAAATATTAAGTTCCCGTGAAAGGCAAAACCAGATACTCTATTCTCATAACAGGAATCAATTGATAGTTATTTGGAGGGACCAGATAATTGAAGGCCTGTAACTCATTCCAGAGTTATGAACTTACAAGACTTGTGACCATAAAGATTAGCAAAGCGCTCAGCATTTTGGCCCTCCAAGATGTAGTCAATCTCCTCAAACATATGCCTCACCTATTCATTTGCAATTTTCCACTAACTCATTAGGCTTATATCGAAAATTCCACGAACTGACATCATGAGTAAATAAATACAAAACAGCCTCCTTAAATATGTCATTCTCAAATACACAAGAAACCTTCCAGAGCAGATAATCAACCAAGCCAGAGAAAAAATATGCCACAAAAAACTAAACATATTAACTGTATCAGCCAGAGCAGACGACTGAGCTGGTAAATTACATTACAATAAAAGAGAAATTATAAGTGTATAAAACACTGCCAAGGTTCATGAAACCAGTTCTAACGGTACATGTACAATACCAAAGCACTACCATGCATCACGATGAGGAATCAGAAGACTCACCATCTCAGTCACTGCTACCAGCAGATCTTTCCGAGCTTTAGCAAATCTCTTTAGTTGCCCTCCAATCATACGAAATAATAGAGCATCAAGGGTCAACAGATGGGACATCCCAGGCCTCTGAACTTTGACAGCTACAAGCTCTCCAGAGTGCAAGTGAGCTGCAAAACTTGAAGCAACAAACAGAGAGTTTGTTGAATTTGCTACATATTTATAGTCATTCCCACAGGGTCGTTTCCCATAGCTGTCTCCAATCATAATAATAGAGCCAAAAAGCTTTGCCTATTTACAGATATAAGTTTTCTAACCTTTATAAACCTGCCCCAATGACGCTGCAGCAATAGGCTCCTTGCTAAAATCAGCAAATATTTGTGATAACGGCATTCCCAATTGGGATTCTACAGACTTAATGGCGATATGTGTTGGGAATGGAGGTATTTGATCCTACCACCAGTATGAAGCTTCAGGTTTAGTATTCAATGCAAGATGACAATTGAATGTTGTAGATTTTACGCAATGGGGAAAACATGCTAACATTACAAGCTGATATAAAACAACCACAAAAATGAGAAGGAGCAGAAGACCTGTAATTTAGCAAGTTCTTGGCAATATACACTAGGCAGTATATCAGGTCTTGTGCTTAACGCTTGTCCAAGCTGTAAATGAGGAAAAAAGCAGGTTAATATAGATCTCATTGAAAAGAATTTCCAGATAGTCATCATCTGCCTTCTGGCAACTTCGATGAAAAGTACACACACTACTAATTAAATTCCCAATATTTATATGCCCAATCTTTTGTAATAACACAGCTCCATGCGGATCCCCGTTTCCAAATGCATCTTAGAGCAATTTCAGATTCTAAAGGGGGTCTAAATAACCTTTTTTACAACAGATCAAAGGATATCCACAATATAAGCACCGGTGTAGCATAACCAAAGAAAAGCAACAAAAGCTTGAGGTATTTGACTAAGGCGGTTACATAATAAACTTTTAAATTCTGGTGTATTTGTAGAGGAAAGGATTGTACTCAAACAATAAGTAAGATACACAACAGCTATTATAACATACAGCAACCACTAAGTTCAAATATAACTTGCCTTGATGTAGAAAGGCCCCAGTCGAATAAGGGCTTCACGAAACTGCAACATGTCAAGTCAGATTTGAGGAATCATTAGAAAAATAATACCATGCCAACTGAGAAAAAGCAACGGAATCCTACATGATGTGATGGCCATAAGATTTCAGGTAGGATTATCATAAAGGCTCTGTTTACATGTGGGATTTTAGCCCTGATTTCACTATTTTAACTTTCTATTTCCTCCAAAAACATCAAATCAAACACTCATTTTTTATTTATTTTATTACACTAAAATCTAATTTTATATTTAAAACATCAAATCAATACATATTTATATCACATAAAAAAAAAATATTTCAATTTTTTTTTTTAAGAAATCATAATCTTACAAGTACGCACACCCAAAATGGCTTGTGGAACAAGCCGTGAGATCTAAGATATCTTCACCAAATGTTTTTGCTCTCAGAAACAAAAAGCTTCAAAAAGTGACATTATAAAGCCTATTATGCCAAACAAGTTCTCCTAGGAATCCATTAAGAAATTTCTCTGGATTGTGTCTTCAAATAAATTTGAGCTATGTACATTCGTGTTTCAAAACTTACCGAGCTTAGCTAAAGTTCAATCATTGTGGTCTTAACATTAATTAGGCTTGATGCAAAGTGATAGAAATAAGTATGCATCTAATTTAAGTTCCACAGTGTTACTTTTTAAGCATTACGGGGAAAATGTTTAGAAGCTGCACTGAAAAGGATGCAAGTCAACCTAAAAACTTTTATATTAGCGATAAAGAGAACTGCTCCAGCTCAACTTTAAGTCAATTCGATGGGCTTATATTAGATGAATTGAGTTCATAGGAGCCGGGACTCAAATAAGATTCCAAGTGGTAGCTTAAAATTGAATTTAAGAGAACATGCTTACAGCCCCTCACAATTTTCAGCATATAAGTATAGTAGTAAATCTTTCAGCTGCAAAATTTGATAACACCTAAAAGAAATGAAAACTAACCTTAACCGAACGTTTATTTACATCATGAACAAAGAAGCGCCAAATAGTTAGCTTCAACACATGGAATGAAATAATTGCCGCTCTGTACAATGCCAAGAATGGACCAAACTGGTATAACATAGAAACACTTTTCGTACCAAGTGCACGTCCAAATTGGCTCTCAAGGGCCTCTTTTCTCAACTTTGCATACTCAGCAGAAGGCTTTTCATCATGCACACCGGAGGAGTAGCTAGTACAGAAGCTATACCAACCCCACAGTATAAAAAATTAGAAAGAAAATACCAAAGTCAACTATCCATTGTGCAAGATATATTGTTTCAGCCAAGAAAAAAAAATTAAATAAATAAATAAAAAAATCCAGAGACAAAACGATGGCTCATCACCATCACATTCACAATTAAAATTAGAAACACAACTATGGCATCATTTATGTTGTTTGAGCGTTACTTTGTATACCTCAAGGTCAATCAATGGGGAGATATGATATGCACTAACCAGCCTTACAGGGCTACACTCTGGAATAAATCATAGCTTTACCAAATGAAATCTATACAATCAAATTCAACACAGAACTATAAAAAAAAGTTGAATAGCACGAACCCTAGAAACATAGTAAGTAGCTCAAACATTTTACACTTTTGCAATATGCTATCGTCAATCATCAGTCGAGGTCTGGATTTTAAAAATAAATTAACATATTATTTGCAGGAATTTAAGCATGGTCTCACAATTTTGATTGCAGGGTGCGGCTCAAACACATAATGTCATGATCATGCACTCTTCTAAAAGCATCTTTCGGCCCTCCGAGCAGTATTAGCCTCCACCTGGTTGTCTCAGCAGAATTTCCATTCCGTAGAACTGCAAAATGCACACAAGGTAATCGTACATTCACATTTCCACGCCGATACTTGCACACTGATCATACAATAAAATCATAATAGTTTGAAAATCATCCAAAAATAATAAAACCAGCAGGAAAACGCAAAAAATTAAAATATATGTATATATATATATATATAACATCACTAAGCTAGGTTTCTTCAAAGAAAATTACAGTCACTCCGATGGGAGAAACGGTGCCGCCTGAAACAATCAGCCACGCTCTTCATGTGGACAGAGACGGAAAAAACTGTAGCCGATTCTACGAGCTCTGATACCGTTCCATTGCTTGTTGCACGCCAACTATTCGACAAAATGCGAGAGTGAAGATATTTATACTATCCCCAAACGTCGTCGTTTCTTCTCTTAAGCTAAAGCGGTGGGCAAACTCCGGTTCAAGGGTAGAAAACTGGCAGACTGACACGTATTTCGTGAGTCAACATTATTCAAGGGTGCCAGGATCTCAAAACCAGATAAATCTGAACCGTTCATTAATTGGAGCCCACGTTATGAATGGTATAGATCTACTTAAGATGAAGGTACGATTTCTTCCTCTATAGATCACCCAGCGGCTTCTGAGGGCATAAAAGTAAATTCACAAGCTCGAGCTGGGTTTAAGAGACTGTACATACTACAAACTGCATAGTAAACGCAAGGGTTAGCGTTAATGGCAGATACTCATCAATCGACGATTCGGCCGTGGTTTCTCGATCTCGTGCCTCTCGTGGTTGTTCTTCTGATTGTTGCACATGTCCTTGCTATGGTCGGTGTCCATATCATCCGATCAACTTCTCGCTTTTTGATTGTCTTATGTTAATTTGTTATTGAATTTTTGTGTAGGTTTACTGGATTTACAGGTTAGCGATTGAGAAGCAGCCACAGAGAATGAAGAGACATTAGATGATGGAGTAGGCATGAAATCACTTTGAGTTTGGGAGTTTACATACGTATTGTAAAGCAGTTTGAATCTTAAATTCTTTTATGACTGTTAAGTTAGTTTTCATCTACCTGAGATAATCTTCCAATCTGGATCGGCACATTATTATTTATTTTTTTTCCATTTCAGGGTCTCTTTTGCTGATTCTTCTTTGTTCAATTTTAATGAGGTGGTGTGATCATTCACCTCCGGAGATTTCAGTGTTTCCTTCTTATTATTGCTATATATATATGAGGACATAGGGTGTGTATTTGTTGACGAATGTAGAGTAAATTTGATTGTTTTTTGTGGCTGCATGCCGGCAACTAGTAATGACTGCAGAAGTGTTGTTTGCGTTTGTGTGAACATGTGATTCATCTTAACAGTTCTTCTAGAGTACACGGAAAACAGCTAGAGGACTAGATCTTGCATTGATTTGTTCACGTATATTTTTCACTCTTGTAATAGTGTTGACCTTTTCAATTCTCATAATGCATTCTATGGCAGAATCCTCCATAGAAAGTTAAGTACAGTAAATTTACTTCTGTGGAACTTAAGTTATGTGAATCACATAAGTAAATCTGTGTTTAGTGCTGTAAACGGAAGAGATTGCTTACAAAGAATTCAACACTACAACAGTTTATAGTTCCCGATCTAAAGGATTCAATAGTGCTGCCTCGACTCATTTCCATTGATTGCTATAATCTAGCTTTGTGTTGACTGTGGATAAGATATTTGTTAAGATTGTTGCTATGATGAGATTCTGATATTATCTGACAGTATTTAATTATTCCCAGGTATGGCATGTTTATTATGCATGTATTAATCATAGATAAGATTCACGAGTCATTATATTTCTTCACTTTCTCACTAGTCTTTATGTCTACTATTTGGTTTGATTTGATTTTTGTTTTTTTTTTATCAAAAAAAATAAAAGAATACCATATGATGTTGATTTTGATCAAGGTAGTGACTATGAAGGTAGTCATTTGGTTGTTAAGCTGCATCGATGTCAGACTTGAGGAACCAACAAAATTTCCATTAGGGCATAGCCTGGCTCACAGTTGAAAGTGTTCGTTAGTTCAGCAACTTTGACTCCACTAGTACGCAAGGAAAGCTAATCATGTTGCAGTAACACGACATATCAGTTGAACGATTAACTCATTTGTACATTGAATTCTGTCTTGGCTCTCTTGATTCTGTATGGTCTAGATAGAACTATCTTGTTGAGTACCTATTGGATTCGTTAAATGTTCTGATATTTACGTTGTTTTTACCAGTTGGAAACGAGTAATTATTTTCTGCAAAGATTCCTGCTATTCTAACCTATAGGAAAGACAAGGAGAAATGTGGATAGAAGAATCCTGTGTTGCAGCAATGTAGGGTGTGTAGGTTTCTTATAATGGTCAGCATGTATGATGATGCTATGCTAAGTACGAGTCAAGTATGCGGTTGCCGGTTGGTTTCTCCACGCTTGACACCGGTTGAACTTTTAGGGTTAAACCTGTATAAAATATAGGTTGTTTCATGAAATTGCGCCAAATTTTCCATACTTTTAGAACTGCATCAAACTTCCTCGTGATTTCATAAATTCTGAATCTAGCCCCTCAGCCGTTTTTATTTAACCGTATTTGATCTACACGCACCCAAACTGGGAATGAATTTCAGAATTTTCATTTATAATCCTCTAAATTTACAAATATAATATACCCCTTATATTTAGCCGAGGGGGGGCTAGGCACAGAGTTTATTAAACCATGAGTAAGTCGCAATTTTAAAAGTATGGAGGATTTGGCGCAATTTTGTGAAACATAGGTAGATTTTGTTCAATTTTGCCTAAAATATAACTATTTTTAGTGAACAGGAGTAGAAAAATAAAAACACGTCATATCATTGCATATAATCAATGTTCAAAGGATATGTTTGCATTGAAGTATGAAATTGATTAATAGATAACATGCATGATAAACTTAATCAATTCTTTTATCTGGATAAAAGATTCCCATTCCATTCATCTAAGTAAATATTCTGAAAAAGTGATCTTAAGTTGATGCCTTTTTGTTTATGCCACAGAGCTTATTACTTTCTCCCACCAGTCAGTACTGTATAAACACTGTGATATATTAAACTCTTACTTTGTTGTGCCTTATATCGATGTTATCTATGTAGTATCTGCCCTAGGACTGTGACAATTAGTTTTGGCAATTGCATGAAACTCCCATTAAGTAGTCATGATGCAGCAGATATATCGAATCTGATTTGTACGAGGGTCCCAATTTGTCATACATGTGAATCAAATAGTTTAGTTGATAAAATTTCCTTGCCACTGGAATAGTTTTTTTTTGTTTGTTTTTTTCATTGTGATTGTCCTGTTTTTGAAATGGAAACTAACTGAAATCATTACAACTTGTTAAACTTCGAAGTAGATATTATTGTAGTATATTCATATATTAAAAAGATCGCCTTATTTCGTGTTTGCCAGTATGATAATTCACACATACTATTTTTCATTAGTACATATCATAATTAACCTCACTTTCTTTGACTGGTTTTTTGTGCTCTTCGGGCTAACTTATTGCTTACATAGTACAGACTATTATCGAAGGTAAGTGCTTACCGAGCATCCAATTATGATAATGATATGATTTTGTGTTACTTATTAGCACCCACCAGGGCCAAAGCCTAATCTTCCTCCAGCAACATCATAAACAATCTCAAAAGTCTTCTGCTGAGTGTTCCCAAATATGCCCACGCTGGTGTCGTAATTGTTTGCAGAAAAAGCAAGGCACAATACCGAATTACCAACACCTATCAGTACTCCGGTGGGATGGAGGTCAATTTTAACACTGCCGCTGAATGTGAAAGATATAGTCGGGATTGTAACAGTTGTGAGACCGCTGAAGTCATAGCAAGTGTCCAATATCGAAAAGGCTGGCGCACTTTTGTACTGCGCCATTCCTTTCCGGAATGCTGCTCTCATTGCGCCGTATGCTGCTGGGGGCAGGCGTGTTATGACAGTGCCTGAATCTATTATGCTTCCTGCAGTCGTGAAAACAGATTGGCTGATTGGTAGTTTGAGCCCTCCTACAGTTATTGACTGAATGTCAATGAAGTATAGTTCTTTGCTTCGACTGCTAGAAAAAGGGGTGAACCGGACATGGCTTGAACTTCCACTTCTGCCTAATTCCAAGAACCCTCTTGAGCTAGAAGTTGGCGGGAGGCAATATGAGAAGTATTTGCCATATTTCGGTGCTGTTTGAGACACAATCGATACAGGATCTCTTCCGAGACCCAATATACCTGCAGTGTTCCCAAACAAACCACGGTTGTTTTGGCCACATCCAAATATGAAGTTTGAAATGACTTCTGTTGCAGTCAATGCCAATTTATCCCTCGAAAAGAAACCTACTGAGGAGGATTGATCACCGTATCTTATCCCATAAACACATGTTGAGGAAGAACATCCGGGGTTGATGCCCGTGGCGCCCAAAAGCTGACCGCATTCTTGTGAACTGCAAGATATATTGAGGTATGAACTTGAGGTAGATGGGTCAAAAATCGGTTCTTTCTGTTGGTAGCATGACCTGGCACATGGTTCGCATTGTGTCCATGTTAGGTCACTACCTGTGTCGAATTGTAGAGAAAGACGTCTCAGTGGGGTCCCAAGGCCTATGACGACGATGTAGTTACCACTGCCAAGCGAGCGACCCGATTCTGCTGGGAGGCTGGCCTTTTTATCGCTGACCCTGTGCGTTCTTGAACCCGTGCCCTTGATTTTATTTGTGTTTAACTGTGGATTGATTCTTGCATGTAGGGAATCAACTCTGGATTGATCATTGGAGAGGATCTCACTTAGGGATGGTGCAGTGACAGTGTCACCATGAACGTGCTTAGAGCACGGACCATGCTGGTGAGTAACTTCCAGTGTCGATTGCCTCTTGTTGAAACCTGTTTAATGTTATTTGATCAATTTGTGGAACAAGAGCATGAAAGTAACTTGTGGAAATGTGAAATATGTTGTTAAAATGGGTAAAAATGTTTTAGTGAATTTTCTTGTCATGTGCTTCACGTCACATGTATTGTTTGTTCTTGTCTAGGCCTTATTGCAATATCTTCGTCGTTGAGATATATTTTAGATAAACATTTTGGTTAATATTATTTAGATTTGACAGTTATTATTTAGGAAAATTTATTAGATTGGATTCTTATGATTTAGACATACCTACTAAATTAGGTTATTATAATTTGAGTTTATCCATTTTGTGTTGGATCTATATATAAAATTCTAATTTCGATATTAATGAAAAAAAAACTTAGAAATTCTCCCAAAATGTGACATTCATGATATAATATGGTTTAATTGAGGTATGAACAAAGCATTACTAGTTGTCTGACTTTCTTGTAACTCTATATTTCTGAATTGGGTGGGCCTATTTGAAATAAGTTCACATGCATGAAAATTGAAATTATACTCTTTTATTTCAATGTCCAACAGCATGTGAACTGACAAAATGACAGTGAGACAAGAGGGTCAATCAACTTGGTTATTCTTTCTCCTGCAAATGAACCAAAATATGTATATATATATATATATACATATTCACTACAGCTGTGATGCACTCTCATACTGTCTTTTAGTTATGTAGTCTTATCTGAAAAGGATTCCATTATTGGTACAAGAATAAATGCAGGGAATTACAGTACATAATTAAATTCCTCCATGACATTACTTCTTGTATGCTTAGATTTTCATACAGATTAGACTACAGATGCCTTCTCAGTTCTCTAGACTTAATGGTTGAAAATAACTTCCTATGCATGACCTAATTTGTTTGCCCTAATTTCATATTATTCTAATGTAAAATAACTAAAGGAGTGTGTGTAATTGTATCTGCTGTCTTCTTACACATGGCTACCGCATATTTTCTTGAAATACCTTTAGGGTGTGTTTGTTTAGGAGTTTGGATTTTGTGTTGGAATTTGAATAGTAAAAATATTGAATTGGAATAGTTGTATGATGCGATAAAAATAGGTGTTGATGTGATATTTTGAATATAAAATTAATTTTTAGTATAATATAAAAAATGAAAAATAAGTGTTTAATTCGATGTTTTTGGGTGAAAAAAAGAGTTTGATAAATAGTGGAATTTGGGGAGAAAGTCCTATAACCGAACACACTTAATTCATTAGGAATAGAAGTTGAAGTTATGCAACAGAGGGTTGCAAATGCAAGCACAAAAAAAGAATGTGGAATTATTATCGATTAAATAATCCCGAAAGTAAACATGGTTGATATATGTATATGTATATAAAAGAAAATCTTCAATAAATGAAGATATAGAAAGAAGGAACTGACCTGTAATGGATGGAGTGCAGACAGAGGCAGGCAAAAGAGAAGTGATTTCCACAGTATGGTAATGCTTTAGATTTTCAGTATCTTTTATACTGGCTTGGAAAGCATTTGTTATTTCCAGAAAACATGTTATCAAAATGAAGAAAAGAGAAGAAGATGAGAGTAGAGTTTTCATTAGGGAGAGAGGATAATTGAGGGCTTCCATGGTGTTTCTTTTGTTTCTTTGTGGCTTGTGTTCTTATTGCCAACCATATTCTTACATATATATATATATATATCCATACAACTTATATGAGGAATTTTTAGGGGTCCACGTCATCCATTATGGGAAGTGTGTATGTGTTGTTGTTATTATTGTTATTATTATTGTTGTTTCATTTTGAAAATTAGGTGAAGAAAGCTGACATACTTGTTTAGAGAAGAGGGTGCAGACCTTGGTAAGTGCATTTTTCTGGTTTATTTTTCCTATATATACATACATAAATGTGTAGCATTGTTTTTTTGCACAATAAAATCGTACAAGAATTATACCAGAATTTAAATAAAATATAATAGTAAAAATAATTATTATATACTAAAAATAATTAAATAATTTAGTTAAAATTAATAAAATTATAAATTATGAAATCTAAAAATAATTAAAGTGTATAATCATATTTTCAAATTAAGCGGGGCTTGCAAAATAGAAAATATGGACAAATTTCGTAAGAATGAAAAAGTAATATGTTAAGGTTATGGCTTTTGAATTTTGAATATTTTTGGGAGTTTTGTTTTTGCGAGAGAAAATAATTATTTTACCGAATTGCATGTCTTGTCGGGTTAGATTCAGTTGGGGTTTATTTAAAGTGGGCTCAAAGAATAACGGCCGTGGATTTCTACGTTATAAAAAATTGGTTTGTTTGAATTTGAATTTTTATTTTCATTTAAATTTTGATTTAAATATTATTCTAGTAAAATTTTTGTTGAAAAAAATAATATATTTTTATTATAAATCATGTGGAATATAGTTTAAAACCAAAATCAAACAAACCTTCAATGTTGCTACAATATGTTTTATGTATTTGTACAAGGGCCATATAAATTAGAATGAAGGTGATTATAGTGTTGAATTTTTTTATTCAGCATGGTCACATATGATAGTAGAGAAATAGTTTGTACGAAGACGGTAGAAATTAGAGTGGAGGTTAGCATCGTCGAATGTAATAATTCAATAAGGTATTGGCAACCAATTAGAATGGTAGGAGGTGATTGTGTGGAAATCTAGCCGTTACCCATAATAAATAGGGAAATCATTAAAATTAATGTAAATATAAACATAAAATAGTACCACCTTAAACTTAACATAATAGCGTAATAGTTTTGTAATTGGTTTTTTACTATGTTACTTTCTTTTTAGAAGATTCCTAAGTCATTCTCAAAGTCAAGTTGAGAAATGGGGAGACTTTTTGTAAAATGTCATCACTTATCACTTCACTTGGAATCTAAATGGTCCATTATTTATTAATTTTTTCATTTCTTAAATATATATATATATATATATATATTGTCTGTTAAAAAAATTATGTATAATTTGTTTATAATAAATAATTTTATTCATCTAATAATTTATTATTGTAATTTTAATAAATAGGAGTACTTAATTTCTCATTAATTGTTTTTATTAATTCTATTATATTTAATAAATTTTTCATAATATCTTATTATATATTTTTATCTATTTTATTTTTATATTAAAAAAAAAATCTTACTTTTAAAATTTTTATAGTAGTTTGGAAATGTATGTATTTTTATGAGAAAGTAGTTATATTATTTAAATTTATAAAATATTTTAAAAATAATAAAACACAAACAATTTATAGCTTATTTTTAATAATTAACAACAAAATTTTGAACAAATTATAAACCCTAAAAAAAAACGAACCTTGAACATTATTGTAGTAGTATATAATGCTCGTGTATTTGTAAAGTAATGAAGTTGTGATTTCAAGATGAAATTATCTTTCGTTTAATTTTCAATAAAAATGTATCATTTTTTTTATATAAAATATCACATTAGAATACTATTTAAATAAAAAATTTAATTAATATTTTATGTTAAATTAATTTCAAATTATAACCCATCAAACTATAGTGTGATGGTTTTGTTATTAGGTTTTTCCTGTGTATTTTATTATCCTTTGTTTTTGGAAGATTTCTAAGCCATTCTCAAAGTCAGTTTGAGAAGTGGGAAGACTTCTGCTGAAATGTCATCACTTATCAGTTAACACTCCACTAAGAACATGAATGGGCCATTATTTATTTTTTATTTTATTTATATTATTATTTTTTACAATTAGTGGGTTAATACTGGGTTAGTATTTTAAAATAATAAATGAAAATATAACACTTTACACAATCTAATGAATGCCATAATATCAATTGTGGTTGCCACACATTTACCCAATACCATAGACGCCCTTGTAAAATTATCTACATATAATATACAGATATATATATATATATTAATCTAAGGCTGTGAAAACTTGAGTTGACAATTGGATAATAAAGAGTTCCTTTTTTATTTATTTATTGATAATTTACAAAAAAAAAAAAAAAAAGAGCAAGACAACCCCATAAGAAGCCAAGTCTTATAGTGCATGCATGGAGGAATCCCAAATTCCATTGCACTATCGTATACGGTCCCAATTTGTCATGCTCTCAAACAAATACACATATAGAGTGCTTTTCTAAGAGATATTATAACTGTTTTTAATTTTAATTTATTTTATAAATACAGAAAATAAATCTATTAAATATAGCATTTTATATAAAAATAAAATTCAATTTTGAGGATTTTTTAGCACAGATAAATTCCTTATGTAAAATTGAAACGGAAAAAACAAATGAATACACAATAACAATAAAAACACAAAAGCCTAACAAAAAACACAAAACATTATTCCTTAAAATATTTTCGGAATTTTCAAGTGTCACAACAAAAGCACTTAATTTTTATAAACACTAAAGAAAACACTCTTCTAATAATAATAATCATAATAATAATGTTTCATAAAATTATCTATGTTGGTTTACTTTATATTATTAGATGGAATGATCCCATAAATATTATATATATAAAAAAAAAAATACAATATAATATACACTCCATATACACTTTATTCACTTTAAAAAGAAATGAACAATTTAACAAAAAAAATATATATTATTTTTATATTACCGACAACGTATCTAACATATAAATAAATTAATTAATTAATTAATTAATCCAAAAATACAAAATGAACACAATCTCATGCTACTTTGTCATATAATATAATTATATTAGCAGTCACAATATTCCAACTATTAAATTTCATAATAACACCATTAAAATAATAATAAATAAAATAAAATAAACTCATTCAGCATCAAATTCAAGCGTAGATTATAACCTACACACATACGTATTTTCATAAATCACAAACAAATGGCATGCACAGTAAAATGATATCGTAAAGCCCGTTTACCTTAGCGGGCCAATTATGTCGCGCCACTCAAATGCCCGGCCCGATTTACTCCTTCCCGCCAATATTCCCAACGAAGCCATGAACCTAAACAATCTTCCAAACAGCAAATTTCAGTTAAGCCACCGATGTAACGAAACAGATTTGCAACGGCCCTTTACCTGTCAGAATTTGAGCCATTTCTTCTCTTTCTCGTTTCTGACAACGGCGTTCGACGTCGAGGCGAGTGCATCCTCGGCATCCGCCAACGCTTTCCGGGTTTCATTCAGCTTTCTCATCGCAGCATCGTGCACGGCCTTCTCCTTCTTGTTCCGGTTCGCCATTTCTTCAAGTCTCCCCACCTATGGTGTGGAAAATACTGAATTATCTAAAAACCGCAATATCATACAAAAAGAAAATATACCAAAATTTGGTACAATGAAACGGTATATATCGATACCGTACGAGCAATTTGATATACCAAATTTTTGGTACGGTATCGAATTAAATATTTATCATAACGAATTTTTCGGTATGTTGATTCTTTTATAAACCAAATTTTCGGTAAGACTATAATCGAATATTTTCGGTATACCATACTTACCTGCAGCCTTAGGTTCTTTATCTCGTCTTCGTACGCAAGTAGGGCCCGCCTGTCCTCTTTCTTTCCGTCCCCGTTCGCCGCTTTCTTCGCAGGCCCCCCACCGCCACCGCCACGTAGGATTTGTCCGTGCATTGCCAGCTGGTTGTTTATGAGTGAGAACACGTCTCTCGATTCTTCTTCCTCTTCGGCAGCCTTTGCTTCCGCAGCCAACTTCTTGTCGCGCTTCCGCTTACCGCCTCGAGTGCGCCGCTTCGACGACGACAACGGGGTCTCGTTGCCGATCCCTTCTTTTTTGATAGCTTTGATGGCATGATCGAGGGATTGTTTCGGCGGAAGAACCTTGACAGGGATCGGATTCACCATACCCTGTCCCGAAGCCCCTAATCCCATACCTTCTCGGAAGCCCATATTCGCCATCATCTTCGATGCGATGCCTCGGGTGTGATTCTCCCACTTGGCGAAAATGGCGGTTTCGGTTTGGACACCACTCTGCAAGGCTGTAGTTTGTAAGAATCCCAATCCGTTAGAGCTTTCGTCGTCTTCATAGTCGCTAGAATCGGATTGGTCTGAGGTTGTGTCCGTCGCTTCTATGTCGCTCGTCTGGGCGTATTCAGACAATGTAATGGCATCAGTTCCGAGTTTTGCTGAATTTCCATCGTCGCGGAAAACAACCTCTGCTGTTCCAAGCCTCTCATCCCATGATTCTAGCTCGGCCTCTCGCCAGATGCCTGCTTTGGTATCAGAAATGGCCAAGACAGTGGAACCAATCAACGAGGTTTCCCATGTTGTCGGAATATACTTCTTCAGGGAAGATATCGGGACATCGACACCTGAGATAGATAAATCGACACAATTAAACTATGGAATTACATTGAGGAGTTCGATATATAATGGGAATCATTCCAATTACGTGTGTTGGTTTAGGGGATTTTGGAGGATTTTTACAATTATTCCAAAAATTTCTGCCCAAAAATATCAAATCAAACACCTATTTTGTAATTTTGTATATTATACTAAAAATCAATTTACATTCAAATATACTAAAAATCACATGAATACCTACTTATATAACATGAAACAAATATTCTAATTCAAAATTTTACTATCTAAAATCCAAACCCCCAAACAAATATTTGATGTTCTACTTAAGTTTTGAATCAGTAGCTAGAACTAATGCACCAAAAGGAAAATGACTTGCCAAGATTGTTTTGGTTATAAACATACCATGCGATAATCGGCAATAACTACCAAATCGACATCGTTGCTGTAGAAAGAACTTGCACATCTGCACTAGGGTGGTCTAGCATTAGTGAGAGGATTGGACTTGAACAATCTTCCTCATGCATAAGAATTATGAACGACAAGAATTAAACACACTATGCTGCAATAAGAAAAGTAGAAATAAGTGTCATGGAAGCAAGGAACAGTGAGTATCGAAGCTTTGATGGTGAATCGCAGAAGACTCAATCGAAAATAAATACATATATTTTACATGTCAAGATTTATGAGATGTTCAGAAGCAGAATCGCGTTATAAGTTAACATTGATTCTGCAAACCATCAGACAACAATGGGACATAAATATGTGCAATAGTTTATAAAATGCTGGCTAGAAAATCACCTAAATCGACACATAACAAACTAAACAGTCCATAAATGATAACAACTCTACAATTGCATTATTGACAACAAAGAAAAAGTTCCCCAATATCAAACTTAGAAACATTATCTGCACCATACTGAAATTATTTCCTAAAGTCAGAAATACTATCGGCATACTAAATACAAATTATTTAGTAAATGAAGATACTATTACGTTATAATATACTATAGCTACTTTTAGCTCTAGAAAGGGAAAGAACATTGTGCAAGATGAACATACAATGAAACAAATGAATGAAAATGAAGAAGATGAAGAGTATTCATACAAGGGTAGAAGTGAGGAACATGAAAAAGAGGAAAAATATTACCTATTAGATTTTGATCCAATTATTTTTTTATTATATATCTATATAAACTATGATTCTATATTTAATGACATATAAAAAATTATTATATATACATCTGAAAGCTATATTTTTTTTTGCTTATATAACTTCTAATATCTATTTGTCATAGTAGTAGTAATCTGTTAGTATAAATTAGCACGAGGGATATAAACAGATAATAGTGAAGATTCAAATGTAAAACTTAAAATACATATGGTAATAAACCTAGAGGACGTACGTGTTAAATGACAAACTCACCAACATACTTTCGGATGTCGGATTGAGGAAAGATATCTTTGCAGACTCAGAACCTTCCAATCCAATAACGACTCCATTGTACCACCGCCCATCAGTATGGCGGAATCTACATTTGGATCCAACAGAGTAGCTTGGATCCTCAAGCGGTTCAGCTTCAACTTCGGCTGGATCCAAGGGCTCAGCTGTAACATCATTCGAACTAAGTGTTCCTTGTAAAACTGCATCGGCCTCTCGCAGCAACCTCGCCCTTTTCAGGTGAAAAAGACCATCCTCAGCATCTTTTATAGCCTGAACTAGATCGGCATGAACCTACATAATACAAAATATATATCTCGTTGAAGGAAACATAAAAGTGTAAAGAGAAAAGGCAATTTAATCATGGGGTTTCTATTGATTTCTTCACTATATTTGGTTGTTAGTTTTACTTAGTTTGTGTCGCTTAAAAGCATCTTCACTCCAACCTTACAGTTCATCTGAAACACTCGTACACATACAAATACAGTACATCCGAATTCCTATATTCAAAAATTACCCAATCCTTGACTATTTAAATTCAGATTCAACCAAAAACACATACAAACATCCTAAAATTGAATAAATGATTGTAAATCTACCAAATCATTCAATCATTAAAAGATATGAAGATACAAAAACACTAAAATTAAACATGCATTGATGATAATCTACACATTCTTCAGACTTCGCATGATATCTCACAGGCAGGAAGCACTTTAGGTTATAAATTTTAACTAATAGGATCACCTCCTCACGCTATATATTCACACGAATCTTCAACAAATTGAGTAGAGCCTGAACTGAGAACGACATTTATTTAACATGCTTTGTACGAATGTTCCTGCGCAATTCCATCAATATTTACCTTTTTCCAGAGAGGAAAATTATACAAACACCAGATCAGATTGAAGATTTGTAACTACAAAATTCAACAAATTAACCTCTCCAGAAAACAAAGAATAGAATAAAATTCCAAAAAATTCACAACCACATACACTGACATCAAATATGCTAATGTGCAACAGCGTAGGGTTCCATGAGGCGTTACCGCGAGTAGTTCAGCGTTAGAGGGGTCGCCAGAGATGGCGTCATTGACGTCGGCGAGAGAATCCTTCTGCTCCTTCAGCTGAAACTGGAGCTGCTCTTCCAAAGCCCTTTCTTCCTCTTCATCCGCCATTGCCACTACCGACGACCGAGCGAGAATAAGAAGGGAAGAGCGATACAGAACAAAAGCGAAGAAAATAAAAAGCGCGGTCTTAAAACTGCGATTTCCTTCCGGGTTTAGCGACTTTAATTGGACTCTTTTAGGCTGTAAAGCGGGCTGGCATCTTGGGCCCAATTTTAATTTGCAAAACATATTGGGCCTAAAGTAATAAAGTAATCAATTTTAATTCCATTCTATATTCTTTAATAAATATAATCCACATTCATAAAGTAATAATCACTGTATATGATATGCCGGCGAAATAAGATTCTATAATGATGGCATTTGAGTTTGTATTTACACTAACTAAATTTTTATTTTTTATTTTTTATTGTATTTACACTAATCTCATCATCAATTCTACTTTAATTTAAAAATTAAATTACTAATTCTATACAAATTATAATTCTATCATTATTAAAATACTAAAATAATATTTAATACGCTCTTAGTCCCAAGTAAAAGTATTATTTGTATAATTATAGTATATTCAACTAAAAGTATCAATTTCTCTATCATACTAATTATATATTAATATTTAAATATTCATAATTTTCACATTAATTATAATATATAGTCATATATATACATTCTTATATATATTTTTAGCTAATAAAAATAATATTATTTTTCAATCTAAGTATAAAAATTAAAAGAAAAAATAATAGATTCATATATTAAAGGAAATAATATATATTCTTTAATCTTCATAAAAAAAATGATTGATGATATTTTTACAAAAAAAAAAAATAATAAATTAGTTATTCTAAAGTCATTAGTTCAAATTTCATAAGTCTATACGTCCATGTGTCATACATGGTTCGTTAATATGATACATAATTCGCATAATATAGTTTGTATTTGTCGAACTTAGTTTGTTGTATATCATTTTCGGACTAAGTATCGATGATAGTGATTTCGAGTTCAACGTTATCAAAAAAAATAATACTAGTAATAATAAATATACTATTTACTTATTTACATTTCTCTATAATGATATTTTAATTAATATTCTTATTCAATAGGGCCCGCTAAACTTAATCACACTAACATGACGGTGATAAATCCAAGCCCACGCCACACAACACCAGATCATTCTATTTTAATAGGAGAACTATAATATATTGAGTCAAGAAGGAAGGATTATAATTTTATGTTTTAAAAAATGAGAAAATTCGATAATAAAACCTCCTATTTGCTACAAAGGCCTCGATTTTACGCAAATCCAAACACGCCTTATTGGTGAAAAGTTCCCAGTCGGAGAATCATCCTGGGCATCTTCCCCACCTGCATAGCAAATTTCTGAATTTTGTAGTTTCCACCGGAGAAGAAGTACATATGGAGAAAGGCAAAGCAGTGATGGGCTCCGGCCGCCGCTGGGCGGTGGAATTCACTGACAATTCAGCATCTCATTCAGCGCGAGATATTCCCGATCCGCCAGGCTTCACTCGCTCGTCGCAAGAACAGGTATTTCAATAAATGAAAATTCAGGCCGAATTAGTATAGTGATCGGAATTCTCGCGTTGTTTCTCATGTTAGGATGATTCGGCCGGGAGTAAACAGAAGAAGGACGCTGAAGCTAATTGGAAAGCTCAGGTAAACTTTTGTGCATCGTATTGACCTAATTTTAATCGAATTAGGGTTTTGGATTGGATTCATTGATTCCCTTAATCTCGAGGATTTTTAAGTGTTTCCGAACGAGTTTAGTAATGCAATGAACAAAATCGGTTATACTTTTCGATATTTTCTTCCCAAGAAGTTAGTGTGAAAATTATGATTCCTTAATAACTTTTTCTTTAATTAGTTAATTTGCAAATCAATCATAGCAGTCTTCAAAGTGGTTTTGTTGGTGAATTTTCAGAGAAGAGATGATTATTTTGTGTCTTGCTTTTACCTTTCGATTTGTAGGAGTCATTTTTTTTGTAATGTGGTGTTAATTAACATGCTCTGTCTATTTGAAGGGGCAAGTTTTGAATAGTTTGACGAGTCTTCGAATCATTCTGAACATTTAAATATTTAAACAGAAAGCATGGGAAGTTGCACAAGCGCCATTTAAGAACTTGTTCATGATGGGCTTCATGATGTGGATGGCGGGAAGCACTGTTCATCTTTTTAGCATTGGTATAACAGTTTCGGCACTGTTTCAGCCGATCAATGCACTTCGAGGAGTCGGGAAAGGTGGGGGTTTAAATTTTTAATCTGCACTTTATACTTGGCTATTGTTGTTTAGTTTTGTTGGGGTGAATAATCCATTTTTGATAGCTGCCTGATGATTTGCTATTCGTAGTCTCTATACTGCTTTAGCATTTGATCCTCATTGTAGATGTCCTGTATTGTCGAACATTTTTCTATTTTCTTGATCTTGATTGTTGTGATTATCACGCCCTTTGAGCGCGGTTTTTGACTTCAAGAAATAGTTGTGGGAATTGTACATACGTCAATTACTAAATTGTTTTGCGGACAAAAAATTCATCTCATTACACAGTCTTCTCGTCTAAATTGTCTCATTACATTGTTTTTGCAGTTTTCGAGCCATACAAGGACAATAAAGTGGATCTTCTCGCACCGAAGTTGGTGTTCATTGCCCTTAATTTGGTGGGCTTGGCATTAGGAATATGGAAGGTTTGTTCTCTACCCTCTACCAAAGCCTGGATCGTGAAACTTCCATTGAAACGCTACGACTGAAAGTGTGTTGGTTTAGTGTTTATGGATTTAAGTATTTTTGTTATGAGATCAGGAAATTGTATAAGTATTACTCATAAGAAATGGTGTTTGGTATGTTTTATTGACTTTTGTGTGTTTTTGTACACTTTTATTGTTGTGTGTATATATTGTAATTTTTAGATAATATTTTTGAAAAATAGTGTAAGAATAAAACACTAAGTGAACACACTCTTACTGCCTTTATTTCCCTTATTGACAGCTTAATACACTTGGGCTTCTGCCAACTCATGTGTCGGATTGGGTCTCGTCGTTACCTCCCCCACAGGTTTGATGTGTTCAACTAATATCATATCATTCTCTGAATATCTTGCGAAATTGAATAATTTTAATAGTATGGTTTATCATTTTTAAAAGTTTCACATATGAATCTTCTTCTACATCTTGGATAATGATTCGAGTGGTTATGGTTTCGACAATTAGATCTAAACGAAAGAAGCGCATAGTACTAATCCTTCGTTTCTTGCTTTACCAAAAAATAAAATGATCCGTAATTTCCAGTCTTGCTTTCTTAAAACACACTCTTACGGGTTCTCGTTTTTTCCCAACTTAAGGAGGTTGAGTATTCCGGCGGAGGTATTCCTCTTTACTAGCTTTGTCTTTGAATTCACCAGCCGAGATGAGATTTACCGAATCAAGATGCGAATTCTGCATTGGTGATGGAGTTTCGCATGCTCGACTCAGGTGAAGACTTCAGTTTTTTCTTATATTTTTGGAACGAATTCATCGGCATATTCGTGTACTGTATATTATAGCGGTGAAGAAAACAAGAACTTCTCTTAGTTCATCTTGCCTTGACTTGATTTTGGATTGCTGTTTTGGAGTGTGTTTTGGACATTTTATGGTGTTTTGTTACAGCAGCGCTACTTCTAAAGATTAGCCAATTTTTTTTGACATAATTTCAGTTGTATGTTTCTTTCACACCAACTTATTTTTTTAAGATACGGACTTCCATATATATATATATATATTATTTTATTACATACAAGTTAACATTTCATATAAAATATTAATTTTTATATTACTCACACAAATTCATTTAAATTTTTGGCGGTATGATTATAATGAATACTATAAAATATACAATATATAATATATTTTATTTATTCACAAATAATAATTAAATATAAAATATTATTTTTTATATTACTAATATATAGAAAATATATGATATAAAAAATAAATTCATATATATAGTGTTAAAATGAGTAATATTAAACGCATTTTATTTGGTGGGAGTAATATTTATATTTCTATTTTATTTGTAATTTCATTTTTTATGTTAAAAACATTCTTATTTTTTTCTTATCACATATTTAAAAATAAAAAAATAAATATTTTATTAACTTTTACACAATTCATTAAGAACTAATAATAACTACCTCAAATATTTTTAAGCAAAAACTACCAAAACTAAACTCTAAGAACATATTCTACTGGTACAACAACACCAACAACTACTACTATTATTATTATTATAAAAAATATAATAAATACAAAAATAAACAAAGGGATAATAGGCGGCCCCACCGCCGAATGCAAGTTAATATTCGAAGCCACGCTAAATCTCATAGCAAAAGTTTTTGGAACATCTTATCTCCAAATTACCCAATCCATTCTCGTCGTCAGCGGAGGATGCCAGCCGCGACCTCGCCGTGGTAAAAGGGACGCCGCCCCTCCCCTGGACGCCTTCTCCGCAGAGGAGATACGCCTGCTCCACGACTGGGGAAGAACTTCCAGGTCAAATACCCAATCGTCGCCGCCATTTCCGGTAATTGACTTTCTATCTGAAACCCTAATTGATCCATATCTAGGTTGAACTAACTGTTAATAATATAAAATTGAACATAATGTGTGCGTCCGCGTTCGCGCTCTGCTGCAGCGTGCTTGAATCAATTTGAGTATGTGGATTTCAGCTACTGATTTGAATTTGGATAATAAGCTGCTCGTAGGTTTTTATTGATGGTTTATGAATTTATATGTACTGCTCTTGTATGTATATATGTTTTGATGAATTTTCCTTTGTTGATGATTGTAGAACTCAACTGACACAATTCAGTTTCTCATTGCTGAAAACAAAGTCCGCTGTGATTGTTCCCTTAACTCATCGATAGGAACCATTTAGCTGCAGCGTGCTTGAATCAATTCTGAGTATGTGGATTTCTGCTACCGATTTGAATTTTCATCATAAGCTGCTTGTAGGTGCTACTGATGTTTCAATGTAAATATATTGTGCTAAATCTTTCTCTGTTGATGATTATAGAACTCAACTGATACAATTCAGTTTCTCACTGCTGAAAACAAATTCCTCTATGATTGTTTCCTTTAACTAATCTATTGGCAGCATTTAGCATCCATTGCTCTCTGCAACTTTTTTTTTTACATATATATTTCTCATTTTATCATTGTTGGTGTATGGTATGTGATGCGGAGGCAGACTTGCATATGATTGGCCTCAAATTGAAAACAATTATTTTTCTCTAACTTTTGGCATGTCTAGTTTATTGTAAGAATTAATATTGATGTTCATCCAACATGCGCAGCCACAATGACAAGCATTAAGGATTGGGTTTTTTCTGAAATGATATCCAATTCGTTTGGTTCAACCTGGCCATTGTCATTATCAGAAAGATTTTTGTCAAGGGAATCTCAGAGTGAAGAACCTGGAATCTCAGGTAATCACCTCTTGTTCCCCTATTCCGTCAAATGCTGTGAAATAGATTGTCCAACAGATGGACTATCTAGATGTTGTGTAGTCTATTGAAATTTTGTCCATTGAAATCTTGATTTTCTTTCTTTTTGTTATTAGCCAGAAACCAGTTCCATTTTGGTTTACTTTTTAATATGCTTTGGTCACTATATATTCTATAATAATTTGGAACCATAATATCAAAAAATTGAAATCTACTTTCTCCATTCTAAATCATAATCACACTGATGTTCTGATTCAGGCATCTGGTAATATTTTTGGGTTAAAATTACACCTGACCTGGTCCTGGATTAGAAAATCAAAACTTAGACGAATCGTGGCAGGTTTACTAGTAGGATGGGTTGATTCGGTTCCCATAAAAGTTAGAAAGGTGGGTTATGGGTTTTAGTCAAACCACCCAGAAGCTGCAAGCTGCCGTTTCTACATTTTTGTGTCTATATTTATTCATGCCGATTTATTTTATCACATCTGTTACTTGTTATGTTATGCAGCATCAGGTACAACTCAAACCAACAATGCTGATGCGATATCACAGCCAGTTTCTAGTGAAGCAACTAGCTCATCTAGTCAATATCCGAGTACCTTGTCACCACAAGTAGGAAACTCTTCTCGCTCAAATATTACTGATGAGGAAAAGAAACAAGGCCCTCTTGCAGAGGTCGAAGCTCTACAAATTAAATTCTTGCGTCTTCTTCGCCGCTTGGGGTTGCTGCAAGATAATCTGACGGTGGCAAAAGTTTTATATCGAATCCACCTTGCAACTTTGTTGCGAGCAGGAGAATTGGATCTAAAGCAAGCTAGTCTCAAAAGCGATAAAGCTCTAGCAATAGCTGGCGAGCAAGAAGAAATCGGCCAACCGGAACTGAACTTTTCTCTTAAGATACTTGTCTTGGGAAGAACTGGCATCGGAAAGAGCTCGACGATAAACTCCATACTCGGCGAGTCGAAGGTCGCCACGGATGCATTCCACCCTGCAACCGATCGTGTTCAAGAGATTGTGGGAAATCTAAATGGTGTCCGGATATCTTTTATCGACACACCGGGACTGTTACCTTCCTCGAAAAACTCCGACAGTAGAAATCGGAAGATACTGTATTCCGTCAAGCGGTACATTCGGAAATCACGTCCGGATGTTGTCTTATATTTCGAGCGCCTTGACTTGATCAGCTCGGGTTACTGTGATTTGGGGCTGCTGAAGCTTATAACTAGCATTCTCGGCTCGGCAATTTGGTTCAGCACCAATATTGTCATGACTCATTCCTCGTCGGCTCTTCCCGAAGGTCCTAATGGATATCCGGTGAGCTACGATTCTTACGTCAATTACTGCACGCAGGTGGTGCAGCGTCGTATTCATGAAACAATCCTGGATACAAAACTTGAAAACCCGGTGATTCTGGTCGAAAATCATCCTCACTGTAAGGTGGATAGTTTCGGGAAGAAGGTTCTTCCCGACGGGCAGGCGTGGATTTCCCGGTTCATGTTCTTGTGCGTATGCACAAAGATTCTTGGCGACGTCAATAGTCTTTTGGGCTTCGAGGACACTATACGTCTCGGGCCTTTGGGTAGCTCCCGGTTGCCATCAATGCCTCATTTACTCTCGTCTTTCCTTAAACATCGTGTTAGAATCAGCCCCGACGGGGCTGATGACGACATCGATGATCTCTATATATCCGACATGGAGGAAGACGACGAGTATGATAAGCTGCCCCCGATCCGGATGCTGACTCGAACTCAGTTTCAGAAGCTGACCCCTTCTCAGAAAAAGGATTATCTCGACGAGCTTGACTACCGGGAGACTCTTTATTTGAAGAAACAGCTGAAACAAGAGTGTTCGAAAAGACGGGAAAAATATAACAGTGATGACCGGCTACCCGCCGACGAGAGCCCTGACAATGATCAAGGGCCTCCTGAGTCGATCGTGCTCCCGGATATGGCTGTCCCGCAGAGCTTCGATTCGGATTCCCCGATTCATCGCTATCGCTGCCTTGTCACGACCGACAAGTGGCTCGCGCGGCCTGTTCTCGACCCTCACGGGTGGGATCACGACGTCAGCTTCGACGGGATCAATCTCGAGATAGCCGCGGAGTTACGGAAGAACGTTACGACGTATGTGTCGGGACAAATGAGCAAAGATAAGCAAGATTTCAACGTCCAGTGCGAGTCGACGGTCGGATTCTCGGATCCTCGAGGGCGCATGTACTCGGTAGGCCTCGACGCCCAATCGTCCGGGAAGGATTTGATCTGTTCTGTCCGGAGCAACGCGAAGCTGAGGATCTTCGACCGCAACGCAACCGAATGCGGCGTTTCGGTGATGTCATTCGGAGACAAGTACTATTTTGGCGCCAAAATTGAGGACCGGGTCTCGACCAAGAGTCGACTGAGCTTCAAAGCGAACGCCGGCGGGATTTCGGGCGCCGGCCAAGTCGTGTACGGCGGAGGCTTGGAAGCTTTGATCAAGGGGAGGGACTACCCGGCGAGAGACGATGGAATGACGCTGGCGATGACGATCCTGTCGTTCAAAAACGAAGCGGTGTTGGGCGGAAGCATCGGCTCCAACTTCCGGCTGAGCCGCCGGACGAGAGCGGCGGTGACGGCGGAGGTGAATAGCCGGAAAATGGGACAGGTTAGTGTGAAGATTAATAGCTCTGAGAATATGGAAATAGGGTTAGTTGGTGTAGTGTGTTGTATGCTCAAAGGCATGCTTAGGAAGAAGGCGTGCAATAAAACCAGCACACTGGCAATATTGGAAACCGGGTAGGGTCGAGTAGATTCGGGTCGGGTATTAGTTTTGTTACCTTACTTTCTTCATGTCGTGAAATTGTAGGCTGTGTTTATGTTTTGGGCTTTTTACGGGATTTTTATAATTCATATACATATATCTACAAATATCAAATTATATAATAATTTTTATATTATATTATATGCTAAAATTTATATCTAAAACATTTATGTTTTTTCACACTTATTATTGTTTAATGTTTATTTATAATCTATCCATCTCATTCTAATTGATATTCTTTTTATTTTGTCTTTAGGTAAGAACCATTTAAAACTATTTATGTATCTCTTTTTAACAAAAAAATAAATATTTTTATTTATATTTAAAATTTAACTCTTTTTTGATAAAATTTATTTATATTAATTATAAATAAATAAATAAATTTTTTTATTTAAGAAATTTTATTTTTTATATTTATATTGTATATATATTTTTTATTGCAATATAATTTTTAAAATATTTAAATATATATTTAATTTTATAAAATTTTATACATTAAAATTTATTTAAAAATTATCACTATTATTAATTATATAAAAATAATAAAATAGATATAATTTATTATTATTAACTAATCAAATATCATTATTTTAAATATTGTATTATGTCAATATAGCCAAAAGGGATAAAATATTACTCCCTCCAGGCTCTATGGTCACATTTATCTTATATTTGTATAACTTTTAGTATAAATGTCAGTATTATAAAATTAAATATATTTTAATTAGTGTTTTTAATATTTAAATTCATTTTAATCGCGCCGTTAATATATAAACTAGCATTAGTTAGTTATGTCTGATTTTTATTGAAATTAAAGGTTTGTTTTTTAATACCAAACGCTAAACTAAAATTTTGCAAACAAAGAAAAAAAGAAAACACACTCTAAGATATCACCTATATACACAAATACGCGTATAGTTGTAGTCGTATACGAAACGTTATCTCCTCGTGTTTCCCAATGTATACGGAGTATATCTATATATATCTAGATAGAGAAAGAGAGGGGCACGGAATAGTTAGCAGTTGGCACCGTCGACATTTCTGGCTACGAGATCTGATTTGATTTTATAGAGAGATGGAGAAAGCAGCTGATAGGCAGAGGGTGTTGCTACAGCACCTCCGTCCGTCGTTCACGTCGTCTTCTCTCGAAGATCTCGATTCTTCAATTTCTGTGAGTGTTTATTTTAGTTTTTCGTTTATTTTCTTCAGTATTTAGGAAGTTATCTTATGTTTGATTGGGGTATCGGTATATGATGTTTACTGATTTGATTGGAGTTTCGGGAGGTTGAGGTTTTGAGATTCTGGTGCGATTTGCGAATCAAAGATTATGAGATTTGTGATGGTTTACTGATTAGGTTTGATTCGAATAATTGGAGCAGGATTTCATTGATCGGAATTGTTGCTTTGTTTATCGTCACTGTTCTGTCTTGCTATGATTTCATTTCGTACTTCTATATTGATGCTAAATGTCTGATTACAAAAAGGAAAGATGGCTGAGAAGATACTTTTAACTCTTAGATACACACGGAAATAGTGTTTTTCATCGATTTGTTTCCCACTAAAATCTATGCAATCAAAAGGTGATGTTTGGGCAGACAGCCGTCATTCTTCCTTAAATCTTTTTCCGCAGGCGTTAAAATTTGCCTTTAAATGGCAAAAAAGTAAAATTGAACTTTCTAGAAATCAGATGGACTTTAGTTACCTTTTGAATTGAAAGTATAAGAAAAACATGAAATCAATTACTCCATCTTTTCTACTACTATAGGTGACATTCATTATATTTAGGGAGTGATATGATATAGAAAATGCAAATTAGAGTGTGATGTTCTTTATTTTTCCAGTTTGACATGTACTGGATTGGAATATTTTTCAATGTAACTTTGTTATTTTAATCAGGCATCAATATGTTCAGCTGGGGACAGTGCAGCATATCAGCGTTCTTCTGTGTTTGGTGATGATGTGGTTATAGTGGCGTAAGTTTCCTCGTCTGATATATTCTAGAATTAAGGTTCATGTCCATGTTGGTTAAAAATGTATGTTCCGATCTATTTTATATTGCCTGGAGATGATATGTTTGGGATTGCACAGTGCTCATCGGAGTGCTCTTTGTAAGTCAAAGAGGGGTGGCTTCAAGGATACCTATCCTGATGACTTGCTCGCTCCTGTGCTGAGGGTTCGTTTCTGCTTCATTGTTTATAATTCTCCAGAAACTAATTACAAGTTCTGAATATTTTATGCTTTCGCTACTTGTATGAATTACAGGCATTGATTGAGAAAACGAACGTGAATCCTAGCGAAGTTGGGGATATCGTTGTAGGCACAGTTTTGGCACCAGGGTCTCAAAGAGCAAGTGAATGCAGAATGGCCGCCTTTTATGCCGGTTTCCCTGGTAGCTTGTCTATCCTTTCATACCTTTTATGTTGTTATAATTGTTGGGAATTTCGGGATCAATTTTGAGTTCTACATGATACACATAGATTTAATGCAAATGTTACACCTGCAGAAACGGTGCCTGTTCGAACTGTGAATAGGCAATGTTCATCTGGTCTTCAAGCTGTAGCTGATGTTGCTGCAGCTATCAAAGCTGGTTTCTACGATATAGGTTTGCTGATATATTTCCATATAATGCCTTGGAAGATATAACAGAAAGACTGTTCTTTACTCTGTTATTTAGCTGCCTTAAATTTTAATCAGGGATCGGCGCTGGCTTGGAATCGATGACTATTAATCCCATGGCTTGGGAAGGATCTGTGAATCCAAGGGTAAAATCTTCCCTCGAGACTTGTTCGCGCTGTTTTAAGCTTTTTTTATCAGAAACTCCATTCCAACTGAGCTACTTTATACACTTTAGGTCGAATCTATGGTAGAAGCACAAAACTGTCTTCTTCCAATGGGTATCACTTCAGAAAATGTTGCAAATCGATTTGGTGTGACTAGGCAGGAGCAAGATCAGGCTGCGGTAAGTTGATCACATCTGCCCAAATACTGTGGAGTCGGGTTAATGGTTCTAAGATCGAATGTTCTTTTCAGGTAGAGTCACATAGGAAAGCTGCTGCTGCCACTGCTTCAGGGAAATTCAAGGACGAGATCATACCAGTGAAGACTAAGGTGTTAGAAAATGTCTCAGACACTTTGATCTGTTGTCTCTCTCTCTTTCTATTCACATTTTTGTAATTCTGAGTTTAATTTGGATGTTTGAAGCTTGTGGACCCGAAGTCAGGAGATGAGAAGGAAGTAACAATCTCTGTCGATGATGGCATAAGGGCAAACACAACAGTGGCAGACTTGGGCAAACTGAAGCCCGTTTTCAAGAAAGACGGATCAACCACTGCTGGTAAAAAGTGGTGCCGGATTACAAGAACTTTTTATAAGTGTACATTCTCATAAACTCTCATCTTTTGTTTCCGAGTATCCTTCAGGGAACTCCAGCCAGGTTAGTGATGGTGCTGGAGCCGTACTCCTCATGAAGAGACGGGTGGCAATGGAGAAAGGACTTCCCATTCTGGGGGTATTTAGGTCTGTAAGAATTTCCGTTTTGTCTGATAATTTGGTTTTGGAGAAGTATCGCAAACTGTTTCGTAAATTGTTTGAGGAGCTATATGTCTTTCCCATTTCACATGACATTGTTGATTCTTTTTTTTTTTTTTTTTTTAATGACGAATTTCATTTGTGCAATCAATCTCTCTACTGCTACTGCAGGACCTTTGTTGCTGTTGGTGTAGATCCTGCCATCATGGGAATTGGGCCAGCGGTTGCAATTCCTGCTGCCGTTAAAGCTGCTGGTCTTGAACTTGGAGACATAGATCTCTTCGAGATTAATGAGGTAATAATTTGACTTCACATTTTCGTCACTGTGCAAATATGTCATTCGTGAAATAATGTCTTGTGCTTGTGCAGGCATTCGCTTCGCAATTTGTGTACTGCCGCAAGAAGCTTGAACTCGACCCCGAGAAGATTAATGTGAATGGAGGTGCCATGGCCATTGGGCATCCTTTGGGTGCAACAGGTTCGCTACCTTTAGTGTGATCGATCTTATTTCGTACGGGAAATGGAAATGAATCCATTCTTGATACAAACTTGTTCTCGGCATTGTTCGCAGGTGCCCGTTGTGTTGCCACGTTGTTGCATGAAATGAAGCGTCGTGGAAAGGATTGTCGTTTTGGTGTAATATCCATGTGCATAGGTAATGTTGAAATATTTTATATATTCAGTTTTAGATATATTAGATTCAGGTTTATATTTAATCTTATTATTTGTATAATTTTTTTTTAGAAATGTCATTCTATTACGGAAGTATTTTTGCAATTTTTTTTTAATTTGTATTACATTTTGATATAATAATTAATATCCAAGTATCAACACCCAAAAAAATAAATGAAATCTTTAGAGTCTGACGGAGGTAGTATTATTTAGATATGAGTATATCAAGTCTGTTTTATTTATTTTGATGATCAATAAAATAAATTATCAGTTTTCATAATTTATTTTCACAGTACGCCCACACACATTCCGCCTCTGTCTCTACATTCGACATTTAGTGTGATAGAATCGACTGTTTTGCAGGTACGGGAATGGGGGCTGCGGCTGTATTTGAAAGAGGGGACTCGTGCGACGAGCTAATGAACGTGAAAAAGGTCGAATCGCACAACTTCCTATCTAAAGATGCAAGGTGAAGGAACACTTTCGCCATATCTCTCCCTTATCATAAGGTTGGGTTCCTAATAAAGCTATCCTATGCATAGCATATGTTATCGTTTCCATGATAGTTAGTATCATGAGGAAGACTTGTATGGTTCATGTAATTCTATTCCCTACACTTTATATCCAAACATATATATATATATATATATATATGCCTAAGAGGTGAAATAATAATTGTGCTCCATAAAGATGAAGAAATTCTGTTTTTTATTACCGTGTGAATATTTGTTAGAGCAAAAATCAATTATGGTCAGTAGCTTCAAAACATTAAGGGTAGGGTATTTTTCTTTTGATGTAATTTGAAAATTTCTAGTTTGGATTTGGTATTAAATAATGTATAATGAGATGTTTTGAAACAAATAATTTGAGGTTAAAAGAAACAAATTCTAAATTAAATAACAATAATTTCACTATTAGTCATTAGAAATTATTTCTCTATTGCTGAATTTATGCAAATTGGATTGTGCAAGGATATTTATAGATAATAGTATTATGATACTAAAATGAAATAGATAGATAAAAATTAAATTAGGTATTATGAAAAAATTATTAAGAAATTGATAAATAAAAATAATAAAATATAAGTTTATAATATAGAAATTCGCAGGGATAGCTACCAGTGCACACCAGGTAAATTCTGCAAATTAGGCATCGTGTGCCGCGCGGGAGGGCCAAAACTGCAACAACCAGGCTTGTGATTATTTTTTTTTTTCCTTTTTTTATAAAGTATTTTTAGAATTTATATATATATATAAAAATTGTCAAGGATAATTGGAGTATTTTTGAAAAGTAAATTAGAAATTAAAAGAATAGGAGAAATAAAGTAATAAAGATGGTGATATTCGTTGTAAATAAAGATTGAATAAAGAAAAATAATTAAATATTTGTTAATTTTGCTAAATTAATAATAAGATAAATTTAGCGGAGAAGATTAAAGTTAGAGTAAATGTGGGGGACGGACTGAGTATTTACTTTAATTTCCTAATTAATATATTAATTAAATAAATCTTACAATCCAAGGATTGTTCTTTATGCAAAAAAATCTTCCATATTTTTTTTTGTAAAAAAAATAATATATTAAATATATTTATTATTTTTATTTATTTTATATTTAGTTCTTTATATTTTACTGTTGTGAGTGAGCCAGTGATTATGAGTTTAGTAGTGTGTATTTTCGGATGGTACGTTATAAAAAAATAAATAAATAATAATGACAATATAAAGAAATAAAAGGAATGGAATAGTTGGCGGTCCCCTTCAACAAATGCAAATTAATAAAGTATTCGGATTTTCACTCAACCCACACTCACTCGCTCACTCAGTATTATTTATTATTGGAAATTTCTGGAACGCCTCTCATATCCCTGTTCCAATTCCAAATCAAAAATCCCCAAATCTCTCAGATTCATCCATCCATGGAGCTCACGCCGCAGCAGCTGAAGAACTACGACGGCACCGATCCATCGAAGCCGATCTACGTGGCCATCCGCGGCCAGATCTACGATGTCACCGCCGGAAAGTCGTTTTACGGCCCCGGCGGCGACTACCACGTCTTCGCCGGTAAGGATGCGACCCGCGCCCTGGCGAAGATGAGCAAGGACGAAAACGACGTCGTGCCTTCCGTCGATGGACTCTCCGAGAAGGAAATAGGCGTGCTCAACGACTGGGAGAAGAAATTCCAGGCCAAATACCCGACCGTCGGCACCGTCGCCGGTAACTAACTTCTCTGTCTCCAATCGTACTTATTTCGATGCGATCCACCGCTAAATCGAACGATTTATCAATAATTTTCAATTACATATATAAATCGGTGTGTGTATTGAACTGTTGTTGGCTGCTCTATCTGTGATTGAATTTGGCTGTGTGGATTTGTAATTGTATGAAGCAGTTTGTGCGTATTCATAAATGAATAAATAAATCTGTGGTGTTTGTGAATTTAGTGAGTCCGATTATGTAGAATATCATCTTTTTCTTCTTCTTCAACAACGTATCATTATCATCTTCATGTATGAAATAATAGCAGAGCAGAGATGTAATCAATTGTAAATTGTAATCAAAACAAGTTGTGTGTATGTATGGTTGAACTTGAGGATTGCAGTGGGAGATATTTTTGGAAATCATAAGCGTTTGGTACGGAGAAATGGACAAATAAATGACTTTTTCCTTGAGGTGGGGTGTGTTTGTTTTTGGGATTTTGATATGATATAAAAGAAATTTAGTGAAGTTTTATAAAAAGATACACCTTAAAACTTTTTTATTAATTAGGATAATTGAATAGGTAATATATAGGGAATAAAAACTATATATGTGTAGTAGTATTATAAGACACTGATACAAATATTTTTTTTAATTTCTATTGCGTTTTTATATAATAATTAATATTCAAATATCAACGCCTTCATATAATAATTAATATTCAAAGACCAATACACAAAAAAAAAAAAAAAAAGTAAATAAGATCTTTAGAGTCGGATGAATGTAGTAATATATATATTGTGCCATAAATTATACTCTCTCAGATGTTATATTTATTAAAAATATTGAAAATACTAAGTATAATTTTTGTGTACAAATGTCATTCTATTAGTATTAACACGCAAAAACTAAATGAGATTCTTATGGGACCCAGAGGTAGTATTTTTTTTTATAATAGTTATAAAAAAATAGTGACAAAGAAAAAAAAATGAAAATACATACACGAAGGGATCTAAACTTCTATTCAATTAACTATTAGTAGCTATATACATTAGCGAATTATGCTAATTAAAGTGAAAAAATTCTTGAAACTCATTTACGTGTTTGATTGAATAAGATAATTGCTAAATACTTTCTTAAGCTTTCAAAATAAAAATGAAAAGAGAAATACAAAATACTAAGAAATCGCATAGCGCCAAATATGCACTATAGGAATTTTATTTTAGTTATAAATATTAATCCTTGCTCTCTAAAAGGTATTTTTTTTTATATTATTTTATATCATATACTTTTTAATATTTAGAAAACAAAAAAATAATTAATTATATTACTCAAACAAAATAAAATAAATATATAATTCTCTTATCATATTACTTAATTTTTAATTTATTAAATTTAATACTATTCATTTAAATTTTTATGTCGAAAATTAAATATTTCATAGGATATAATTTTTTATATTTGTAAATTAAACAAATTTCAAATTCAAATATATATATTTTTTAATAATTATTTTCAAATATATATATATTTTTAATAATTATTTAACATATATATATATAAATATTAGTATAATTTCTTTATGAAAAAGATACAAAAATAATTATTTTTAAAACAAAAAAATTACATACTAGTATTACTTTATAAAATATAAATTTAATTTTTTTCAAAAATTAGACACATTGGGTTTGTTTGTTTCGTAAAATTATTTGAATGAATATTTTTTTATAGTGAAATATTAAAAAGAATTGTGTATATAATATAAAAATAATAAATATATATTTTTTTAAAAAAATAATAATAAAGTCACCATTTTCCAAAAAATTAAAATTACGACCATACAAAAAAATAACAAAACTATAAAAAAAAAATATCCAACTCCAAAAAATGAAGCTGAACTACCGGTGTTACACATTGCTTTCTACAGATCCCACCATCATATATTTTCTTCTTTTATTAAATTTGTTTAATAAAAATCTTTATATATTTTTTATTTTTAAAATGTACAATCTTTATAACATAAATTAAGTTAAAATGTAATGTATATTTGAATTTTAAAAAGTAAAAATATATTTCAAAATTTTTATTTTAATAAATATATTTCATACCGATATTATTTTATAGAAAAAAAATTATATAATACATATAATATTTAATTAAAATTGATTAAAATTATTAAAAGAATTTTTTTATATATAATTTTTTTAAAAGTATATTTCATCTATTTGTTAAAATTATTTTGATTGGATGACATGAAAAATTAGAAAATAAACATTTTATTCTAAAATTGAGAAAAATATAAATAATAGTTAAATAGATTTTATTATTATCATTACAATAATAATGATAATTATAATAAATAAAAATTTGATAAAATTAATGTTAAAATATTAAATTTTTATTTTTATAAAAGATAATAATGTGATAATTTTAACGTACGAATTAAAAAGAAATACGAACAAATTGATAGACAAAAAATAAAATTTAAAAACACTGTATTAGTATATAATATGAATAATATGAATGTGTGTAATCCACTCGAACTTTTTACATGGAGTATGTTAATTGTAATTTGCTCAGAACATATAAATACGTGCGAATCGTCAATTTTGGGATCCTTTTAGCAGATCTAGGGTTTCGCATTTCTACGAAATTCACTGTGCAATTTCAGATCTCTAATTGATGTGAATTCTCTGGGTAGCAAGGAATTTAGGCATCCTATGTGTTGCGGGGGATTGGAAAATTGATATACTGAATTAATGGCGAAGAGTGGGAGCTCATCGATTAGGGATCGGACGCAGGAATTCCTGGGGATCGCGGAGAGGGCGAAGAAGTCATTCTCCAGGCCGAATGGCCCAAGCAGCAGCGGATCGAAGCCGGAGGAGCCGCCGAGGTCGGCCATGGCGATGCAGTCGGAGTTCAATCGGAGGGCGTCGAAAATTGGGTTTGGGATTCACCAGACATCGCAGAAGCTAGCTGCGCTAGCAAAATGTAAGTGATCGTTGCCCTGCTTTGGGGATTTTGTTGCGTTTTGTGTCGTTCGATTGGGTCTTGTTCTAATGGTATTGGAAAAGTTAATCCTTGCATCTGTATTTCTGTTCATCTATGGAGGACGATTCTCTGAATTGCATTTTCTTGATTTTGGGATTAAGCAAATTTCTTATTCTAGCAGTCTTCATTGATGTTGTTTCAATGATTGAGTTACAGTTCATTTGATAATGCTTTTGCTATGCTTAGGATTTTGCAGAATTTCTCAAATCTGTACATTGATTGGCTTGTTGATTTTAGTGTTTTATGTTTCCTTTTCGCATTGTGAGTCACTTTTTAAGTTCAATTGCAGATTTCAGGTTTGGAGGGTTGTGCGATTGGGTTTTTATTTGTATGTGTTTCTTGTTTTTTCGATGATCCACACTTCGAATGGATTGATATTCAGGATAATTTTGTTCTATTTATTGGTTTGGTATGTTGAAAACAATGTGAAGGTTAAATTAGATCGCATCGATTCTCAAAGTGTGCCGATAACCTTTAGTTGGTATTTACATTTGAAAAATGAATTATGTTGAGCACGCCGGTTATGAACACGTGTTTTTTTGGGTTTATGCTGTTATTGCAAAATTGGTAACACAGTCTTTGTCTTCAGTGGCCAAGCAGACGTCCGTATTCAATGACCCCACCATGGATATCCAAGAGCTAACTGCAGTTATCAAGCAAGATATAACGGCTCTTAATTCTGCAGTAGTCGATCTTCAGCTTCTCTGCAATTCCCGCACTGGAAGTGGGGATACGTCCACCGACACAACCACCCACGCCACTACAGTTGTTGATGATTTGAAAAATCGTTTGATGAGTGCCACAAAGGAATTCAAGGATGTGCTGACCATGCGAACCGAGGTTTAACATAAACTCTGTTCCAGCCATCCTTAAATAGCAAATAAATGCATTCAAACTCACAGAAAATGTGTTTTCTGATTCTTTGACAGAACTTAAAGGTTCACGAGAATAGGCGACAGTTATTTTCCTCTTCCTATTCGAAAAATCCGACAAACCCTTTGATTCGCCAGCGTCCTTTGGCCGGAAAATCTGGTGCCAGTACTTCATCAGCGCCTCCTCTCCCGTGGGCTAAAGACCAAGAATCTTCCTCTCAATTATTTCCCAAGTATGTACCAAAAGAACTTTTTTGCAATTAATCGTTGCTATTCTGATCTTTTACTGATTACATAATTTTGCATTGAACTTCTATTTTGTGTGTGCTCTGTTGCATACTGTCAAGGAACTATGATATACTCCCATCCAGTGAAAGGTTTACATTTACTTTTGGCACGGATATCTCAGTGGATAGAGAGACTAAAAAATAATAGGATTTTAATATAAAAATAAAATACTTAAATAGTAAAGTGGGAGTATTATGAAAAAATTAAGAAAGAATTAATAAAAAATAGTATGATAGGTAGAAAAATTAGTGCAATTTGGTTATTGTTTTGATTTGTTACATATGAGTAATAAAATTATGAATGGATGAATGGATTACTCATAAATTTAGTGGACAACCAAAAATGAAAAACTAACATAATTATCTTGGATGGAGTAAATAGTATTTAAATGGTAGTTTACAGTACTTTTTGTCTTCATTTTTTTTTTTCCCCTTTGTATTTTAATGTGATGAAATGATATTAATATAAATAAGTGTAAGTTTGAAGGTATTTATGTGTAGTGTGGTTAAACTTACTAACAAAAGAAATGTAAATTTGTATTTAGACAAACAAAAATGATAAAAATGTAAATATTTTGAGTGGACGGAGGAGTATTAAAAAATTTATTCTACACTGCATGGATTCTTCGCGAATCCCCAATGCATTATTAACAGATAAGGCAGTTAAAATAATATTTACTCAATATGTTATAAGATTATGTCACCTGGAGGACTCATTTCTTTTAACACCTTAATCAGGTCTCCGGAAGATGCGGAATCTCAGCCATTGCTGGCGCAGCAACAAAATCAACAACAGCAAATGGTCCCATTACAGGACAGCTATATGCAGAGTAGAGCCGAGGCTCTTCAGAATGTGGAATCAACGATTCATGAGCTCAGTAATATTTTCAATCAGCTAGCTACGTTGGTTTCTCAGCAAGGAGAGATTGCTATCAGGTTTGCACAATGGCTTCAATAAAAAAATTTCGACTGCTAGTAAATTTAATCATCACTACTGCATTGTTACCCTTCTTATAATTGCTCTGTCATTTTTATCGCCATGCCATTTAGCGATAAATCATTAGATAATCCGTTTCCAGAAAGTGTCAATGAATGTAGCTTGTGCATAAATATTCTCAGATCATCAGGAATTTTGGCTCTATTTACATAGACATTATTGGAACTTTTGATACTATTCACATATAATTTTTTATTTTTTACCTTTTTACAAAATATCACCTCAAATACCCAATATCTTACTATCCCAAAATTTTCCAGTGTTGATTTCATTTGTTATACCATCAATATTGGTTTGATCTCCACATTCGAATAATGTGTGTTTGGTTGTGTTTTCGGATGCCTTGGATTTCAACGTGTTTTTGAATAGAAAATAGGTGTCGGGTGTAATGGTTAGGTATCCGATATTATGTATTAAGCGAAAAATATATGTCAAAGATGATGCTTCTTAGCAAGAAAAAATTTTCTACCATAAATATTTATGTGTCGTTTTACTGGATGCAAAAATATCCTAAGTTTAGATGATAAGCATTGCACAGTTCGTGTTTTAGTTCTATGGCACTGTAGACACAAAATGGCTAAATTTAGGCAAAAATGCTTATAATCCACTTGAAATTTGAAAATTTTGCACATTTCTCCCTCATAATTTAGAAATTACATGAAGATCCTTGTGTTTTCAAAAAGACTACATAAATCCGCTGTTGAGGGGATTTTGCGTAATATTTTCTAAAATACGAGAGAATCTCGTGCAGTGTCTAAATCATAAATGAGTATGGTGCAAAATTTCAAAATCACAGGTGGATTATAAACAATTTTACTTAATTTCAATTTGAATCAAACGGTGGTTTGGAGTAGTTTGTTGGATCTTATTACATCGGGTTCTTTCCTTGAATGGTTTTGAACAAGTTTTCACGTTGTGGTGTGGATCAGGATCGACGAAAACATGGATGACACGATGTCGAACGTGGAGGGAGCTCAGGGAGCCCTCCTCAAGTATCTCAACAGCATATCGTCGAACCGGTGGCTGATGATCAAGATTTTCTTTGTGCTGGTTTTCTTTCTCATGATATTCCTATTCTTTGTGGCCTAATCAAGGTTTGATTTTCTTGTAAGAAAGAAGATGTAATATGCTTATGAGACATACTTACATGCTTGTATTTGTTTTCCTTAATTTTCTTTCTTCATGTTTTTGTGCGTGTGTGTGTGTTTCCAGAAATACATATATAGATACATATATATATATATACGTACACATATTGTGAGGGTTTAATTCGGGAGAACTCAATTTGTAAATTGATTTGTGTATGGCAGCTACAGTTGATGATGCCTTATCGTCGACCCTCTGTAAAATGATATTAATTTTTATTTATTTTATAATTATTTGTTGACCTAAAAGTTTAGGATAGGTGTATTTGGTTGTACTTTCCATTTTTACTATTCATTTTTTTCTTATTCAGAATATTAAATTAAATATTTATTTTTTTATTACATTAAATACTCTTTTATATAAAGTAAACAATTAGGGATAGTTATTATTTTTATATTATCTACATATTTACAAATATAGTATTTATTTTTTTCTATATAAAATTTAAAGAATGAGTATAAATATATATATTTTTTCATATATTGTATATTTCTTTTTTTTTTTAAAAAAAAATACTATAATAACAATTGGGCCTATTCAGGTCTGGGTTGACTGTAGTGCGCTATTTTTTGGGTTAAAACGGACCTGAGGGTTCCGGCCCACGATAAACTTGAATCCGTAAAGAATTACAGTTGGTACGAATTTTGGGGTGGAAAACGAAAATAACTAAAATAAAGGGACCAGCAATTGTGAAGGAAGCACAGGTATATAAACCCTGGCTTCGTCTCCCACATTATCTGCACCACAGCACTTCTCTGCCTCCGCCAGTTTCGTTTCTCAAACCCTCTCGTTCCCTGCGTACACACGTATCTTGATTCTCTTATGCAATGCGCTTAACCATATCCGCATATAACTCGTCGTCTCTCGAATCGCGTCCAATTTTCGCGGTGGTTTCTAGTTTTTTGTGTTAAATTTAATTTTTCGACTTCTCATTCTGGAAATTGATTTTCAAGGGGGACGTGATCGGCCAGGGGATTCGAGATATATCAGATTTAAGCTTTTGTTAGTGTTATTTCTGTTTAGTTAAGAAGTCCGAAGGAATTTTATTGTTCCTTGATTAATTTTAAAATTTGTGTGGGGAATACGTGTTGTTGATCGGTTCCTTTATTACACGAATATAGTAGTTTTTGAGAATTGAATTTCAGGAGTAATTTGAAATTGGTGTGTTGGTGTTGTTGATTTGGTTGAGTTCCGTTTTCCGATATTAGATTAGGATTTTTTCCATTTTCTTAGTGGAAGATGGTTGGTGGTGGGAATAGGAGAGATGAAGGATCGTTTACTGTTACTAATAGCAATGTTTTTGCGGCTCTGGATACTTTAAGGAAGAAAAAGAAATCCGACAAAGATAAGGGTTCTTCGAAAAGCGGGAAGAGCACATCCAAAGCTGGTTCTGGGAAATCTAAGGAAGCCGAGGAGGAGAAAAAGGTTTTTTGGGCTCCTACACCTTTGACTGTGAAGTCGTGGGCGGATGTGGATGATGAGGATGATGATGATTACTATGCCACCACTGCTCCTCCGCAGGCTATATGGGGTTTGAACAAAGGCGGAGAGAGTGATAAGCATGATCAAGATCCTGTGGAGGTAAATTAGCAGTGTATATTGTTTGATTATTCTTGGAAACGTGTTAGATGTTGAGCATCTTGATTTCATTGTTTCTAATTGTATATTGCTAGTTTGTGTTTCTTCCTGATTTGCTTGATTGGTTTAGTGAATCAAATACCTTAATTTGATGCTGAATAATGTCATCGGTGATTTAATTGTTCGAATTATCATGCTATACGGCTGTTTTCTTCTTGATGTAGTAATGTGTTTGAATCTATGATTTTCCTCAGTTTGGCAATTGTTGATTGTTGTTATTTCTTTTCTAGTTCTTGAGTAATTGATTATTTTGCTCTTCCTTTTCTGAAAACCTTAACATATAGTTAAACAATGTGATATGTGTTTTTCTCTGTTTAGTTGATGTTGCATTAGGAATTAATTATTTGGTAGGCTTTGCTTCAACCATACAAACATATTGTCCCTCCTTGTTTTTGTTCATAAATTATTGTATATTTTCTTGTAAAGGATTAGCGGGACAGAAAATACTCATATATATTATTTATCTATCCATGTCTTGATATTATCTTTTAAGGATTTTGAGTGCATGACATTCTTTCATCCTTTCCTTTTTAACTGTCTGAACTTTAATTATTCTCAAGAGTATATGGAAGGAAGAATCACAAATTTATTTCTGCATCTATGATAGAAAATAAAGGAAATGAATAAGATTATGATATTAGAGAGATCCCAAAGATCTTTATTCTAAACAAAATGTTTTCTCTTCCATTATATAACCAATCTGGGATTCTCCGTTTCCTCTTAATATGACATGCAATTATGATGATGTTTTATCTATATATGGTTTTTCGTACTATGAACTAAGAAGAATGTTCCTCTTATTGATAAGGTTACCTTGCTGAATGGTAATTTTTAGCATTACACTTACCATTATTTGCAGTAAAGACATTTTTATTTTAATTAGCTGGCAGCTGGAGTAAGCAATAACTCAGGCACTAATGATGTTAAAATTTGTACCTTCATAAGTGCAATCTCCTCGAACCAATATGAGTATCATAATTTTAATTGGCATATTGATCTTTAGATAAGATAACAAATTGCCAAGCACACTAGCAACAAGGGTTTCTTGTTAATTTATGCATTCCATCTATTATGGTAAATGGTGCTGTACCATGTTCGACAGGATTGCCCTTAACTTGATTGTTTATTTGATAATATTTACTACTTTTGAGACAGTAGTAAATATTAGATAGTACCTCACAGTAAATGAGACATAGGTAAATAATATTAATATCTATGAGAAGCTCAACATTCTTTATGATCTTAGAAATGAAATCTTTATAAGCATGTACTCTCTCTTTTCTACCACACACACACACACACATACATATAAATGTTACCCTTCATTGTATCTGGCAGCCTTAGTTGGTTGACATCTTCTCGTCTGTGTATCATTGCGCGCTTATATGTTTGTTTTTCTGTGTTTTTTGTCCACGCGTTAAAAAATTCATCCTCTTCCATATCACGAATGATATTGTTACAACATATGTTCTGACAAATAAGAAATCAAAGCTGACTAACTGCGATCATAGTTCGATGGTAGTACCGTCTACAACAGCCATTATATATCTTCTCTCTGTGAAATTCTCTCTTAGTCTTCTAAATAATTAAAAGGCTAAAAAATGTCTCTGCCCAGAATTATTTTCTCAAGGAAGGGTCTCTGTTAACATAACTATAACCTAATCCGGAGTTTGATATTTCGATCAACTTGAGAATTTAGTTTGCCATACATTATGATTGTTACTCCATTCCAATTGCAGGAAAGTGAAAGTGAAGACGATCTCCTTCTTGATGAAGGCGATGATGACGTAGAAGAGGAACATGATCAAGAACCTGAAGTCCAAGAACCACTGCCCGAACCAACTGTGAAAAAGCCGGCAGAACCTTCCCCAGCTCCCAAAGAGCCGGAAAAACCACTTTCCAAGAGTGAGAGACGAAAAAAGGATCTTGCTGAGTTCCATGCCATCTTAGCCGATTATGGAGCCAACCAACCAACCGAAAAAACTGAGGATGGCCCATCCGGTAACCGAGTTTCTTTTTTAAAAAAATTGATTGCTAAATTAATATCAAACTTTACCACTGCCAAATTAATATGCCATCGAAACAACAACATCCATTTCTATTGTAGGTACTGCCAATGACAAGAAAGAGGGACAACCAAACGGAGAGACAGGTAAAAAAGAAAACACCCCAACTGAATCCAAAAATTCGAAGAAGAAGAAAAAGAAGGATAAGGAAAAGGAGAAGGCAAAGGAGCCTCAAGAGCAGTCGAGCAGCGCCCCCAATGGACAAGAACAAACTGTACAGGTAGAGGAAAACAATCCAACAGTCGATGTTAAAGAAAAGCTCAAGAAAGTGGCCGCTGCCAAGAAAAAGAAATCCAATAAAGAAATGGACGCCGCAGCCAAAGCCGCTGCACAGGAGGCTGCTGCCCGACGCGCTAAGCTCGCGGCTGCTGCTAAGAAGAAAGAGAAGACTCATTACAACCAGCAGCCGATCCGGTAAGCCGATCAACTTTTTACTACTGCATACTCTTATATGTATGAGAAAGTTTCGACAAAATGTGACTGTTGTTGAGCATGTTTTTTGGGCGTCGAAAACTTCGGTTCCGGGCTACTTATTAAATCACTGCTACTTGTTTCTTTTATGTATCTATTATCTCATTTTACTTCTTGGAATTTTGATGCTTGTTTGGGGATTTTATTTGAATGCATCATTTACAAGCAGTTTTGCTGTATGTGCTTTGAATCAAAAGATATTTTTCAAAATATTTTTCAGTCTCCTTTTTTTTTATTTTATCATATTTTTTATTAACAAAATAATCTCCTCTCATAACTACTTGATATATTTTTCATTTGAGTCCATTCACAATTTTTTTTATTTATATCTCTTATTAATAAATAAATATTTTTATTTGTATTAAACTCTCTATTTTATAAAAATTATTTATCATTAATTCATCTAAAAAATAAATATTATAAGTCACTGTTATCGTTAGGTCATCAAATTTATGTCTTAAATACTTTAAATAACATATTAAGTCGAATTTACTTAAGGGTGTGTTTGTCTTATATTTATTTCTTTATGGACAAATTACAATAATAAAGAAACTAAAAAATATTTTTTTAAAAAACATAAAATTATACTCCTTTCATCCATCATAAAAATGTCAAATGTTAGGTAACTTATTCACAAAATTTATTTATAATATATAATTTTATTTATTCATAATTTTACAAATTCTAATATAACAAATAAAATTACTTTACTCTTTCTAAATATACTCATCTAGTTATTTATTTATCAAATTTTTAATAAAATTTTTATACTCCAATACTTTATTGCAAAATATATAAATTGCAATATAGTACATTTATTTTTAAATCTGCCGTTCTTCGTCCTGCCACAAAAGCCACAATTCTCGTAACAAAACGACAGAATTAGATGACCCAAAATAATTATATAAGTCACGAAAACCGTCCTACACTTCCATTTCCCGATCCTTCCAAAAGCGATCGATTGCAGACGTTCGATTCTCTCCGATCCTTTTCCCCGCCGGCTGCCGATCACGAATTCGCACACGCCAGAGAGCTCCTTCCACCTGCTGCTTATCGCGTATGTGATCGCGGTACGATCCGGTTACTCACTTTACTTTCCTCGCTTTAATTCTGCTCTTTTTTTGGATTAATTTCGAGAATCAGTGTGCGCGTTTTTAGTATCGTGAGCAATTTTTTGGATGATTTCATTAATTCGATGTTTTTATTGCAATATCGGTGCTCCTACCTTCGTGAATCGTGATTATGTGGTGAAAGGATGAATTCATTTGTTTGGCTGTTTTTATTCGGAAATTTTAATTGTTAACCTACGATACAAAGCTGGAAAAAATAGTGTGATTAGTTTTAGTTTAAGTTCTAGGTTGATGAGAAGATGCATTATTTGATGTTTTTGCGATTCAATTTGAAGAAGGAAGTAAAAAACTTCTATGTTCAGTTCTTCACATTCTTCTCACTAACAGAGTAACCGACTTAATAGGTTGAGCATTTTGAACAGTTCATATATTTTGTTTTTACCATTTTCTCTCGAAATTAAGTTTAAACACACATACATCACTTAGTTTATTATTTGAATGTGCTTGTATAGCATTTATGATTTTAAGTATTTACGTTTTTGAGGTATAAAAAGTTATAAAAGTATTATAAGAAACAATACTTTGTGTGTGACTTTGTTAATGTATATATATTGTACTCATTCGGTACAAATAATATGTATTTTGCTGGACTAGCCGAAGCTATTGATTAAAAGATAGGTTGTGGAACCCATACCACAAAATATAAAGGGGAGATATAGACTGTATAGGAATCGAACCCGACTCAGGCCATTTCTAATATCAAATTAATTGCTAATATAATATAAAAAATAAATATTTTATTTAATATGTAAAACAAAACTAGTTTTGTTGATGTAGCACCCTAGACAGTAGTTGTGTCAATAAATTGTTGTCAAGTCAATATAGAATTTAATACAACTAATTAACTAATTGTGTGTTTACTTTGTGAGATTTTGATCATTAATTGTGTATTTATTTGTAAGATTTTGATTTTTTGATTTTAATTTTGAATAGTAAAATTTTAAATTAAAATAGTTATTTGATGTGATATAAATATATATTAATTTGATATTTTTTTTAAAAAAAAATATTCAAATAGTAAAATCATTCCAAAATCTCCAAATAAAAACTAATTTGTGAAGTGTGTTTATTCGGGTAAGACTTTGGTTTTAGTTTTAACTTTTAAATAGTAAAATTTAAAATTAAAATAGTTATTCGATATGATATAAATATATATTAATATGATATTTTAAGTATAAAATTAAATTTTAATATAATATAATAAATTTAATATATATATATTTTTTTAAAAATAAAAATAAAATTAAAATAGTAAAACTAAATGCATAATCTTACATTTGGTGTTGCAGCAATGAAGACAGGTACATCCTCTTTAAACCCCTATGCAGCATCCTACATACCGCTCTTCAAAAGAGTTGCCGCCGCTGCCGAGGCAGACAATCCGGCTAAAGATTCGAACAGTCGGGGGAAGGAAGTTGTTCGACTCACACACGAGCGGAGGGCCATTGCTACTCAGACCTACAACTTAATGAAACAAAAGGAGGATCATCGGGGATTCACGTGGACATCTCCGCCTTCCAACTTGAATGAAGACGCGGACATATCTTATCTCCGGATGAACTTTCCCGGAATATCCAACGAGTCTCTCCACGGTGTCTATTTCGCCAGTAACTGCAATCTCGATGCTGCAGTCGACATGCTAAATCAACTTGAGGTAACTAGTAGCTTTCCCCTTTATTATTACATATGCTAAGTGTATATTTGTCATACAAATTGGGAAGTTGCACTCGACAGAATGTCGCGGAGGATTCATTGGATATACTTCCCGACACACTGGACATAGGCGATGTGCCAGAATCGTCGAAAGAAGCAAAGAAAGAGGCGGCAGTAGGAGGTTTAAAATAAGGTTTGTTGATTTCGCCTTTTTACTAGCTAATCAGCTTTTATGCTACTATGAACAACAATATGTGTACTTCTTTGCAAACTTAAATGCTCGTTTCGTCTTGAAACACAAATTATTAGTTTTAGAATCCCATGAGAATGTGTTTGCTACAGAAAATGAAATCAAAATAGTAGAGAGATTTCGATAAAATAAAAAATTCAGATGAAAAATATAACAATATGTGTGAATCAATTGTGAAAATTTGATTCTATTCCTGTGGAGTGAGGAAAGATGTGATGAATCGATCATGAGAAGGTGATAGGTCTGATAAGAGAAATTTTAGTGTGAAGTGAAAAATTGTATGTTTTTTTTTTTTGGTTAATTTAAATAATATTTTACCAATCTAGTCATATTTATTCTCACTTTTCTTTTTAGTCCAGCTAGCTAAATTTACCTTATTTTAATTTTGATAAAATTAACAAATCAATATTTACTTATTTGATAGTTATTTACTGCATATATCAATAATTTTATTACATTCTCTTTTCATTTACTTTAATTTTTAAATACTCAATTAGATTAATTTTAATGGTAATATAGAGTAATTTAAAAATAAGTATTTTGTAAAAAAAAAAATGCTTTATTTAGCCAATGTATTTTGGAGTTTTGGTACTATTTACTTTTAAAAACATCATATCAAATTTATTTTTATTCAATTTTTTTACTATTCTAAGTTTTTCAAAACTCCAACACTTTCAAAAATCTATTGTCTAAACGATATATTTCTAAATTTTCAATATTTTCCATCTTTTTATCATTCATTCCTTAATTTTGATTTCTCTGACTCGAAAAAAACAAAAAAAAAAATCAATTTTCTCAATCTCTTTTGTCATTTATTCTTTAATTTTAATTTCTTCCACTCAAACAAACAAAGAAAAATTCAAATATTTTTATATTTCTATCCCTATTTCTTTATAACAAATGCACCCTAGATTCCGTAGGCTAAGGTAATGCGAAGACTTTGAATCCACGACAAACAACTAAGAAGCTCCTAAATTATATATACTTAGCTATATGATCCAATAAAGCAGGCATGATTGCATCGATTCAAAAGTAAGCTAGCAGCCGCTGCAGTTTCCAACGTTATAAAAAAAAAAAAAGTCATGCAAAGCATGTCTCTCATTCATTTTTATTCTCATATATCTTCTCTACTAGTACAATATCATATCGCCAGCGTTGTCTCGATCCTGGAATTTTCACTCTTTATTCTTCGTATAACAAATTAATTACACCGAACGGATATGCAAAGCTGACCGCAGAAAACTAGACTCCGAAAACAAAACTTCGACGCAACTTTTAGGAACTACGAATTCAGTAATGGCAGAAGATAGGATAGATACAGATAGATATACTTACCTCCTGTGTTACACACCACCGGCAGTCATTCCAGTTACCGGACTCTGTTGTTCTGTTTTCCCGACTTCAGCTTTGCAGAGTGGACATGTCGCGTTGATCTTGAGCCATTTATCGACGCATTCTTTGTGGAACAAATGGCTGCAGGGTATCTCCCGGAGCTCATCATTGTTCGCGTACTTTGCTAAGCAAATACAGCACACCTGTGTAGAAGAAGAAACTTGCCGGATTTCGGAAAAAAGAGCTCGAAACAAATATCGATAACGATGAGTGATCTAAGGTTTTGGATAGAAGAAATAGGTTTACCGCATCCTCGCCTGATATTACACGCTCGTGCTCGGTTCCTGCCGCCACTACCCCACCTTCGGAATTCTCCTTTGCGTTTGCGCTCCCTTTGGATTTCTTTGTTTTGAACTTATAGGTCGGGAGCTCGTTGATGGAGTCTTGTGTAGCGCCTCTGGTTTGAGGGAAATCTTCTCGGATGCCTAGAACGGTTATGATGCACGGGAGACAGCAGCAGATTGTAGTGCAGAGAATGAACGGCATTGCGTATCCGATACAACTAAATGCTAGAAACACGATGCACAGCCTGTAAACACGGATCGAATCAAGTGCAAGTGTACGGAATTATGAGAAGTGATGTAGATACAGCCATTGACAGATATATGAGAGGGTATTGTAACAGTACCTGTATACATTGGGGGCCTCGGCTACGGATGACTGCCCTCCGAAAATCCACACATTTCCGACGACAAACCATACCGCGAAGAAGCAATCTAACGCCATCTTAAAATATTGCACGAACAACTTAAGCCTGCCAAGATTACACATTGAAGTGTAAATAACATGCTCAAATGACGACGAATTTTCAGACTGTGATGAACAAATGCATAACCATGCTTCGGTTTTACACCGAAAATGAAAAAGCATCGGCATATATGGACAGAAATACACATTAATATGCGTTTGATGGTGCATGAGATCGTACAAGAATGTACGTGAAATCGAAACCTACACTTGCAGAAACTAGTTCAAACACCATAGGTAACAATAGGCTTAACATGAACAATCGACAAAAAATATATGCATATATATATATATATATGGCTGTTGTTAGTATGTTGAATTAATATAGCATAATTCTGAGAACACATGCTAATCATATATACAACACAAATTGTGTTATATATATCATTACAATGTGCTGACTGGGGATTCAACGCCATAACCAGACCTATATATATGTGTGTATATATATATATATATATGTGTGTATGTGTTAGATATCAGTCGTTCTGATGATATGAAAACATAAGAGAGGCGAGTACCTTAAGTTCGGTGATCCATTATTACTTTGAACACTTCCTGTTGGATTACCCGTCGTCTGGCTATCTACGCCTTCCGCAACTCTTCTATTTCCGGTGCCAACATTATTATTACCTTCAAGAGAAGAGTCCCGGCGCATCTGAGATGGTGGATCTTGCTCGGGGCCCGCATTTCGATACGTAAAGCGCCAATAAAGAAGAGGAAGGATTGCAAAGCAACCGGTCGCATAACCCACAATCCAAACTTTCAAAGGCGCGCGCGGCTTTTCGTTCTTGGACAGGCTCAAAACCAAAATCGCAGCGATAATTTGCCCAACTGTTAAAACTAACTCCACAGAAATCCACAGAAGTGAATTTAACGGACTCCGTTGACGCTGACGGCCTCGGCTATTCCCTCTTCGAACCGAGAGTGTCGGCTGATATCCGGGCCCTCGCGAACTAGTAGACGGTTGATTGTCGACGTGCTGCTGCTCTGAGCCACCGGATGACCTTTGGTGGGATGACGTAGTCGTATTAACATCACTGCTGCTAGAAATATCGATTATGTGGTCGTTATCACTGTGGGAATGGCTGCTCGTTGCTCGATCCATTGGCAAAGGGACTTTGTTCGATTGGCTTTTACAATGCAGTCCCAGCATGGAAAAAGCCACCCGAGGCTGCAAAGGAAATTCCACGCATACGACCCAAGTCTAATTCTCAAACCCTTTCGATATTAATTGGCTTTCGATTGAATCTTTGTGCATCAGATGCAACTCTACTTATCCTGCCCAAATATGAAACCACGAGACAAAAGCAAGGAGATCACGGCCGATTCATCTTTATCAATCAAGAAAGCAATCCAAAGATCGATACCATATTACATTTTTGCAGAACTTTTAAAATTGTAAAATTATTAATAATGAAATCAAAGACATATAAATAGTTGTGATAGGCAGAATAAAATAGTAACAACTTAATCTAATAGACATAGCCAGACAATAACAACATAAATTAGATAATAGAAATTTAATCTAAACCATACATAAAAATATCTAAAATATTTCAACAAACTATGTAAAAATTTTCATTATTTGCTTTCCTACATGTGTGTTTAACAACAGCATAACATAAGAATTATTTGGATTTCAAAATCGAGATTCGACCAAGATGTGTTTATTCATCAACATCAAATATAAAACCTCTTCAATTTTCACCCAAACCAAAGATCAATGCCAAACCTTATAGAGATTGTGATAATCATATGTTCGTACATTAACACCAAAAGGAACCACATCAATGTATAAAAACTAATCAATCTCTTCAAAACGAGCAATGATTCGATAAGAAACTGAAAAAAAATAAAATCCGACAAACAAATAAAAATTATTCAAATTAGGCAAAGTATCCAAAATGATTAGGATGAGAAGAAATCAAAATATTGATTGAATTGAGCAAAACAATAATGCCTCCAAATTGAACAGACAAATGATATCATCAAAAATTTTCAGCTCAATCCACCAATACAAGTTCAGCTTAGAGATGATAATACAAAAAAGACAGAGAAATATAGAATCGTATCATTTCTGGTTTGGCAAACAAAGGTTTAACAAGATGCAGATTAATCGTCAACGGTATTTCGTTAAAATTTCCAGATTGAACAAAATTTCAAAAACGTCAATCAGTTTCCAACCTCAACCTCAATCGATAATCCAATTCTAATTGAGGAAACTACACAAAGCTACAAATCGAGAAGGAAAAAAAGAGAAAAAAAACCTAATCCAAAATCAACACACGAATACAAACAATTAACCTCATCTAGAATCCACAAAATTGCAACACATTATTATTATTTTTTTAATTCTCCTTTCCAAATCCAAGAAAATAATCGATAAATTAATAACGAAACACGCACCGGCGGCCGGAGCTCGAATCCGCTGCAGAATCCGATGAAAGCCGCCTCCAATCGATTGATGGCGTCGGCCTTCACTTTGTTTTCCACGCTTTCTCAAAGAGAGACAAAATTCTATTAGATTCACTCGTTTTTTATTCGATTTTTCTCGTTTCTTCCCTATTTTTGCGCAATCACTGCGTCATCCACGCTCATCTTCGTCCTGCTTCATTTCCTTCGATTCGCCTCAAAAATTCCACTATCATTCACTCCCAAGTCCCAACTCCAATCACATATATATAGAGAGAGAGACTACAGATTCCACTATGAATCGAATTTTTTCTATAATAGATTGTAGGTTTTTATTTTATTTTATTATATATATTACATTTTTTCAGGAGAATTCTTTTTATTTTGAGAGGTTAGGTGAATATTATAATTTATGATGTCATAAATAAAATAATATCTGAGTTTCCAATTACTTACTAAAAAGTTACAAATTTTGTGTCGGGTGATTCCAAAGGGTTATACAAAAAAATGTCATTGATTTTTTTAATATTAAATTAACTATTATATAGATTTCAATTTAATTTTTTTTTATTTGAAATATTGACTTTAACATATATATTACTATCACATTACAAGTATATTTTATTTTAAATTGATCATAGTAAAATTTAATGTAAAATAAATTTATGATATAAGTGGTATGTTTGACATATTTTTTGGGGAATTTTGATAAATTTTTTACTATGATTGTTGTGTGTGATAAAAAATATTCAACATAATGTTTGACAATACTTTGAATATGTAACAAGTATCAAATATTTAATTATTGCTTAAAAATATAAAAACAAATAAAATACAGTTATATGTTGTAATTTTACAGTTAAAATGAACAATTAATAATTACATTGGGCTGAAATGGGCCCAGTAGTTGGCCTATGGGTTACGTCTTTTTTGTTGGGCTGTCAATACATCTCCATCACCGTCTGTCATTTTAGCACCCATTTATTAAGATGGAGTGTGAATTATATATATACGTTTTTTTTTTTTTTAATTTAAAATTTTATTATATAACATTTTGTATCAGAAAAGAAATTATATAATCAAAATACAATGTAGATAAATCTGATTTATCACAACTAATTAATCACGGTCAAAAAAAATAATTGCCCATGATATTGAGATACGAAAATTTAGGTAAAGTATAATTATAAATTATAAATTATAAAATTTAAAATAATTAAAATATATAATTATATTTTTAATATAAAAAGACAAATACTATAAAATTAAAAAAAATAAAAAATATAAATAATTCATGTAGAATAAAGATAGAATGTCATTTGTTGTAAGAGTATTGTCTATCCGTACGTGGTTTGTATCTTTGTATTCGTCGACAAACTAACTTCATATTTTTTTATTTGGAATGTCCAATAATTATTGTCATATTTTTATTTTTATATATAAAATTTACTCTTTTACCCTCACTTTATTTACTTTATCATTTTCTATACACAAAATTAAAAGACAAATTTGTCATTTTATAACAAAAATTTTAATTATCTAAAATTGCGTGTAAATATCAAATAGGACATTAGAAAATGAAATAATTGGAATGTTACGAGTATTATATATGCTAAATTTTATACGTCAACATATTAATCACCGTCGCTAAAAAAGAAAAGGAAAAAAAAATCTTTTACTTAGTAAAAGGGTCATTAATTGGTAAATGCACAAATCCACATGATTGCTGTCTGTCTTTTTTTTTCTTTTTCTTTTTTATTTTCTCTATATTTTTATTTTATCAAACTGTGTGTTTGGTTGTGATTATCGTCCATTTTGAATATTTTATTTTTATAAAAAAATATATGGTGTCTCTTTAGTAAAGTTTTGATATTTATTTTATTATTAAAAAATTTATTAGAAAATAAATATAAAATTAAATTAAATATTTATTATAAAAATTAAAAAAAATTTAAATATTCAATTTAAAATAATTATATTATAAATTTTTAACACAATTCAGCCTACCATAAACTAAAAATCAATCTAAAAACATTACGTGAACGGAACATGTAATTTCTGTTTTTCATGTGAAACATCGAGAGAGTGTTTGATAATGTTTATTAATCTTTTTAATATATCAAATTAAATATTTATTTTTTATTTATTATTCTTTTTGTCTCGGATAAATTATCTATATTAATAATATGATCATTTAGATAAAATATAATTAGTAAATAATTAAAAAAATATATTAATAAAAATAAATTATAAATTAAAATTAAAATAACTAAATAATATAATTAAAATTTAAAAAATTGTAAATAATAAAATGATGGACAAAAATAGAAAGACAATTCGAAACGAAAGAAATATATTATAATAGTAAATATTAATTTTATATTTAAAAAATATATATCAATATATTATATAATACAACTATTCAAATTTACATCGTACAACTGTTCATATTTAAACTTTTACTCTTCAAAACTCAAATTTAAAAGCCAAACTTTCAATCAAACCCACCCCAAATATAAGGCTTAAATTTTATTTAGAAAATCACATAAAAGCTAACTCTTCTTAAAAGAAAATTTAAAATTTCCTTAGGGGTGTGTTTGTTTAGGTGATTTTTCTCAAACTTTATTATTTATTCAATTTTTTTTTTTTCAAAAATATTAAATCAAACACTTATTTTTTATATTATATTAAAAATCAATTTTATATTCAAAATATTACACCAACACTTATTTATATCATATCATATAGCAATTCATATTCAAAATTTTTACTATTCAAATCTCAATCCAAACCCCAAACAAATAAGTGTCTGTTTGATTTTGATTTGACTTCAAGATTTTAATTTAAATTCAATTTAGAGAATATTATATACTAATATAGAATAGGTATTTTTCATAAGAAGATAATTTGTGTTTTTTGATTGAAATAAATTTGGTATCAATAATTAATTTTTGCTTTCTTGATACTATTTATTTTTTAAAAATATCATGTCAAATACATATTTTATTTTACATCACATCAAATCAAATATTAAATTTATATTTTTTTTAAACTTTCAAAATTCAATTTTTTTATTTTATTTTTATTTTTTTTATTTTTCTAAACAAAGCCACAACATTTTATCATACTTGTGAGAAAAATTAATAACTTAGTATGTTCTTAGCAAAAACTATGTAACCTAAATATGGATTGATTTGTATTTGAAACAAAAACCACACACACTTGAAATTGAAATGTTGTGAATAATATATTAATTTTTGTAAAAAAATGTGTGGATTTTTTTTTTTTTTTTTTTTTTTAAAAAAAACACCCTTAATACTTGATGTTATAGTATTTTGTGAGATTTGGATGGATAGCTAAAATAATTTCGATTGACAAAATTCACTACATATATATATTTATACTTCATTTCTAATAAAATTTAATAATTTAATATAAAATAGTACTCCCTCCTTATCAGACAATTTGCAACATTTGCTTTTGATACGAATTTTTAGGTGGATAGTACAGTGATGTGACGAAGAGAAAAATATATATTATTTTTTTATTTAGATGATGTGGGGATAAAGTGTGAAGTAGAGATTAAATATAATTAATTATTTCTTATTTTGAAAATATTGAAGGATGTTTGACACATACCAAAAATGAAATGTTGCAGGATATTTGGAACCGATGAGTAATTTTTAATATTATTAATACAATTTTTATATTTCAAATAAAAAATATCAAATTAAAATACTAAATAAACACACCTTTGAATGTAAGTAGTATATATTTTTAAAATTATTTATATAAAAAGGCTTAAAAATGCAAACAAACACTTATTTAACTTTTTTACTTTATTGATATTGTTATTACATATTGAGTTAAAACCACTATTTTAATTTCGATACATTCATCCAGACTTGTTCTTTTTTCTTTTTTTTTTTTCTCTGCAAACAGAACACAAGCAAACAAACAAAAACCGCCCAGTTGAAATTATTTAATTTGATTCCTCTCTCCCTCTCTCTCTCTCTGCTCACCTTTTCTTTCACCATTTTTCCCCCCATAGTTATTTCTCGCAGAGAGACAGGGCCCTCCTATCCTCTCTCTCTCTACAACTACACACACATGGATATATAAAAATTGCTTTTTTGTACCAAAGATCCAACTCTTCCTTGTAAATCTGCCTCTGTGTGTTTTTTCTGGTTATTGATTTTTATTTTTCTTCATGAGAGGAATCCGAGGTTTGTTTTGTCCTTTTGAAATTCCAGTGTTACTGCAATTCAAGCCATGGATTTAACTCTCTCTCATATATGTATGCGTGAATGTATGTATATGGTGGATGGTGTTCATGCGTTGGGTGCATTTTCAGATTAATTAGGGTTCTTAATGTATTGTGGCTGGTGGTGGCGGTGATTGTGATTTTGATTCTGATTTCTCAAAATGTGGGCGATGATTGTGATTTCCGATATGAATTTTCGCTTCGTCGAGTCGAAATTCGCAGCGTAGATTGACGATTCCTGCGATTTCTAAGCGTTTTTGGTTCAGCGCGAAGGTTTCGTGTTCTAGCAATTTGGGGGTGATAATTTCTGGGGCTTTTTTTTTGTTTTTTGAATTTTCTTCACAGATCCCCAATTTTTTCTCTTCAGCCATGCATTATTCTTCAATTTGAAATCCTCCAACACTCATCCTTGGGCAATTCGTTCAAAATCTCTCGTCGATTGAGGTCGAATCGGAAGCCTCGAAACCCTCACAATGTGGAAGCAATTTTTGGGCAAACTCCCCAGAAAATCCTCAAAATCGGATCAGGATTTATCCGAAAACCCTAATTTGAGTTCCAACGCTTCCAGTCCCGTCGCGAAACGCGCCGCCGTGTTCCCTTCCAGCGTGATCGCCGGAATCGAGCCGTTGGTTCCCTTCAAAGATGTCTCCAATTCGGAGAAGATGAATCTCTTCATCAGTAAACTGAGTCTGTGCTGTGTCGTCTTCGATTTCACCGATCCTGTGAAGAATGTTCAGGAAAAGGAGCTCAAACGAGCCACATTGCTCGAGCTTCTCGAATTCGTGTCGGAAAATCCGCCGAAATTCTCCGAACCAGCGATCCTCGCCTCTTGCAAGATGTGTTCGATCAATTTGTTCCGTGTTTTTCCTCCTAGTTGTCGATCCAGAGCCTCAAGTCTTGGCGAAAACGACAATGATGATCAGCCTACATTCGATCCTGCTTGGCCACACTTGCAGTTAGTCTACGATTTCCTGCTCAAGCTCGTTACCTCGACATCTCTGGAAGTAAAAGTCGCAAAGAAGTATGTGAATCAGTCGTTTCTGCTCCGAATCATCGACTTGTTTGATTCGGAGGATCCTCGAGAGCGGGACTCTCTGAAGGCGATTCTCCATAGGATTTACGGCAAGTTTATGGTTCACCGGCCGTTTATCCGGAAGATAGTAAGCAATGTGTTCTATCGATTTGTATTCGAGGCCGAGAAGCACAATGGGATTGCAGAGCTCTTGGAAATTTGCGGGAGTGTGATTACGGGATTCGCGTTGCCGCTTAAAGACGAGCACAAGATATTCCTATCCAGGGCATTGATTCCGCTGCACAAGCCGAAATCGTTGGGAATTTACTTTCAGCAGCTTTCGTACTGCGTAACACAGTTCATCGAGAAGGATCCGAATCTAGCGAGCAGCGTGATTAAAGGGCTGTTGAAGTATTGGCCGATTACGAACAGTCAGAAGGAGGTGATGTTTTTGGGGGAGTTGGAGGAGATTTTGGAAGCCATTAATATGGCTGAGTTTCAAAGGATCATGATTCCGTTGTTCTGTCGCCTCCGACATTGTATGAGCAGCTTTCACTTTCAGGTACTGAACTTATTGCTTCGTAGTGACTTTTAAGATCTGTCTTTGTTACAAAGCTTTAATGAATTCTATGCGCTTTGGCCTTTTCTCTGCAGGTAAGTCCATTATGGAAAACTACGTTTTTACTTAATGAAGATTGACATATAAGGAGTTCATTTATTTGCTTTCTTGGCTTGATTGAATGATTATGTGATGATGCTTTGTTTGGTGTAATTCGGTGACGTATTATGTCTATTGTGGGATCGTAATGAATGTGGCTGAAAGTCCGTTGCTTTTTCATGTTTTAATACATTCGGTGGCGTATTATGTCGATTTTGGGATCATAATAATTGTGTAGGTACATGTGGCAAAGCGCCGTCATGTTTTCATTGTTTTAAATGCTCATTGATGTTTTATGTCGACTGCGGGATCATAATAAATGTGTTGTTACATGTGGCTGAAGTGCTGTTGCTTTATCATGTTTAAATACGTTCGGTGACGTGTCATGTTGATTTTGTGATCATAGTAATTGTGTAGGTACATGTGGCCAAGGTGCGTTGCTTTTCATGTTTTAAAATTTCGTTGACGTGTTATGTCGATCATGGGATCATAATAAATGCGTTGTTACATGCGGCTGAAGTGCTGCCATTCTTTCATCTTTTAATAAATTCGGTGACGTATTATGTTGATTGCGTGATCATAGTAATTTGGGTAGGTACATGTGGAGAAGCGCCGTCACTTTTTCCTGTTTTAAAATGTTCGTTGACAAATTATGTCAAATATGGGATCATAATAAATGTGTTGTTACATGTGGCTGAAGTGCTGCCGTTTTTCATGTCTTAAAACATTTGTTAACGTATTATGCTTATTGTGGGATCATAGTAGTTGTGTAGGTACATGTGGCCAAGTGCTGTATCTTTTTCATGTTTTAAAATGTTTGTTGACGTATTATGTCGATTTCTGATCATAATAAATGTGTTATTACATGTGTTATTCCTCTGTTTACTTCAAATGCGCGCACGTGTGCGTTGTGCAGTTTCGGAATGTTTTGTCGCAATATCCGAAGATTATTCGGTGCAATTTTGAGAGACAATAGTGCCGAAGCACGACTAAAGATGTTTGAAGAGATGAAACTAGAATTGAATTGAGTGGTTTGTATACGATAGTTTTAAACAATACTACATTCGTTAGCATTATGTAATTTAGTCTACTTTGTATTATCTCGAAATATGTCGTTGTTTTGTTTCGATGAAATAGCTTTAACATCGATCCTCTTACTTTTCCTTTTTACAGGTAGCCGAGAGGGCTCTGTTCTTCTGGAACAATGACCAGATTCTGAGCCTCGTCGCGCACAACCGGGACATCATCATCCCCATCATAGTCCCGACGCTCGAACACAATGCGCAGGCGCACTGGAACCAGGCCGTCCTTAACTTAACGTTAAACGTTAAAAAGACCCTAACGGATATGGATGAAGCCCTCGTGCAAACCTGCATCTCCGAGTACAAAGCCAAGAAAGAAAAGGCAGACCAGACTGCCGGAAAACGGACAGAAACATGGCGGCGTCTGGAGACTGCCGCCAGTCTTCAGCCGGCAGGCAGCAACACTGCTGTTCTGGTGACGCCGGGAACATCCCCTGCGCCGTGTCTATAGCTGCCGTCCAGGTTAGTTTGCTCGTTTGCGCCTGTGTTTATGTGCATTTTGTCTGTCTGTCTGTCTGTTGTCTTTTTTCTTTCTTTTTTTATTTTTTTCGGTAATTGGTCATATGTATGGCTGTTTGCCCATGTTTTGAGTTATCGGTTGCGGCGCAGCTATTGTTGTGTTATAGTTAATGTCTCTAACTGTATGAATTGATATGATATGTGGCTGTGTTTAAATCTGCAATGCCTAAGATGTTTCGGGAGGAAGTTTGGGTATCGATGTTGTAAACTATTTTCTTTTGTCTCTTTGGTAATTTTTAGGTCTCTTACTTTGATTGCTTTGGCTTTTTGCATCTGGTGTATATTTGGTATGTTTTCGATGCTTGTCTTGCTCATGAAATTGTGAGTGTTGGTTTTTATTTTTTGTGTCGGGTTGTTCGAAGTAATGTGAGCTTGTTAATGTTGTCGTAACCTTATGATTTTTGATCGTGTCCGCGTGTGCGGTTGAGTTCTGAGTTTTGCTAAAATTTGTTTAAATTCAAATGTTACGGTTTTGATTTAGATAATATAATATTTTGATTTGATGTTTATAGTGTAGTCTTGCTCGGAATCGAGCTAAATCATGTTAGGATTTTATTTGAAATCAAAATAAAATGGATCTTAAATTTTGAAGGTTGAGAGTTTACTAAAATTTGAATCAAGCCTTGTTCATTCAAGAAGTATTTTAGAATAAAAAATATGTACTAGAATTCAAAGGTATGTTTGTTTGGGGTTTTCATTAAAATGGTATAAAATTAAATTTAAGTATTTGTTTAATGTGATATAAATAAAAAGTAATATAACATTTTGAATGTAAAATTAATTTTCAATAATTTAAAAATAATAAAGAACAAATCAATCAAACAAACACACCCCAAATTATTTTTCGTACGTCTGTCAATTGTGACTTCATGAATTTGAGCTCTGGGTGTAGTGTAAAATTCAAATATGAAAAAGTTTCAACATTTTATATATTTTTTTTTTTAAAAAATAAATATTTTAATACTTTTTTTTTTTACAATTTTCAATAACTAACGGCCAAACACTTCAAAATTTTCTAAATAATGAAAGAACATTATTTTTTTACAGTTAAAGTTAGCCACAATTTTCTGTATAAATTTCAAATGAATATATTTATGCATGCATGCACGTATTCACGTGTATGTTCCGTTCCAACTCTCTGGTGATTTGGTGCTGAAATTATTCAAATTAAGTTATTCCAATATAAACGTTATAACAAATAAAACTACATCTCACACAAAATTAAAACATAGAAAAACAATACTTTTATAAATCAAGCAAATTAAATTACTCAGTCACTTCACATACTTCAAACAGACAGACAGACAGACACAGGCGGAGCGGCGCCGGAGTTCCCTCGCCGGAAAAGTGATCGACGACGACGATAATTCACTTGATGCTCCAGTGGCGAGCAATGTCCCCGGCGGCGTTGACGGCGTCGGCAGAAGTTCCGGCGAGGCCCCTCCTGGTAAACCCCACCGTGTACAGCCCCCTCTCCCCCTTCCACCCCTTCGGAAATGGTGTCCGAGGCATTCCATCCTCACTGAAGAAATCACTCCCCTGCACCCCCACCAATTATATTAATTAATTAAATTAAATTATACATACAGATATATATATATATATATGTATATATCGAAATATAATATAGCAGACCTTTAGCCAAGCAGGCACGTTGCTCGTATAACCAGTGGCGAAAATTATCGCATCGAATTCCTTCTCTTCTCCGTCCATGAAAATTGCTCCATTTTCAGTTATCTCCTTCACCCCTCCCACCACCTATTAATTTAATTAATTATTTCATTTTTAAAATTTAAAATATTATTTATATATATGTACTTAATTATTTATTGATATATTAGTTAATTACGTTGATTTTGCCGGAAGTTATTCCGGCGAGCGCGCCGACGTCGAGAACCGGGCTCCGGCCGGTCAGAATCTTCAGCTCAAACGGCCCGGTCGCCGGCCGGCGGATCCCCACCTTCTCGGTGTCGCCGATGATCCAATCCGCCATTTTCAGAAGAAACTTATCCACCATTTTTACCGGCAGCCACTTCAGGAGAAAATTCGCGACGGCGAACGTCGAGAGTCCGTACATCTCCACCGGGAGTATATGCACCTGCAGAAATTAAATAATCTTAATTAATTAGTTAATAATTTACAAAAATACTACTAAAATTTTAATTAATTAATTAATGTTATTAATTACGGAGTCTCGGACGACGAGGTGAGGAAATGCAGAATGTCCGGCGAGGTCGACGCAGACATCCATGCCGGAATTTCCACATCCGACGACGAGGACACGTTTGTCGCGGAAGGGCCGGCCCGACCGGAAGTCGGCCGTGTGGATCGCCGGTCCGCGGAATTTCTCGATTCCGGGAATCTTCGGCACGGCCGGCTCGGCGTTTTCGCCGGTGGCGACGACGAGCCACGGAGAGGAGTAGGATGCGCCGCCGTGAGTCTCGACGGTCCATGCACCGTCGCGGGGGTCGAATTCGGCCTTGGAAACGGACTGTCCGAATCGCGGCGCGATTTCGAAATTGGCGGCGTAAGTTTCCAGGTACGTAATAAAGTCTGCTTTGGAGGGGTATTTTGGGAAGTTTTCGGGGAATCCGAGGTAAGGGAGCTGGCAGAATTGTTTGGGTAGGTGTAGCCGTAGGTTTTCGTAGCTCCGCCGCTGCCAGAGGGAGGCAATACAGTCGTCGCGCTCGAGGATTAGCGACGGAACGCCGTGGCGGCGGAGGCAGGCGGCGACGGCGAGGCTGGAAGGGCCGGCGCCGACGATGATCGGGCCTGGGAAGACGACAGCGGCGGCGGCGGCGCTACGGCGGCCGTCGGAGGACGCCATTGATGGAGGGAGTGAGAGCTTTGAAAGAATTATTATTATTATTATAATTAATTAATTAAATTATTTTTAATTTTGACGAGTTTTGATGAGTGATGTGGTGGCCGTTTTATAGGCGTAGATTTGGGACACGTGTTGCAATCTAAATTAATCGTCGGAAAATGTTACGTCATTAAAACATTTTAGGTGTACGGATAAGTGGATTAACTTGTGTAATTATGGGGACGATGTATTGATTTTTTTGGTGAATGTAGTTGGGGAGATTATAATTGTTAATTGTTAATTGTCTTTTGTCTTTTTATTTCAAGAAAAATCTATCGGTTTAGAGTGTAAATATATAATAAATAAATTCTAGTTTAAAATGATTGAATTAATTATAAAAATAATAATTCGGATTGTTTTAGGAGTTCGATATTACGAGCATGTAATTTTATTATAGTCGAATGTTTTGCGTACAAGAAGTGATCGTATATTCAATGTGTTTTTGTTCTTTTATCTTTACAACGTTCTCAATGATATTTTTTTTTTTGTTGTTTTCACCCATATTTATTAATAAAAATGCAATTCATTCGAACAATGTAATAAAATTTAAAATTACTTTTAATAATTATTGCACATATATTTGTCATGTGTCGTATTTACCACGCACGAATGATTAAAGTGAATATATTATTTTTGGTTCTAAATTTATATTTACTTTAATTATAAAAGATTTATAATTAATTTATGAAATTGTTGTATCATATTCAATATGTGGTATAAGATATACTTTACATTATATTGAGATTGACAATTATAATTTAATCATAAACATGCAATCCTAAGATCTTCTTTAAAATTATTGTACATAATTTGATTTAGTAAAATATAAAAAGACTAGTTTTCCAATAATGTGTGAACCCAAGATTTTTTATTTTAAATTTAATTGAATCATATGTTTAAATTCAATCACATTTCTAATAAGATTGTCACTTTTAGTTTTAAATTTTAGAAAGTAATATATACTTAAAAATAATATACAAATAATAGTATTTTAAATTGTAACAAAACCCTAGCTAATCATACACAAATATTTGAAATAAGTAAATTAAAAAATAAGTTTCAAATGTTTTTCTAAAATATTGATTCCATTCTAAGCTAAGAAACACTAACAAAGTTAGTATCTTCAAAACAAATTGAAAAGATTAACTTAGTTAATTTTGTTTTGCATGTTTAATTTGTGTCTAGGGCTTTAATTTACTCTCATCGATTTTATCGGCCCAATCTAAATATTTCATTATAAACTCGGCATCGGGAAGAACTAGACATTTTATAGAGAGGTATACGGTGAGGGTCCAATTTGAATTTTCGAATTTATTCAAATTAAGCATAATATGTAGCTTCACAATGAATCAATTTTTAATAGTCGCCCTTATTTATATGGCTATATATATATATATATAATTTTAAGAATTAATAATGGAATTATTAGCTTGAGTTTCATTTTGTAAATAATTTGTCAAACTTATATTTATATTAGACATTTAAAATTTGTCTTAATACTCTACCACAATGTGCCAATGCACGTCTAGGCATAAAACAATATATATCCATATTATAACAATTTATAAGTTATTTTTTCAAAAAATAAAGAATAAAAATGATACATATATATTCAAACAAAGTGTATCCATATATATTAATTTCGAATTAAATGAATATAAACATAAAATTGAAAATACTTTACTCCAATTTACATTAAAAGCAAATTGGTAAGACAGGGAAGGCTAAAGTGATTAATAATTTTAATTTATAAAAATAAGGGTTATGTATAATAAAGAGAATTAAATACATACTCCCTTTATATATTTTTTTTATATGAATTTAATTTTAAATAATATTCAAAACTAATATGTTATTAGAAAATTGTTACTCTATCAATCCCTTTAACAAAGTAACAATTTTATTATTATTATTATTATTTTTACATAGTTTTTTTAAGTATTATATATGTATATATATAGTACAAAATGAGATAAAATAATCATATATATTAGTAGGATGTATTAGTTTGTAATTTGGTTAAACAAAGATAATATAATATGTGTATATAATAAGTTTACTAAAAAAAATGTGAATATATTGATTTGAAACAAAAAAAAAAAAAAAAATTGATTATCTTGTTCTAGGAATGGAAGAGTATCTTTTTAAAAAGAAATTAAATAAATTAAATAATAAAGAGTAAATAAAATACACTCAGTTATACCTTGGTTGTGTTCAATTGTGTATTAATGATTTATTTCTTATTTTTTTACATTACATAATTAATAAATATATTTTTAAATAAGAAAAATATAGTATATATATGTTTTTAAAAGAGTTATAAGCATTTATATACACCTTGGTTGTGTTCAATTGTGTATTTAGCCAAAAATAGCAACGGACCTCACAATGGTGTAGCTGGGTCGGTCTGATCTCATGCAACAGACTCATCATTATTATTATTATTACCAAAACAGTGGGTCCCACTTTTACTATATTTTAATTATACTTGAGTTGTGTCAGTGTGACCCACCAAAACTCGTGTTCGTCACGTGGATGTAAGAATTTTAATTTTATTTTAAAAATATTTTATAATATAAATTACCTGTTCGTGTTAATATATACTCCTTCCATAAAAAAAAAAAAAACGTATATATTTATTTTTGGCGCAAAGTTTAAAAAATAATAGTATTTTAATTATAGTAGATAGGTAAAAATAGGATAATTATATTTTTGTCCTTACTTTTTTGTATAAAAGTAACGATGTGATGTAAAGTAGGGGTATTTGTGGAAAAAATAAAATATTTAATAAAATAGTTATTTTGTAATTGGACGTCCCAAAATAGAAATATATGTACTTTATAGTTGGACGGAGGGAGTATTTTCTACCGTTGACATTAAACGTATATAAAGTAATACTTCGTCCAAAAATTAATCTCTTATTTTTTTTTATTTGGAACATCCAAAAATTATTGTTATATTTCACTTTTTAAACATAAATTTTATTTTTTTACCCTTTATTTATTTATCACTTTTAATCTCTACGTTATCATAATTCATAAATGATAAATTTGTCGATTCATACCAAAAAGATAATTTATCTAAAAAATCATGCAAATATACTTTAGAACAATTATAAATGGACGGATGGAGTAATATTTATTTAATTATAATGTATTATAATATTATTTTATTATTTTTATATAATTAATAATATTGATAATTTTAAAATAAATTTAATATATTATATGACTAAAAAAATTAAAATATATATTTAAATATTTTGAAAATTATATCGTAATAAAAAATATATTAGACATGAATATAATTTTGTAAATAATAACTTTTCTTACAAATATGTAAACAAAAATATTTATTTATTTATAATTAACAAATTAATTTTATAAAAAGACGTGTAATTTTAAATTTAGATAAAAAATATTTATTTTTTTAGGAGAGATATATAAATAAATAAATTTTGAGTGAGTATGCATGCTCGTATATAGTTAATTAAATTGATTTATATTTGTTAAATATTTTTTATTTAATAAATTTTACTTAAAATAAAAAATATGTCAATTGTTATTAACAAACGAAAATGAAAATATAGTGTCATTTGTGGTAGAACGAATGAAATATTAGATAAGTATATGCATATACATTATGTACTCCTTTATTTTATTTTATAATATAAATAAAAAAATGTCTAAAATTTTTAGTTGAGTGTATACACTAAGTTTTTTTTTTTTTATATATATATATTTTTAAAAATATTAATACATTATATAAATTTATTATTTTTATATTAATTCTATAGTTTTTTATACATCATATAAAAAAAAAATATTCTTTCAAATTATTCACAAAACAAACATATCCACATTGTTATAATAATAATAATAATAATAATAAAGACGAAGGAACAAATTTGGAATGAACAAACCCTATTTTAGCTATATTATTATTATTATTATTATTATTATTACGTTCTCACGTGTCTTTCTAAAAATATGTTTTTCTTATAGTATAGCATTATCGCTGCTTACCGCTAACGTTCGGTTGAATAAAAAAGAATAAATTATATTGACTTACGTAGTTCAATTTTATTCAGTAATTAAATATTTCAATAAATTCAAATGAATATTAGATTCCAACCATCATGAAAAGCGCTACGTAAGAATAAATAAAAATAAAAATAAAAAATAAAAAATGCGAATGAGATTTGCACCGTCTGCCAAAATTAAGTCACCCCTAAATTTAGCTTTATTCTGTGTATTTATAGAAAATAAATTTAATCACGACTATTGATGATATATATAAAAAGTGCTGCAGAATATGTAATAGAATACGTATAAAATATTAAACTATATGCCAAAATTATTTAAATATTTTTTACTAATTAAATTACTATAGATTGCTACAGCAGATTTTAAATGTGTATCATATATATATATATCAAAAATAAAATGTTGTGCTGTATTGAATTCAGGTGACATTAAATATAAACTAGGTAGCAAAATCAATTTTACAAAATATCAGAGGTCTTTTAGCAATATTGATGGAACTACTAAAGTATATTTTAATGTATAATTAAATTGATAAACTAATTTATTACGCCATTATATTAAATTTATAACTAATTTATAGTTTATAATAGTAGTGATTTGTTCAATTATTATTATTTTACTTATTTTGTAATATGTCAACGTATTAAATTGAAACCAATAGGTTTATTATTTGTTCTTTTTTATTTTTATTTTATATATAAATATATATTTTTTATAATATAGTTGATTGTTTTCAATAAAATAAAGTAGACTTATATATATAATATTACATTCAATTACTATCTTATTCGAACCCTAAAATGGAGTGGGCTATGGGCAACATTATATACAATTGTTATACATATGACTAATTATAATAATATATGTATGTATGTTCCTTTCATTTTGAAGTTTTTTTCATTTTTTTTAACCATGCAAATTCTTCGTTTTCAATAGAAATAAATATTTTATTTAAAAACTAAAAAAAAATAAAAAATTATTTTATCCTTTGACTCAGTAATAATCATACACCGAATACTACGTTTCAACGTAAAAACAAATCTCTCTCTCTCTCCTAGATATACAAGCATGCATGCATGCATGCAATCCCATTTCTCTATCCTCCTTTCCATCTCTATCTAAGAGCTCACACACAGATATATACATATACATATATATATATATATTGGATCTGTCTGTACAGACAACATTAACTGTCATTGAAGAGAGAAAACAGAAGCAAGAGGAAAAGTAAACACTGCCCATCCCCAAAAACACGAAGAAAAAAAAATTGAAAAAAATTGAATGACATTGAGTAATCTATTAAATTGAATTTGAAATTGAAATTCCCTGTAATTTTTTAGTTTTTATTTTTTCCGGCTTTTCGTCTGTTGCCGGAAAATTAAATCAGATGAACACTTCCGACACTCTCCGGCTATGATCTAAGGTCAGTATTTTATTTTAATTTTAATTTTATTTTATACTATGAATAATTTAATAATGTGTTTGATTAATTTACATAGGGCGATGCAGATGCAAAGATAATGTACTCTTAATTGATTATATATATATATATATAAAATTAATTACTATTATATCTTTCTTTACATATTTCAAATTGATCATAAAGTAGATTTTTTTTTTCTACTTTTTTTTAATGATTATTTGTTGCGTTTAAATATATTGTAAAAGTACATTAGCATTTTGAGTTGACAGAGTATATTAAAAAAAGAAAAAAGAAAAAAAACAAGAATAAAGAATAGGTATTTGATAAAGAAAATGAATAAATATTTTCAATTAAAAATATATATTTTAAAATTTAGTAGTTTAAATAAAAAATTAATTTTTGAACATGATTTTTTAATCAAAAAAAAAAATTGATAAAGAGTGTAAAGATAGATTAATGCACATACTAAAACATAACACTAATAAATAGTAGAGTTAAATTTTATTTTGTATTTTGAATAGTAAAATTTTAAATTTCATAACTCTTTAATAGTAATATATACTAGATAAATAAATTTTAATGCAAATTTTTCTATGAACAGTAAAAATTGAATCGAATGGAGTATCTAAAGAATCCGGGGAAAGGAGTAATTACTGATGTCAAGGGAAGGTTGAGATGCTACAAAAATGACTGGCTCCATGCATTTCATTCTGGTCCCGGGTATGTACATCTTTCAAATATATATATGTATATATTTTCGTAGGTTAAACACATGATAACATATAATAATATTTCATACAATATATATTAAGATTGATCTCAGCATAAGATGTTTGCTAACATAACACTAATGCATAATATAAACTAATAACACGTAGTAATATTCTAATAATATGTAATACGATATATTTCAATATAAGGTATATATTACAAAAGAAAAAAAAGAAAAAAGGAACTGTTATCTAGAAATTTTTGTATTGTTCTCATATTTATTGAAGAACTAGTTTTTTATTTTTTCTTAAATTTTATTTATTCATAAATTTAGGATTATCGCTCCCATGGCATTCATGTTCTTCGCTTCGGCTATTCCTGTCATTGCTTTCGGCGAGCAGTTGAGTAAAGCCACAGGTAAATATTATAGTTGTATTCTTTTGGTTTTTTTTTTATACATATTTTTTCAAAAAAAATTAATACATTACACGCATTTATTATTTTTATATTACCTACATAATTCTTTGTACATCACTTAAAAAATATCAATTTCACAAAATAAAAACACCCTTAGTTTCTCACCTAATGGGCATGTGATTTAATCAATGTGTAGTATTTATGATCAAATTTTAAAATTCACATAATACGTATATATAAAAAAAATAATAATTAAAAAAAATATCTGATTTAATATTTTTAGAAAAAAAAAAAAGAATGAATAACAAAATATTTTGAAAACCTTCACTAAATAGATGTATTGATATATTTATTTATTTTGAAACTAGATGGGGCCTTGACCCCCGCGGAGACACTCATGTCGACAGCCTTGTGTGGTGTTATCCACGCAATATTTGGCGGGCAACCATTGTTGATTTTAGGAGTCGCGGAACCAACAATTATAATGTATTCGTACTTATATTCTTTTATCCAAACTAGGATCGGGAAAGAGTTGTTCTTAGCTTGGGCCGGATGGTAAGCAATCTACATATATACCTATCTACGAGATATATATATATATCTAGCCAAGCGAGCTTTAGTTTAAATTTTTCATATGGGGCGGGATGCAGGGTATGTACATGGACGGCATTGTTCTTGTTACTTATTGCCACGTTCAATTTGTGCGCTATCATCCATCGATTCACAAGGCTTGCCGGGGAGTTATTTGGGATGTTGATCGCGGTCCTTTTCATTCAAGAAGCCATCAAGGTACAATTTTCTAATTTCACTCCTATCGTATATATGCATTTATAGATTCAATTATCACTTTTATCATATAATTTTGTATGATCGAATAAATTTTCTAATTTCACTAATTTTCATATTGAAAACCTTATGTTGTGATAGTTGCGTGAGGCGGTAATAACTTTTAATTCTTTTAATTTAGCACAGTAGTGATAGCATACTATATAACAACAAATAATACATTATATAACAACAAACTAAATATTATCTATATTAATATAATAATAATAATAATACAACCTATGAACACTATTATTAGTTTTTGTCACATAAAATATGTTCATACACCATATCCTATGAATTGAACTATTAGGACATTATTTCAACTAACACAATAATGTTATGTTAATTGAAATTATGTATTGTCTGTCATTTATGATGTATTGACCGAAAAATCAGCATTATATTGATTCGTCTCACAATAACCTTTCATGTCACGTGAAGCTTGTCTTTGCTCTTATGAAGAATTGTCTGTCTTTTTTTTATTTTTTTATTATTACATATCAATGATAGGGTATAATAGAAGAATTCAATGTTCCGGAAGACGAAGAAGGTAGTACCGAAGAGAAATATCATTTCCAATGGTTGTATATAAATGGATTGCTTGCAGTTATTTTTGCTACTGGTGTCCTTTTGACTACCTTGAAGAGCCGAAATGCTCGATCTTGGGTATATGGGACAGGTACGAACAAGTTTTTGCAATAAAATTACATCTGATTATCAATTCTATCCTTTAAGTTTGAGGATATGACTGTTGATGTTTCATTGCAATCATGCCATGTGTACATGTGTGTGCCATGTCATTCTCTCTATTTAGCCTCGTCATCTTCCATGTTGGCTTTAATACTGCCACCATATTGGCCAACATAGAGAATGACTTGGCATATATAAAGACATGCCATATGTGCACGTGTGTGCCATGTCATCCTCTTTAGTGAATGTATTTCGGAGTTGGTTTGAAATAAGTTATATATTTTTTCTATGATTAATCACAATACCGAATTAAATTATGATTTTGTCGTGACTTGTATGTAGGTTGGTTTAGGAGTTTCATTGCAGAATATGGAGTTCCGGTAGCGGTCATAATTTGGACCGCGCTTTCATTTGCTATACCATCAAAGATTCCTTCTGGAATTCCGAGGAGACTCGATGCTTCTTTTCCATGGAAATCGAACTCTCATTGGGATACAATTGTGGTATCTTTCGAATTATTTATTATTTTTAATATTGTAATATTTAACATCTTTTTAATGTTGTTCGTTATTTAGGTTTGATAATATCTTTAACAAGCGAAACTTAGCCAAATTTGATAAGTCTTAAAAAAAAAAAAATTATCAAGAAAAGCGACATTGGTTTGTTTGTGAAGTTTAAATTTTGAACTTAAATAAATAGTTATTACAAATATAAATATAAATTGATGTGATACTTCAAATTTAAAATTAATTTCAATATAATATAAAAAAAAATATTTAATTTAAATTTTTTAGAAACTTTTATTAACTGTGAAAAGTTGAATAAAAACCTACAAAGAAATAGAGCCATAGGAATTCCATTTATAAAGATAACATGCAAAAATACTTATTTAAACTTTCAATACATATACATTTATAATTTTAATAGCGACTTAATTTTTGTAGTACATTCATGATTATTAATATTTGTTTTCTCATCTTCATGAATGTTAACAATTCTAAGGGCATGGGAAGGGTACCCGGCGGCTACATCTTCGCGGCCATCATTCCAGCTTTGATGGTCGCTGGTTTATATTTTTTCGACCACAGTATAGCTGCTCGGATGGCTCAACAGAAGGATTTCAACCTAAAAAAACCATCGGCCTTTCACTATGATGTCTTTTTGCTCGGGATCATGGTACGAACCTTATTATGAACTTGCAATGTTTTATTTTTTTCTAATATTGGGGAATCATTTGTAAAATATGCAACACCATAAAAGAATGTGTTATGCAGTTTATATACTGTAAATATATTTATTGTATTTAAATCAATAATATACCATATTACAGAAAAAAATTATTTATTGTTGTCAAAATATATGTTGTATATTTTGATTAAATAATGTTAATCGAGTCAAATTAGCTATCATTGGACCTAATCAGTATGAAACTGCTCCTATGTATTTTATTTTTATTTTATTTTATTATGAAGATGAATTATATATGTAATGGAGTAAAATTTAATTACCATGTATTGTCAGACGTTTATATGTGGAATACTTGGACTTCCTCCTTCGAATGGAGTACTTCCACAATCTCCTATGCATACGAGAAGTCTTGCCATTCTTAAAAGGCAGGTGAGAAATATTTTATTTGAGATTAATATTATTGTTAAATTTCATTGAAATAAATTTTTTAATATACATAAAAAAAAAAATTGGATAGTTTCCTTTTAAAAAAAAAAAAAACAACAATCAATTTTAGTGTGTTCATTCTTATAAGTAAATTTAATTTATAGTAATTATATTCTAACTTAAATATACCAATATATTATATAATTATTCGTTTTAGTAGTAGTCAAAATAAGGTAAAAAATTCTTATATATGTAACGAAATGTTATGTACATTTTTTTTTTTAATAAAATGATGTCTCGTATGTATATCTACGTATAAATACAAGTAAATACTTTGTTCATTTTGAATTTTGAATTTAAATAGTTATGATATGATATTTCATCAGAAGAAATAGCCTAATTTTATTAAAATTAATAAGTATTGAATAAAAAAAAAAAGATCATACGGACACAAATCTTTTACCATTTAATTTATTAATATCTCAATAAAAAATTGTATGTTGTTTGCTCTTGCTTTTACGACATTTCTATAGATGGTTCGAAGGAAAATGGTGCAACGCGCAAAGGATGGAATTGAGGAGAAAGTGAGCCACTCTGAAATATACGGTCGAATGCACGACGTGCTCATTGAGATGGAGGCTTCTTCCCCTCCGGTAAGAGTCGATCATCATTTCTCCATTAGTATCATTAATGCAAGAATGGGGATCGAACCAATTTTTGCGAGTTTTTTTTTTTTTTTTTGTAGAAAACGGTTAAACAAGATTTGACAAATTTAAGAGAATCTGTAGTGAAACACGATGACAAAGGGAATAAAAAGGAGGAATTTGACCCTGAGAAATGTGTCGATCTCCACTTGCCGGTCCTAGTAAACGAGCAACGGCTAAGCAACTTAGGACAATCCATACTTGTCGGGGTTGCCGCATGCGCCATGCCCGTGATTCGGCTGATACCAACCTCAGTATTGTGGGGATACTTTGCCTATATGGCAATTGATAGTCTTCCGGGGAATCAATTTTGGGAGAGATTGTTGTTCCTCTTTGTTACCAAACAACGTCGTTACAAGTAAGTTTGTCTTTTAAAAAATTATAAATTTTGTCTCGTATATATTTTTAGCTTATATTTTTGTCTCGTTACTTACAAAAAAATAGATTTTTTTTTGTACAATAGTAATAATTGACCAAAGGTATAGAACAGATTTTGCAATTTTCTTTTGATATTTTACGTGTGTATTTGTTGTTTCTTGATCATTGTAGAATCATCGAAGAATTGCATGCATCGTACATTGAATCGGTGCCGTTCAAATACATATTCATGCTTACGGTGTTTCAAATCATGTACCTTATGGTGTGCTTCGGAATCACATGGATTCCTATAGCCGGGATCTTGTTCCCATTTCCGTTCTTCCTTCTTATATTCATAAGAGAGCGTCTTCTCCCCAAGGTGATCCCGACCCAACATCTTCAAGACTTAGATTCCCCTGAGTACGAGGAAGTTTATGGGCACTCGTATATGCCTAACGATCAACATCGCAAGGTACACTATTCTCCTTTAATTCAAACATATTTTATACGACACAACTTACTTTGTAAGTAGAACAACAGTTAAATCATCTACTCAAAAATATTATTGTTAATAAATAACATCAAAATTTAAAAAAAAAAAATGTATTTAAACAGTGTCATAACTAGTGTTTAACTATATCTATAAGAAACAAGATGATTCATTTATCAAAGTAAAAACGCGACCTTACATTAAGATAATCTAGTAGCATAATGTGCATATACAAGGTCTTTTATGTCGGGTTTGTGTTCGTATTTATATTTTGTATTTGTATGGTAGTTTGATGTAATCTTTGATAAAAAAAATGTTAAATTTTTTTTTTTTCTTAATAAATAAAATCAAGTTGAATTGATCCAACGGCTTTTGATATAATTCTACTTATTGAATTTGAATTCGTCTCAATTCAAAATTATTAATTTCCTAACACGGTTATATGTGCAGAAAGGAGAATCAGAAGGAGATGAAAATGAAGTAGAAATGTCTCCCGAAGAAATATTAGATCTTATGACAACCCATAGAGGTGAATTCAAGCATAGGTCTTTGAGCTACCACCATCCCTCGAGAAAACATCATCAGCCTCAGGTAACCTTAATTGTATATGATTCAATTGATTAACCAAAAATTATATATATATAGCTTAGGGTATTGGCTTGGTCAAGTCAGTACCGTGTTGATTTCACTAAATCATACCGTAACATTAATGAATCAATATCCAACGAAAGACGACAATTAAATGTTGTGTTATATAGGTGTGTTGTGCAATATATATAATATATTGTATTGTATGCATATATGCTTATTGTGTTAAAAATTAATAGTATATTGTTTGATATATTGTATTATTATGTGTTATTTAAATATGATTTGTATATTATTATTATCATGTGTTATCATTACCGTGTTATCTGCTTTGTATATTTGTACTAACTATGTCCGGGATACAAGACCTTTTTTCTATGGACAAATAATTACCATTTTTCCCTTATTACATGCTTATGATCAAGTTTGCAAAAATTAATAATATCTCTTGATCGTTTAATGCAGGGTTTACAGGCAAGTTCTTCTGCGACACAATGAATTGTGTACCATGCGCAACATTATTAATCGACGATCGTACAAAAATTCATATCTATACATATATACATTGATGTATAATGCTAGAATAAGTATTGTAAGAAACCCTAACTAGCTAGCAAGCTCCATTGTTGTATGCAAATTTTGAGGAGCATAACTTAAGTTTTTCGTATTTTTAACCAAATTAATTGAGTTTTTTTTTTCATTATTTTATATATTATTGTTTTTAAAGATTTGATCAAAGAATTTACAATTTCCATATTAAGAAAACTTCAGTTTATTCCTTTCAATTCACGCACAATTCCAAACAGACGATATTTACAGAGATTTTTTTCAAATTTATTTGTTAACTTGTATTTTTTATATATCTTTTTAATATACAATATTTGTTTCTTTAGTATTTTAATTTGTTCTTTTTTTATTATTATTTAAATAATGACGAATCATATAGGTAATATAAAAAACAATGTTGAATTTTGACCAAATAATATAAGCACATGTAATATTATATATATATTGAAAATCGTATGAATATATAAAAGTTTTGTTGCCCAAACAAACTCACATATCTTGAAATTTTAAAAATAATATTATACTTAATATTTATTTCGTATATAAAAGTATTATACTCAATTATTATTTTATTTTATTTTAAAAATATATAATGTAAGTAACCAAACAAGTTTGGTTGTCCATAACATTTTGGTAATTAATATATATTTTATTATTTTTATAAAAAATAATATTTATTATAAAATATTATTTTTTATATTACTAACCAATTTTTCATCCTTTATATAAAAAAAAATAGCTCTAATTTCTTTTAGATGCATTTTTTTTCTTTTATCCGTTTAGATACAATTAATAAAATTATTTTAAATAAGAAATAAAAACAAATTTCTTTTTAAAAAATTATCAAAATAAGATGATAATATAATGCATTGATTGGTTTTCGTCTCAAAATAAATATGATTTAAATTCAAATTCAAATTCAAATAAAAACAAATATATACAAACTCATATCACAATTAAATAAATTTTAAGATAATTCCTTTCACTCAAAATGTAATTGTTTGCCATTTTCCATTGTATATATATTTTTTTAGTATATGAATTTCATTAAATATTACAAGTATCTTAAATTAAATTCTATTTTTTGAAATTTTATGTTATTTTTCTATTTATGCAACAAGTATCAATTATTATTAACTGTAAAAGCGTTAGTTAAAAGTAGCGTCTTTAGGGTTCAATTTTCTACTATTATACCTAAACTCGCGTTCACCCGAAAACACGCCTTGTAGAAATAATATCAACGTGTAGTCGTGGCTCAGTCTCCGTTCACAAATACTCAAAACCAAAAAGTCACAGCAGAGAGGGAAAGTTCTGATCATTGCGACAGTTCTCTCGAGAGACGATTGTAAAATGGCATCGGCGATTTCCAAATGGCTCGTGGATCCGAAGCGCAATCCGCTGGCGGCAATCCACATGAAAGCAGTGTCCAAGCGCCTACGCAAATACGGTACGTCGGTTGTAGTGTTATTGGTCGTATTTGAGTGACAAGTTCGATTTGGAATCGAATTGATTGTGCGATGTTTTTTGAAACTAGGTCTTAGATACGATGATCTGTACGATCCGATGTACGATCTGGATGTCAAAGAGGCGCTTAATCGGCTGCCGAGGGAGATTGTGGATGCGAGGAACCAACGCCTTAAGCGCGCCTTGGACCTCTCTCTGAAGCATAAATATCTTCCGGAAGATCTTCAGGTGAAAATAATTTTTTTACGGTAATCCATTTCATTGATTTGATTTTTTCACTTCGATTGTTGGTGTTTGTAAATGTTGACTGTTTTTGAGCTAGCTGTGTGTGAATTTGAAGGAATGAACTGACAAGGATTTTGTAAGGATGATAGTGATGGAGTATTGGCTTGTTAGATGCTAAATTTGACCTTAGTTTCTTCTCTGGTTTATATATATATATATATATATCCAGAAACTCTATTCATAACTCTATGTGAAATTATATTCTAGTTTGAAAAGGAATTTGTATGCAATTTTGTGTTGATATCAAGCTTGTCACAATTCAGTGGCTATGTATTTCTCCATGGACTTCCATATTCTTCACGTTAGCCATTAGCCACTTCTATTTGTCAGCTGTTTCGAATCCAATTACTTGTGATAAGAACTCTTACAGGCTCAGGCACATTGAATATTTTTTAAGCCAATTTTAGGTTTGTTGGTGTGAAGAACATCACACATCGTTGATGATCATGATTCACATGGAACAACTTGAATTCTTAAGTAAATACTCTTGTTGGCACATCTTGTATGAGATGAGTGTAAATTTAGTGTATGCATTGCTATATAGTATTCGAAGCTCTGGTTATGTTTACATTTATCTTCTTCCACTTACAGGCAATGCAGACACCATTTCGGAGTTATCTTCAGGAGATGTTGGCTTTGGTAAGTCTCTTTTCTGAAATGCTGGTTATAGAACTAAATCGAGTATAGCATTCGCAACCCATTTGTTATTATGGGAAACTTGATCTTCACAATATGGTAGTTTAAATCTGATTCTTTTGTTCAGGTTAAAAGAGAGAGAGCTGAACGAGAGGCACTCGGCGCCTTGCCTCTTTATCAGCGTACCATTCCTTAAGTCAGCCTCAATATATTCCCACAACAGCGCCTGGTATTGTACTACAGATGTTATAATGATTTAATGAATAACAGCAATAGCGTCGTTCTTGCTGGGCTTGTACACGACTACCCGTACGTATATTTAAACCTATTTAGAATAGATTTACTTAAACTTATGAAATGCATCTGCTGGTCTGTTTAAACTAATGCTTCCTGATTTTCAGTAAATTGATTGCAGCCATACATTCATGCTATTGATTTTATGTCATTTTCATGACTTCAATTCATAGCACTTCTGTATTTAATCAGTGGTTGCTCCCTTTGATGGGGTTGAGCTTCCATGGATTCTGACTTGGATTGAGTTCTGACAATTTTCACATGAAGTGAATGAACTTCCTAACTGGCTCTGGGGAACACTGAAGTGGCATTCTCCTCTTGTGATTCCCATTGGATTCGCGGTTCTATCGATTGTGGCATCATCGATGGTGATGGATGACGAATGCCGAAACTTGCCCACCCGGACATCATCTGGTATGTTGTGCTACGAGTTAAAAATTTTCGAGTAAACTACATATATTGTATTTGTGTGTTTCGAAATAAATGCATAAAATGTCTTTTTGTAAATTGCATAATAGGTGTTTTAATAAAAATGTACAAAATGCTTTGTGTTTTATTTATTGTATGGAACCCTCTTGTGTTAAATGAAAGAATGCACAAAACACTATTTTTGTTAAAAACTAATATTTGGTTGTAAACTATACATAAAAAGGATAAAATATCTTAAATAATATTTTTTGAATAAAATAAATAACTAAATAATTTATCAATTATTTATTTAATAATTATTTTTACACGGATTATTATCTAATTTTTTTTCTTAAAAAAAAAAAAAAAACTCAACCATTAGGTTTCACGCAATTAATAAAATACGAGATGTTTTGTGCATTTATATTAAAAGACAAGGTGTTATTATGCAATTTACCCTAAATTTTATAACATGATTCATATTTGTATTAGAAATATAAGTGTGAATAATGCAATAAAATCTACTTTTAGGGTATTTTATGCATTTAAATATGGAAAATTGTTGCAACATCTGTCTCATATCATAGGCCTGTGTTAATACCTCAGAATGTCAAGCGTGTGGAAATGCATATAGGTGTGTGTATATATATATATATATGTGCGCGGGGGCGCGGGTGTATGTTTACCTGAAGCTGATACTGCAATGTCTTGATATGCTTAATAGCACCATCCAGGGTGGATGCTTTGTCTCTCTAAAAACCACAAGGACACATACCATGTAAGAACATCAGTAAGCAATAGAAGCCTTACCAAAACATTTGTAATTATGGTTTAAGAGACTATAGGAATAGGATAGTCATAAAATTAGTAGTATAGTAATAATAATAACGTGTTTTAATTATTCCTTCTTCAAAGTAAAGGTATGATTAAGGATATAGATATTGTGAGCAGAGCAGCACCTTATGACAGTTGGGAATGAGTTCTTGTAGAACCTTAAACTTCTCTCCAAGTCTCTGCCTCCTCAGCTGCTCCATAGATAAATAGGATACAAAATTAAATTAAGTTCATAAAATAGTAATATAAGTAAGAGGTGTATTGATTTAGTTGGCTTACCCTTTCATTGAGGTTACGAGATTGGGTACAACGTGATCTTTTTCGGGTGAGATCTTGTTGTATGATCAACACATCATCTGATTCTGATGCTGATGCTGATGCTGATTGTGTGGTGTATTGGCTCCCATTTTCCAGGAGGAGGGCTGGTGATGATGATGATCTTTTGTTATTATGATTGTTATTATCCTCCATAGCCAATTCTGGTAGTGAAATGAATTCTCCAGGATGCACAAGGGGTGGAGGATAATCAACCAGCAAATGATGAATTTCTTCTTCTCCCCATGGAACCAAATCCATTTCAGTAAATCCTTGTGGGGGTGAAAGAAGATGATGATGATAAGCCATGTTTGTTTCCAGGTTAGTTGCTCTTTTCTCTCCTTTTTTTTTTTTTTTTTTTTGTTTTCTTCCCTAATATGATGAACAAAATAATAGATCCATCAAGTAGTAGAGTAGAGTAGTTGTTGATGGTAGTAGCAGCCAATGGGGGGTAGTGAAGGTGAATAAATACTGGGATTGGAGGGGTGGTTTTCAAGTAAATTTATACATATATATATAAGGAAATTTTTTTCATAATTAAGAATAATTAGTATGTTTTCAGGATAAATGGGTGAAAACTTAATAATCCTAATTTATATAATTAAATAATATAATTAACATAATTATATATTATTTAATTATAAAGATCAGCCTTGGTAGCACCCTATCCAAGCTGATGTTTTAATAAGTGCGTTCCTTTTAAAGTTTGGATTTTATTTAGGATTTTTTTTCTGATCCAAAATCATCCAATGAAATTTTTATTTTTTGTTTAATATATTCTTAAAAAAATAATACTCCTTTCATTCGGTCAAAAATTATTTAATTGTTTTTAAATTATTGTATTTAATATTAAAAATAATTTTATATTTATATAATTTATTCTATAAAAATAATTGTATTTATTTTATAAGAAACTAATAAGTATTTTTATCATTATATTTAACTAGACAGAGGGAATAATAAACTTTTATTCAAAATATTTTATCAATTACTTATTTATATTTCATCAAAATGTTTGGATGAAAAATAAGTTATTTGTATATTTTAAATGAAAAATTAGATTAAAAGAAATTTTTGAGAACAAAACAGTATTAAGATAAAGATTTAGGGCGCGGTTTCGAATCAATTTGCATTATTAACTACGTTTCATTTTAGTAAAAATTTAGAAATATTTGATTTTTTGATTTAGTACTAAAATAATATTTCCTTCGGGTATATATATATATTTATGTTTAGTTGTCCAATAAAAAGTTAATTATTTTATTAAATACTTTATTTTCTTTTTATAAATATTCTTACTGAACATCACATCATTATTTTTGTAGCAAAAAATAAAAATAATTATTCATTACAATTAAAATATTAGTATTATTTTTTAAACTTTACGTAAAAAAGTAATATATATTTATTAATTTGATGAATGGAGTATTTCATAGAAATATTTTGTAAAAGAAAAATAATATTATATTTCTTTCGAGAAAAGATTTAAGAAATTTGTGTTACATAAACACACAAGTTGAGAGGTTTTAATTTTGTATTTAAATACTATTTGTAATGTAAAAGTTATGGGTTTGTTTGGTCAAGATTTTAATATTTTTATCTTTCCATTCGTTTGTCAAATTTTAACAAAATTCTACTATTCATCCAATTTTTTTCCCCCAAAAACATCAAATCAAACATCTATTTTTCATTTTTTATATTATACTAATAATTAATTTTACATTCAAAACATCACATCAACACATATTTATATCACATCATACAACTATTCAAATTCAAAATTTTTACTATTCAAATCCCAACTCAAAATCCAAACCCCCAAACAAACACACACATTAAAAAATTTTCAAGAGTGTGTTTTATATTTTGGTTTTGGTTTGAAATTTGGGTAGATAATATAAAAGTACTTTTTTAAGTCCCCTATATGAAGGTTGTCATTAATATTTTACATATTTATTTTTAAATATTAATTATTATATAAACAATTAATACAAATCAAAAGAAAAGAAAAAAAGAACAAAAATAGTTTTTTATAATACAAATTCAATAATATTTGTAGAGTAAATTATTTAAATATAAAAATATTTTTAATGTAAATAAATATACAGGAATATGACCAAATTATCTGGAAAGGAGGAGTAATTTTTTAGAGAGAAATTTTCGGATAAAAAAACAAAAGACCAAAAGACCAAAAGAATAATTTAAAATTTAAAATATCATATTAATATCTATTTATATTATATTATATAAAGATTTTAATTTAAAATTTTTGCTATTTAAATTCTAAACACAAAATTTTAGGGTATGTTTCTTTACCCAATTTCTCCGTATTTTACTGGACTTTGCGTATAAAAATAAAAAATAAAAAATAAAAAATAAAAATATTTTTTTCTTTTCACAAAATATTTTATCAAATATTATTTTAATACCAAATTTAAACCAATTATTTTTAAATTCATCCAAAAAAAACACACCCTAAATTATCAAAAGAACACTCCTTAATCTTTTTTCAAAGATTCTTATGTCTAAACAATTAAAAAATAAAATAAAATGTAATGTTTGGTGACAAAAAGAAAGGAGGGATTATACCACACACGGATAATGGATGGATGATTCAAGAAGGAACACTTGCTGCAAATTGCAGCAGCGCAGATGGGCATTCAGGCTCAAGGCCACCCTAACGCTCTACACGTGGCATATTGACTTCCTCAAACACAAACAAGTAGCTATTTCACCTCATTGACACGTGTCAATGGTGCCTTCCCTTTTTTTTTTTTTTTCACTCTCTAACCGGATAAAATTTGAAGCGTTTATGTTCGTTTATTAATTTTGCGAATAAAATTTGCTTTCATTCTTTAAATATTCAAATTTGTTCATATTGTTCAAGTTCGATTCATTAAAAAATTTATTGTTCGAATTCGTTTAAGTAGATATGGTTTTTTATTTTACTTTTAATTCATATAGTAGTTATGTTTGTGAATGAGCTAAAACCAAATCAAATCGAATCGGACCAAATTTTACTAACAATTTAGCTCGTTTAACAGCTCTATACAATTAGTAGTGTAACATCAAAATCTATAATTGACACTTTTCACGTACATATTTTAAATATAATAATTTATAAATTACATTAGTTAAAAAAAAAAAAACACACACACAACGAATTATATATAACACACAAATTTAAAAATATCAGAAATTTAAATTCATAATATATATAACATCAGAAATTTAAATTCATAATATATATAACATCACAAGTACACTCACACACATTATTAACATTATAGATATTATCCCTGCCCGTCCAAATTCAATGCATCTTTTTTTTTTTTCCTTTTTTAAAACAAATATACGTTTTACTTTACTAAAAAAATAATTCTTATAATTTACAGTTAATCAATATTATAAATAATATCATGAAAAAAAAATAAAAGTAAAATAAACTATTTCTCTTTCTATTATATTATTACCTATAAAATAATACTTCATCCGTCTCGTAACAAAGTATTTATTTTTTTTTTTAGTAATTGTGCTTTCTACCTTAACATTACAAATACTCTTACAACTTACAATATATACACAAATATTCTTACTTTTATATCACACGTACTAATAAGGTTATTTAATAAGGTTATTTTAGTCATTTCTACTTTATTCTTACTATATCCCAATATAATACTAATATTTCTTAAATTACGTGCAAAAAGCAAATAGATACTCAATTTCGAGACGGAATGAGTAATATACTAAAATTCACATAAAAAAAAAATTAAATAAATTGGCACCGGATGGGGCGTATAAGTTTGTTTGGATACATAAATTAAAAAATAATAAATACTATTATTTTAATATTAAAATAGGAGATAAATTTAAAATAAAAGTATTATTAAATTTTTATTAAGTAATTAATAAAAAATAATGAGAAAATAGAAAAAAAATATTAATAAATAATAATTTTTTATTAAAATAAAAATAATAAAATAAATAATTTATTTACTATAAATAAATTAAATATAAATTTAACGTACAAAAATAATAGCAAAATTTTAACAGCGAAAATATTACTACATATATACACAACTTGGATGTATCTGGATGAATATGAAAAATATATCAGTAATTATAGAAATAATATTTTGTTTTAAATTATTAACTATTTTTTTTATGAATAGAATATATATGAATATTTATAAATAATATTTTAACTAAACAAACAATAACTAATTTTCAACTACATCTCATGACATTTTTAAAAAAATTATTACATTTTAGTCACAATTTTAATTTTTGATTTATAATTTTTAATTTTAATTAAACTAATTAGTTATCTTAATATATATTATTATACTAATATTTTTTTTAAGTCTTCTTGTCCAACTAAATCTTCGTAATTATAATAAGCTATCAAACTTTTTATGCTAAATCAAGATAACCTTTTAATTCTTATAGAATATATCATTAAATATTTATATTTTTAAAAACATTCTAAAAATAAAGAAATTGAAAAAAAAAAATCACGAAAGCAAAACACAAAGGAATAATACTTATAAATAATACTAATACATCATTTTCGTAATCTTATAAATATATATATATATATATAAAAGATAATAAAGACAATTTCCTCTATCGTCAGACTTTACCTATGTAAATGAATTAAAACTGAAGATAACTAATTAGTAAGGGGAAAAAACTTGAGCTAATTTGATTTTGAATAGAATCTTTTACTAAAATTGTAGAATAGTATTAATTTCAATTTAAAATCAAAACCAACACTTATATAAAATAAACTAATAACTAAAAATAATTAGGTTGTCAGGGCTCTTTTGTTTTTCATTTTTATGGGAATGTAACAACAATAATATTTTGTTTTTAGTTGCATTTGATTTTATTCAATTTTTTCTTATTTCGACTTCTGTTAAAACCTTCGAGTTAAAAAGATTTCTCCTCCTCTCTCTACCGTATCAACAGAATACCCAATGCTATAGCCTATATATAAAAAATGCCTACCCGAACTAAATATATATATATGAAAATTACCAATGACATATAACCCCAAGCAAATAATATGCAAGTTGCAATAAAATATTGGCGTAGTTTAGATTGACTTACCCGTGAAATCGGTTAAACAATGAATTGCCGTTGTTGTTGTTGTTGCGGCGCAATAGGAACACTTTACATGGAGGAAAGCTGAAACCGACAAAGATAAATTTCATCGAGTTATGTGGTAATAATTTGCGAAAATAAATGAAGTGAATATTTAAGAAAAAGGATTTGATCACCATAACCTTGCGAGTTTCCGGACCATGTAGAGGAAAGGCAATGCTCTTGGCGCGTTTTAGTGGTAATATACTTTATAATTCAATTGATATTGCGCTAATCGAACTCTTGAAATAAAGGATACCCATTTTCCCATTGTGTCATGTACGACGAATTCCTTTTAGGTCCACTAGTAAGATGAGTTTCATTGCTTTCTGCACCAAGAGATGATGAAAAAGGGAGCATATATCATTATTGAATAACTTTATAAACAGCACGATGTAATATAACTATTGCAGGATAATGAGTGTTTAATACTTACATGATTCTCCAAAAATATTATCCCAAAAATAATACGTAACAATAAAAGTCAAACAAAAATATAAAAAATATCGTCGCTGTAATACTTTCACAGTTCTCAATACCTCACAATATTTATATTTTTAACTTTGTTTTAGGGCTATTCATCAAAATTTCTGCCTCTAAAAGAAGATCTTATTTAAAAACTCGTTATTGAGATATAATGTCAAAGATTCTTTATTCAAAACATCGTATCCAGCACTATTTACATCACATGAAACAATTATTTTCCCTCAACTTTTTATTATTCCTAAAAGCTCCCAAAATTCCAAAACATATGTAAACAGATTCTCGAGAATTTAGCTCTATGCTAATTAACATGGATAAGTTTACTAGTACTAAATTTCATAAACAATTGAGCATGGTTTCTTATTCAGGAAGCCGGATCTTTCAACTTCACTTTTCTCGATTCCAAATCCCGTTACAAAATGTTCTAACTAACATAAACAAAACCAACCTTATACATAACTGTAAGTAGCCTTGAATATTACGAGCAAGTTTTGACTGAACTGAAAGAATAGAGAAATCACAATCACAAAAGTGTTCTCCAAGGACATAATAAGTCATTCACACCAACCTGAACAAGTGCCAACAATTCCAACTCGTGAAGCATATTGGCGATGGTATCTTCATATGCAGATGCTAAGGTTTTCTTGTAGCAAGTAAACAGCATGAAAGCATACGAGCAAAAGGTAAAACGAAATGAATCCAACATATACATGTCGAGAATGCTTCTAAAGCAATTTCCCATGTAAAGTCCCAAAAGCAATTCAAATGTCAATACGATCCAATGGCAATGTACTACGAATATATGTACAGTTGGGAATGTGTAAATGATAATAAGCATGGGTACCCAAACAAAATAAAGAATGAGAGTTATTGTAAAATATTGAAAGAGAAATGACCAGGTAAATATCAATGTATATCTTGTTGCACATCCTACGGAAAAAGACATGATAGTATTTTAAACAGCTTAGGGTTTAATACATACATAGATATATATACAAACACACACACACACACATTGTAAGATGAAATTGTGTGATACCAGGGATCAGCCATATACTGAAGCATAAGTTTGAAAGTAGACGAGTGAATCGTCCAAAGTTCAATGCCAGAGACAGGCAGCAAACCCTGGCATCATCTCACAATCATAGGAAGCAAATGAGCATGCCTCCAACTGTACCCCTGGAAAATCAACGACAGGGTCGATACATGATTAATAATGCCCTCAAAAGAGAAATTCATGTGCTGCCAATTTCATAAAAATACATATTGCTACAAATACATCCATATACAATAAGTAGCCTTAAATTTAAGCATGCTAGGCTTCATATTGCTACAATTTGAAAATTAATATAACCTGTAATAAAAATAAACAAAGAATTAAGCATTTGATACGTGCTTCTCTTACAAGATATGGGCATAATAACAAAGATGGTAAGAAGAAGAATACACAAAGTATTGCCTTTTTATATTTCTTTACATTCTTGAAAGTGGATGAGGTAACATGAGGACAACAGATGAAAGACAGGAAATATCTATAGCTATCAGTTTACACTAAATAAGGGTTTTAGGTAGAAATTAGGTGCTTCAACTCCTTCAAATGTTCATCATTTGAAATGTGAAGCATAATGCGAAGATCTGTCAATAATTCTTCTTGGTCCCAACTTAAGGAACCAGAAGCATACAGAGCTTCCATAGTGCTTCGATAAGCATGCAATTCTAGCCTATGTATACTGATCGCTACATCCTCTTTGGAAGGATGAGAGGAACTCTCAAATCCTGGACAACTAGATGACTCTGCGTCACTACAAAGGGTTTCTGATTCTTTGAAACTACCAGGTATGAAATGACCAGATGAGTTTTTCAGAGGCTCGTTATTTAGACTACAACTACCAACAGAAGAACCTTCACTGTCAGAACTACTTAATTCGGAGCTGCTGACCAAAGAATACCCAACCTCATTTTGTTTAGCCCTGTCAGCTTGATCATATCCATTTGATATAACGGTAAAGTAGGAATGCATGCTTTTTCCACCCGAAAATGGGTAAGCAGCAGCATCTACCTTTTCTATGTAAGGTGCAGCAACCACTCGCTGCTTCTGGCCTTCTTTCACAGTTGCTCGTAATTTTTGTGCTGGTCCATTGTTTGCTTCAATGATGGATGAATCATAGGGGGAAGCCCTCTTTCGAGATGCTGCAGAGACTAAAGGAGAATTCTGATACGCAGCACCATCCTGGACATTCATGCAATCATTTTCGTGTTCAAAGTTAGCCGTTGAATTGATTTGAGGCACCTGAAATTTCATCTTTCTACAACCACTGGAAGTTGATTGGTTCCTAGACATCAAATCATTGCCCACATGGGATATCTGCAAACATAAGAAAGACAATATCAGAATGTGCAAATTAAGATAAGGATTTATTGCTTTGAACTCAAATGAGAACGGAGAGAAATAGGAATTGTAGAAAACTTAGAAATATGAATAAACTCGGTCACTTGGTGGGAAGAATTTATCCCCATTTTACAGTAACACTGAGCATTCAAGAATCCTTCATAGCTCTACTTTGGAAGAAGAAACAAAAGCATTCCACAGGATAAGGATACAGGTTAACACACAGATAGTAGAGAGAACACAGATTAAAAGTACCTTTCCCACTAGAAACCATCTGCCACCATCCCAGGTTTGTCTCATCCTGATGTTCAACCTATCAACAACTACTTCCTGAGAATACCCAAGCAGCCGTAGTAAATATCGATTTTTTAGGCTTGCAGTCTTCCTTTTCTTTTCTTGTTTGCCTCCCAAAATCTTTACGATAACAGCAACCGTCCATGAATTCTTGTAAAACGCCTCCACAATGTCTTCAGCATTGTAACTCTCAAGATCTAGCTGCACTAGAGGAGGCAATGGCCTAACAAGCTTCCTTGAGACTATATCCACCAATCGGTCAATTCCCACAGCAGGATAACAATCATATCGGACATGGTATGTATGCCCTGTACCGAAGAGTATTTCTGCAGGATGCCACAAATATGGCACTCCCTTATTGTTCATAACCTCCACTTTATCTCCTTTTTTGAATCTCATTGTAAGCAATTTTCTTCAACAAATATCACTAAACTGTCGCAATAATGAAAAGGACATCAATGAGAAAGCAGCATAAATTTGATAAGCATCAACATTGAAATATGATTGAAATTAAATCTAGATCCACGCATTGATCAAATATACTAATAAGATATCATAGGACTTTTTCATAAAAGTATTCAAGGGGAATAAAATCACTGTAACAATACTTCTTTCTTATATATATATATATACATATCAAGCTATATAACAATTCAGGAAATTTGCGAATAGCAAAAAGTGAATCAGGAGACTCTAAATTCTACAGATTTGGGAAACTCTAATTTTCAGATCAATTCAAATCACGTAGACATCTATAACTAAGAAAGTATTCGTTCATTTAAATTTCAAAAACATTAACTGCCTAAAAGCATTCATATATTAATCAAAAAATTTGCAACTGATATACATCGGCCTCACTCTGTAACGAACACGCGATGTCCGGTTACATCTCCAATGCATCGAGCATTCATCAACTAAATTCACTAGAACGTAGATCATGCAGAGTCCTCAAAACCGAGCAAGTCAGCCATGAACGCAGAAACGAAATAAGAATTTCAACCAAATAACGAACGAATCACAGTAGACACTTGCGTAAAACAAAAAGGATAATCTAGATTAGAACAACTAAACATTAATCAAATTCAGGAATCGAGGCTAATAACGAAACCCTAGAATTCAAAAAAACATACCTTATTCGCCAAATTAAACAAGAATCTACACCAGCAGCTTGCGCAATTAGATAAATTTCGATCTCGGATGCTCTCCAAAGCCAGAAATTGATCTTCAGATTTACGGTCTAGGGTTTGTTTCTTTTGCTTGAGGACAAATTAATTGAAAGGAAAGTGAATACTAATCACGAGATTGATGATGGATCAAAGGTTATTTTAATTTATATTATGAAACAGGGAGCCCTAGGTGCATTTTAGGAATTTTACCAAGACAGGCTTAAAACTGAATCCGTACACGAATAAAATTAGGGGATGGGTAAAGCACGCCCACGCTTAGTGCCGTTAGGATAGCCTTTAAACTACCCCTCTACGCCCAAAAAAAAAAAAAAAAACAAAATATTAATTAATTAATTAATTAATAATAAAATGAAATCAAAGATAACAAGATCATTTATAATTATTTTATTTGAAAATTGAAGTTTTATGAATATTAAGGGGATGTATTTATAATTCAAAATTGAAATTTTAATGAATTTTTTTGAATTGAAATTTCAATGAAATTTATGTGGATTTAAAAAATGTACAGATTTATACATTTTAGTAATTGATTTAAATGAATTTTTATAAATTTGATTGAATTTTTTATAAATTTATATCAATTTGGTACGATTGTACAATAATTTTTTTATATATATAATTATATAAAATTATATTAAACACATAGTTTATAAATATAATATATTTATGATTAAAGTTATCATATATTATTTTTATAAAATAAATAAATAAATAATATATAATTATCAATAATATAAAAAAAATATATTATAATATATATAACAATATTATATTGTATATTAATATATTCAGTTTTATAATTTTAACATATATTATCATTCAATATATTAAGGGTGTGTTTGTTTGAAGGATTTTGAAGGATTTCTACTATTCATCCAATTTTTTTCCCCAAAAAACATCACATCAAACATCTATTTTTTATTTTTTATATTATACTAAAAATCAAATTTACATTCAAAACATCACATCAAACCCTATTTATATCACATCATACAACTATTCAAATTCAAAATTTTTACTATTCAAATCCCAATCCAAAATCCAAACCCCCAAACAAACACACCCTAAATTAGTTTTATATTTCTTTGTTAGTTAGTAATTTAATATATTTCTTTATTAGTTATTATTAAAATTTATATAAACTTTCTTTATTAGTTATTATTAAAATTTATATAAACTTTTATAAATATATTTATTTTAATAAAAATATTATATGATAAAAAATACTAATAAATGAATCAATAATACTCCCTCAGTTCCATTGACAGGTTACCATTTTTAATTTTCGTCTGTTCCAAAACAAGGTTATATTTAATTTAGTAATTGTACTACCTACTTCACATGATAAATATCTTTTCAACTTACAATATATTACACAAATGTTCGTTACTTTTATATTACACCATACTACTAGGGGGTATTTTTGTTTTTTTTATTACAATTTAATATAATACTAATATTCAAAAATTTACGTACAAAAATCAAACGTCACCTTTCTAACGGGACGGATGGAATATTAATATTTTTATATTGTTTTTATTCTAAAATATTTAAAAAAATTATAAATAAGATAATTAACATATAAAAAAATAATTATTTTGAAATTATAAATACGAATTTATAAGTTATTAGAATATAATATATCCAAATTATGAATAAATAATATAATAAAAAAAATTAATATATGCAAGAAATTAATTAATTTTATGGATAAATAAATAATAAAAAATAAAAATAAAAAACTAATATGTAAAGTTAGTATTGAAAATATTAATTTACCAAACACAAAAATTAATTAGTTTCCTCATGAAACAACTAAAAACTTTTTAATAAATTAAAATATTATTTACCAAATATCTCGTAATCTTTGCAACTCCAACATAAGTGTATATAACTCTTACATGGTCAAAGAAGGCTTGAGAGTAGATGTAATACAAAATATTAATATTTAATTTGATAATTTATAGAAAAAAAACATATAATAAATAGAGTAAGATAAAAGCAAAACTCCCAACATCCAAACACTAAGTCCCCTGAAAGCTATTGAAAGCTTGTAAAATAAAATAAGGATATCATGATAATTTTATATGAAATATAAGATAGATAGATAAAGAAATATTTTCCAACTAATATTCACACTTAATTTTGTAATATTGAGATGGAATCTTCAAAGTTGTCGATGAAGAAAGTACAAAAAAGAATAAATAAATAAAAAATAATAATAATAAAATAAAGGACTTATCTTTAATACTAAATTATAAAATAGATATATTACTTGTAAATAAATAAAACAAAAATAGTAGTAAAATGCATCAAAATTCAATAAGTTTGAATTTATTTATTTTATTCGAATTTTAATTTGAATATTATTTAAATATATTTTTTAAATAATAATATTATACTCCCTCCGTCCAATATAATAATCTTGTTTACCATTTTTGTTCGTCCCAAAACAATAGTCTCATTTCTATAAATAATGATATCATTATAAAATTGTCTTTACTTTTTCATTATTATTACACAATTATCACTATTTTTTACAATAATATACTCACAATGGCAAAAATGTCTTTTACCCGTACTTTTTACCCACTGCTAGTATAATATCAATATTCCTTAAATCCCGTGCCAAACATAACTCAAACTATAGTTTTGGGATGGAGAGATAATTTTTTATTGAAAAACGAAGAATAGATGTTATTTTGATTTGAACCAAATCCAAACATATTTAACAGATGTCTTTAATGGTATGTTTGTTTAAAAATTTGAATTTTAGTAGTATTTTAACATTATATATAATTAAATATTCATATTATATACAAAACATCAAATATAAATTATTTTTGTTTTTGTATAATATCGACATAATTTTGCTAAAATTATCTATATTTTTCATGTGGTTTTAAAATTTAATATAAATTTCTTTTATTCTAAAAATTGTATGATTTTCCTTAATATTTTCACAAATCTTCTATGAAATTCATTTATATATATATATATATTTTTTGTGATAAGAAAATAATTTTTTATTTATAATTTATGTATAACAAAAAATTTCATGCAATATCTTGAAAAAAACAAAGAACAGCCATACACAGAAAAGTACTTTTGCTCATAATTTTTTATACATAAATATATATGGGTTCAGTTATACTATCCCAATATATTATGTCTCTTTCAATCACCATGGCATTTGTATTAACCCCTAATGTATTGTGCTCCTACTATTACACATGGCGGATGGTGATTGGTCGACGTAGAAGAGACACAATACATTGGGATAGGGTAACCGGTGCTAATGTCATGCAAATACACATTAGTATTACAAATAACACATGTTATGTATAATAAAAGTACATGCTATTTTTAAATAATAAAATCAACTGTTGTGTTTTTGTACGAGACTATAGCATGTGATGTTAGTTCGTGTGTTATATTTGTATTATATTCACATATACAATGTCCTGTCTGTCGTAATATTGTGTGTTGTTGAGACTATAGCAAATATGTTTTGTTTATGTACTATTTTTGTATTAACATATACAGTGTATTGTTTTTAATAATATTATATATTGTCTAATATTTCCTCCGTCCCACGTAATTTGTTCTTATTTTCTATTTTCGTCTGTCCCATATAACTTGTCTTTTCTTTTTATGGAAACATGATTATCTATTTTAATCATATTTTAAAATTTTAAATTTTATAATTTTAATTAAACTATTTATTTATCTTAATTTTAATTTATAATTATTTATACTAAATAATAATTATTTCTACTAATATACTTCTAAATTACCTATTAATTATACTTGAAGTGAATTCTTTTATCTACCGTAATAGACACAAAATATATATGAGACCGAGAACGAGAGTAACACGTAAGCACAGTGTTAAACTAAACAAACAAACCCATTGGTTTCTTTTGACAAATGACAGCAGCAAAGACAATGGGAAGAAGAGTAAAAAGAGGAAATAAGTACCTCTCAAACCACAAACCTCCAAAACTTCCAGCATATATAACACCCAAAATTCCCTGATTGGAAAACCCGTCACCGTCTGTCTTAACACACTTCTTAGCTCCGGCGACGCCACCAATGCCCCCCCGACAAGAAAAAATATTCTATTCCGTTACACCCAACCCCCCTCTCTATACACACACACATGTATATATATATATATACATGCACTCCATAACTGAATCTACACCATATTCCGATCCAACCAATCAATCAGTCAAAAATGTCGATGGCGGCCCTGCCGGCGAACCTAATCCCCGACGACGCCAATCCGGCATGGATGAGCAAAGGCGACAACGCCTGGCAGCTAACGGCGGCGACTATGGTCGGAATGCAGTCGGTGCCGGGGCTGATAATTCTCTACGGCGGCGCCGTTAAAAAAAAATGGGCCGTTAACTCGGCGTTCATGGCGTTTTACGCCTTCGCCTGCGTCCTCGTCTGCTGGGTCGGGTGGGGCTACCGTCTCTCGTTCGGCGACAAGTTCGTGCCGGTCTGGGGGAAGATCAACGTGGCGCTGTCTCAACATTACCTCCTCGAACAGGCCTTTGCCGGAAAGTTCCCCAACGCCACCATGGTCTACTTCCAGTTCTCCTTCGCCGCCATCACGCTAATTCTCATCGCCGGCGCCGTGCTCGGCCGGATGAATTTTTACGCGTGGATGCTGTTTGTGCCGTTGTGGCTCACGTTTTCTTACACGGTCGGGGCGTACTCGATTTGGTCGCTTAACGGTTGGCTCGCCACCGCCGGACTTATTGACTACTCCGGCGGTTATGTTATTCACCTCTCGTCGGGGGTTGCCGGCTTTACCGCGGCTTATTGGGTATGGTTTTGATGGTCTTTTTCTCTTTGTTGAATATGGAAAATATGTCCATATAGTAGAAATTAATTTTAATTTGTCGAGGGAGTTGGAGAATGGGTTAGTTAGGATTGTTTTGAGAGTTGAAAATATAATTTTTAACGTATTTAAGGTTGGAAACAAGGCTCCAACCCTGTTAGAATAAGGAACAAGGCTTTTAACAAGGTTTTCAATAATGTTTAGAGTTGGAAATAAAATTTTTGAGGTAATTAAAGTTGAAAATAAAGCTTTCAACATTATTAATTTAATTTAAGAAACATAACTTTTTAATAGGGTTTTCAATAATGTTAAGAGTAAAAAATAGAACTCTTGACCTAGTTATAGATGAAAATATATCTTTCAATATTATTAAAGTAAATTATTAGAGTAAGAAACATAACTTTTTAGAGTAAAAAATTTCATTTTCTATGCTATTAGAATAAAAGAAAAACAAAAAAAGCTTTCGAGCAACGCGGTTAAAATAGAAAGAATAACTTATTTTCAACGGATTTAGAGTGTTAGAATCGAAAATAAACTTTCTATTATATCGTTTTTTAAGAAATATAAAATGTTAGTATATTATTAAATGTAGAAAATATTTCCAAATTTCTTAAATTTATTTATTTCAATATTTTTTACCAACAATCATAGCTTTATTAAGTTTTGACTTAAAATTTTTATTTGAATAATATATTTTAATACCATATTTACATAAAAATAATATATTTTTATTGAAAATCGTATGAAATGAATTCGATAATTTTAATTCGAAATTAAAACCAATTATATATAAATTCTAATCGATATATAAATCCGACGGTTTTCAGGTTGGGCCACGACTAACGAAGGATAGGGAGAGGTTTCCTCCGAACAACATTTTGCTGATGTTGGCCGGCGCCGGGCTCCTATGGATGGGGTGGACCGGGTTCAACGGTGGGGACCCGTATGCCGCCAGTATCGACGCATCGTTGGCAGTTCTGAACACGCACGTGTGCACGGCCACCAGTCTCATGACGTGGCTCATGCTCGACGTTGCATTCTTCGGCAAAGCCTCCATCATAGGCGCGGTTCAAGGCATGATCACCGGCCTTGTTTGCATCACGCCGGCGGCAGGTCAGCATCGTATCCGGCCTTATATATATATACATATGTTATTGTCCGGTTTATTTTGTTCTTTTTTGAATATATTTTTCTAATTATATGATTTGAATGTGATGTTTTATGAATATATACATATATATATATATATATACATATATTATTGAAAATGATAGGTTGTGTTTGTTTGTAGGACTTTTTAGTATTTTTTTTTTTTACCACTTATAACAAAATATTAAAAAATAATTTTAGATTTAAATTGTCATACTATAATGTTGATTTGAATTTAAAATGGTAAAATAATTTAGGATGTATTTTTGCAAAAATAATCCATATATTTTTTCCCAAAAATTAATACTAGCATACATATTTACTTATATCTTACGTAAAAAATATATATATATATATTTAAACTATTTTACAAAATAAATACACCATACTCCCTCTATTCCATATTTATGTATCTATTTTTTTCATAAAATTTTGAAAATATTAATATTATATTGGATACAGTAGGAATAAAATATAAATGACTAAAATAACTTTATTATATCGCGTAGTAAAAAAATAGATAATTTATTATAAAACATACCAAAATAAAAAAATAATAATAATTTGTTAAAGGAAGAAAGTGAATATATTTTCTCTAAAGAATCTATGATGTGCTTGATTTGTGTTTTAATTTTACATTTAAATTTAACTAGTAATTAAATGTAGGATATAAGGGGAAAGTGTTTGGCTCGAAGATTTTGGTTGATTTTTATTATTTATTGAATTTTTTATCCAAAAAAAAAATAAATAAAAAATTTAAATTTTATTTTTTTATATTATATTAAAATTAATTTTAAATTTAAAAAATCACATTTAACATTTTTAATTATTTCAATTCAATTTTTTTTTACTATAGGAGTCGTCCACGGGTGGGCCGCCATAATAATGGGCGTATGCTCAGGGTCTATACCGTGGTTCACAATGATGGTGGTTCACAAAAAATCCGTTCTCTTACAAAAAGTTGACGACACAATGGCCGTTTTCCACACCCACGCCGTAGCCGGAACCCTCGGCGGCATCCTCACCGGCCTCTTCGCCAACCCAAAGCTTTGCTACTTATTCTACGGCAAGTACGGCCACTACGTCGGCCTCTTCTATGGCTTCCAAATGAAGCAAGTCCGTAAAGGATTCCGACAAATCGGGATCCAATTGATCGGCATTTTGTTCGTCGTCTCGATCAACATTGTAATAACGAGCCTCGTTTGTCTCGTCGTTAAGTTAATTGTCCCGTTGAGGATGACGGAGGAAGATATGGAGGTCGGCGACGAAGCCGCGCACGGCGAGGAGGCCTACGCCATTTGGGGGCAGGGGGACCGCAATGAGAACTCGCGGTTCTCGTTGTATAATGACGTCGAGGGCGGCGGCGGCGGCGCCGGAACGTCGTCGAAGAATAAGGGACAAGTGGAGTTGACATGAGGTAGGAATTGATTGGAAGGTTGGTTGGATTGTACTGTTGGCGCTAATTAATAGTTGGATTGCGAAAATTTGTTCGTGATCACGACAATCTTGTCCGAATAAAATTGCATTTTGTTTGGTTGCTATTATTATTATTATAGTGTTGATTGTGTTTTATTGTAACTTTTGTAGTTTTATTATATATTTGAGTTTGATTTTGTTTATTTATTTAGAGTGTATTTGTTTGGGGTTTGAATATTGGATTGAAATTTTATAGTAAAAATTTTGTATTATAATAGGTGTATGATATTTTATAAATAATGTGGATGTGATGTTTTGAATGTAAAATTAATTTTTAATATAATATAAAAATAAAAAATAGATATTTGATCTAATATTTTAAAGAAAAAAATTGATGAATATTAAATTTTGGGAAAAAAAATACCGGAAAAAATATACCATTACTATATAAATTTTACAATTTTTTTATGAAAACATATGAAATTTGATTTGTACATTTTATATTTTAGGTTGTTGATTTGACAATTCAACACTACTATAATATTATCAGCTTGAGACTGAGTTTGAATGGATTTGTTTTTAGGTATTCTCAAAAAACTTATGAACTTAAATTTGTATTCCAACATATCATGATATAATTTTTTATAAATATTATTATAAATTAATAAATATATATATTATTTATTGTTTTAATCCGTGTAAACAATATATTTTTTAAATAATATTTATAAAAAATTATGTTACTTCGCCTTGTCAAAACTATCTACAAAATATATATTATAATATTATTTTATATGGTAAAATCATTAGAAATAAATATATTATAATAAATTTAATCAAGAAATAATTTAATTAAAAATTAACTTAATAAAAAATACGAATATATATAATTTTACTTTATTTCTAAAAAAAATCACATACTTTTCAATAAAAAATTAATTAGTATTCTTACAGCATTTAAAAAACAAAAATAAAATAAAATATTTTCATACTTTTTAGTACTAATTAATACTCCTGTAAAAACTATAAAACAATTCTATATACAAAAAAAAAATTGTAATTAAGTGAGACTTGTAAAATCATGAGGTCATATATTCAAACCCGATACTTTAGGTCACTGCAATACTTTTGAATAGCAGCTACGGCAACGCTATAAAACAAATGTAATTATCTATTTAAAAGATAAAATATTTATAATAAATATAAATATTTTATTGAAATGATATTTTAACACAAATAATAAATATATACGACTAATCAAATTAACTCATTGGATCAATATCAATTAGAACATCCATTACCAAATATCCCTCGAATCAAGATCAACTTACCATATATCCCTATATAATAATTCCGATAAAAATAAAAAAAAAAAAAAATTCCCTATATAATAATAACAATAATACTAAAATTTAAGTAGAGGGATCGAGAACACACTACGCTACAAGTCGTGGGTGGTGTGTGTCTATACGATTCAGAATCAGCGCTTTCTAAAAACGCTACAGCAATTTATTTCAGTTAGGTTTTCTGCTCCTCGGACAAGCAGAGACAACAAATCTCATTTCATTAGCACATTCTGTGGAGAGGAGCAGTTCCTCCAGCTGCACTGCACCGCTTGCCAGCTGCTCAAAAACCCTAGTTTAGACCATATCCCGTTAAATTAAATCGTCTGCTTGTTTTCTTCGAATTTGCTTATTCAAGGTCGAATTATTCGATCCATCGTTGTTTCGTTTTCTTCCTCTTTTGTTTGGGTTTTTTGGAGTACACGAAGTTATTGTTCGGACTTACCTTTTTCTTTTTTCTTTTAATTTTATTTTTCCCGATAAATCTAGGCCCTTGTTGTGATTTGCACTGCCGAGGTTAATTTACGAGCTGTTAGTGTTTTCTGAGGGGGGATGATTCCTTAGGGTTTAGGGTTTTGAATGTCTCTCTGGATTTTTGGGTGTGTGTGTGTGTGTTGTTTTGTGTTGATGCACTCGTGAAAGTTTATTGACGCTTTATTAATTTTGGGATAGTGTACTTTCGTGGAATCTTGTTTAATCTTTTTTCTTTGCATTATGCTAGATCTGTGATTTTGCTGTATTTGGTTTTTGGAATTATATCATTGACACTGTTTGTAGCGTTTCTGTAATTGCCATTTACATCGTATTATTGGCTTTATTAGTGAGGTTACAAGATGGAGAAACTAATGGGTTGATTTTATGTAATGCACTTGTTGAGGTTTCTTGATGCGCTATTCATTTTGGGATGGTAGGATTTTTGTTTATTGAATTTGGTATATGTATTTATGACCTGAAAATTTCTAAAAAGAGATTCTGGGCCTTTCTCTTTGCATTATGGTAGATCTCTGATGTGAAATTTGTATTGATGTTGTGTTTGGTTTTCTGGAATTATATTCTCGACTGCTATCGTATATTTTGTTTCTGGTGGGTTTTTACAATTTCCATTGACACTGCATACTTGACTTTAGGAGCAAGGCTAGAAGATGGAGAAAATTAATAAGAAGAGAGTGCTAGTGTTTTTGGACATATCCGTTGATGGTGATCCTTTGGAGAGGATGGTTTTTGAGGTATTCTTCTATTTTGTAACCACATAAGATTGCTGTGGTAGTGTGGTTACAATTATTAGTTTAGATTCATTCTCAATGATTTTTTGTATAGTGCAATATGCTAAGATGCCGAACTGTTGTTTGCTCCTGCTGTGCAGCTCTTCACTGATGTTGCTCCCAAAGCTGCTGAAAACTTTCGAGCACTTTGTACTGGTAACACTAAATTTGAATGTATCTTTGCCATACAGTTGATTTCACATGCTTCTGGTATTGCTTGACGGTATAGGGATCTGCAAGTTTAATAATGCTTTCATGAGTGATGGGTTTCATAAAACTTCGGACTTGCTTTTGAGAAGGCTACAGCTGTTGAAATGTTTCCTTTCTTGTTGTTTTACTATTCTGTTATATTTTCTTGAGAAATCTCCTATTTATGTTCACCAAATCATTTATATACTATCATGTAAGTTTTCTTTATCAGATGTTGACTCCATTCTTCAGGAGAAAAAGGTATCAGCTCTAAAACTGGGAAGCCATTGCATTACAAAGGGACCTTTTTCCATAGTATAGTCAAAGGATATGCTGCTCAGGTATTTGGTAGACTTTTTACTTTTTGGGTTTAGGTAATGCGTAAATATTAGAGATTAATATTTTTAACTTGCTTATGTATTATTTGCTCAAGCATAAGTGAAATTGTTCACCTCAATGTTTAGTTAGCTATCCTTGTTTATCCTGTAACAGGGCTGATGATCATGACTGCATTTCTTGTGATATAATTTTAAGGTTGTACTACTGAGTTTTCAATTCTTATTATTTGGTAAACCTTGGCTGATTAGGACCAAAAGAGTTATTTTATTTTTGTTATTTCATTTTGGCTATAAAATGTTATTGACTGCCTTTTGACTGTTTGTACAGGCAGGTGACTTTCTGCGGCAAAATGGTATGTTTTAACAGGATATTGATGCCATAGTAAACTGCTATTCTCTTTTGAACCGGTTAACTGAATTTTATCATCGTGTGCAGGCAATTTTGGAGAAAGTATATATGGAGATAATTTCCCAGGTGAGAAACAAACAATTTGGTTTAAATTCTAATGTTTAGGTATCCTGACTGATAGCTAGACAGATCCTTGGATTCATTCTTTACATTAAAATTTGTATTGCTATGTTTAGAATACTCACTCATAAACACATTCATATGTTTCTTTATTCACAACTTCTTTGTCTTGAGAACATGTGGGTTTCCTTTTTTCTATTGCCTATGAAGGTTGGGGCTGAGTTTGATCTTATTCTCGCTGCGTTGGAGCCTCAATTCAAATGATATTGGAACAATTGTTTTCTCTTACTATGGTAGGAATCTAAATGTTTTGAACAACTTGTTCAGCCCGTGCTTCGAATTTTTCCTGACATACTTATTTTTTCTTCAAATGTTTTATCAATGGCAATGATTATGATGTTGTACTCCTGGGATGCCTTTAAATATTTTTCCCTGCTTGTCATTTTTTCGATTTTGTTGATTCCATTTTAATTACTTCCTCTTGAAATTTGATGCTAGAACTATCATTATCCTGATAGGAGCTGTATACATGTCCGTAAGTGCACTTAAGGGAACCTGAAATTTTGGGTTCTTCCCTTTTGTGCCTGCGGTCATTATATTGTCACCGTTGCATCCAGTGCCAGAGAACAGGCTATTGTTATGTAGAAAATATATACTCAAAAAAAATTAAATTAAACAAAAAATTAACTGGAATTTCTTCCTGTCCTATAGAAATAGATACTCTTCCTGTCACATCCATATGGCAAATCCTGATTTCAAATCATGGATAATATCAAATTAATATCAAATCCTGATTTCAAATCATGGATAATACTGAAGTAATAATCCTAACAAGTATTTACAGCTAATCCTTGTGCTGACATAACAATCTAATGGGTCTTAGCCCTATTGACCTTAGCCCGAATATTATTTTCCCTTTCAGTCTCAGGCTGCATTAATTTTTCAAGCCATGATAAAAATGCGCATATCTTATTTTAATCAATCACATTGTACTGATGTAATTCGGTGATTGTACTGCATCACTGTTATGGTTTTGACTCTGAGATCAAGTTTTTGCAAATCTCATGTTACTATCATTCTATGATTATACTGAAATCTTTGACCTCAAACTTTAGAGTGTCTGTTTGGCTTTTGGGGAGTTGTTTGGCTTTTGAAGGTATTTGGGCTTATAATTTATTTGTAATGAGAATTGTGATATGATGCTTGGATGACTTTAGGAATGCATTGATTACGTATCGATTTGTGTGATGATGTAAAAGTAAAAATATTTTGTAATATACTCTACTTAAATTAATTTAAAAGTGTGTACAAAGTCATTCTGCAACTATATCCTTATAATAATATACTTAATATATATATATATTTATTTTATAAGAGAATAAAAATATTATGTAAACAAATGAATAGAAACAATAACATACATAATGTATATAAATATAAAAACTAAAATCTTAGGGTGGAATAGTATATGTATGCGCACATATATGTACATTAGTCATACACATCGTGACAGGAGGATGGGAATTGTTAGAAGTCAAGCAGGGCATCGAAATTTTGCCAAATAGTATTGGTAGTGCGAGATTGAAAGGCTAAACAACCACACCTAAGTTTGTGCAGATTCTGGCATCCATTTGGTGTCTATTACTGTAAAGTTTGGATCAAGTGATTGTTGATCTGGGAGACAGAATGTTGTGAAATGGGTTATTTCTGTCTGTCATCATGTCCTCCATCTTAATTATACTATGAATTACATGAAGGATCCATAATTTCATACATCGTTTATTGAGGAGTCTTTGTATAACTGCAAGTGGGTAGCTTCTGAAAGTATTTTTACTGTTTTATCAGATGAGTCTCCAAAATTAAAGCATGATGGCCCTGGCTTATTATCCATGTCCCTTGCTGATCGCGATGAACGAGGTTCACTGTTTAGTATCACCTTTAAGGCTGATCATCATCTTGACAGGTTTGTAATATATATCTTTTAATGAATGCAATGAATTTTTCTGAGTGTTCGAACATCAAATTGGAAAACCATCGTTTTCTTCAATTAATTCATGCCATAATAGCTTCAAGTTTCTTCAATTTTCTTTAATGATAAAGTTAATCAAATCCTTGTATGTACAGATTCTAATCCACCCAGCCTGATATGCCTGATATTTTCTTCTAGTGTTACTCTATTCATTGATTGTTGTTGTCTGATGAACAGAAAAAGTATTGTCTTTGGTAAACTTGTGGATGGGCATGAATTGTTGAAGAAGATTGAGGATGCTGGAGATGAGGATGGGAGACCTGCTGTGACTGTTAAAATTGTAAATTCTGGAGAAATACTAGATGGTAGGGAATGAGACTTTATGCACATACCTGTATATAGTTCTTCGTATTTTTGTTGCCCCTTTGATCTTTTCGCCTATGGAATTAACTCTTCTATGTACAGATAAAAAGAAGGGGAATGGCCTGAAAATGGGGAAGGGGAAGCACAAGAGATCATCCAAGAAGAGGAGGAAGAGAAGAAGAAAATATTACTCATCTGACTCTGATAGTTCATCTGATACCGATTTGGATTCATCGGAATCTGACACTGAATCCGACTCTGAGTCTTCCTCATTGAGTGATACCACCTCGTCAAGTGATTATAGGCGGAAGAAGAGAAAGAAGCCTAAGAGAGACAGGCCTAGGCGTGGGAAGAAGAAGGATAAACGACATGTGAAGCGACGCAAGAGACGCGATAAGAAATCAAAACGTAAATCTAAGAGGTAGGAGTTGTTGTTGCATTGTATTTATAACTTTTTCCCTTCGATTTTATATAACACATTGGATTTCTCTCATTCTGGATATGTAGGCAGAGCAACTCCGATAGCGAGAGTGACACTAAAAGTGAAAGTAGTTCTCAGGATGATGACGCCGTCAATGCATTGGATGGGAATCATAGACCCTCAGGTATACTACCTTTTTAGATCATATTTCTATTTTTTCTATTTTATCTATTGTTCTAATTATTTCATCGCGCCAGGAAATAAATCTCCACAAGCTGAGGAGCAAGAGATATCCGAAGTTAATCATAAGAAAGGGGAGCCAGCGGAGATCACCGAACGAGAAGACAGAGAATTCCCGAGGGAAAACGGCGGCCATCGAAGTAATAATGTCGGGGTTGCAAGGATTGAATCTGATGGAAGTGCCGATAAGCGCCCCGATGTATTGAATGACCTTCCAAGCAAATCTAGGTCTACATTCCCTCTCCTCCCTCATGTCTCTACATGCTTAAGCATCGATCTCGAAATTCTATATGTGTTGGGTTGGATGATTGATGGGCAGGAGTCGAAGCATAAGTCCGAAAAGGGCTCGGAGTAAGAGTATGAGCATCAGTCCTAGAAGCATCGATCGAAGCCCCAGTCCTGCTGCGGAACATAACCGAAGTCCCGACGCTAGTCCAATCCCGAAAGACGTCTCGGGCAGAAGCAGGAGTAACACGCCCGTTAAAAGTCGAACCAGCAGTAGTCCCCCAAGGAGCAGGCGAGAAAGAAGCGCCAGCACGAGTTCTCCTCGAGCACGCAGTCGAAGTGCCACCGCTTCTCCTCCGAGAAAACGACTCACTCGGAGCCCGCCGTCGAGAACATCTCCCCGGAGATCGTCGGTAAGGTCAGGTAGCCGGAGTCCTGCGAGATCTTCTCGACGCAGTTTAAGCAGAAGCCCCGTCAGGTCAGCTCGTCGAAGTGCTAGTCGAAGCTCCGGTAGGGTTTCTCGTAAAAGAAGCCCGAGTCCGATCCCAGCCAGGTCGTCGAGAAGAAATAATCGCCCCAGCTACTCCGGGAGCCCCTCTGGAGCGGGACGTCGCCTGAGGTCGCCCGTTTCTGGCCGCGGCAGGAGTTCATCGAGAAGTCCGTCTGTCGACGGATCACCCAAACGTGTCCGAAGAGGACGGGGCTTCAGTGATCGCTATTCTTACGTCCGTCGCTACAGGAGCCGGACACGTTCCCCCGATCGTTCTCCTATAAGATCTAATCGCTATGGTGGCAGGGGCGATCGCGATAGGTAAGAAAAATCATCGTAATTTCCTCACTCCCTGCTGTTTACACAAATCGGTATCTTCGCGTACTTAGCTTTGAAATTTCTTCATAGATATCCGAGTTACAGAAGATCCCCGAGACGTTATCGAAGCCCGGTTCGAGGACGATCTCCAAGGTAGCATGTTTTGTTTAGTATTCGTTGATTAGTGCCGGTTTTTATTGTAGGAAACGCATTGCAGGTTCAGAGGCAGGAGGAGTCGAAGTCGGAGTCGGACCCGGAGTCCTAGTGGGTCCTGGAGCCCAATACGGTACCGCAGCCGCCGTCGATATAGCCCGAGCAGGAGTCCCGTCCCAAGTCGATCTCCCGTGAGGAGATACTCGCGTAGCTCGCCGCGTTCGGAAAAGCGACGCAGATCGCCTTCGAGGAGCAGGAGCAGGAGCAGGTCCCCTTCGGGTTCTCGATTGTCACACGACTCTCAGCGTCCTGAGGAGAAAGGCAATTCAAGGTCGTCGTCTGGTAGCCCTGCCGGGAAGGCTCGACCGGGGCTCGTGTCGTATGACTCGGCTCGGGAATAGAATGTGTCTGAAGGTAAAACTTGCAAGGACCGTTTCTTGCTTAGCTCGTTCGTTTGTTATGTTGTGTTAAAAAATTATCGGATTGGATGTCTTGTGTTATGTGTCTTAAGTTGAGTTTGTTATTTGTGTTTGGATTTCTGCTGCAGAACTCCTTTTTCTCCAGTTATTATTATTATTGTTATTATTATTATGTCCAAAATTGAATTTTCAACTGGGTTTAAAGACATTTAATTCTATTATGATTAGTCAAGTATATTGTTAGGTGTTTTATAAGTTCTGCGTTCTGACTATTATTATGCTGTCTTTCACATAGAATGCTTTTGTGTGTTTTTTTTGGGTTATTTTTCAAAGGTTTTGAAGCCTTATTGTTTCTCTAAATCATAAGCCCATTTATGAAAATTATCTCAAATGGGTCTAAAATCCAAACAAATACTAGTATAAGTTTTGTTATATTAATATTTCCTCATTTAGGGGTGAGCAAAAAAATCGAACTGAACTGTCCAATCGCTGAATCGAATTGAATTTTCAGTTAACTAAATAAATTTGGTTCAAATATAAATATTGCATATTTGATATTTGTTCGGTTCGGTTCCAGTTTTTTATATTTTTTTCGGTTCGGTTAACCGAATCGAATATATTTATATTATTATATTTTAAAATTTATATTAATAATTATATTCGATTCGGCTTCGGTTCGAATATTTGAAATATTTGCAAATATTTTGATTTAATTAGAATTTAAATTATTTTTTTATTTTTATTTGGTTCGAATTATTTGCAAATATTGCAAATATTTTCGGTTAACTGAAAATTTCAGTTCGGATACGGTTCATAATTTTGGATATTTGTTCGATTCTGTTCGGTTCAAATATCAAATACCTGCATATTTGTATACCTGCATATTTGTAAATATTCGAACCGTGCCCACCCTGCCCTCATTCCGTTGTTATTTTTGTTACATAAATTAAAAATTATTAATATTTTTGTATGTGATAAATAGCACTCCATATAAGAATGTATGAAGTAAAATGCTTTTAAATATAGAAGTATATAAATTGCAAAATAATAATATAAAACATACTTGTAACATTAAGTTAAATATAACAATATTTTATTATTTATATATTTATTAAATGAGAGAAATATATATATTAATCGTAAACAATGATAGTATATATCTTTTCAAATAATAATGGAAGAATATATTCTTCATCGAATCCCGTAATAAAATGAGAAATCACTCGTCGCAATTCCATTCCAATTCTTGATTTGATCGAATCTATCTGAATTTTTTTTTTAAGACAAGACGGGACGGGACAACGAGACGAGACTTAGAGTATGATAAATTATAATTTGAATTATTTTAAAACAAGAATAGTAGTGGAGGCCAAAAGGCCTTTTTAAGTAAGTAGTGGTAGCTTTAAAGGCTTTATGTGTATGTTTCTTTTGAGGATTGTTGTTGAATTTTTACTTTTAATTTTAATTTAAATACTAATTTGATTTACTTTTTCCGTTTCAAATAATATGTCCCTGTTGTGGTAAACATCCAAAATTAAGATAAAATTTAATTAGTAAGTAATTAAGAAATATATTAGTAAAACATACTTATTGTATAATAAAAATAATTAAATAACTTAATTAAAATTACAAATTAAAAATTATGAAATTTAAAATGAATAATTGTATTTATAAAAAGAAAGACAAAATATATGGAACGGATGAAAATATAAAATATGAACATTGAGACGGAAGAAGTTATATATTTTATATTAATAAAACATCGAAATTGAATAGCCAAAATTGAAAAGAAAAGTGCCTACAAGATGTCTAACATCCAAACTCTATCTACCCCACCAAAATCATTCAATATGCTTTTTATACAATATTACTATGAACAATATTATAAATATTTATTAACTAGGGACATGAGTTTGTGTACTTTGTATTTTTTTTTTTTTTTTTATAAATATATTTTTTTTATGTTAGGTACGAAAAAGTATGTTAGTAACAAAAAAATAATAATATTTTGTATTTAATTATTAATTTTTTTTATTTTTATTTTTGAGTGAATGAAGTGTATGTAATATATATATATTGTTAATATCATATTTTTTAAAAAATATATAGAGAGAATCATGTAATTCGAAGAAATGTTAAGGGAACAAACCTGTTGTTTTATTTTATTTTATTTTTTGTTTTTTACTTTTTATAGGGTGTGTTTGGATGTAGTGTTAGGATAGTGGAAAATAAAATTTTGAATTGAAATAATAATTTGATATGATATATATATATATATAAAAGTATTGATGTAATATTATTATAAATATAAAATTGATTTTTAATGTAATATAAAAAATAAAAATAAATGCTTAATTTGATATTTTTAAAATTTAAAAATCAAAGTTAAACCCGTGTGGGGATAGGGTCGACTTATTGGACATCTTCAAGTTTATTATTATATCAAATTTAATCCTAGGCATGGCTCGACTTATTGGACATATTTATATCTTGAAGTATAATTGAGCATAAATCAAGAAAATAGAAAATATTTTAAAACCATATATTTACTTAGGGTAAATTTAATGGGTTGTCAAATAATTGATAAGTATATATGTTTTATAAAAATGGACATATTTGGGATGATTAAAGTTAAGCAAATTTTTGCCCTTTTAAGGAGATAGAAGTGTCTCTCTCAATTCTTGCATCTCCTCAATTTGAGAGACCTTTCATTCCAATTCCAATTTCAATAATAATAATAACAATAATGCCTAAAACACACATATATAGATACATATATATATATGACATGTATGTATTATTGAATATGATCTATGATAATCTTGATCATCTCTAAGATGTGTCTTGTTTGAGTATTTGAGTTTTGAATAAAAATCATTTGAATATTAATTTATTTAATATAATATAAATAGATGCTTATATTTTATTTTAAATGTAAATTTAACTTTCAATATAGTATAAAAAATAAAAATTTAATTTGATAATTTTCTAAATAGTAGAAAAAAACCTTTAAAAAACCCCAAACCAAAAACGGACTAGTTATAATTATTATTTATTTGTCTATTTATTTATTTTACACACTCACGCATCTGACGAGAATTTCATTCAAGTCAAACACATATGTACTGACCAGAAATCGAACTCAGAACTTAATTACTTATGTAGTGATATTTTTTAATGCATGGGATTTAGTTTTCAATAATTAATGTATTTCTTCTATCACTATTCTTTCTCTCTGTATATATATATATAGAGTGAGAGAGAGAGAACCTAAAGTGAGACAAGAATCTTTGTTAAAAGCTAAATAATGGAGTGTAGTAGAGATAGAGAGAGAGATTAATCAATATTTGCATGCTTACTTTTTTGACCACTCATCATTCATCTCTCTCTCTAGCTCTCTCTCTCTCTAGCTCTCTCTCTCTCTCTCTCCTTTCCCATGCATGCATGCATAAATCTATATATATATATATACACTCTTGCAAATTTAGGATGTATTTACTTGTGTAGTGATATTTTTACTATTTTTTTTTCAAACTTTTTTTTTTACTATATAATTCTTTCATGTATAAAACTACATAATTTCACTTTACAAAAAATTACATACAATCCATTGTATAAAATAATAATAATAATAATAAGTAAAATAATAAACCCAAGTAAATAAAAAACTGAACACATCCTATATATTTCATATTTACATAAACTTAATCATTATTTGAACAATTAGTTTTTTTTTTTAAAAAAAAAAAGATGAAAAAAAGTGAAAGTATTTAAGACATCTATTTTTGAAACAGAAAAAAGGATCACTATTTTTAAGACAAAAAAGAAAGATATTAAAAAAGAAAGTGAATTTTTTGCCTTAAAAGTATAAAATCAAAAGTGTATTAAAAAAATAAAATAAAAACCTCTAAATTAATAATATTAATTATTTAGATTAATATATATATCTTTCAACATTCAGCTAAAAAGCAAATGGGAATCCTATGTGAATTAATAGTATGTCACTCTCATTCTCTTCTTTTCCTAATTGCAACTTTAAATTAAATTTGCTTATAAATTAATGTTATCTTCAAATTTTATAAAATTAAGATTAATACTAATCATAATAAAGTACCTTTAGACTTTCTATTTTTTCGACTTGAAATATATTGTTCAAAATAAGATTTTACAAGTTGAGTTTGAGCCCGATAAATATTGATAAATTTTAAGAAGAAAAATAATAATAGAATGACTTTAAATTAATTTTGATATATATATATATATATACAGCGGCGGAACTAGAATATTATTAGAGGGAGTGACAAAAAATTTTAAATTTACAAAACAAATTTTTTATTTGTAAAATAATATCAATATCGTCCACTTAATAAATTTATATTTACTTTTTATACTAATATTAAATATTAATTATTATATCTAGTCCAAATAAAAAAAAAACAATTTTTTTTATTAGTAAATATTGATATATTATATTTTGAAAAAAAAAAAAAAACTAATGCACTTTTTATTAAAAAAAAAAAATCAACACTTCGATATTTTTATTAATTTTTTATTTATTTTAAATATTATCTATAAAAAATATATATACTATTCTTTTAAAAATAAAAAAATTAATAAAATAGAGTAAAAATAGGGTTGGAGTGGAACAAGGGTGGGCTGCAGTCTACCCTTGTCCCTTAATAGGTCCGCTACTGTATATGTATATATATATATATATATGCATTTTTATTTGATTTTGTTCACCATGCGATGCGATGAACAATGTTTTTACCTCCGAATAAAATATTTGAACTATCATAATTTATTTTCAAGTTTCATTTCACCTATTTTAATAAATATTATATTTTTACACTATTCATTATAATTCTCTGTTCTCGCCCTTCCAAATCATTACTATTATTTAAAAAACACAAACATAATATTTATATTTTTATTATTGAAAATATTATATGAAAAATGTAAAATAATTAAATTTGAGAGTGATTATTTTTTTAAAAAAAGATTCTATATATATAGACATGCATGCATAAAAATTAAATAAATTTGACTTGTCATTATTAAATTATTATTTATGAATATTTATATTTTGGGCTTTGGACTAAGGCATTAAAGAGTAAGGTGCAAATTAAAGCTGCAAAAAAAAAGCTTTAATATATTGAAAGGTAAATAAAGTGAGAGGAAAAAATAAAGAAAATGAAAAAGATAAATTAGATTATGATTAAATGAGCTGTGTTCAACTCATCATAATTAATCTATATACATTCATATTCATATTCATATATATATATATATATTACAAACATGTGCTATCAAGTGCAGGGTATTAGGTTCGACCGGGGTTTATTCAGTGCGCACTTTCGGGTAGCGGCCGCAGGTTCCCATGTCATCCAAACAAAAAAAAAAAGAAAAAGAAAAATTTAAAATATTGGGGTATGTTTGTATTTGAGGACGTATTTTCATATTTTAGATTGATTTAAAAATAATTATAATTGTGTTTAAATATATTTTGAAAGTATTTTGAGTTATTTTATTGTTTTGAAAATAATAAATAAGTTGAATAAAAAAATATATTAGTGTGGTTGGTTGTAAGCTGAGAGATTTAGTTGGAAGTTCAATTTTATCAATGAGTGAAGAAGTATTGTTTGATTGTAATTTGAGTTATTGTATAATATTTTTTCGTTATACCATTTTGTTTGGACATTGAAATTAAAAAAAAAATAAATATGTTCGATTTTAATTTGAAATTGAGTGTTTGATTTTAGTTTAAATAATATTTTAGTTAATTTTTGGTGAGAAAAATAATACTCCATCCGTGTCAATACAATAGTCCATATTTACTATTTTTGTCTGTCTTAAAACAATAGTCTTATTTACATAAATGAATATATCACCATAAAACTACCGATACTTTTTTATTTTTATTACACAATTATCACTACTTTTTACATTAATACACTCACAAGGACAAAAAAGTCTTTTATTTATATTTTTTACCAACTATCAATATAATATCAATATTTCTTAAATCTCGTGCCCAACTGAATTAAGACTATATTTATGGGACGAAGAGGGTATATTTTTATCAAAAATTGTGCGGACGAACAATATAAAACGTGTTTGAAATAATAATAAAAAAATTAATGAAATTAAATATCTTTAATTATCCAGTATATTATTATTATTATTATTATTGTTGTTGTTGTTTAATGCACCCTCGTTTAACAATCATCATATCCTATGTGTCATTTTCTTTTCTTTTTTAAAATATATATAGAGGAGAGGACATAAGGTTTTGAATCATATACTAATCTTATTTCAAGTTTATATTATTGAATATTAACTGAACCGCATAGATTATATAGACATTACAATTCAAAATAAGATTCAAATGGATTTTAGACGTAAAAAGAATTTAAAAGTATAGGTCTCATTTATTACAAGATTGTATTACATACGTAGATGACAATTTCTGTTCGTATTTTATTTTACATTTTAATTTAAATAATATTTTGATATAGAATACAGATAGAGAATTTTGGTTAATGTTAATATTGAAAAAGTAAGGTGGTATGCAAATAACACATCCTCATTGTCCAATTTATATCTTCACTAAAATGATTAAAATTCCATTTTATTTTATTTTTAAATTAATCATATATAGAAACACATTATGAAATAATCTCGTGACAAGTTGATCATATTATTATTATTATTATTCATTCATTCACTCATGAATTTTGTGGTTCATAAAATTAAATAATTTATGTCTATTGTTAAATTGCATATATATATATATATAGAATATTAAATTATTTTTTTCTCCAAACACGCTGATATTATAATTGATTTCAATAAACCTACAAGACACACAACACCATATATATGTATATATCATAATGCATACTAATTGATAGTTAATATATAAAACTTAAATTAAACCTCACAAACTCAAGGAAATTAAAATCGAAAATAAAAAGAAAAATGTACCAACATGAATTTGCAAACATAAATAACCTAAATTAACTCTAATCCCTACGACACCAAAATGAAATAAAATTAAAAATTAAAAATAGCTAATGAGAGACACCAAAAACCATTCCCTTTCTCCTCTTCAATCTTGATTCCCTCTAAATATTCGCCTTCTCAACCTGAAATATATATATATATATATATCATAAATTAATTAATAATTATCTAATTAAATTAAGTAACTAATAATTTAATTGAATAAGCTGTTGACAAAATTTAGTTCACACTGATTATTATTTAACATCATTTTTAAATTATTTTATTTACCGAATAATATAAAATTTTAAATAAGAATAATATTATAGAAATAAATTACAGTAAGTAATAATAAAAATATCTCTATAAATATTTAATTTAAAAAAATATTTTATATATATTAAGAACTTACAAAGAAACGTAGCCAAACAAACACGTGGATTGTCCAATGATCAGAAGGAAGCTTTGCTGGCAGATTCCTTCGGCGCATTGCACCGGAAGCACTCGGTCCGGCTCGCGAAGTTATGCTCGTTGCACCCGAACCTGGTGATGACGTGGAATTAATTTTTAATTAATTTATGTAACACCACATATTTAAAGCTTTTATTATTATTATTATTATTATTATTATTAATTAATTAATTCACTTTTACAAATTACCTATTGCAAATCCAATCGCCGGATTTCCATCCGGACCGCGCCGCGCCGCCGGCGCCGGCGCCGCCGAATCCGAAGCCGCGGCTCCTGGGGAATTCGGTCTCGGCTCCGGCGCCGGCGCCGATGATGAAGTCTTCCTTGAAGGCGCCGCACTTGAAGCAGCTGGAGCGGCTGGCGAAGTTGTGGGCGCCGCAGTTGGCGATGGCGCAGTACCAGTCGCCGGGCCTGACATCGGGGCCGGTGGTGAAGCCGAGCCGAGCCCCGTAGGAGATGTCGCCGCCGGGCCGGAGGTCGCCGCAGCGCTGGCAGGAGTCGCGGCGCTGGAAGTTCATGTGCTGGCAGGACCTGCAGTTCCAGTCCCCTGGCCTGTTCATTTTCCGGGCCTTCAACTCCTGAAAATTAAATTTAATTAAATTCATACAAACTCAATATATTTATATATATATTAAATAAAAATGTGAATAAATGAAGTACCTTAGATTAATTAGTGAATATGAGAATTGGAGAGAGAAATTGAAATGTTTGTGAATGTTGGGGTTGAAGTTATGAGTTGATTGAGTCTAGTTGGGTTTATATATATATATATATTGCATGCCTGCGTGTACTCATTCATTTTAGATTTAATAGATATGTATATATTTATATTTGATTATCTATAGATTAAATTACAATTTTATTATTTTTTAAAAAAATTTATAACACATATATTTAGAAAAATATTTTATTTTATTTATTTTTTGGTTCTATCTAACTTTTGGTATTATTTATTAAAAAAACTATTATTATTATTATTATTTTTTAAAAAAGATAATATATTAAAGACTTGTTTCTCTTTTTCCTCAAAATATCAAATGCTATGTTTTACTATATATATATATATATATATATTTTTTATTTTTTTAAAACGGTCAAACTTTTTTTTATCTAAATGTATCGGGTCTACGTTAACTTAAAATTAGACAAAAAAAAAAAAAAAAAAATTAATTAGAAAAATAAATGTTTATGTAATGTAAGAACAAGCTTATATATATATATATATATGAAAGAATATCTTAAAAAGAATAAATGTTTATTGTAAATTTTCTTTTTCTTTCTGAATTTTTTAAATAAAAAAAAACTCAAAAATTGAATATAATCTATAAAATTGAAAAATATATTAAAATATATACATTATATTCTTTTTGAAAATATAGATTTTTGTAGATAATGAATATAACCGATAAAATTAAAAGTCAAAAAATTGATTAGTAAAAAAAATATATAAAATTTTATCTATTTTTTTATTATTTAATTTTATTGGATTATTTGATATTCTAACAAATTTTTACAAATGATCCAAATCTAATATTAAAATAAAATAAAATAATTCTAAAAAATTATGGTTGTGAAAATTATAGTGTCTTGTCATATATATATATATATGATTGTATTATTTATTTGTATAATTAAAATTTTACATCCAAAAATTATATAGTATAGAATCATCGGGATGTCTCGTATTCGAGTTCCACTGTTTTCATTTGTCTTCGTCAATACGTAAAATCCGTATGTTTTCATTTGTCTTCGTCAATACGTAAAATCCGTATGTGACATAAATTCACTTTGCACGTCAAGAGCGTATTGATTAATATGTAAATGAATAATATGTATCTAAGTTTAACCATTTAAATAATTTAATAGTAATTCTATAGAAGCTAGATTAACAATATAAGTTTTTTAATGATAAAAAATCTAAATTATGAAATATTATAGTATATATATATTTTTTAATATTTTTAGCATTGAATATACACTAATTTAAATTTTTTATATTTTAATGAAATTATTACAGGTCATCATATTATTCTGGACGGTAATTGGAGAATGGGAGAATCACATAAAAAGAACAAATTTAAAGAGAAAAGTGAACAGTGCTGCTGCTGGATGTAATTATTTAAACAAATTATATTTATATACATTTATTATTTATATATATGTCTGTATGGAATAAAATTTAATTAAATTTTAAATATATATATATATATATGTGTGTGTGTGTGTGTTGTGAAATTTGATAAAGTTAGATTGCATTAATTGTATCTACGTTGCATGCGCTGCTTTTAAGACTTGTACGTATTCCAACAATGATTATCTAATTTTTATTTTTATTTTTATTTTTTCATTGTTACATTTATTTAATTTTGACTCTTCAAGCTAAATTAATAGTTTTTGTAATATTTCGATTTCTCTATATCAAATGGAATGGCCATAATATAGATAAATAAATAAATAAATGGTAACAAAAAATTGTAAGAGAACAATCTAATAGAGATAGATATGTTGGTGGACAGTTGAGTAGGATTGGATAAGCAGGAACAATATTTATATACAATTATATATATATATATTTTGTAATTTTTTTATAAATATTTTATTTTTATTTTTGTGGAGAATGGTAATAATTTGTGTCTTTTAGTGAATATTTTGTCCCCACTCCACACTCACATATTCTCATACTAGATTTCTCTTGTCTCATTGTCTCCCTCAATATATATATATATATATATAGGAATTTGAGTGTTGTTTGAGAGTTGTTTCGAGATTTGAGAATAATAAAATTTTAAATAAATTTTTGACACGATATAATTTGTTGTAATATGTTTAATACAATGATTTCAGGAAATATATATAATAAATGTATTTCATACAGACATTACAAAATAATAATATTTTGTTTGTAAAAGTAGTTGTATGTAATAGAAAAACAAAAGTATTCTTATGTGTACAAAACTTATTGATTAATGATATTTTTGTAAATATAATTGACTTGTAGAAGTATTATTTATAAAAGATGAAAAAAATGAACACATTTATAATGGACAATCAAAATAAGACAAAATGAATATTTTTCTCTTGAATGGAAAAAATTTGATAATTAAGCATGTATATAACAAAAAAGATAATTATATATCATAATTAATTTAAGTTTTTAAACTAAATAATTGAGATCTGTAATTAGTACCTCGTATTATTGAATATATCTATTAATTTATATAAAAGAATTATTGATCTATTATTTATATATATATTTTTTTGCTTTAAAAAATTAAAATTCATACTCGAAAATTGTTATTACCTTTTCTTTTTTCATCTTCCGTAAAGGAAAAAAGCAAATTAGGGTTTTCGACCAATATAGTAGAAAATATACAAATAAAGAAAATTCTTACATGAAAATATATTTAAATAAAGTATGAGAAATATTGAAAGTAGTGTGACACTCGTGTGTGTCAGATTTGAATCTCAATAATAAATCAATTTTATATTGGTAAAAGTTTTGGAATTTCTTGTTTTTGGCAAAACCCTAATAATTCCTACATATTATTAATAGCAATATATATATACTATATATTTTAAAGTTACATAGATGTATACATAATTTAGTTTATATATATATATCAAGCAAATTTGGATAATCCTTTATTATTTCACTTTGTCTCAATAAATTTTGCTACTATTAATTTTGGTACAATTAAATAGAAGAATGTTCATTTTTTATTATGGGATTGAATGTTAGGTACGAAAAATTGAATTACTAAATATATAAAATAATATTTTCTGTTGAATTATCGACTTTTGTGAATAAATGTTTGGTATCATATATTGTTTTAATTTGTATATATATTTGTAAATTTTAAATAATATTTGTGGTGAATAGCCAAAAATACAAAATGAATTAACAAACTCATAATTTTGTTAGTTTTTGATAGTTTTTTTTTTTAATGGTTCTATAAATTGTATGTAAAAATGTAAAAGAGAAAAGTGTGTAATTAAATAAATGTCGGATGTGTTTACTTTTTTATTTCAAATAAAAATACTATTATCTCAGTCTGTAATATTTTTGCTTGGACATAAAATTTAAAAATAATATTTTATATAAAATTGAGGCAGGTAAAATGTAAAATGATGGTATTATGAAATATTTACTAAATATTTAATAAAAAAATAATCGAGTCAGATTATAAATTATAAGTAACACTACAAAAAAATAATATATTTGTAACGAAATTCCGTTACTAAAGTTCACGTAGCTAACGTAATTACATTCCTATTCCGTCTTTGATGTCATTGGTAACGAAAAAAGTAGATTTAGAGACAAAAAAAATTTTGTTACAAAAATGATTTTTTCTTGTAGTGTAAATAAAATATTTTATTATAAAGAAATTACGCGTAACCAAAAATTAAATAAAAATTTTGAATTGATATTAAAACATATAATTTAAAATTAAATATAATTGATATTATTTATGTAATTCGTATATAATTAAACAAAATGGACACAAGAACTCCAAACAAACAAACCCAAGCTTGAGATCTTAGTTATAAAGTGGTATTTTAAGGATCATTTCTTTTTAATCAATATCTTCGCTCTTTGCTGTCAGATTTTTCTTTAAAAATTTCAATTAATTATTCTATAATTTAAAATATATATATTAGTGTATGTGCCGACTATTACTATATTTATCATTATTCTTGGGGAAAGATAAAAAGAAAAGACCACTGTTGATAAAGCAAAAGACAGTGATGCACAGTGCAGAGGCATACACATACATGCATACGTACGTAGGATTTACGTTTTTTTTAGATTGATTTTATATTTTTGTTATACAATAATTGTAATTTTTATAAAAATATGTTATTTTATTTGATAAAATATTATATCTAATAAAAATAAAATAAAATAAAATTAACTTTCTAAAGAACGCTTTCTTGGTACCATGACAATTCTTACATATGTAATAAAACTGTTGTATTGGATTGGATTATTATTTGAAAATAGTTCCAATGAGTATTCCATTTTATTTATATATCTAGTTCAATTTGGTCAATTAAATAAATTAATTCAAGTTGTTTGATATAGATATATGCTACTTCCTCCGTAACACCTACATAGCTCTAAATACATTTTGAATAGATTAACTAATAACAACATTATACTAACGAATGAAAATTCGTGTAAATTATAAATGTCAAAATAGATTTATATATAATTTGATGGAATTTTGAATATAAAAATAAAAGTGAAAGATAAATTGATAACTAAATAAAAGAACAAAAACATTGCTTAAATGGGACAACTTTAAATAAAAAATATGTTTATTTAAGTAGGACATAAATGGTACTCGTCAGCCCACCTCTAAGACCACATTAAAATAGAGCTCAATCTTAATCTATGTTGTATTTAAAATAGAGTACTTCCTCCGTCCCAGTCCAAATGACCTTTGGGTTTTTATAGTAAAATTTGATATTTTTGCCCTTTGTAACTTAAAAAGTTTTATCAAACCGAACCTACTCGACTTGATAATCTTTTTAGTATACTTTTGAGCTCAACCTCAGCTTGCTAGTATGATTAGCGAGCCGAGGCTTGTGTAACAGCTCTAAATTTCGTGATTTTTGGAAATCGAAGATTATGGATTTGACAATTAAATGAGAGCAGCACATAAAAATGAGTGGAGAGAGCAACACATATTCTGCATCTTAAATAAAAAGGTAGGAGACAATAGACATAAAGTGTAGTATTGCAAACCTGCTAGCACACAAAATTGAAAGCCAGCCGACTCTGGCGACAATCACTTGAGTCCCTCGCTGAGACCCGGCGGCATTCCTAGGCTTTGCGCGAGATTGCTCATTCTCTCTTTCATGGCCTGCAATGACATTTATATTGTTTGAATTTGTATAAGATAATATCAGATGTAATGTGGGCTGGTAAATGTAGGACGATGTTATTTTACCTCCACGCTCTTCTTGTGCGCGTCTTTGTAGGCCTCGGTCACCAGAAGTGATAGTTTCTGGACAATAGAAAGTTGTAAGAATTGTAACAAAAGCTGAATGCAATATAGGTATCATCGGAAGAAATCTGGCATTTTAACACTAGATGAATACATTTTTATGCAGATGATATATCGACAGACAAGAATAATGGGCCGAGACATGAATGGCTCAAACTAACTTACGTCGGGTCCCAACTCCATTGCAGCCTCAGTTATCTCTATGCGAACAGGTTGTTGATTCCCCGAGAGTGTTGCCTAGAAAAAGATCAGTCAAACTATAGCAAGGGGATGAGCATTCTTGGCCTATGACTTAGAAAAATGGAGATCGTGAAGGTAGAAATCGGACCCCGACATTGCTAGAGCTTTGTAAAAAGCAACAAAATGTATTTTTCTTCAAAGAGAAGTCATGAGTACATGACTACTATGTTAAGGATATTGTGTTGGAGCAACAAGGATAATCTCAATTGTGAGTGTGAAAAACTCACCTTTATTAGCTCGCCTTCACAGTAACCATCAAATTCAGCTCTGCAATTTTGTAGGTAATTCTATTAAAAATCCAATTATATAAGGCTCGAAATAAGATGGTGAAATAAACAAGTGTGGGTGCAAATAGTGGAACTGACGCTGCAAGCTCTTGCTGAACCCGTACTGCCTCAACTTGGACTATCGATTGTGCCTTCTTTACAGTCTCGTATAAGTTTTGCATGTTTCCGAATATTCCTGCCTACATATGAGTATGATTCCATAGTTAACAAGTGCTTATTCAGAATTAAAATACAATAGACGAGCAGGAAAAATGACCGTGCCAAAAAAGGGCAAAGCAAGATTTTAAAAAGGGCACCGAGCAAAGTGCAGGTGTTTGGTAAGAGTTCCATTTTATGCTAAAAACAATTGTGCCAAAATAAAATTTTCCCATCGGGAGCATAGTAAATTGCATTGATATAATGTTACCTTGGAAGAATTATCATCACTCTTTTCATTGCTATCCTTCTTCCCACCAAATAGAGCATACACACAAAGAGATCTTCTAACCCTCCCAATTTGACTTCCCCGGCATGACAAACTTGGGAGACCAACAATATTTGCATTGTAGCGAATCTTACCTGAAATGGCACATGGATGACTTGTATATATACATATACATGCATACATAGATTTCCACCAGCATTCACCATTATCACTAGCAATGACGGTAATCAACTCTCATACACTGTCTAAAGCAGCCAAGCCAACTTAGAATTGTGAAAAGGTAATCACGAACTCTTACAAAACAAAATATTAGTCCCAACAAAAACATTGTTCATTATAGCACCGGAGAGAGAAGTTCAAGAACTACAACCCATACTTAGCTTACCAGATGGGCTGTAAGTAGACATTGTACATAAATACACCAGAAGGCGTGAGCCAGATCATATGAAATGAAGCATCAGACATCAAATAGATCTCCCAACTGTTCCCTAGAGTAAATGTCTAAAGCAACAAAACCTCCTAATTAACTTGCATACAGCAGTTTACAGTACATTTATAAGCAAATTCCCATGGCCTTGGCTTAACAAACTATCACATATAGAGCACCAATAAATATCTGTTGTTCTTAGTGAAAAATAACGTCGAATCAGTTACCAAATCATTGTCCTAGGGTTTAAACATTTCTAACTAATTTGCCAATTGTTTGAGAAGATATTTGCCCCAAAAGTAAACTAAATTTACTGTGAAACATCTTAATGTACTGTACGTATAATTGACTGAAACAAAGCAAATTCACCTACAGAACTCACAAAACAATCCACAATCAATCGAAATTCCAATTCAACAGAAAACGTCAGAAGAACATCGCTGCTTGAGCAATATATACACGAGAACACAAACAAGATGCTCATATGTAAGTAAAGACGCCCCAATATAGAACAAGAAAGTGGCGCAGAGCAGGAGGACAGAGTAACAAATTACCAGAATACAACGAAGACGAGGAAGACGGCAACTGAGCCGCCATAGCTGCTGCACTCGGAGACATTGCCATTACCAACGGTAGCACAGACAGCCGAATTCTGAGGCTTCAACGGCGGAGGGAAATCGTTGGATTGGAAAATGGGAACTGGAATTTGGAGGGTTCGAATTCTGATAAAATTCGGACGCTGCAAACAAATGGGTGGGCTGCCGGACCCCTCTACGAGTTTTGCATTTTAGTCCATTTCTAATTTGTAAACAGATCCCCTAACTCCCTAACCGTTGACTTCTCGTCCTATGCTTTATTTGCAATAATAAAAATATGCATATATCGTCCCTACAATTGTATTACAATAATTAATTTATTATTATTTTTTATTTATCATATTATTATTTTATTAATTCTCTAATATTTTTTTATAGTATTTTATTTTACTTTTTAAATATCACATTTTAATATTAATTTTTTTTTTAATTTATTTTTATATTTATGACAACCAAATTTTATCCCAAATATTAAAGTGGTTGAAGATTGGAAAATGTTATTGAAGCTAAAACCCTAAGGCCCAGTTTTGAAGAACAAGCCATATACCAAATTGATGAACTAATAATTAAACATATCCATAATGTAATAAAAAGATATATGTATCAAATGTATCAAAATTATTATAATGGAAATATAAATATTTCTTCTCTCTCACAATAATTGATACTTTTGGTTCGTATATTAAAGGTAATGCAGTTTAATTAATTACTAACAGTGAACTATTATATTATTTTATTATTTTTTATATAAGTGATTATTTGTAATTTTAAAATAAGAATTAATAAATATAATTTAAAAAATTAGAATATTATTTAAATATTTTAAAAATTATATCTAAATAAAATATACGTATCATATGAATATCATTTAGTGTAGATAATAAAATTTTATATAATAGAAATAAAAAATATATATTTATAATTAACATAAATTATATCATTTCTATGAAAAATGAGAAGTGTAAATCTAAATAAAAATATTAATCCTGTCTCTTAAAATTGTGATCATTTTTTTAAAATTTGTTTTCTAGAAGTCTTTTCATTTTTTTAAGCAAAGAATTCATGATAATCGGTGTTAAGTCATCCGATATTGAATACAAATTAAGTAGATTGAATAAATTATTTATATTAACAATATATATTTATTTTCGAGGACCATATTGAAAGAATTTTAGATTTATATGTGTTTTTTCTAAAGTAATTTTTGAATAAGTGATCCCCGAAAAGATTTCCAGACTGCCAAAGCTCGCTGGAAGGCCGAAGTGTTACAAAGTTTGACAAGTTTTGAACACAAAATTAAAAGACGTGAAAGTATTATTTTTCATATTAAAATATTATTTAAATCAAAATTTGAATTCAAACGAACACAAAACAATCCAATATATTTTGCTTACCGAATTTTGAAAGAGGATTCCAAGTGTTTAAATAGTATTATGATGTTATATTTTGTGAGTAAAAATAAAATAATTTTATTTATAATTATGTATATTGTATTATTATATGTTATTTTTTATGTGTTGTCATATATATATATGCTCAGCCAACATGAATGAAACGGTATATATATTATATATTTTTTTTTCGGTTCAATTGAAAGAATATTTTTATTATTTTATTTATCATACTTAAAAATATTTATTTTATATTATAATAAAAATAATCACGTATTAATATCAAAATATTTTTATTTTTTATATAATTCACAAACATATCATTATATATACATAAAGTATATACGATAAAATTGTCAACATTATTTTAGCACATTCACTATCTACTAAAATAATATTATTTTTTAATATATAAAAAGAATTGAAATTAATACTTGCATCTGAAATAAAGGAAGTATATTTTTCATTGAAAGCGGCAGCCATTTTGTCGGTGGGCAGACATTTAATTAAGTTAAGAAGTAGCCTGCTTTAATTTCTACTTTCCATGTACATGTTCTTATTAATTAATTAATAAATTAATTAACGATAATCGAATCCCATCTCCATCTCCATATGATATTTCATTTAATTAGGGCTGGGGTTGGCTTCTCTATACAAAAAATCTTTCCATATTGATCATCAAAAGAATCTCACTTTATTAAATTATTAAACTATTTATTATTTTTAAAATACTACTTTTAAATAAATAATAATAGTAATTGTGCATGTAATGTTTTGTGAAAGTGAATAAAATTATAGGCTCCCTTCATTTTAGATGGATTAATCAAAATTTTAATTAAAAAATAAAGTTGAAAGAACAGAGAGTGTTGCTTGATATTTTAAATTTTGAAATGGTGAGTTAAGTATGATATTTTGCTAGATAATATCATAAAAAATTACAAAAGTTGGAATAATAAAGCATTTCTTTTTAAAAAAAATAAATAAAATCAAAGTAGAGCATTGCAGATTTTTATTTCGTATTCTAGTAATTTTATTATTATTATTATTAGGGTATGTTTAATTTGTATTTGTATTTTATATTTAAATAGTGATTGAATGTAAAATTTTGTAAGTGAAAACATCAATCGTCTTTTTACAAAGAATTACGGGATATATTGTATAGTAAAAAAATTGGAAGCATTTCAAAAGAAACAATCTTAGGGTTGTGTTTGTTTGGGGTTTGAATTTAAATTTTTGAGAATTTTGATATAAGAAATTTTATCAAAAGAAAATAAATAAATTTTATTAAAAAATTTGAAAGCATTTCAAAAGAAACAATAGAAAATAATAAGTTTAGAGCAAAATTATTATTTTTTATCTTCTAGCTAAACGCCTAAACCTCAAAGTACAGTATTTGCCAAACTCTAATAATAAAGTCATTTAATTAAATTGCTACTAAAGTGTATGTTACAACTACCCATACTTAATGCAATAAAATCAGCTTTACATACTTTTTAAAACCTTAATTAATTTATGAATAACTATTAAGAAAGACATAGGGTTTGTTACAGTTGAGCCATATATATTTTCATTTATTTAATTACAATTAGATTAACTCCCATATAATTCAATATTTTATAAACACTCTATTTTTATCTTTTCAAAATTTGTATATTTTGAATGTATTAAGATGTATTTTAAGATATATATATTTTAAATAATAAACAGAAGGAGATTTAAGTAAATACACGTCCCCTTATGGACAAGGAGGATAAATGTCACCAAATTAAACTTGTTTCGAACTCGAAACCTAAAACTCTGATACCATATTAAATGACTGTAAACTAAATTTTTAGGATAAACATAATTTATTTATTTATTTACAAATGAGAGTCAATCAACAATAATAATAATTTATTATCTACTTTTACGAATATATTTTTAAGATATTCAGATGTTATAATAAATTTAGAAATAAACCATAGCTAATACTATTGATATCATGATCTAGTGGATCCTAAAAATGTTAGGGGCTTCTTTCGAGATATCTAAACCATTAAATTGATGAAGGCAATTTCAACCTCATATCTCAACCGTTGATCTCACCCCATTTGCATGTATATATATATATATACAATGACAAACTTCACAAGTTGCGAATCATCATACATATACATACACGCAATAAAGTAACCAATCCCATGGCACAAATTTTCTCGAGCACTAACAAAAACACTATCATGGATTTAGTTTCGAGTGTCAATAATGTTCAACAGGATTGCAACGGGAGCAATGGCGAGTATCATTACGCTGTGGTCGAACCACATGACGAGGCTACATCAGATCATCTTCATTGCTACATGAGCAAAACATTAGTAGAATTTCAAGATCATCTTGTCGAAAGATCCGAGCACTTTTTGGGTATGAAGTTATCATATAAAGTTATCAATTTTTTCATTTATAGTATATATGGTCTCAACTTAATTATCAATTAATTTATACTCACTCTTATATGTATTTACCAAAATGCTATCTCATGTTTTATTCTTGATCCCATTAAATTCAAGAGTATTTTAGAATTTTTAAAATTCTTTTAAAACAATCCTGATGCGAGGAAAGAAGTATATATTATATTAGAAATTATTAAAGGCTTATTTTAAAAAAATAAAATTAAATTAAAACTGATCATTTAATTCTTTTAGTTTATTTTTTATTTTTTTTATTTTTTAAATAATGAATACTAAAATGTCATATAAGAAGAAAGAGGGTTTTAAAAGCCAAAAATTAAACACATACATGTTTAATAAACTTTTTCTTAATTGTTTATTTATGTTAATTGGGAAGAAATGAGAACTAAATATATTTGGATGAACTGAATATAGTATTATATTTGTTGATAATATAAAAATATTTTGATTATATATGAATGAATTAATGATGTAATATATATATATTTGTATAAATTGTATATGTAAATAGTTATAGCATAATTATAAATAAGTATAAAATTGAAAGAAATAAATTAAATAGTGTGTAAGTTTTTTTTTTTTTTTTACTGAAAAAAAAATAGTGTATGTTTACTAAAAGATGGAATAGGTAATGGTGTATGTTAACTAACAGTTCTTTCTTCTTTTTTTTTCTTTTTTTTTTTAAAATAAAATTTATTGTTCCATATTAAGTTTCATTGCAACTTGTTCTTTATTGATCATTGAAGTTAATTTATGGTTAAAGAACATAATATTTGCTTGTCAACAAATATTTTAGAAGCAAATTCTTATGCTTTTTATGATTGAAACTTGTTGATGAAATGATACAAGAGGGAGTTCATGTTCAAGAAAGTTTCAATAATACCATTATTTTTTAAGATACTTAGATCATTGACTCTTACACACCTATCCTCGTATAAATATATATATATCAACATATATATTCTATGATTTTGTTTATTGTTCATTTATTTACACATATATGTATGTATTTACATTGGCTAGGTTATCATCTAAACATGAATTGCAAACATTTCATGGCTTTATCTCCTTTGTTGCAATTCCATGTTAACAATGTTGGTGATCCATTTGTTGAGAGCACCGTTGGTTTGCATTCTAAAAAATTCGAGATTGGAGTTTTAGATTGGTTTGCTCGACTATGGGGGATCGGTAAACATGAATATTGGGGTTGTATAACCAATGGTGGATCGGAAGGCAACTTTCAAGGCATTCTGCAGGGGTAAATTTAGACATAATCTTTTTTATCAATTCATTATAATATAAAAAAAAAAAAACATTGAATCTT